ACTCAACGTCGTTAAAAGTTTTATATGATAAGTAAGCAATAAATAGTTGAGATTTAAAATATATTTATTGGAGTATAATACGATGTAACTAATGTGTTGATTGTTATTTTATTGCAGAGTCCGGCCACATATACCAACACTTAAAGAAATTCAACCACTTCTAGAGATAGATCGAGATGAACGTAAACTCGATGTATTTCTCACTGTTCATCGCAGTGATCTTCTTGTCAGCGATTTGAAAATATTCTTGCCATTTACGATAAATCTTGATCCGTATATTAAGAAAAAAATAAAAGAGGAACAACAGACTTTAGAGGAGGACAATCATTTTGGGATTTATAAAAATCCGTGGCAAAAAACTGCCATCGATCCTTGGGTTTCTAATCGGACTAATTTGACAAATCGCCATGCTAAGCTTACTAAAGCTCCGAGCTTACAGGGATCAAACTACCCTCCTCCACCTCCTATGTGGCCAATGGCTCCGATGCCTCCGATGGCTTATGACTGGAGTCAAACTCCCTGGATGTCAATACCGCCTGTTGAATTAATTAGTAAATCATTATCAGCTACCACGACCTTGCCACCAGAGATTCTTGAAATAAAGCTGTCGAGTATGTCGGTCGATAGTATTTGTGATCTTTTAACTAAAATTGATGAATTGAATCCAAATAATCTTGAGTCTTACAAGAGTATAGTCAGAGAAAACAATATCACTGGCAAAGTTTTGTTACTTTGTGACTTGATGGAATTGAAGCAGGTAAATAATTTTAATTTATTTTTTTCAATGTGCCAAGATCAATTTTTTATTATTATTATTTTTTTTACAGGTACTAAGAATGACTTTTGGTGACTGGGAATTATTCCGTATAGTGATTATTTCATTGCGTGAGCAAGAACGAACGTCATTTACAACGTTTGAAGAAAGTTCACGTAGTGTTCGCTTTACAGTTCAACCAGAGATTAATCGCAAAGGTATTATTAGTAAAAAAAAAAAAAAAAAAAAATTAATGATCATTTATACTTTGAACTTTTAATTTTTATTATATAAATATTTATAGATCCCAGAGATATTCAGAGCAGTAATCCGAGAGTTCTCACCCATGTAGACAAAGAAAAATCTATAAGTAGAACAGATGGACCACCAAGACGTGAATCCTCAAAACATTCTATAATGGAAAAGCAGGTAAGAAATTTAAAAAGAAAAAAAAAATTTTAATAAATAAAACATGGGTTTTCATTTACTTCCACTATTTGTCATGCACACATTACCATTTATTGTGGAACCAGTTCCAGGTAAAAAAAAAAAACACCCTCATCCTTTAGATTATAATTATCCATTATAAAATAAATTATTCATAATATGATAACAGAGTTTCCATAATGCATGAAACGGTGTTTAATGTCAAGTATAAATAATTTACATGAAAATTTTGAAGATACGCATGTCATAAAAGTATTTGGCGTGTTAGGTAACTCTAGAGGAACAGATGATCTGCGGAGCCCTTCAAACCTTGAACGAAGAAGCTTGCGAAGATGTTTTGAATGTACCATCGCCTAGCGTAGTACCACCACCAGACTCACTTCCAGGTGAGCCTACTACTTCTCTTCCACTTTCACTGCCTATGGTTATAGTTGAAGAACCGCCGAAGTCTGACCAAAGCCCTGACATCCACGACAAATACGGCACACACTTCTAGTCAGATCATACGATATCTGTTTTTATTATATTGCGAACCAGCCATGATACATTAGAATCTTTTATTAATAATGTTTTAAATTGCTTCTTCCAACTACAGCTGATATTTTTATACTTTTAAATAAATAATTGCTTGTACACAAAAGCACTAAATCAAAATCAAAACCTAGATATTAATGATAAAATAATATTAATAATAATAATAATAAAATAAAAATAATCAAAAAAATGTCAAACGCATGTCACGAATGAGATTAAATGTTTGATAATTATGTCTTGAGCTTAATGAAACAAAAATGTTTTTAAATATTTTATTTTTTTCTCTTAAACCAAATAGAAAGGAATTATATAGTATTAGTTTGATAAGTATTAAGACGTGTGAACTGATAATAAAGCATTAAAAAATAATTATTCTGGTATAAATCAAGTTTTGTAAATACGTTTTCTCGACGTGTAATTACTAAATATATAAATGACGTTAAACACGTCGATAAAACTTATTGGAAAATTACTTGTATATTTTACTGTCAAGTGATAAATAGAAAAAAATAAATAAAATAACAAAATACAGGTTTATGTGAAACTGTGATAAGAAGTATATGGCTATTGCCGCTGGTATACTAATAATTGCATTACTTTTAATTGATGCAAAAAATAAATAAAAACAAAATGGATCTCAATTTTATTTTCACTATTATATATCAATAATACTTATTTAGAATAATTGACGTTTTCTGCATCACCAGTTACATTATTAAATATTGTTATACTTTATTAATGGCAATAAAAAACGGTTACATCAAAAAAAAAAATTTTGTATGATTTTATTTGCTTTATATAAATTTTTGATGCTCGATAAATTATTCGGAATTATAAATAAAAATAACGCTTATGCTTAATCATTTTTCCAGATGTCAGGGCAGGTCTTGTTAGACACCGTGACCAGATTTCTCAATAGCTTATTAAACGCTATCTAATTTAATTAAAAAAAAAAAATGACTAATTGAAAAAAAAAAACCCACTTAACACATAGAATAAAGATAAAAATAGACATAGTAAAAAATATTATTAGAAAATTATTTTCTAGGTGGGCGAGCACGATCAGTTAGTGTCACTACAGCCCCTGACACAGACTACGTCCTTCTGCAGCCGTCTCCTATTTACCACTGGGTCCCAGTACCCGACGAGCCTGAGAGCTCAGACGACAGTTCTCAAGGCTCGACGACTCAGTTACATCGATCAAGCTCACAGCGAAGTGTCACCTCCCAACGAAGCATCAGGTCTACTTATTCTATCGGGAATCGCGGAAAGAAGAAACCAACAACCACCAGCACTGCCACCCGTCCAACCTCGCTCCGGATATCGCCAACAGCGTCACCACGACCCGCTTATCGTTCCAAGTCGACTGACGAGTATCCCACCAATGAGACCCAGACAAACAGCAATAATATGAGACACTCGACTCCGACAATTACTGATGAAATAAGAATAATAGTACCAACCGTACCTACGAATTTAGATAAATTAAGTAAACTCAAAGACCGTTTAATAGGCACAACTTCTTCAAGTCCTTCGTTACACGCATGCGAAAGTGACGATGAATCAACACCGCTGGTGTCTGAACTCTCAACACCCTCACACACCCAATCCGACAGCGTTTTCACCCACGCAATGAGTCCTGAAAGTGATGATCAATCGCCGCTTTCTATGAAGAGTTTGCCGCAAACTGGAGAACACGCTGTTGATATGGAGTACTGCGACTCCATGGGTCTTGTTATCCATGAGTCGGATATGAAACCACTGTCACGACAAAATGCTGAAGACTGGGACAATCCAGAGACACCGGTGTAACACGAGTACAATATTTTTTCTTTTTTTTTTTTAATTTATTTTTTACTGTACATTTGTTAACTTGATAAGAGTACGCATTAAAGTATTTGACGGCTTTCAAAATTTCACTTCTGATAAGATAATTTTACATTTATAAATGTACTATGGAATTACTCAAATATTAAGTAATAAGCACACGAGGCATTGACATAGTTAATTTTTTATTTATTTTTTTTTTTTTTTACTTATATCAGTAGTTTAATTTGATGTCAATTACCTCGAAAACTGATTATTGTACAGAAAGATAAGTTGATGAAGTTATTGTTAATTATTTGTAGCTAATGCGAATTTAATATGATGGTTTACGCTATTGAGACTGTGATTGACAGTTAAAAAATATGAAAATGAAATTAGCAGACATCTGACAATTTAAAAAATTTTTTTTCATTAAGTAAATTATTGCAAAAAAAAATTTCGCATGTAGGTAGATTTGAAAAATTATAAGTGTAATTTTTTAAAAATATTTTTTTAGTTATAATTTAATTTTAATGAAAGAAAATCAGAAAATTTTTAAATGTCTATTGATTTCAGTATCATTTAGAAAATTGCCTACTTAATTAATTATTTAAGTAAAATTCAACTATGTTATCGTTGATTCTTAAATTATTGAAAGAGAATCACTTGGTATTTTACTGAAGAAGCTACTTAAATATATGTGATACATCATTTTATCACGACGTTAGAGTGCCTTGATTAAATGTAAATAAATAAATTAATAAGATTAAATCGTTTGAAATTATTCAATTATCTAACCTAAATGAAATTTTATTTATTAAAAGTATTTTTAAAAAGTATAGAAAAAATTACTTACAGTTGTTGGTAATTGACAGCTTAATCATACTAGATAAATAAATTTTGAGATGGAAATTATATCATTTAAGATACAGAAAAATTTAAGAATTTATAGATCAAAACTTGTCACAGTTACTTGTATTGTATTTTAATATTTCAACAATTAATTTCAATTATAAATGGAAAATTATTCAACTAATCATATTCAAATGTCATAAAAAAAATTTGGACTTTTTGGAGAATTATATTAAAGAATAAGTTGAAGGTTAACAATTGTCAATAAAACATTGCCAAAAAATGTTGTGTCGCTTGAGTATGAATGGTAAATTTGAAAATTTCGCGCGTGCGCAGTTGAATTTTTTTTTCCGGTTATTCGCGAAGTTTTCCGTTTTGTCGTTGGCTAGGTTTAAATTTATATTCCGAATCCCGAGTCCTAGTCGCGATCTGCAGCTCAAAGTACGTTAATCCTTCGGCATTGTTTAACTGGTGAGCTCATCAAGAGTAAATAGACCATAAATTCAACAATGGCCGGTGTATATCGACAACCAATTAGTACTCTTACTCCGGGTGCACAGAATACTTTAATAATTGGAGTAATAATTAACAGCAAAAATCCCCGATCGATCAGGACTCGGGGACCATTGACTCGGGTTTCATATCATCAGCTAATTTAATTCTGAGTTCCACGGATCTCAGCAGCGAAAATTTATCGTCTTACATCGACGAAGGACAGGAAGCTGTGGACGCTCCGTTCTCAAAGAGCGAAACTGCCGTCAAAGATCCTACTGCTGTTGATAGTGGCCTTGATCTTAGTATCTGTGAGAGTTTGAGTATGAATTTGCAACAAGTGTCCCTTAATCCTCTGCAAGGGAAAAATCAGGCGCAATCAGAGCCTGCGCTTCAGCCAATTGGCAACAAAGAAGATGATAATGTTAAGGAAAAATCACTTCCCCTGGAAGTGGAAAAATGGAGGATATTCTATGGACAGAACAGCGATGGTGATACGTAAGTTTTATAATTTTAAAAATAAAATATATATTTTAAAAATTATAAATTAAAATTTTTTATTAATTATTTTAGGCAATTACACGTGGCTATAATTTACGGATGCTTTGAAGAGGCTGCCTGGAAGCTAATTGAAATGGTGCCTCACCCTTGCCTTTTGGACATCAAAAATATCCATAGACAAAGTCCATTACACTTGTCCGTGCTGACAAACCAAATGAGGATCACACGGCGTCTCATACTCGGGGGTGCAAATCCAAGTATTCAAGACGGCGAAGGCAACACACCACTTCACTTAGCTTGCTCAACAGGAGATTTATCATCAGCTTACGCGCTGACCGAGCCTCTCTCAAACTTTGAGCGTTCATACCTAGGTCCTCACTGCCGTATTCCCGCTTTACCACAAGATTTAGAACAACGAAATTTTAAAGGTACGTCGAGTTCTCATTTATTTTCAAAGTTTCTATTATTAAGAGCTGTAAACTTTCTATTTGGAGAATTTTTGTGCTTCTCCCATCTTTCTACCTGGGTTCAATTTTTTTCCGGTAAAACTAACTAACTAAATTTAAATGAACGTAGTTACACAGAGCAAAAAGTGTGTAACAATTTAATTATTTTTAAGGAAATAATTTTATAATTTTTTTTTTTTTTTTTTTTTTTTTTATATATATAAATCCTATTCACACAAGTGAAAAGAATAATGTATACATTTAAGTGTGGGAAATTCCTGACTATACGATGCCTAACGGAATGATGAAACCCACAGCAGTTATATTTTCGATCTTCCACGTGTCTTACGGTTATTCATTTAATACTTATAAATTTCGTCATTGCAACAATTATCCTCATCAGTCATCATTATTATTAAACTAGAAATTTGAATAGCGCGCTACGCGCGCGCCTAAATTTTAACCAATAATGAATCGTGGCCCGTTTTTTTGCGAGTTTCGACCTTTGACTAACTTCAAGACTATCATGTATTTTAATTTAAAGGATCTATTGACAATTTTTTAGTGTAAAAATAATACGCAATTTTGAGTTATAAAAAAAGCAATTACCGATTAGTTTCAATATATTTTCACCGAATAACGGCAATTGCTCCATAAATATTCGTTATCTATTAGTTTAATGTCCTAACAGCCTTTTAATATTAACATTACAGTGAGTGTGTGTCTGGTGGCTTATAATATAATAGCCTGGCTTATCATATTTGCAACCTTCGGACCACGGAATTCCCACATTGCGTCACTTTGAATAATAATCGAGCTAATTATTTACCAAGAAATCGAGTTTTATAACGTTTGTCGTACTTAGTATCAAACAATACGCATATTGTCACAATAAACAATATTAAATATTTATGGTAATGAAAACTCGATGTCAAGATCAAATTTCTGCTATAATATAGATAAATTGCATCTAACAGCGACGCAATGGCTCTCCAATCGGCTTAGCAAAGCCAATGCCAATGTCCGGCCTCGATTTCACTTACTCTTGCACTCGTTATATTTGTTAACGTCTATTTACCCTCTCACTAGACTGCGACTCGTTTCCACTTTAAATGCCAAGGACCCGTTCATCAGTTCCGTGTTCTTTTAATTCCTCGTATTCCCACTTTTTTTCTGAGAATTTTATCTTCGGTTGATTGGAGTGACAAATTGTCTTACAAACCTAAATAACTCTTTAAATAAAATTCGTCAAAACAAAGCTACTTGTTTCTAATCAGTATCGGATGATTTTTTTTTATCTTTTTAAATTTAAAACGAATTATATATTATTTAAAAACGGTATGTTGCAATTTCATTATTGATATCATTGTTATTGTTTAAATATTTGCTAGCTTATAAATTGTTTATTTAATGAGTGAAATGAAGAGAAAGAGGATACACGTATGTGGGGCTTGGGGAAATACGTGATACACAATTTCTGATGAGGAATTTCGCTCGACAGAGACACTTTCGGGTTTCCCCCGGTTAAACGAGCGAGACTTAATGCTGTCATAAAAAATTCCACCATTAAACTTTTCATTTTTTTTTTTTTTTTTTTTTTTTTTTTTTTTTCCCCGGTTTATTTTTACACTAATCGTTTATATTTATTTAACAAAAAAAAAAAAAGAATAGAACTAAACAGGATTTGGAGTTTTTTTTTTCAGTATTTTAAAACTTTCAGTTTTATAAATTTCAGCGCTAACAATATAAATTCTACATGAGCAATAAAGTAGCGGTTAATAAAAATAACTTAAAATTTACAATAGCAAAATTAATTGCGAACAGATAAGTAAGTCGTCTGGGTCTGGGAAGTTACATCACGCGACGATGAGACAGGCCAGATGTTTTAGACGTTTTAAAATACCTGTAGGGTTATTTGCGCCCGCGCTCGTCGGCATTCTCGACTTGGGAAAGCCCCAGCACTAGCGTAGAAGTCGGTGGATCATACTCGAGTATGCTGTACTATCTCTTCCTACTCGCTTTCCAAATTTAGCATTCTTACATTGTATTGTTGTAAATAAAACTTTCTCAACGGTATTAACATACTCAGAAAAATATTATACGGACTATAAATAATTCGTAATGTAAATTTTTCAATTAAAAATTTAAGCGCCGTTGTAGCGAACACAAACATTCCGATAATTTATTTTAGTATAAACTTTGATCCTAGCGGACCTAGTTTGGGAAGCTTGGAATACTAGCCAGTCCTCCGACAATGAATCACCATGGCTTCCTAGTTCTATCTATAAACCACCTTAGCGATGCGGCTGAACTATTTTTAAGAAAATAAGCGCCAGAAAAAAATACCTAGCGGTTTAAAATTATACTTTTACGTAAATACTCGATGCATTGATGATGATGATGATGAAAATAATAATAACCAAGCACTTAATGTCTGCAAAAATAAATAAGCGAATTAATTAAATTTTTCGGGATAAAAATAATCGTCTGTGCTGACGATAGTGAGTTTGAAAAAATATTGGAAGTACGCCATGAAACGTAAGAGTCGCGATATCTTTTCGTGAGAATATGAATGGGTATAGAAATAACTTCCCAACAGACGCCACCAGACACTCATTTAAAGTTATTAGAGTTTTATTTATTCATCACAGAAATACCTAACTGCGGTACTTATGCGAACTTATTTAACTAAATTTATTTATATTTTATTTTTTAGGACAAATGTGCATCCACATTGCCGCTAAAAAGGATCACGTAGACATTATGCGATTGTTATTACGGCTGGGAGCCAATCTTGAAGCAAGAGAAGGACTGGGAGGCAAAACAGCACTTCATATCGCCATTGAGTCCAACTGCACGTCGGTCTTAAACTTTATACTAGAAGAATGCAGACCTTGTTTCGAGACTCGAAACTACGCTGGAATGACCGCTTATCAATTAGCCGCGTGTATTAATCAGCAGCTGGCCAACAGACTGGTACAATTCGGTGCCGATCCCAAGTATAAAGATGAGTCTGACTCAGATTTAAGTGATGAATCGGAAGATGATGAAGAGATGTATGTTACTGAACTTCCAAGGCATAGACGTCAAGATTATGGACTCACTGTATAAAAAAAAAAAAAATTATTTAAGTTAGGACAAAATTATTGATTTTCTGTTAAAGTTAAAAGAAGGATTTACATTAATGTAAATTGATAATTGATACATTGACATTTAGTATTTTTGAGTATTTGATATAATTTTGATTTAAGACCAGAACTATTATCTCTGGCGTCAGAGTTTATTGCAAACATCACTGTATTTATAAACCAAACATAATATCAAAATGAATTTTTTGATATTGCGCTCTTTCTTGTTTACGTTTTTATTTTACAGTGATAATATATATTTTTTTAAACCTCTAATTAAGGATAAAAGCATTAACTATTATAAATAGCAATCGCTTATTATTTTGTTATAGATATATTAATTACTGTGATTGAAAAAAACACTTAATCATATTTTTCTTGATACTTGATTCTATTGTTTTTTATGTAATTCTTAAGATAATTGATTTATTTTATACTTTCATCAATTAGATAATTTTATTTATCATAAACTTCAGTAATTGGACACATTTAATAACATTTATATTTTCTAAAAATGTGCTTCAATGGTAAGGATTTTGTTATTTAATGCTTTTATCCTGTAATTTATGTAATAAAAAAAAAAATTAAATGAACAAATGATCAAAATTATTTTAATCCATCGTGCTATGCCGATACGAACTGATAAATAACATGAAAAAAAAATGTAAAAATATTTAATTAGCTATTTAATGTCATTTTTTATAAAAATTTGTTGTTAAAGACAAATTTTTCCTCTGTAAATAATTCCCCTTAGACAAAATAATGTTAATATTAATTAATGTACTTTAATATAACAATAATAATAATAATAATAATGATTATTCTATTTTAATAATAAAAAATTGAAAATAATTTTGTCTTTAAAAATTTATTCGCTAAATATAGTAATGCAATAGATAAAGTTCTATTTACATTTTATTACGCAAACTTTTAATTATACCCATGAAATCATAGCTATAAAATTTTATCGATAAGATCTTTATTATCAATAGTTGGTTTTTTCCGTTTCGTTTATTTTTATATTTTTTTTTTTCGAATTTAAAATTATTATCTATTGATCGATTCATTCACAAAATAACTAAAACATTTTCAGTATCGTAATTATAAAATGAATTAAAAATGTAGAGCAAAGACCTGAAGTAGTATTTAAAGCAAAATGCGTAATGGTCTTGGTATTTTGGGAAGTTAATACGACTTATTCCTTTTTGGGTGAGTTTGGTCTACGAGCTATCATCACACATGTAAGTTTTGAATTATATTTGGATGCTCAGACATTCGTCCCTACTCTTCTTTGGATGTCTAGCGTGGTCAGTAGTGACTACTCTCACACACTCATCCTCATTAGATAAATACATCATCTTCACTATTACTCTTTTTCTGTAAAATTCATAAGCGAATCATCTTATTTAATTATCGGCGATGAGCCGTTAATTCCATTCCATGATGAATTATTGTAATGTTCATCAGAATTGCTCGCATCGATGATTAACAAATAAAATAATACAATTTTTTTAAAGTAATACGCAATCTCTAGTTTTTTTTTTTTATTGGTTGGCTGATATATCGTAAGAATATAATAACCCAAAAAGTATAAAGAAATACCCATAATAATAAATGAAAGACTGGGAGTTATAGGACAGTATAAAATTTCCTGCAGATCGAAAAATATATATATATATATAATACAATAGCAAACAGAATAATATATATTATATACACATTTGTAAAACTAACTGAAAACTTTGAAAAAAATTCCCCTTTTCAACAGACACAATAGGATATTTACTATTGTCTGTCGTTAAACTATTATCTCTATGGAAAATCCAGGTAATAAACTTTAAGACTTTAAGTACTGACCACTTTATTTTTCCCAGATACAAATTTCTGCCCCTCATTTGTCTGGGGCTAAGTACACTTATCTGTAAATTTATCTGCTTATCGAGGTATGTATGTCTTGTTTTTGTTACCTAGAAAATAAATTTAAGTACTTGTGTATGATTAATAATAATGTATATATTTAAAATTTTGAAATAATTATACTTACCTCCACATCGTAAAGTTTTCTTCATTTTACGTTGATGGTAATGTAAATTCAATTCTTATCGATATTAAAAAAAAATATATGTCTCAAGTAAATAAATAAATTAATTATAAAATAAACTTTTTCTTTAATAAATTAAGAGAAAAAAATCATGAATATCATTCAACATAAATATGTATTAATAATAAATTTATAAATCTTGTAAAAACATGACTATTTTTTAAAACTAATTGATTGATTAAAAAAAAAAAAATCTATTTTTAGATAATTAAAAAAAAAAATATATCTATCAATATAATCAATTGACACAAGAAAAAAAAAATAATTCGTAATCACGTTTAAAAATAATTTTTCTAGAAAGTACCAGAAAGAATTCATAAATAGTTGACAATTGTAGGAGGCGCTAGTTTGAATGCTTCTAGAGCATTCTATATAAAATCTCCAATGTTAACCACCATACGAATGAATTGCGACAAAGCATCACGATAGCACACGAACAAGTTATATAGATTGAATTTGGATAAATACAGCATTTTTGATTATTTCATCTCACTCCAGTGAACATGGATCAGGTAAGAAAAATCACCAAATTTTATTACACTTAAATAATTATAAATTTAATATTTTTTATCGTCAACTTTAATGCCGACAACAACGTACATATTTGCCTCGTTGGTGTCTTACATTTTGTTTTTACCTCATCACCTTTATCATGTAAATTTATGTGAATAATTAAATTATCAAGTTTGCTGGTACAATCTCACGTTTTCTAAAATTTCTTAATCTTAAAAAAAAAAGTGACGTAAAATGAATTGTTGAAATAATTTTTAGGTATCAGCATTAAAGGACAAAGGAAACGCGGCTTTACAAGAAGGCAAATATGAGGATGCAATAAAATTTTACACAGAAGCCATCGCCTTGGACGGTAAAAACCATGTGTTATACAGCAATAGATCAGCTGCTCATGCCAAATCTGGTAATTACGAGAAGGCTCTTGAGGATGCGGAGAAAACAGTATCATTGAAGAGTGACTGGGCGAAAGGATACTCCAGAAAAGGTAGTGCACTCGCGTATCTTGGTCGTCTGAATGAATCAATAGCAGCTTATGAAACTGGTCTCCAGTTGGACCCCGCTAATGCTCAAATAAGAGAAAGTTTGGAGGAATTAAAAGCTCAAAAAGCATCGATGACTGCTAATCCATTCGCTTCTCCAGATGCATTCGTTAAATTGCGCAACGATCCGCGAACGAAAGAATTTTTGAGTGACCCAGAATACTTGAAGCTGCTGAATGAACTCCAAACAAATCCACGGGCTTTAGGCACTAAGCTGCAAGATCCTCGTGTCCTCACTACGTTGAGTGTCTTATTAGGTATCAATGCCATGGGTGAAGATGAAGGGATGGAAGTCGATCCACCACTTAAACCTGAAGAACCTAAACCAGCTCCTAAACCACAGCCAAAAGAAGACCCTAGTATACCACGTGAAAAAAGAGAAGCCATAGCAGAGAAGCAAAAAGGCAACGACGCTTACAAGAAAAAAGACTTTGAAACAGCACTCAGTCATTATAATAAAGCTGTTGATCTAGATCCTACTGACATTACTTACTTGTTAAATATCGCGGCTGTTTACTTTGAACAAAAGGAGTATCAGAAATGCATTGAGCAGTGTGAAAAAGCCATTGAAATTGGTCGAGAAAATCGCGCAGACTTTAAATTAATCGCCAAAGCATTCACCAGAATCGGACATTCCTATGAAAAGATGAGCAACTGGAAGCAGGCTAAAGTTTACTATGAAAAGTCCATGTCAGAGCACCGAACACCTGAAATAAAAACTATTTTGTCGAAATTGGAACAAAAGATTAAAGAAGAAGAGAGAAAAGCTTATATAGATCCAGTAAAAGCTGAAGAAGAAAAAGAACTGGGTAATCAAAAATTCAAAGATGGTGATTATGCAGCAGCTGTAAAACACTATTCAGAAGCTATTTTACGCAATCCGGATGACGCTAAGTACTACAGCAATCGTGCAGCATGTTATACAAAACTTGGAGCCTTTGATTTAGGTCTTAAAGATTGTGAAAAATGTGTTGAATTAGATCCCAAGTTTGTCAAAGGATGGGTACGGAAAGGAAAAATCCTTCAAGGTATGCAGCAACACAGAAAAGCTGTTAAGGCTTACCAAACTGCACTTTCATTAGACCCATACAACGCTGAAGCTTCCGAAGGATATCGCAGTTGTTCAGTTTACTTTGATTCAAACCCAGAAGAAGTTAGAAAGCGAGCTATGGCTGATCCAGAAGTTCAGAACATTTTGAGAGATCCAGCAATGCGATTAATTTTGGAGCAAATGCAAAATGATCCTAAGGCTTTACAAGAGTAAGTTTATTACAAGTTTTTCTTACAATTTTTTAATTAAAATTCTTGACTAAATTTCTTTTTTTTATTATTATTTTCAGTCATTTAAAGAACCCCGCAATCGCTGAGAAACTGCAGAAACTGCTGGAGTCAGGACTGGTCGCTATTCACTAATAGAAGAGGACCTCATTAACTTGGTTGGAGATTGAACGTCAAAGAATGTCTATATATAAGCTTAGATAAAATCAATCGCAAAAAAGTTAATTATAAGTTTGAAAGGGCTAAAAGTTCTCTCAGCTTTTATTCTATTAATTTGTATTTTAAAAGAGAAAACAATATACATTAAACATATGTCATACGGTTTTTAATAATAGTTATTATAATGGCATTGCAAACCATCCTACTACAGTGCCTCAAATTATAAAATTACACCAAACCGCAGCCATTGATAATCATATGTAAATTATTCATCGACCAAATTGTAATCTCGCTTTGCACTTACAAGTTGACTGATTTTTTATTTGGGGCATTCGTGACGATTATGTTGCTATTGTTGACATGTTTTTTTTTTTTTTTTTTTTTTCCTCTCTACACCTCTGTTTCATAATATCATTCGTAAAATGTAATAAACAATGACAAATGATGTAAAATTCAGAATCCGTAATTAAACTAAAATTGATTAAATAATTAATTGTATCTACTGTTTTTATTTTTCATTGTCAAGACGAGTTATAGTAAAGTTGAAAAATTAAACATCAGTCGATAATAAAATTTTCAACGTGTAACAGCTGACCGCGTACCAGTCCTTATTTGACAGTTAGGCACGCTGGTCATTTAATCAGACGTCAAATTTTATCCTCTTTGATAAATGTTCCACTAGCTCATGATTATCTATGAATTTAGGCGTATTCAATAGAGTTAATCTCAAGGTAATTATTTATTAATAAAAAATTTTTGACATAACAATGGTAATTTTAGTCATTTAACAATTATAACCTCATTAATTTTTATCACCAACAATAATCAATAAATAATTATATACAATTAACTTCAATTGTTTGTATTGTAGTAATAATTAATTAAAAATAATACCCCAACAAAATATGTAATTACTGGTGACAAAAAGTGTAATAAGTATAATTAAAATTGCAGGATTCCGGAGGAGGAATGTATTCAGAATGGGCATCATTGAGTGCATTGATACAGAGAGGCTCAGACGAAAGCCGAAGTGTTTTGGAAAAATTTTCCTCTGGAGCTGGACGTGAAGTAGCTCTTCCAGTTGTACGACAATTAGCATCTAACCTCGGAATTACCCAGGCTGCTGAACCGAGTCCGTTGACAACAGACAAAGAAGTTCAGTGGTGCATGGAAGTGATATGTTTTGGACTGTCATTACCACTTGCTGAGCATGATACGGTTAGAGATTGTGTTAATGTTTATTGCGAGTGGCTGTCAGCGTTGTACGCCTCACCAAAGATCTCCGTACCAAAACCTATTGTTGAAGATCCTAATTTTTATGCGCGAAAAATGATCAGTCATTTTCACAATTTATTTGTCCCCAGAAAAGGTGAAGGTAAGAGCTTCGAATTATTGTTTTTTTTTTTTTTTTTTTTTTTTTTTTTTTCAATACAATAAAACACTTAAATATTTTTAATAATATTATTGTAGCTAGTAGATGCATTGATTTTTCACAATAAATAATCCTTTAACACTCTATTATTCTTTTCCCTGCCAATAGTCTGGCCCTTTTTATATCAGGACTTAGGTAATTAAACCATCAAATTACCTGTAATTACTTAAACTTTATTATCGCTTGTATATTGCTTTTATAATTGTCTAAGCTTTTACTTTGCTAGTAAACAATAAATTTATAAAAAAAAAAATGGAAGTTAATGTTTATATTTTTTAGGGGCTGATACAATAAATCGACAAGCAGTACTTTGTCACCGAGTATTGCGAACCCTTCAGCAAATAGCAAGAAGTCCAGCTACTTTGGAAAGCGAAACCTGGGAAAGTTTGTTGTTATTTTTAATTGGTATAAATGATGCGTTACTTGCACCACCTGCTGTAAGAGAAGATGCTGGAGAACAGCTTTGCGAACGAGTTCTCGGTGTTTTACTTGAAGTATTTATTTTATTCAAAATATTATGATAAATATCTTATATTTACAATGTTAATTTTATTTATTTATTTCAGGTATGGCTGGTAGCGTGTGAAAAAAATTTTCCCTCTCCTCCATTATGGAGAACTCTTCGGGAGTCTTGTTTACGTTGGCGTCATCGTCTTGCTTTAATAGAGCAATGGAATCGCGTTTGTTTGGCTTTAACAGCAAAATTATTGACTATAATGTACGGTCCGATGTTTCCAGAGTTAAAAATAAATGAAGAAGATGCACAAGTGGTGCCGCCGACAATGTCAGATGAGGCAGTAACGCAAGCATGGTACCGACTATTGCGTACTGTTGGCGACCCGGTCGATTTATGTAGACCAGCTGTAATATCACAGACACAAGCTTTCTTACAATATGCAATAGCGAGTCCCAATGTTGTGGATCCTTGTCACCACCCATGTCTTCAAAGTTTACCGCAAATATTTTTAAAAGCAATAAAAGGAATTGCCGGACAAGTTGATGCGTTTCTCGGTAAGATTTTATTGTAGTAAACAATATGATAAAGCACCGTTGGTACCAATTTTTTTTTTTTTTTTTTTTTTTTTAATCTCTTGGGGACAAATTCACTCGATTTATTATATCAAACTGAGTGCACAACTGTCTAAATTCAGTATTGAGGTGGTGGTTGCATGTGGAAAATTTTTTTACAGGAATTTCGCAAGCCTGTTGCTGGGAAGAGTGCTGTGTAACTAGCAGTACACCAGGATCGAGTATACACGGAGTAGGAGGTGTTGGCATGGATAGGATTAGCAACAGAGATCAACCGCAGCCGTCGCCTACGCCTCCAACGCAACGGCGACTTGCCAAGAGTTTCAGCGTCACACCTTCTGCTGTCACTAAGGGTACTCAAGCTCTTGAACTTCCTTCATCACACATGCACACTCTTTCAATATACTTTTAATTAAATAGCAATCAAGCGTGAAATAATAAATTGTTTTGTTTTAAACAGGCATACCCAAAGCATCTCTCATTGGTTTAACGAGCAGCAGACTTTCTAATTTGCCACCCACTATTGCTAATTCTGGACCATCTTCTACGTCAAGCACAGCGTGTATGTTAAGCTATTTATTTTTAATAAAATACACAGAGCAACGATAATAATAATAATAATAAAAATAATAATATTTAAGCTGTCACGTCTCTTGGTCATGATGTGAGACCTCCTTTGGCACCGGGACGACCTAAATGTAATAGCATTCTTCATTTATTTGGTGAATGGCTATTTGAAGCCGCTTTTATCGGCACTGATGGGTGGTCGCAAAATTTACCACGTAAGATTTTATAATAAATAATACAGTAATTGAGTGAATCAAGAATAATTTTTTTAAATTGAATACAGGCTCGAAACGTCCATCATCTGTATTAGTCGAAGGTCCAAGCTCACTACAAGAAACAATTACTGAAATCCCCTCGTCTTTAAGCATTGATCGGTATGAATCTGGTAGAGCTGAAGCTATGGGGGCTCTTTGTCGTATTTTCTGTGCAAAAAAAACTGGAGAAGAAATACTGCCGGTCTATTTGGCGCGATTTTATCAAGCCATGTACCAGGGTCTCAAAGTAAATGAGCCGCGGGAATGTGGTGAAACCCTTGCGAGTATTTTAATAAATTCTTCTGACCTTTTTCGACTGGACTTGGACGGAATTGAAATACTTGCTCCTACAGTTATAACTGCTCTTGAATTGGTATTACCTGACAAGGATTTAAAATTAAAATCGACATCGGTATCGAAAATTGAATTGAGAAGATCATCTATTCAATTATTGATATCAATGCTTGTTCTGCCGATTCATTATCAGGTTAAATTTAATTATTTACTTGTTGACTGGTTAGTTAATTTGAAAATTAATTATTGTGTTTTTTTTTTTTTTTTTTTTTTATTAAGAATCTTCCAATACGTGAGCTACCTATCCCTGGAAGTTTTAATCAGGATAAATCTTTAATAACTTTTGGTCAACTAAAGCCTCGACTAATGAATTTATTGATTAATGCTCTTCAAGTAGAGACTGATCCTCTAAACACGCACATGTTACTTGGTAAATATTTTTCTTTATATATTTATTTAAATTATATTTTTTCTAACTAATAATTAAATTACAGGTGGATTATTGCTCAGCGTTCAAGACTCTGCAATAGTCGAAGAAGTAGAACAATCAGTAGCTCAACATACATTAACAAATGAAACTCCAACAAATTTGCTATCATCTGGTATGTTATTTGTCTTTGTGCGGTAAAGAAAGAAAGCGCTTTAATTTTGAATATTAATATTTTTAATATCGCACTGACAATTACTAACTGCATTCGATTGAATTGTATAAATTAATACTTAATACCGGCACTCTTATAAATAATAGAATTGCTTAAATCATCACAACTAATTGTAAAATAGCCATTACAGCTTTTTTTTTTTTTTAACCAAATTTTTATTTTTAATTATTTTTATAAATACATTTTTTTAAATTTACTTTGGTTGTGCCTTTGCCATTATGATTCATCATCACGCTGCTTGATAGTCAGCAGCGATTCAACAAGTCAGATAAGCATTTCAAGTGATCAACGATCGCTCAGTGAGACTTCTGACGGTGGTACTGTCCAAGAAGAAAGTCCGTCTTTTGGTAAATACAGAATGACAGCACTTTATTTTTTAATATTTTTTTCATCCCAATTCAGTCGAGCGAAAATTGCTTATTTTTATATTTTATACTATTTTGTATTTTTGTTTTTTAATTATCAAAATTTGTTACAGATTCAGCACACGCTCTTTTTTTGAGAGCAACTTATTTAGTTTGTCATCGATTAATCTCATCGTGGAAAACAGATCTGAACATTTCTCTGGCCGCTCTGGAATTATTAGCAGGTTTAGCACGAACAAAAATACGTGAAACGGGTAATTAAAAATTTTATTAAAATTAATTAATTAAATTATTATTTATTTATTAATAAATTTTTTGTATATTCATGCAGCTAGATCATTTACAGGTGTGATATTCTATTCCAAGACAATCTATTCCATAAAATAATAAGAAATATATTTATTTCAGATGCTTTGGAATGTAAAAGAGCCGTTAAATGGCTGTGTGACTACATAACTTATCAATGCTGGCGACCACCTCCAGCTCATTCAAAAGACTTACATTCCTCGATAGTCGCTGCTTTTGGTTGTTTAACAACCTGGCTAACTGCTCATCCACAATTACTTCAGGATAAAGACTGTCTTACAACAGTTTTTGAAGTCGTGGAGCTCGGAATATCAGGATCAAAAAGTGTCGGAAAACCGGGAGAGCCAATTAAAATGAAAGATGAAAAAGAATTAAAGCCAGCGTCTATGCGAGTACGAGATGCAGCAGATGCTCTTCTGACAGTGATTCTCGAACAGGTAATACATATAATTAATTATTAAAAATAAATGTACAACTTTAAATATGTTTTAGGTTGGTTACTTTCCTAGTCCGTGTGGTGCTCAATCACTTTCATCACTTATAGACGAAGTAATTTTAATTCAAAAATGTAAAAATAAACCTAGTGAGCGAAATGGTCGCCAAGCTGCGCTCGAACGTTTCCGATATTTTGTCGCTGAAAATGCTACAATGTTAGCACTTCTAGAAGAGCCACTGGCACATCAAACAGAGCCTCATCCAACAGTTACTGTTTTGATTCGCGGTCCATTTGGCAGACATGCATGGACAATGCAGCTTCGCCATTTACCGAGACATAAATCAGGCATTCGTAGTATTAATTCTAAACCAGGAAGACCATTGCCTCTATCAGATCCGGCACCTCGGCCAGAGTATAAACCGAAATTCTTCCCAGACAATATTGATCGAATTCCTCACTGTAAAATAGATGAATCAATACCAACTCTTGAAGCTGTTATGAACGAAACTGAAGAACTCAAGCATCAACATCAATTATTTGCTCAATTGTTAGAGCGACAAATAGAACTGGAAAAACGCCTAAATGAAGAACTAAAATCAAAAAAGAATGACAATTTCAAAGAGTGCGTACCTCCGGAAAACTGTCAAGAGTTTCAGACAGCAAGATTATTTTTGAGCCACTTTGGGTTTTTAAATTTTGAATCAAATGCTAACGATGAAAATGGTACTGGTGGGTTAATCGCTCTAGACCAAAAAATTCCTGGTTTTTCCACGGATCTTGAAAATCTCGACCATATAAGTCCAAGAACGTGCGATACAGTTCATATATTTTACGTCAAAGCTGGCCAAAAAAATCCATCAGAAATTCTAACAAACGTCCAACATCACAATGATGTATCTCCGCACTTTCTTGAATTGCTGAGCTCACTCGGTTGGCCTGTAAACGTAGCCACCCATGCGGGGTGGACTGGTCACGTCTCCACGTCTTGGCGAGTTGCTGCGCAGCCTAGTAATTCAAGTGCGTTAAGTTCTGATCACGGTGGGGCAATTTTTAATGGTGAGACCCATGTTTTGTATTGGGCAGACGTGAGTTCAGAGATCGCATTCATCGTGCCTACTGGGTCAGGCTTAACTCAAGTGCCGGATAATCTAGATGAAGTTAGCTATAATAGTGATACAAGTGCCGGACAGCCATGGTATGAACGAAGTGTAAGTGAAGTTACTACTCGAGTTGGGCCTTCTCAGCCCAGTGGACCCAGAACAATGTCCTTGGACTTGGAGAAACAGCCTTCGAGTTTAACTGGCTCTGGCCCATCAAGTGTTTCGAGTAATCAGGAGCCTACAAGAACGAGGCGAACAGCCAAACACTCTCTTCCTCGTCAAACGGACACTAGAATTATGATCGTATGGCTGGAAAGTTTAGAAGACTATGTTAATTTTCCTATTGGTATGTATTTAATTTATAAAATAAAGTTATTATGTCGGATTAATTAATTATTTATTAATATTTCAGCTGAACTTTTACCTTACACTCACACGGGGTTGGAGTCATTCAGAGTTTTACAGCCTTCGGATGTCCATGTTATATTTCTTCACGCATTAGGGAATGGATTATTGAGAGTTAAGTTACAAGGACCAGTATCGAGAATAAATTTAGCAACTCCGTTGGTTGACGGTATGGTAATTTCACGAAGAGTACTAGGGACGCTAGTTCGACAAACAGCTTTAAATATGGGACGAAGAAAAAGACTCGAGAATGATAGGTAAAATTATTTTATTTATTTTTATACTGTGAATTATGATTATTGAACAAATAAACAATCAAAACTATATTGTTGCAGTTATCACCCGCCACACGTGCGTCGACGATTAAAGATTCAAGACATAGTACAAAAGTATAAAAGAGATTTATCACGACCAGAGTTACTCACTCTTTTGTTCAATAAGACATCAACATAGATCAAAAAAAAAAAAAAAAAAATAACTATAAATATATAAATATATAAATACTATAATATAATCAATTAAAATATTTTTCAATTATTTTTACGTATAATACTGTACTAAAAGCTTTAAAATAATTTAAATCAAATTAAAAGAAAACAAAAATTGTTTGTCACTGATGCAACCTCGCATATTTTTTTTACTTATCAATTTATAATTTACTGATAAAAGATAATTTGATAGTAGCGCTAAGCTAGTGATTTCTACACGTTGAAGATATAAAAATCTTCTTATTATCAAATCTATAAATCATCAATCAAATCATCATCAGTCACTGTTTAAAACTAGAACAAATTAGTACTCAATGACAAGCCATACAAACTTGAGTTATTTACTTAGTTAATATATATATATATATATATTTAACTAAAAGATGAGTTGATTAAAATGAGTAAATACTAAATAGTGTTTATGGCCTTGTTATTAATTCTAAGAATAGCCCCCAGATTAAACTCTATAAGACAATATAATACAATAAATTAAGCATCTTTTAAACTGACGTAGTGAAAATTTATAATTCATGTGTTGGTGCACTGTGAACCGAGTAAGAAGATATAAAATATAAATGGTAAGTAATAATAATACTAGATATAGAATAGATTGATCATTAATTTATGTAACAAAACTCAATGCTTAACATAACGATTGCCAATGAAATTGATGATGATACATCATGCCAATCAATTGTTATACCGAGTGTCAAGAGTAAACAGCCAGATAATGTTTCGCAGTGGAAGTATATTTGTAATGATGACGATTCTGATTCGCTTTTATATTATCTTTATCACTATCATTAGAAGACGAGTTTCTAGTATATAAAGTATATAATAATGTTAATATTGCAATGTCATTATTCCAAGTCTGTTTAATAGCTACACATTGAAAATTACGTCAAAAACAAGAATTACTGTAGTTTTGTAATATCATAAAATTATTATTAAAAAATATAAATATATCGCTTGACATATTAATTTACTGTTTAATATTTTGTTACAACTTATCGTAGTCCAAACAATTATTTATCAGCTGTAAAATTCAACCCACTGATAAATTGTTAAGTAATAAATTTATTGTAAGTATATAATGAATTAATTTATCAATTAAACTCTAGTATAAATAAAATTTTTACTCCTATTTTATAATTTAATTTCCGTATGGCTGTCATTACGCGGAAATAGGACATACAAACGCGTAGAGCACAAGAATTGATTGTAATTGAGTGGAATGAAATTGTATCAGTGGAGTGCATTAGTGTGAATTGAATAACAGCTCGATCAAGATATTAAGTGTAACATCTGCTAACTGGAAAATAAAAAACTATAAATTTAGATTACATATATGTATACAAAAATAAAAAATATTAATATTTGTTCAGAAAATTACATACAATAGGATACCGTAAATTTATGTAATTAAATTTACCTGAAAATAATTATTTGCAAATAATTGTAGTCTTTCGTCCTTGGCGCTTTTTTGTCCTCGTGAATCCTCGATTATCATCGTGATACCTAGCGTAATGTAAGATCGAGAATTACTCATTGCATCGATAACTTGTTATGTACATGTAACTAAACATTGCCGTTGTATGTGTGTTGGTAAAACGCTTGTCATACAACACTATCTTACTATCTGGTTCTGGTTCTGGTTACTGGACACTCGGCAATTTGCGACCAGTAACACCGGCAATGTCTTCCAATACCAGAAGACACCATTATTATTTACCACCATCGTGTTGTAGTGAATGTTACAATTATTAATTTCGAGTGGATAAGGTTACTTGAGGCTAATATAAATTAATCAACATCACGAAGACGCGGGTGTCCATTCGTGTTGTTTAAGTACTTACATATTTATATACTGTTGTCTCTAAAAAAAAAAAAAAAAAAAAAAAAAATATATACGAATTTTAGTTTCATTTTTATTCATTGTTCTGAAAATAGCAGACATCTGACAGTTTTTATATTTATAGAAATGATGCAAATATTGTAGAAAAAATTTCCATCAATTTAGAAAAAAATTCTCAACTTAAAATATTTTATTTTATTAATTAAAATGAAAATTTAAAACCTGACAATTTTTGCGTTTATAAAAATTAACATGAGAATTCTTCAGGTGGAATTTATTCATTTTTATTTTTAATTGTTAGTGTTTAATTTTTCTATTTAAAAAAAAAAAAAAAAAAAAAAAAAAAAAAAAAAAAAAAAAAAATGGAATGTTTGCTACTTTCTGTCATTTTTATGAAAAATACCGAGTTAACGTACGGTGATTGTTTTGCACCGTGTTACTCCCACTACTAATTTATTTAAATTTCATTCTTTCTCTTTTTCTCTCTCAGCTCAGGACCAGTATACTTTTGACGACACGGCTCTCATTAGGCCACGCTGATTTTTCATCATACGACGCTGCTGCTGCTGCTACGACGCTGCTGGTTTACCTATACTCCACCAGCTTGGTATAGGTTACGAAATTAAATTACTTGTGAGTTCACTCGTACCCATTCTTGTACTTAACTCACCTCATCTTATTTAATGTAACAAATAGAAGTGTGTTCTAATGTAATATTAGTATTTAATTTGATTATTATTTTATCTAATCAACGGTACACGAGTTTTGTGTGGGAATTTCACGTGTCGGACATAACTGTTAAAATAATAATGTGCTTGTTCATTTTTAAATTCTTTTCAGTACCATTATTGAATTAAAATTTTTTTTTATGTTTTTACTTTAGTTGAATGGTGAAAGTAATCAGTTTTGCAACTTGTTGAAAAAAAGTTGGGTGTTGGAATAAGAAATTTAAGAAAATTATAAAGGTTAAACTGTGAAAATGGAGAATAATACCATGGACCTGTTTTGCGGCTCAACATTTTGGGTAAGGCTTTCTTATTTTAAAAAATTTAATTTTTATAAATATATTAAATAGAAGTAATTGTGATGAACATATATTGAATTTTCTTGGATGTTAATATTACAAGCATATCTGTTACATTAATTTTTTTTTTTTTTTTTTTTTTTTTTTTTCGAATATAGGATTTAAATGTAACTTGGAATACCACGGATCCAGATTTGACTCCGTGTTTTCAAAATACTGTGCTGGTATGGTCGCCATGTATTTTTCTCTGGACATTTTCATTGCTAGAGGCGTACTATCTGATAAACAGTAACCGAAAAAATATTCCTTATACATGGAAATTTATTTCAAAAGGTGTACTTACTGCTGCTCTAATTGTACTTAGTATTGTTGATTTATCAGTTGCAATACATAACAGTAATTACACGACAGTTTTTAATGTTGACTATTATACACCGTTTATCAAGATCATTACTTTTGTAAGTCTATTTTCATTATCAATTTTAATCTTTAGATTAAATATTTTATTGACATTAATATTAATGCATTAATTTAATTTTCAGGGATTAGCATTATTATTACTGCACTATAATCGAAAATGCGGAATGCGAACTTCTGGATTGTTGTTTCTGTTTTGGTTTTTTTTAGCTATATGCGGTGCCGTACAATTCAGAAGTATTATCAGGAATTATAAGGATCAAGTAAGACAATAAGAAATAAATAAATTATTAATTTTTACTTAATAAATAAATAAACAATTATTTATGTAAACTTTTTTCTTGACAGCCTGAGCTGCCTTACTCTTTTGGATCATACTTTGTATATTATCCAATAGTCTTGATACTGTTTTTGCTCAATTTTCTTGTGGATGCAGAGCCAAAATTTTCGCGATACGGACAGGTAGACAGGCCATGCCCGGAACAATCTGCATCATATCCGTCAAAAATATTGTTCGGATGGTTTGATTCCCTAGCGTGGAAGGGTTTCAAAAAGCCTTTGACTACCTCTGATTTGTGGTCCATGAATCCGGAGGATACAGCTTCGGAAATTGTGCCAAAATTCAATAAATACTGGACGAGAAATTTAAAAAAATGTGACAAGTAAGTAACTTTAAATACTTTTTTTTTTATCTTTGGTAAAATTTGTCTTCCATTATTAATAAGTATATGTGTAATTGCTAACAAGGCTATGTTGCAATTACTGTTGGTAAGAAAATCCTTTAAATATTATTATTAGCATTGAAATATAAAATAAAACTATAATAAAAAAGTTTTAAATCAATTTTCAGCAGTCAAGGTACGAAGGCGTCATTTCGAAAAGCCTCCGGCCAAGTTGATTTCAATAGTACCCGCAAGAAAAAAGTAGCTTCTGTAATTATACCTCTGTACAGAATATTTGGTCCAACATTTTTTTTCGGTGCGTTACTTAAACTGTCACAAGATATCATGACATTTATCAGTCCTCAAGTTTTAGGGTAAGTTGTTGATTAAATTAACTGAGCTATTTATCTAAATAAATTAAAATAATTGTGCAATATTATTACAGATTACTTATAAATTTTATTAATTCAAAGGATGAAGCTCAATGGAAAGGTTATTTCTATTCAGTTCTCCTTTTACTGACTGCGATACTTCAAACATTAGTCCTGTCACAGTACTTTAATCGAATGTTTATCGTCGGCATGCGAATGCGCACTGCCCTTGTCGCGGCAATTTATCGTAAAGCTCTTAGAATGTCTAATACCGCACGTAAAGAGTCAACAGTTGGTGAAATAGTCAATTTGATGTCTGTGGATGCGCAAAGATTCATGGACTTGATGCCCTACATCAACATGATATGGTCAGCACCACTGCAAATTGGATTTGCTTTATACTTTCTGTGGTATGAACTTAAATATGCTGTTTTTGCCGGTCTGGCTGTTATGATATTCCTTATTCCAATCAATGCTGTTATTGCCAATAAAGTAAAGACACTGCAGATCCGACAAATGAAAAGCAAAGACGAACGAGTTAAACTGATGAATGAAGTATTAAATGGCATTAAAGTACTTAAATTGTACGCTTGGGAGCCGTCGTTTGAGCAACAAATTTTAAAAATACGAAATAAGGAAATAAAAGTACTTAAAGAGGCGGCTTATCTTAACGCTGGAACAAGTTTTGTATGGTCTTGTGCTCCATTTTTAGTTTCCTTTGTTTCATTCGCGACGTTCGTCTACATAAGTGACGACAACATTTTAGATAGCAAAACAGCTTTTGTTTCTTTAAGTTTATTCAATATTCTTCGGTTTCCACTGTCCATGTTGCCTATGGTAATAAGTAATGTCGTACAAGCGATGGTTTCTATCAAGCGAATAAATTCATACATGAATGGTGAAGAGTTGGACCCAAATAATGTTCAACATGATCAGTCGGAGTTACATCCACTGATAATTGAAAATGGAACTTTCGCGTGGGGCCCCGAGTCATTGGAAAAACCTACGCTTAAAAATATTAATATGCAAGTCCATCATGGACAGTTGGTAGCTGTTGTAGGAACAGTTGGCTCAGGCAAGAGTTCACTGATCTCAGCTTTCTTCGGAGAAATGGATCGAATCAGCGGAAGAGTTAATACTAAAGGATCAATAGCTTACGTCGCTCAGCAAGCATGGATTCAAAATGCTACATTGCAAGATAATATTCTGTTTGGTAAGCCCCTGGATAAAGCTCTCTACGCCAAGGTGATTGATGCATGTGCTCTTGGTCTTGATATTAAAATGCTACCTGCAGGAGATCAAACGGAAATTGGTGAGAAAGGAATAAATTTGTCTGGTGGTCAAAAACAAAGAGTTGCACTTGCTCGGGCAGTTTACACTGACTGCGATGTTTACTTTCTGGATGATCCTCTCAGTGCTGTTGACTCACACGTCGGAAAGCATATTTTTGAGAACGTTGTGGGTCCCAATGGTTTGCTAAAAAAGAAAACACGGGTACTTGTAACTCATGGTATCACTTATTTGCCGGACGTTGATAACATTTTTGTGCTGAAAGATGGAGAGATTACGGAAAGTGGGACGTATAAACAATTGATGGAAAAACGAGGTGCGTTTGCTGATTTTCTTATTCACCATCTGCAAGAAGTTAAACCTGAAGATGAAGCTGTACCCGAGTTGACAGAGATAAAACAACAGCTTGAGTCAACTATCGGATCAGAAGAACTTCAACAGAAATTGACGAAAGCAAGATCTAGGCTATCTATGACTCATAGTGAGTCTGGATCTATAGATCAAAAATCTTTGAATGGTTCTTTACATCGACAACAATCGATAGATAGCCAAAAATCTGTCAATTTGATGAGAAGTACCAGCATTAAGGAAAATTCACTTCCAATTAAAGGAGAAAAAATTATCGAAGCTGAAAAAACAGAAACAGGAAGTGTAAGTATTTCATTTAATATTATTTAAATTCAAATTCATGTTTTTTGATGATAATTTTTTTATAAATTCAGGTATAATATCTTGAAAATTTAAAATAAGCAATAATTAATAATTGAATAATAATTTATTCTCTATACCTGATTTTAAAATAATATTTAATTAAATTAAAAGAGATAATGTTATTTTTTCTTCTTTGTTATTTAGGTAAAATTACGTGTTTATGCTCATTACTTGAAATCAATTGGTTGGTTTTTATCAGTGTCAACAATAGTAATGAACGCTGTATTTCAATCATTCAGTATTGGATCGAATATCTGGGTCAGTAAATGGTCTGATGATACCGAAATGTTTGTCAATGGAACACTTGATAGAGTTAAAAGAGATACGTATGTCGGTGTATACGGTGCGCTAGGTATAGGTCAAGGTATGTTTCTTTCAGTACTTACTATATCATTTAATTATAAACAAAAAAAATACCTCTACAAATATGGTCTCACACAATGACGTTCAATTTTGCTGACGTTGCCTTTAGTCCAAATATTAAACCTGGGTCAGGATTGTTACATATTGTAGTTGAATCAATCAGTCTAGTCATGACGATTGCAGACCCAATGCTAATGAAAAAAATATTACAGGAAGCACGAAAATAATAAGCAAAAAAAAGAGTCGATCATTTTAGTAACATAATATAGTCTTCGCTGATTGTTTGACTTTTCTTCCACTCGAATTTTAAATAACAATTAGAGCAGCGAGTGTGGTTTGCTGTGTATTTGAAGGCGCGACCAGTATTGTTAACAACAATTATTTTTATTTATTTCTTCATTATTTTTACTTGGTATTTTTTAATTCCCAACAATAGTTCTTTTTTTAATTTTCAATAAACTTTTAAATAATTATAAATTTTTAAATCCCTAAGTAGTATAGTGGTATATTAATGCAATATTTGCATGTCTATAAATTATACATTCTTATTTTATCGTACTGAATTTAATCCTTTAGGGAACTAGCATTAGAAGACAACTAACTAATTTACTGCTTTATCGTATTGAATATTTGATACTATGCATGGTCTTCTTTTAAATCAATCACAATATTAAATAAAAAAAAAAAAAAAAAAAAAAAAAAAAATGAAACAATCTTTATAATTGTCAAAATTAATTAATCAGGAAATGAATGGTTTATTATATTTTGTTTACACATTTTATTATCATTGTTTTAAAAATAAATTTCAGCAATTTTTGTGCTTATCGCACAGTTAATAATGGCCATTGGCTGTCTACAAAGCAGTAAACAGCTGCATTACGAATTATTATTTGGCATTCTACGTTTACCTATTGGATTCTTTGATACAACACCTTCAGGCCGACTATTAAATCGTTTTGGCAAGGACGTTGATGTAATCGACAATGCATTACCGGCGAATCTTAGAGCATGGTTATTTTGCCTCGCAGGGGTACGTGAGACTAAATAAAAATTGTTCTCACAACAGCTAAAAACACCATACCACGTATTTTATTTTTATCTTTATTAAATGCACTATTTTTATATTTCTTCTATTTACCTGTTTTAAATTCACTATTTAACATACTGATACGATGTATCACATTTTACCTACCAGAACAGTGTCTTGCCGTAGAAATAATAGTCTTTATACTATTTTATTTATTTGTCAACTAACTTTATTAGTTTTTTTATTTAGTTAACTCTTATTTTTCTCTTGAATATTTTTATTTGTTTGCACCCTGATTTTTTTTATCTTATTTTAGTAAATAATACTAGTTGCACCTTCAGCACGGTTAATCCATACTTATGTACCTCTTATCATGCGTTCAATCCATCTAAAAATCCAAGTTCAATTGATTAAAAGTCGCTGTTCCACCATTTAATTAAATTACAAATATTATCTTAGCACATTAGCAGTAATATCAAATTTTTTTTTTTTTTTTTTTTTTTTTTTTTTTTTTAAATAATTTCTAGGTATCTTATCAATCGTAATATCACTACTATTTGCAATAGGACCTATTAGTGCATCTGTATTTATATTTCAAGGATTATTGACACAAGTGCTTCGCAATCCTATGTCATTTTTTGATAGCACACCGTCCGGTCGCCTATTAAATCGGTTTGGTAAAGATACAGACGTTATTGACAATATTATACCAATGATTCTACGTACTTGGCTTAATTGCGTACTCTCGGTATGATTAAATAATTACAAAACTATATACATAATTCATAATATATAAAAGCTTAAAATAAATCTAAGTAAAAATTGCACAAAAGTTTTTGCCTGTTGGAAAAAAAGAAAAAAAATGAAGCAAATTTTAATCTCATAAAAATGTGATAGGTAATATCAAATGCTTGCGTTGCTTCCTGAAGATCAAAAAAATTATACCAAGTCCCATTAAACCATTACTCTCATCACAATCATTATGGCAAACATTTTGTTGGTGACTTTTTTCCATGAGGTGATTTTAAAAAAATCCAGACCATATGTGTTTGTTTATATTTGAGAATGTATCTTGTCTGAGGTTATTAATTATACAAACAGCAAAGAAAGGAAGAAGGTTCATGCTATGGTTGTTTGAAGATGTAGTTATTGTCATGTTACAGTCTTATCGGTGATATTCTCATCAATGTTTATATACGTTGGTACTCTAAGATCATCCTCATCACTGATGCGTGAAGCTTTATACAACATAATGCGTGGTCCCATGTCTTTCTTCGATACGGTACCCACCGGACGAATACTAAGCCGTTTCGGTGCCGATGTAGACATCATGGATTCAAAACTACCCTTATCCATTGTACAGTGCCTACCCTGTTGTTTGAGGGTAAGCTTTCATACGCGATCATATTCATGGTCATTATTGCATTACTAATTGTCATATGTTTATTACTTATTATTTTATTTTTCTATGTTGCATGATTAGTGTTTTATACATTATACATAATGCTAGTAATATTTTATTTCAATTGTTGACGGATACAGTTATACTCTTATGCTTGGTTTATTTTTCATCCTATTTTTTATCATTCGCAGTGGTATAGAAAAATAAGTCATTATTTTACTTAACAAGAAAATCTCATGAGACTTGAATAGCAGACTTTTTTTTCCAAGTAAAAAATTTTATGGAGTATAATTTTTTTATTAAATTAATTAAACTTTATGAAACTTTACAAATTTTACAATTTTTAAAGATTGTATTAAGGAGATCTTGGTTAAATTATTATTAATACATTATTTTAAAAATTCTTAAAAATATGAAAGTTTAAACAATTTGAAATAGCTTTAAAAAAAAAAAACTAAACTGTTTCCCTAAAGTTTTGATTTTCTTAAAAATAATAGATGGAATCGGCACCTAAAATTTTTATAGAGTAAAAATTATTATTTAAAGTTTTCCAATTTCACAAAATTTATTAATTTTAAATATCATTGGTGCTGTTAGACTCTCCTTAAATACTTGAATTTTTGGAATTAAAAAAAAAAAAGAAATTTGTATTTATAAAACAATCCCTAGTATATAAAAACAAAAATTGTCTGCTATTTTCATAATTAACGAGATTAAATTTTGAATTTTTTATATTAAAAAACAAAAAAAAATCCATTAACAAAAATACATGACATTATTTCTAAACCATTACTTTTTATCAAGTATTTGCTTGAACTCTTTTTTTTTTTTTCTCTAGAAATTATTAATTAAGTATAATTATCATTTTTTCTGTTATTTAATTATTCCTTTCATACGCAATAAGAATACTATACTTTAAAATAATTTTAAAAACTAATAAAAGTGTCGGGTATTTCAATAAATAATTCGCGTAACATTTCGAATTATATCGGCGATATGCATGGCACAGCAAACTTCACTCCCTCGCCTAGTGGTGGCAATTGATTAATAAAAATATGATAACAATCTTATTTAAAAAATGATGATAAAAATTTTCGACACGTTGGGCTCTAAAATAACAAAATTAATAATTGAAAAAGAAAAAAAAAAGGATGCTACGGTTACAATGATTGCCGCCCGTCTTGTTGTAGCGTTGAGTTTTTTCTGCGATTTGGCTCCACAGCTGGGTTGCTGGCTGGCTGCTCGCCAGATGCACTTGGTAATGCTTCGCGGGGTGATGCGTGCATCATTAACCTTCTTTGATACTACCCCTACTGGTCGCATTATCTCCAGGTTTGCTAAAGATGTCGACGTGCTGGACACTTCGCTTCCGCAGCAAATTTCTGACTGCGTCTATTGTTCATTTGAGGTAATTTAACATTAATGACGAATTCAAATTCCAATCTTAATATGTAACTAATTTTTTCCAATCAAACGTGCAAGAAATCTTGCATGGTATTTAAATAATTATTTATTAAGTTATAGATTTAAATATCAGTTCTGCTATTTGTAAATCATTGTTTTTAGTATAATTGTGTCCGTCACATTGGTAGCGGTTTCAAATTATCATTTCAAGGATTATCTTCTTGTTTCTCATTACAAATAAACTTAATGCTTGTGCTTATAATTTTCTAATTTCTACATACGGTGGTGCATTGTCTATTAATATTTTATTAATTACTTTTTTTATGTAGCACAGCTTTGCATGTTTTTATTGTTTTTTTAATTTAATTATTTTACGTAATTTTAATTATAATTATCTTTTAACGGAGTAGTTGATAATTTATTAATATTGAGTATTTTTTTTTTTTTTTTTTTTTTTTTTTTTTAATAAATTTTGATTAAAAATAAATATTTCAGGTTATTGCTACACTTGTAGTAATAAGTTACAGTACACCAATATTTATAGCGATCATAGTACCCATTGGTGTTCTCTATTACTTTATCCAACGTTTTTACGTTGCGACTTCACGTCAATTGAAACGATTAGAATCCGTTTCTAGATCACCAATATATTCTCATTTTGGAGAATCTATCACAGGTACTTATAATTTATATTTAATTGTTCTTTATTAATTTAATATTTTTATTCTTTGAATTACTATAGATAAATGCAGGTAATAGTCAAAATTTTGATTTTTGAAAAAATTACGGATTAAAAAAAAATCAAGTAGATTAAAAACCGAAATAATTATCAGAAATTTTTTTTCTTCAATCAATACCTAGGTAATATATCTAAGAAAGTTGTATAAAAATTTGAAACCGATCGGTTAAGCTGTTTTGAAGAAATCGTGCTTACTGACTTTAATAATACAATTTTGAGAAAAACGCGTTTTTATATTAATTTTCTTCTATGATTTTAAAAAACATATGTGCGTTCCAAAAATTAAAAAAAAAAAAAAATCGATTTTTTGAAAATTCTAACTAAATATAACTCCTTTATTCAAAAAGAGTAATAAGTACCACATAACAATTTCTCTGGATTGTAAAATTAAAATAATTCAAAAAATAACTTAATATTTTTTTTTAGGTGCCCAAACAATACGAGCATTTAATGTACAAGAAAGGTTCATCTACGAATCTGAACGTCGAGTTGATTTTAATCAAATGTGTTACTTCCCAGGTATTATAAGTAACCGGTAAGTTTAAGAATATTTTTCTAAAAAGTACTTGAGAAATAACTCTTTGATTAATGGGTATATTAACAATGTCTTTTTGTTTGTCTTAAGATGGTTGGCAGTGAGATTAGAAATGGTCGGCAATATGATAATATTTTTTGCGGCAATATTCTCAGTAGCTGGCCGAGATTCTCTGAGTGCCGGTCTTGTGGGTTTGTCAGTAAGTTACGCACTTCAGATAACGCAGACATTAAACTGGCTTGTACGGATGACATCAGACGTCGAGACAAATATAGTGGCTGTGGAAAGGATAAAAGAGTATGGTGAAACGCCACAAGAAGCTCCATGGGAAATTCCCAGTACAGCCCCACCGAAAGATTGGCCTTCAGAAGGCCGCGTCGAATTCCGTGACTACAAAGTTCGTTATCGAGATGGCCTCGATCTTGTACTCAACGGTCTCAGTTTCAGTGTCAACGGTGGAGAAAAAGTAGGAATCGTCGGGCGAACTGGAGCTGGAAAATCCTCGTTGACGTTGTCGTTGTTCAGAATAATTGAAGCCGCCGAAGGAAAAATATTCATAGACGGGATCGACATATCAGAACTTGGTCTCCATGCTTTAAGAGCGAGGCTGACAATTATTCCTCAAGATCCAGTCCTCTTCTCAGGCACTCTGCGTCTCAATTTAGATCCATTTGATATACACACTGATGAGCAGATTTGGCAAGCACTTGAGCACGCTCACCTTAAAGCGTTTGCTAAAACTCTGCCTAATGGTCTTATGTACTTAGTATCTGAGGGTGGTGATAATTTGAGTGTAGGCCAACGACAATTGATCTGTTTGGCAAGAGCGTTACTGAGAAAAACTAAAATTCTTATCCTCGATGAGGCTACCGCTGCTGTAGATTTAGAGACAGATGATCTTATTCAGCGGACAATACGAGAAGAATTTAAAGATTGTACAGTTCTTACGATTGCTCATAGGCTTAACACAATCCTTGATTCTGACAGGTAGTTATTTTATAAAAAATAATTTATGTTAGAAGTTAACATCAATGAATTTCAAAATTAATTTTTTTGTTTTAATGTTTTAGGGTCATTGTTCTAGATAAGGGAGTAATAACGGAGTTTGATAAGCCTGAGAATTTACTTCAAAAACCAACGAGCGCTTTTTACAGTATGGCTAAGGATTCTGGAATAGTTGCGTAGTTTAACAATTTATAATAATTAAAATTATTTAAATCTCATTATTTATTTAATTAATTTTATTTTTTATAAATTCATGGTAATTTTGAACTTAAAAGCGCACAGTGTATTTCTTCACGGAATTCGTGACAAATTCCATATCTCACACAGCAAATGAAGAAAACAATTTTCTCAAAACAACTTGGCTCGCAACTTTCAAAATACTAAATCGAAAATTGTGATTATATTCAATAATTTATAATTATAATATTTTTAACCTGAGCCATTTAAATTCAGTAAATTCAATCGCTACCAACTCAGTTATTATATAAAATACTGCCAGTTAACCAATTGTTGTTTTATGATTTAATTATTAAGATTTACAGATTATTTTCTTTGTTTAATTTTTTTATTAATATTATTTTAAGTGTCTTTTATTGCCGAATGTGAATGATTTTATATTTATTTGTCATTTGTATACTTAATTTTGTTTAAATAGGAGATAAATATTAACAAAATATCACAAACTAAGAATAGATTTATGTCATAAATTTTGTTACATTTTGGTATAGTGTAAATTATTAAAATGCACCTTTTGCCTTTTATCAAGTGATGATATAAGAATTTTTAAGTACAATCTAGTAATAATTAAAATTTTATCTACTTAATCAATTTAACAAAAATAAAACTTCAAACGAATTACTACAATAATAATAATAGGTATTAGGTAATTATATGATTAATTAGCTTAATAAGTTGTGAAAAATTAAAGTAGAATTTATTAATTAATTATTATTTATTACGTTATCAGAAGCTTGAAAAAATCTAATACACGTTATATTTTACTTGACACATAAGTTTTATGCAAACTAGCGATAAAGACAAAAGATAAACAATATTTGTACCTAATATTACGTACTTACCGTGTGGCTAAGTACTTTTAATTACCAACTTACGAAGTAATACATCACTATATATGAGCTCATATTTTATTTTTCGGTAATAAAAGAATAAAAATAATCCAATAAAAAAAATAATAAAACAAAGTCGTTAAATTTTAAAGAAATAACCCAATAAACCATATTTGGAAGCTCATCAGTTGATTTTAGATATTTTTTTTTTTTTTTTTTTTCACTTTATTGCAATTCAACGTTTGACAAAGCATTTTTAAATTTATTACACTTATTACAATTCTGTTTTATGTACTTTCTCACCAAAACTCACACAAATTGAATCATTTACCTACTTTCAAATATAGACTAATTGTCCGTATTATTTTAATATAGAATATTTATTATTTATTAATCGTTATTATTTTTCATTATTTATATACTTTATTTGTGTAAAAATTAACGTCTTATACTTAATCATAAACATACTCGTTTGGGAATTGATGGGTACTCGTTGAAAGAATACTCTGGCAGACGCATAATGACATACCTGATGCTATTATTTAATTAAATTAATTTAAAAAAAAACAAGAACAAAAAAAAACTAATGATAAAAGTTTAAGACAAATAATTGATCTAAATTTTGTACTTTGGTACGACAAAGTTTTAATGGAAATTAACTATAAAATAAATTTCAATTAATTAATTAATTAATTTAATATGAATTTAAAGAAATCGTAAAATTAATCTGTTTTTTTGCTAGCTTCATCTTTCGTACTCGCGACAGTGACTTGTTTCTTTGATGCATTCTCCATTTCACCCGAATAACCGAATTCGTTAATTCTCGTAGGATCTATTCTGTATATCCACCGCTGATACAAAAATATAAAGAACACTATATCATCACGGAAACATCCTAATCGATATAACGTCGGCATTTTAATAATAAAAGCAAATATATCATCGATGAATGTATTCAAAAATTTATACGACAGCATACGCCAGGGAAGATGAGCTACGCTTTTTAATTTATAATTAATAAATAATTGTGGCGTCATCATGATGAAGCCAAATGTTAACAAGAAACCGTAGAGCATATTTAAAACCCACGAGTACCATCCCTTGTGCTCGAGGTACATCAACGAGTAAATGGCATATCCGGCCAGAAGAGGATACAGAGCCCATGATAGATATTTGAAGGCAAGTCTGTCGTATTCTTTGGTTGAACTTTCGACGTACGAACCTTTGTCGCGGAATGATACTCTAGGGAATATTCCCAGTATTTTATTGCTTCTATCGAGGGAGATGTCCACAACTTTGTTGATCTTCCATATTTCAATGCACAAACCAATACCGCAGCTTAAACGAATGAGAGTGTTGGTTTCGTTGTCCAAGACGTAGAGCAGTACAACAAGAGATTGAAAGACGTTGAAGAAGACTGATCGAACTGACAGACCTTCCAAGGTTTTTCTGTTGTTCCAGAATTGGATATCTGTAAAAATATATTTGATCATTAATTTATCTTTCTTAAAATTAATAAATAATTATTTAAAAAAAAAAAAAAAAAAAACAATTTACCATTTTTGAAAGCCAAAAATTCAAACACGCTGTGTAAAATAGATACAAAAATAGTCATTCCCAGTAAGTAAGGATTAGTTTCAAGAATTGTTTCTTTCAGAGTATCCTGGTCGCTGTCATCTTCATCGGCAACGTCTCCCATGAATGAGGAAGTCCATTTATTCCTCATATTTTGCGCCGAGTACAATTGCCACTTGAACAGAGATAGTGGTTGATAAGTGAGATGCAATTCCAATTCCTTGACAGTGTCATTGAGTGGAAAGTAGTCGCGCTGCATGTTCCAAAAATCGTTTACATAAATTGGAGGCTTGTAGAAAGAACCTCCTTGGACAAATTCGATGTACTCGTTCAACGGTGGCGGGACTTGCCCTGACACCCACCCAGTTTGATCAGTCACGAGGTTAATTGTCAAATTAGGATGCCAGTGTGAAACTATTTCTTGATCCATTATTTCAGCTTTTTTTATTTCTTCTTCAGTGGCTGTTGTTTCTCCCGTTAGTAAATTGTGTCGCTTCTGATATTTTATCTTTTTAAATTTATTAACCATTTTTTTAGCATATGACACTTGGTTCGCTGAATACACGCCCTTACCATCCTTAGGATTTATCGACTTTCCGGTTTTTGTTGCGTAAATGTGCAAATAAATCGATCCATTGCGTTTCAGTTGGCTTGAAGGTTCGAATTTGTAAGCAAAAAATCTTGTACCGTCGTTGTTGGGTCCACTCGTCCAATCACCGTACATCAAACCTTTTTCTTTCCATATCAACGCCTGCTGATCCTCAAAGTTATTAAAATGATCTGATTCTGATAAAAATACGTACAGATCAAATAATGTTCCATTCTCAAAAATATTAGCTGCCTGATATTTTGGAACAGCACCATCAGCGCTTGCTGCTGTCGATACTGGATCTGCAGTTGGTCTTCGGAAGAATGACGTGATAAAATAAATAACTAATGACCTTATAATCAGTGACTTTAATACTGCTAAAAATGATTCCCATTTTGTTGGTTGGTATTTTTGTCTTTGGGCGTCGATCTCAGCATTTATCTGAAAATATAAATTGAATTATTTAAATCATAATAATAATAATAACAATTGTTGTAAAATTTTTCGAGATAATTGTGGATTTGGGTCATTGTTAAATAGGGAGTATACCAAAAATATTACTCTGATAAATATAGAACTGAGATAGATAGAATATTGAGGTATGAATTAATTACGACTAGCAAACATACACGTGTACTTGACGATAAAATGTAATGACACGCAATTGAGTACGTGTCCTTACTAAATCAACAAGGATCAACGAGATCATGCTATGAGAAATTATTCGAGTTAAATTATTTTATGGTAATTATTAATAAACTAAATAAAATTATTAATGATAAACTTACGTCTCTTTCTTGATTTTCATCTACAACAGCAACTTCACCGTTTTCTTGTGGATTTTCCATTTCACTTGAATCATTTGCTACTACTCGATTATCACCGTCATTCGCGGTGTCCGCCATCTTTCAATCTTTTAAAGTTTATTTTATACGATAAACACACTTTCTAGCTGACGTCGTGTGTGTTAGAACTAATTTTACCGACTGTTGATATTTTTGAAAATTATTTTTTTTTTTTTTTTTACACACACAAATAATATGTTTTCATTTCTGAAATTGGTCACACCTAAATGTCTATGAATATAATTGCAAACATTATTTTTCAGAAAAATTAATTAATTTTACTAATAAAAAATTTATCTAATGATTCAAAAGGTTTTTATGTATGTATTTTAATTATTTTTAATTTATTGATTTTTGAAACGAAATTAAACCATAAATTAATTCACAATTTTCAAAAATATTTGCATCAATTGACATATTTATTATTCCTTCAAAATTCTCTTGGAGAATATTTAAAATTTACAGCAACAATAAAGTACTTGAAATCATAAATTATTTATCTGCTATTTAAAATAGGTGTGAAGATTAATTTTATTTATTACTGTTACAGAATCAACAGAGTACCTAGATGAAAAATAAAATACAATAACAAAATAAACGTCAAGCAGAATTAAAAAAGGAAAATACTGAAAAAATATCCAGTTTATACAAAAGAATCTTTTGTCATTGTCTCGAGTGTTAGGCCATTACTAATGAATAATACAAGTAATAAAACTTCACCTCTAAGGTACTTCCACGAATTTTTTTCCAGGTATTAATATTTTTTTTCTTTCTCAGGTATGCTGAATTTTATAACTTGGGTATTGAAATGACGTCAGTTAGCTTTTCTTTCATTTTCTAGATGAAGTTTCGATTTTAACGACAATTTCCAGGAGTACCAACTTAAAATTTTTAATTAATTATTGGTAAATTTTTTTTTATTCATATTTAAGTGATAAAAAAAAAAAAAATATAATACCCAAAATAACATAAAAAAATTTTTATCTTTTCAAGTATACATAAAAATTATAATAATAATAATAATAATAATAATAAAGAAAATTAATTTCAGTGAGCTAATCGATGAATCGAATAGAAGATAGAATCGAGATATTCGAGGTGTAAAAACGAGTGTCCTCTGAATGGGAGGCGGAGCGTTGTAATAAACAGAGTATAAGGTGTGTTAACCAACAGCAACGAGTATAGATAAAAGAGCAATTGAATAGAGCGAGACAGCGATGGGGTTCTTGAAATCATAAATACGGATATGATACATGTTATGTATGTATATAAATTTATAATAAAAGCAAGTGAGGGCGAAAAACGAAAAGAGAGGGAGAAACAAGGACAACCAGAGAAATACAGATTGTCAAGTGCAGGCACAGTCAGGAGTTGAGCCAGGAGCCAGGTTTTACCGCGTCGTGTACGCAGAATCACACCACACATCACACATCACATACAATACAATCAAATGTAAATGTATAATATATATAATATTCTTCCACTTGAAGCTGGTGATGCCAATATCCGCCATAACGTTGAGAGAAGTACATAACGCCATAACGAAGCGCTCGAGTGAGAGCAGAAGCAGACAGCAACGCGGGATAAACATTTGTTCAGTGATTAAATTAAATATACGGCGATGCTGTTGCTCTAATCAATCTAGTTTAAATATATTTTGTTATACTTGGTATTTATTACTAGTGGATTTTTTGTTTAATAATAGTACTTATTATTTTACATCGTTATCTTTTTTAATGTAAGTATTACTGCCAAACAAATTTATAATATACACGATAATTCAACTAGGCGCGAATAATTCAGTGCCCTTCGATTGGGTTATGTAGTAAAAAGCGTCAAATAATATTTTTTATTGCAGTGATAGTGATCATTTTTATTATTGTTATTATTATTATTATTATTATTATTATTATTATTATTATAGATTGTGGATAGTTATTATGATGGGAATAATTATAAATGATACGTTAACATATATATATACATAGGAAGCCATTGGTAACCAGTATAGTACACTGGTACTGTTTATCAGCAAGTACTTATGATTTGCGACGCCCCCGTTCTTCTTGCTCTACCATTCACTCTTATTACTTTATGTCCTGCCATTTAATTACCTTCGTGCTGCTTATCAATTACAAACTCACGCACTAAAATTATACTTAATTGCTCTAAAAATATACCCTTTACAATTTACCCCGCGTTTTTATTTTTTAAATCCATAAATATCAATAATGACTAATAATGAATTTTTTTTTTTTTTTTTTTTTTTTTTTTTTACAGTGAATGAAGTGAAAAAAATCTCAACGAAAATTAATACAAATATATTGAATATTGAAAAATGGATGATGACGAAGGAACATCAAGCTCCGGACCAATGTCATCCTTAAACAGTCTATTTTCTTTCACCAGTCCTGCGGTTAAAAAACTTCTAGGTTGGAAGCAGGGCGACGAGGAAGAAAAATGGGCTGAGAAAGCCGTTGACTCGCTGGTTAAAAAATTAAAAAAAAGAAAAGGCGCTATCGAAGATTTGGAGCACGCTCTTAGTTGTCCGGGTACACCGAGCAAGTGTGTTACAATCCCGCGGAGTCTTGATGGGCGACTTCAGGTGTCGCATCGTAAAGGCTTGCCGCACGTTATCTATTGTCGAGTGTGGAGGTGGCCTGATTTGCAGTCACATCACGAGCTAAAACCCCTGGAGTTGTGCCAATATCCGTTTTCAGCCAAGCAAAAAGAAGTTTGCATCAACCCTTACCATTACAAACGCGTTGAGAGTCCTGTGTTACCACCGGTACTCGTGCCAAGACACTCAGAATATGCACCAGGGCACTCGTTGCTGCCCTTTGCCCAGATCCAAGACACGACCATGCCACACAATGTCTCTTACTCAACTAGTGGATTCAATGCTGGGCCTACTGGAGGCTCGAATATAAATCCCACGTCGCCCATGTCCTCAATAAGCTCGGTACCAAGTCCCGGGAGCACTTCAAATAATCCCCAGAGTCCGTACGGCACAAACGGCTTACCAGAGACACCGCCACCAGCTTACTCGCCGCCAGATGATGGATCACAAACTGTACAATCTCCGCCACCTGATCCCGCGGCCATGGACACCACCGGTGCGGCAGAAGTCGATCCGGTATGCTATCAGGAACCACCTTATTGGGCATCGATCGCTTACTACGAGTTAAACTGCCGCGTTGGTGAAGTCTTTCACTGTCAGTCTCATTCTGTGATCGTCGACGGATTCACAAACCCCAGCAACAACTCGGACCGCTTTTGCCTCGGACAGCTGTCAAACGTAAATCGAAATTCTACGATAGAAAACACAAGAAGACATATTGGTAAAGGCGTTCATTTATACTATGTTGGTGGCGAGGTATACGCTGAATGTTTGTCAGATTCGGCGATTTTCGTACAATCTAGAAATTGTAATCATCATCATGGCTTTCATCCTAGTACGGTATGCAAGATACCACCCGGATGTTCACTCAAGATTTTTAACAATGCTGAATTTGCACAATTACTCTCCCAGAGTGTTAATCATGGATTCGAAGCTGTCTACGAGCTTACCAAAATGTGTACTATAAGGTAAATTTTATGTAATATTAAATTAAAAAAATCTTGAGCCGATAAATAATTAGACGTTAAATTTTTTAACTTTGCAACGTTTTAGTGACTTTAAAAATTAAAAATTTTTCTTAAACTTGTAATTAATATTTATATATTTTTTTTGGTTTATAGAATGTCATTTGTCAAAGGCTGGGGTGCTGAATATCATCGACAAGATGTAACATCTACACCCTGTTGGATTGAGGCTCATTTACATGGGCCGTTGCAGTGGCTGGACAAAGTTCTAACTCAAATGGGATCGCCTCATAATGCCATAAGTTCAGTGTCCTAAATAATTATAATAATCAGTTATTGTACTTTCTTAGTTTTTTTTTTATTTTATGTTAAAAAAGTACCCTCTCCGTAATATAAATTATAATTTCAGTAGAAAATGAGACTCACTGTCAAAAACAATAATTACTAAGTGTGGTTAGTCTTATTGTTTTAAATATTCTCATATTTAAAAGAGATTACTTTATCGATTATTTTAAATACAATTAAAAGTAATTATCTTTTTTTTTTTTTTTTATATATAATGACACTATCATTATGACATTTTAAAGTTTTAATAAGTGCAAACATAGAATTACCGGTGATTAAATAATATTTACCGATATTATAATTAATAATTACAATATTATATATAAATACAGACATACAATCAACTTGAAATGTAAAGATAATGGATATAATAGACGTATGCTCCATTGCTAAATACATTGAACTGAGAAGCCTTATAAATCATTGAGTTATTAATTAACGTAAAAAAATGATAATATTCTTTACTACAATATATATTAATCATAGAAAAAAAAAATGTTAAATATTTTATAAACAACTTGATCAGCATAACGTTTTGTATTTTATATAAACGTTATGAGAGATTTATGTGCAATTTTAAAAAGGTTACTGTCAATTTTATAATTAAATGCTATTGCTATTTTATACATTATTATAACCAGCATTCAAGTAAGACTGGTGCTAAAAGAAAGTGTTTCAAATGAAAGTATTAAGATGTATTGACGACCAGCGGAAAGCAAATTAATTATGCTTATCAAAACTACTTTCCAAATCATGTTTTTCCAATATTTATTATTATTTTATCATGATTTATGACTGAATTAATAGTTGTTTATTATTTTTGTTCGCGCTATTTTATATATTAATTTGTGAATATGTTTTTATATTTTATTTATAAAAAAAATTTTATAAAGTGTTAATCATTACATGAAATTGCTTTCCGCATCGGCTGTCTGGGAAACTTTTTGAGCCTTATTGAATATGCCTACAGATTAACTTGACAATATTAATATGAGCCTCTGAGAAGCATTATTCATTATACTTTATTGATAGATTTAAAAGAAAAAAAAAAAAAATTAAATAATTAAAATTCGCTGTAATTAAAAATGAAATAAAAACTTCTGAATATTGTCTATTGTCTATAAAATAATAAAATATAAATTTTTTGTATAATAAAAGATAAAACAATGCAAGATATAAACAGACGCCGATCTCATAAGAGTTTAACTTTAAACTGCGTCTGATAAATAGAGATAATGATTGAATAAATATAAACTAATTTGTTTTATAGTTAGCTTTGAAACTGTTTACCGTAAACTATTTTAATATACGGAACATTCTCTATCAATGTAAACATTGTCTCTTGATTATGACTGTTTATCTTTATACGTCACAATTAAAATTAATAAAACGTCAAGCCAGAAAATAAATAAGCAAAAAATAACAATTACAAATGATAAAAGACAAAATTTTTTATAGTTTTAAGTGGCAGTTGATTCTCGTGGGTGTCTACAAGTGATGTAAAATGACGAAGCCCAAGTCTAATATTTTAAAATTTTAATATTAAGTATAGTTATAGAAAAATTGAAATTAAAATAGATTTATATATGTACAAATAAATCAAGTGCCACTGTCGATTAAAATGTAAATCACTACACTGAATTTTAAAATCGCTAAAATTATATAGCTTCGATTGTTGAAACGAATTATTAATAAATAAATTATACAATAAGATTATATAAATTTATATTTATAGATATATTATTAGCTAAAAAAATTGGTGCCTGAATTTAATGGAGATTATAAAATTGCGTTTTCTTGCTTGTTGTAATTGCTTGTACTGCATTTTTCTGACAGCAACTCCAGATTCTTGGAAAAAAATTAAAGTGTTTTATTTTTTTTAAGGAATCTGTTCTGAGATCGATAATAATCAATCATCATAAAACAAATAGTCATTGTGGACACTCACCGACACGATTCATTCCACATTACGAGCTGTCTATTGTCAACTTTTGTGTGATCGATATTTAAAACAAATGTAAAAAAAAATATGCTCGTAATTGAAAAATTTATAAAAATATATTTATAATGTCAAGCCATCATTTATCCATCAACATATTGGATTTTAAATAAATATTCAAGAATTTGCTCCAATTTAATAGATTTATTTATTAAGGACCAATTTGGATATTACTGTGGTTAGAAGAAACTTCAAAAGCTGTTTCCAAAAATCCTATTGTTGAAATTTAAGGGTAGACCGTAGTAAATGTATTTTCAAAAATTTTATTTTTTTAATTACGTCTTAAATAGATTTTGAAATCAAATAAAATGTTTCAAAAAAATAACATATAACTAGCTTTATAATAGTTTATTAAAAATTTTTTTCAAAAGATAATTCGAAAAATAAAATAAAAAATTTCAGAAGATAGGTACATTTACTACGGCCTGTACGAAAAAAAGAAAAAAATTACATTACATAATATAACGTGGCGCTTCATATAAAAAAACTGGAAAAATTACGGAAAAAATATAAATATTACATTTAAAGCTGTGAAAATTAACATTCAAAGTTTGAATTTTAAAAATGTCATTTCGAACTGCAATTTTTCTAATTGTAAATTTGAAGCGATACTTATTTACTATATAAAATTTAATTTAATACTGGGTAAATAATTGAAAACATTCATATCATCATCATTATTATTTCCTTTATTTTTCGATATCGCGCACGACGTACAGTAATTCTTAAAATTTAATATTATTTCATTTCCTAAATTTTCATTGTTTTTAAACATTTTCCTTCAACCATTTTATCTAATGTAGCATAGTAATGTGTGTAATTACCATTTAAATACCGACTGAATGGTACATTGATGCTCTTTAGCGCCACATAATATTCCATTATCAATTATATAAAAAAAAAAAAAAAAAAATGAATATTTCAAATAAAACAATAATAATAAAATTTTATACACAAATTCAATAATAATCGACGTTACACACAGTTAATTAAATATATATTTGTTTCAAATTGATTCAACACGTGCGTGATTAAAATTATACAGAAATACTATCCCAGGTATACTTTGTTGGAATCATTTTCCAATTGTTTCGTCTGTTAAATTTCAATAAATCTCTCCATTAATAATATTTAATTTAAAACCCCGACAAAGTAACCAAACAAGTAGTATTATAATTTTTTTTTTCAAGTCTTGCATTTTGCGTAACGACGCGTTGCACTCGCTGTCGTACACTCATACGAAGGCTTCATACGTTAATTGTTTTTAGTCTTCTTAAAATGAAGAAATTATTGCCATCCTCGTTTGAGATTACATTTTAAATACTAGCTCACAGACTTTTTTAATATGAAGAAATAGTATAGTTTTATTTATTTAGCTTTGATTTTGTGAATTTAACCGACCAACATTTTTCACTGATCGTTGCATAGAGTAATTTTGATAAATAAAAAATCGTTACCAGATATGTGTAAATCTGTCATGAATAAACCTGAGTATATTAACACTAGGTTTGTTGTTTTGTTTAATTATTTTCCTAAGAGATGATTGCAGTCACAGTTTACACTGTAAAAAATTTTTGGTATGATAATATGCTTTTCAAAAATTTCACATCATCAATTTGGTGTTAATTTTTTTTTTTTTTTTTTTTTTTTTCAGTATATAATTTTTAATTAATTTCATTATTTATTAAAAATTTCGCCTAAAAAATGACAAGTACATTTACAGCGAATTAAATTAAATTTTTCAATTCAATACTCTAAAATTTCAATTTAAAGCTTCAATAATAAATTCGATTTTTTTTAAACTTCAAAAAAATTTTCATGATTTTTTACTAAAATTCTTTTTTAAAAAAATAATTTCTATTGCACATCTATTTCGATTAAGATCAATTATAATTTTTTATAAAGAGAAGTAAAATTTTTGTCAATCATTCTTTAAAAAATAAAACACCGTATAAATAATAAAACATCTTAAAATTTTTCACCCCAGAGGACCAGAAATTTTTGACAGTGTATATAATTGTTCCTCGGATGTTATTTTGTTCTTTAAATATTAATACGGATTTATGACGAATGCAATTGTGCTATCGAGCCCGCTCGATTGTAAACAAACGTCCTGAGTGCTTTTGTTTAAATAAATACTAAAAGAACTCAAAACGTTATCAGTAGGCTCATTCATTTATTTAAAAACCTATCAATACAACCGCCGACTAATTACGGCGCATTCGTTATCATTTAAAATGTACTCGGTAATTATTTCGTCATTAAGACAAGGCTGCTAGTCCGATGAACATTATAGAGGACTAAACATACAACGCAACAATAATAATATAATGCTCTGATATCATTTCAAAACATACGCACACTTTTTTAAACTCTTTACATTTAATTTATCCGTTCAATACAAATAATAATAATAATAATAATAATAATAATAATAATAACGTAGTAATAATTATAATTATTGTTACAATAAATACTAGAGTGAAAATAAATAGTATTTTTAAATTGGATGTTACAACCCCCCTTAAAAAAGTTTTATTAATTAAAGAATTAAATTAGTTTTTTTTTTAATTCTTTTATTTATTTATTTATTTTTCCTAATTTTCAGTTCAACAAACACTGAGAAGTTTAGCAATTAAAAGTGTCCACTGACAATGAATTCTTTGCGATAGATTAAATATATTATTATCAATAAAGACTAATTAAATTTATATTCATTTACTCTCACAATTGAATTTTATTAACAATTAATTATTAAATAATTTGTCATGTATCAGATATTTGTAAGTTTAAAAATGATAATCGATGATAAATCGATCAGACACGTGAGGCGTTCGACATAATTTCACAATTGTAATAAAATTAAAAAGATAATAATTAAAAAATTTAATTATTCTTGCAGCGTTAAAAAAATATGTACACCGTATAAGAAATTCAATAGAGTTATGTATGTGTGCCTCACTAATTAATAAACTTTAAACTTTTAAATAATAATAGTAATCATAATAATAATTAGTCTTTAAGAAGAAATAAAACCCATTCACACCTTGGTCCACGACTACTGCTGGTGCTGCACATTCCCACGCCTCACGCACGCGATTGCACTTTAAGTTATAAACTCAGTACACAGTAACAGGTAAAAGTCATAAGACATTGGTATGATTTATAATTTTCTTTTAAATGTTTTTAGTTTTAATTAGTCACCTAAAAAGCCGTATCGAGTGCTTACTTTGAAATTTAATAAATTGAATTTGTACTTTTCTCAGCCAGATTGATAATAATCTAGCGCACATACTATTTTTAATATTTATTATTATATATTATTATGTATATCAACCACCCTACAAAGAATTCTAATGAAGAACATTATTAACTACACATTAATTAGTTTTATTTTCTTTATTATTCTCTTTTATTTCGTCAATTTAAGTATAAACAATGCCCCGAAAACGCCTCATGAGATTTTGGCTGACGAGCTAGAACGTTCAGTCCTCACAAAAAAATCGGACAACAGCCACATATTTATTGATTCATTTCATTTTTTTTAATTATTATTTTACTTTGTAGTATCATTAACGACTCAATATTCTTTTGTTATTTTTATTTGTTTTCATTAGCTAGCTCCACAATGAAATATCGAGCTAAATTACCGCTCCTCGACATTCAATTTACGCATTTTTAAAAATAATAATCAATCAACTTATCATAATCATTTTTTATTTCATAATTATCATCAATTCGTAGGTGGTAAATCGAATGTCACAAGATCGTTCAATATCACAGTCGTTTTTCAATTACTTTAGTGTTTATTATTTTATTTATGTATTTACGAATATCACTTATACCTTTTACGTTTTATTTATTCATTATAATTAATAGGGCATTAATTGCTGTGATAAATACAGTATCGTTAGAAAATATTATGTGAACGCGCCTCGATCAAGTATTTTCTTAACTGACTCAAAGTTACGTTTTCGGTAGCTTTTCTTCATCTTCTTTTTTTTTTTTTTTTTTTTTTTTTTATTATTTATTTATTTATTTAACATTCTTTTTACTAGTCCCCCTTCACTCCGTTTTTTTTTTCTTGTACTTGAATAATCGCACTCTTGTAATTATTAACTTCTCTATTACATTCCTGTAACTGCAACCGTAGTTTTAGTTTTAGTAGCACAATTTATTCGCTATCTCTTCTCAGAAGCTGAACCGTTACCTATCGTGTAGGTTAATCTTGTGTACGTCTGCGATTTATTGTAATTCAAAGTTTTATTTTTAATCTATTTATCTAAACTATTCAATTAAACATCAATAATTAAATGAGATACCGCCAGCACGTGGCAGTGAAAATACTACATGAAAATTTTTTATTTGTTCTACGGACTGTTAATTATATAATTTTCATTAAAGGATACAAGATTCGGAATACTATTTTTTCTATTAATGAGAAAAAAATAAAACAAAACAAAAAAATTACAGGAATTTGATTTTAAAGACGTCTATCCTGCAGAGTTTTGTTGTTATCTTTACTCTTGCCGACTAATGAACGAGCGATGATTGCATGACCAGATCAATTATCATTTTCCACCCTCCCTTATTATGTATATTTTTTGTTTTTATTTTGGGACGGCAAAACAACACAATACCATTCGTCGACAACTTTAGTTATTTTTTTCGATATTAAATAGATATAAATAATATTTATTATAGATCTTTTTTTTTTTTTTATATTTGCAATAATAGAAATGATAATAATAATAATAATTAGTTGATGAATGATCGGGCATGCGTGCAATAAGCCTTCACATTAATAGGCTTTAATTACTTTGCATACAGCTGATAAATGCAATTTAATTAAAAACAATAAAACATTAATTGATCTAATGGTAATAATGAACATTGTCTTTTGAGTTTTCTTTTTTTTTTTTAATTATTATTAATTAGAAGGCACGCTCGCCGTATCATTTTAAAGATGAAAATTTTAAATAGAGCCAACGAATCCCGCAGAAATTCTTTTTCTTTTTCTGAAGGAAAATTCCTAAAATTCAACTAAATTTTTTTACCTACAATATTGTTTTTCAGAATGGCAATAACGGTAAATGAAATTTTGTTAGTAAGCGATATTTTTTTCTATACCTGTAATAATAATAATAATAATAATAATAATAATAATAATAATAATAATAATAATAATTATGATAATAATAATAGTAATTATGATAATATTAATAATAGTGTAATCTTCGAGTTAACTCTTAAAAAAAAAAAAAACGAGTAAGCTCGGGTGAATCTTTGAAATTTACCTAATAATCAAAAATAAAAAATCCCAATGGTCCGTAATGGTGAAAATATCAATAATAATTAAATAGTATACAAATAATTGGGATTTTTATCAGCTCGGCTTATTACGTAGAAACAAAAGATAGCCGTCGAGTACACAGAGGCACAGTAGCCTGTTGTTAAAATTTTTAGTTTTGTTTGCGCATTAAAACTCGACGAAATACGCAATCAGCGAATGTAAATGTTATATATATACGTCAATACACTGTCTTCAATTACGTGATTTAATAATGTTTATCAAGTACCGCGGTGTACCCTCGGTATTTACGTGCCGCTCACTTACATATAATTCAATTTTCATGTAGAATAATTAATTAATTAATTAATTGATAATCATAGTAATAATGATAAAGATATTAAGAGTAAATAGCGACGAAATTTCTAAATGATCTATTTTCCCCACCAGTCAGTACCACCACAATTGCCACCATTATTAGCTGTGTTGTATGATGAATTAAAGTTGCCTCCATATCCGCCACCACCACCACCACCACCGTAGCTTCCTAAAATTATTAATTATTTGTATAATTAATCTGTAGAAATAATCAGTTTACTGAATTTTAAATTAATATCAATAAAATGTATTAAAAATAAATAATAAATAAAATAACATACCACCATAACCACCAGGTCTGCTTGAAGGGCCATTACGGTTGCCCATGCCAGAGCTAGGTTGCTGACGGTAATCTCTAGCACCAAATCCCCCGCTGCCAAAACGAGTGTTCTTAGTGGTTCCACCAGGACGTCTAGCTCCTCCTGAGTGCTTGACATCAGAGAACAAGTTCTCGAGCCACGGTGGAAGCTCTTGATTAGCCTCAACTAACAGTGACACCAGATCACGTACCAGATTATGATTCTTGCCATTGAAGAAAGACGTGGCGAGTCCAAGATTACCCATACGTCCGGTACGACCAATACGATGAACGTACTCCTCGACATCACCAGGTAAATCAAAGTTAATAACGTGCTTAACGTGTGGAATGTCCAAACCACGAGCGGCGACAGCAGTGGCTACGAGAATGGGGGTTTTTCCTCCGCGAAATCTACGCAGAGCGTCCTCACGCTCGCGCTGAGTTCTGTCGCCGTGGATACTTGTCACCGGGTAACCCATGGAGTGGAGGAAGTCCTCGAGCATGTCTGCTCCCTTTTTGGTCTCCACGAACACCAGGGTAAGGGACTCTTCGGCGTTCTCATAAGAAGACGCTTGTAATAAATCTAGTAAATATGATCGCTTGTCGTGCTCTTCCACCCAGACGATTTTCTGTGTAATATTCTCAGAGGTCGAACCGACGCGACCAACAGCCAAGAAAATATAATTACTGAGGAAATCACGAGCAAGCATCTGGATTTCTTTGGGGAACGTTGCTGAGAACATGAGCGTCTGACGTTCTCCAGTACCTGGCATAGTGTCTTCTTCGACGATGCGCCGAATTTGGGGCTCAAAACCCATGTCCAACATACGATCAGCCTCATCGAGAACCAGGAAACGGCAGTTGTGCAGTCCAATTTTACCGCGGCCAAGCATGTCAACGAGCCGACCAGGTGTAGCTACTAATAAATGACAGCCACGATCCAGCTCGCGCATCTGGTCCGCAATGTTAGATCCACCGTAGACAACAGCAGGTCGCATTCGAGATCTATAGGCAAATTTACGAGCCTCATCATAAATCTGAGTCGCTAATTCACGAGTCGGAGCTAATACTAGACCTAGAGGATATTGTTTACGTCGGCCACCTGCGGCCTGGGGTGGGGGTGGAAGAGGACCGCCCTCATAAATCTGGTTCAAAATTGGCACTAAGAATGCCGCAGTCTTGCCGGAGCCGGTCTGAGCGCAGGCCATCACATCACGACGACTAATTATTATCGGAATAGCATACTTCTGAACCGGCGTCGGAGTATCGTAACCAGCTAAAGTGATGCTGTTTCTTATTATCTCTGTCAGCTTGACCTCGCTGAAAGATGTGATGTGGCTCGGTATGTTGTCGCCAGTCGCCTCAACCGGGATATCCTCATATTTGCTAAAGTTAATACCCGTGTTGCCGATTCCAAAGAGCTCTTGCTCGAGACGTTCGTCTCGGGTGGTGGGAATTGTCCAGTCCACCTCGCCTCTGCCTCCTTTTCCTCCTGATCCAGACTCATCCTTCCATCTGCCTCCCATAGACCCACCGCGGGACTCATTTCTATTGTCCTGCCAGCGGTCGTTTTTCTGCTCGTTCCAACGGTCATTTCCCACCGGGCGATCTCGCTCGCCGTATCCTCCAGAACGAAAGTCTCGTCCGTTCTCCTGAGGGCGTCTGTTGCGCCCGAAATTCCCGAAATCAGCGTCACGGTTGACCCTGACGTCTCTGTAACTGCTACCATGATCCCTCTCACGATCTTGTTCCCGTGAGTTACCGCGATCTCTCTCCTGATAACGCGAATTGGAAGAGGGTTCCTCTCTGCCAGGTGTCCCGTTAGCTGTTTATTTTAAATACAAATTATTAAATATTGCTTTAGTATAGATTAAATAAAATTTTCATTATTACTACTTATATGGCTCTAAATAAATTAATTTATCGTTAATGCAATACTATTGTTGACTCACTAGGTTTATTGCGTAAATGCGGTGGTACGTAGCGACCCCCACTTGGTTGGTGAGAGTCCTGCAAGTCCAGATCAGCTAACTGTAAAAATATACATATTAATTGAAACTAAATTTTCATACATTTTTCTGTGTGATTAAATTTAATTAAAATAAAATCAGATGCATGTTAATAACAATAATAATTAAATTTAGTCAGTAAGATTGTGACCCCTGATGACGAAAGGTTCGACGAAAATAAATAATAAAATTAATTGCACAATGTTGCAATGCAAAATGCTTAGGAAAATTTGGTCAAATTAATCAGTGATTAATTCGGTTAGCACGTGTTGGAGAGAGAAAAAAAAAAAAAAAAAAAAAAAAAAAAAGTAATGAGTCAAAAATCACAGCGTGGAGCGTGCTCTTCCCGGAATTGATCGCCGCCATTACGCGATTCAGACGTCACGGAAATTTTAAGCTGATTTCCTTTAAATTTCACAACTGAGATCAATTAATTGACATTAATTGTGGCATATATCGCAATAGTTTGTTGAATAAAAAGTTAAAATACCTGAAAGTAAAGGTCATTACAATATAAATAAAGAAAAGAGTAGGCAAAAGAAAATCTCGAATGGCGATTGTGTCAAGTATACACTATCATACAATGATTTAGCCTTTTTTATTACTTACACGCTGCTCTAGACCTGATCCATTTTGGTTGGCTGCATTACTCATATTACTCCGCCTCGTGCGTAGTTATTTTTCGTAGCTCTTATTGCGTTAATTCGCTTCGCGTTCGTTGTAATAAACGTTTGTTAACAATACAATAAATTCAACTTATTTAAATAACTCCTAGACGCACTGAAGAAAATTTTTTCGTTAGAGTCTGAGTTTGTTCTGAGTACAGAGCACACGCTTGAGCTATTCACCCGTCGGCAGGCTTGCCGCTATTCCAACGCCACACAAAGGAAGCTTTTCAGGGTACAATATAACTCTCTTTCTCTTACGCTTTTACGTTTAATTAAATACCAACACTGCGCGCTGTTCAAACAGTTCAAACGTTCAAGAGCAACTAAGATAGACGATCTACTATCGTCCTGCTGCTGCTTGTGCTGCTCTGGTGTGCTGGTCGCAAACTATAAAACTAAAATTATAAAATGGCTGATAGTACAAACTCTATGCAATATGGCTAACTACACTACTTCCAGGCGGAAGTTTCTTTAACTGAATTTTCCTTATTCAACTCAAATTATTTTTACATTTTAAAATTTTATTTAATAATCAAAATTTCAAATTTTAATTATATAAATCAAATAAATAAAAATTAAGGATAATGAAAGTGTTGAAGGAATTTTGAGCAAAATCATAGAAAATAGTCTTCCAACTTTGATATTAAAATTTTTTAATAAATTACAGAAGTCCAGTATCAATTTATTTACTTTTTTGAAAATAAATATTATACTTTATTCTTTTGCTCTCTTTTTTATCCATCCGCAGATAAAATATTTATTTATAAAAACACAAGCGATTGAAACTCATGGTCTAGAGTACTGGAAAAATTTTCAATATTTTTTTGTTATTGTTAAATTATTTATTTTTAAAACATATGTACACTTAGCTAGACGCGTATCAGAAAGATTAATACAAAAGTATATGTTAAATTATAAATTATCATTAATATTAAATATCTTCTTCTTTAATAGAAAACTAAAAATTTAAAATACGCGCGCTTTCAGCCTAATAAGAAATCAGGGTCCATTTATTTTCAATACTAAACTAAGTTCAATTCAACCATGAATTTTGTATTTAAAAATTTAAGAAAAAATTGCTGGACCACTGATAATTTCTAAATTATGAATAATTTACTGAAATATTCCTTGAGTTGAAAATAAAATTTAAGATCACAGTTGGAAGTTTTTTCGACAAGATTAAATTTACTCGTGCATTTTCTATTCATTTAAAATAAAAATACATGTGTGATCTTTATGTTTTTTATTTATAATGATAAAGACAATTGACTTGTTTAACAGTCTAATCATCTTTCTTGGTGTCGGTTTTTCCTCCACGAATTCTTCCAGTACGACGTGCAGCAATAAGACCGACTTTACGACCAGCGCTAGTTCCACGTTTGACTGTGGATGCTTTACCAATGTGTTGATGGTTACCTCCTCCGTGAGGATGCTCAACTGGGTTCATAGCAACACCACGAACCTAAAATAAGCAAAATATTAATTTTTAGTCATTTTTCCAGATAAAGATGCCTAATAAATATAATTGATAAATTTAAAAAATCAGTGAAAAGTATCCACAATATATGAATTCAGGTTTCAAATGTCAAAACATCATATTAAATATTATTGTTTTGTAATTACTAAGGATAAAAGGTATAACAATTACCTTAGGCCAGCAGTTCCTCTTGACCTTGTACTTGTGGTACGCACGCCCGGCTTTCAAGATAGGCTTGTCAATACGTCCACCACCAGCAACGATACCAACCATAGCTCGGTTGTTGGAGGGAATAACTTTTTTTGCTCCAGATGGAAGCTTTACACGAGTCTTTTTACTGTCGGGGTTGTGGGCGATGACAGTGGCGTAGTTTCCGGATGCACGGGCAAGTCGGCCACGGTCTCCGGTCTTTTCTTCAAGATTACATACTATTGTTCCTTCGGGCATAGTTCCGACAGGCATAACGTTGCCAATTTGGAGTGTGGCTTTTTTGCCGCAGTATACGAACTGCCCGGTGTACATGCCTTCGGGGGCAATAAACAGTTCTTTTCTTGTCTTAAATTTGTAGGGATCTCTGAAGTGTACCCAAGCTAATGGGGCTCCTCTACCAGGGTCGTGGAGGATTTCCTGGTAAAATATAAATTCAAGATTAAAAATCTAGCAATGAAACTGTAAAATCAATAGTCAATTTTTTTTTTTTTTTCTTCAACAATTGTCACATCAGAAAGAGCCTCTAAATGATCTTCATAACCTTTCAGAGATAGGATAATAGAAATCATCATAAACAATTGACTTTTAATTTAGAAAAGCTACAATTTTTAATTATAAATATACCTTCACAACACCCTTTATGTATCCATGTCTTTCGGCAAAATCCAGAGAACGGAGTTTTGGTGCACCCTTCCTTTTTTTGGTGTGGGATTTGAATACGGATCCCGCACCCTTTCTCTGAGCACGAATTACACGACCCATTGTTTATTTCTGAAATTAAAAAATAAATTATTAGTTAACTTGTACGTGGATTTTATCAACAAATTGCACAATATTGAATTGATACTGAAATCAACAAACATTATACAATTTTTTAGATTTTTATAACAATTAAATTATTATGAAAAAAAAAAAAAAAATGAGTGCGAATTTTTTTGAAGTTTTCTCTATTATAAATGATTTGCATTAAAATTTTTTCGAATTGTCACAGATCTGCTGATTTCAGTATCACATCTTGACAACGTGAATTGAAGGTAAATAACCTCAAAATTAAACTTGGAATTTCAACGCTACACAATTGTAAATAAATGTTCTATTTTGTAAAAATATTTATCACAATAAATAAATGGGTAATTATTGTAGCACATGTACATAATTTCCATAATTAAAATGAATAGATCACGTTATAAAAAATAGATTTTTGTCAATGATCCAAAAAATTACATACCAATGGGGTCTCTAAAGATTAAAAGAACTCAGCCAGCTTGATTACAGACCAAGCCGAGACTCTTTTTCTATTTTTCTAGAGGAATAACCTTGCTAGCGCCATCTGGTCTGATGTTTTCTGTAAGCGCAAGTTGATAGAGTAGGAAATAACCAGTACTTGTAGCCTTGTAGTCCTTGTAGCCGAGCGGCTAACGTGCTTGACTTTGAACTACTACTACGGGTACTGGCCAGGCATGGGTTCGAGTCCCAAATGACGAAATACTGATACTGATTGGTATATAAGAGAGAGAGAGCATGCTGGAGATGGGAAATACAAACTGGTTAGTTACTCCCGCATTCACTTAAACGACGTGTGCATATCAGCTACTTGTCAAGAATAATTAATATAAATTGCAAGTTTGTAAACTAAGGAGTACTAAAAACAAAATGGGTTTGGAAGATTACAAAGAAATTGTCGCAAATGTCGCTTCTGTTTGCACCATGGGGCATATGATGTCCGGAACGTAAGAATTTTTAATTTAATTTGTTTACATACATTTTTATAATTTTATTATTGTTATATTTTCAAACTAATATCTAATTATCTAATCATAAGTATTCTTAGGCACTGATATACAATCTGACATTCATGTCCTTGAGAAACACCTCATCACTCTCTACCGGAAATAATTACTTAGCAATTGAGATCGATCATTAATTCATTAATAAATATTTATACCATACTAATTATTATTATAATTCAAGATTAATTTATCAATTGAACTCACGACCTTTGAAATTTATTTATTCAAATAATTTTGATTATGGTTTATTTTTTATTATTAAATTAACAATTCTATTTACCATAAATTTATGTTTTTCTTCAGGCTTGTATGTAAAGATATCTACAAGAAAGGATCATCAGAAGGATTTGATGCTAAACCCTTTGTTTTTGGTATCGGAGTGTAAGTATAAATAAATTTTATTTGATTACTTCAATCATACGTCACCGGAGATAGTTATATCAATATTTATTTATTTATTTATTTATAGAGGAATGCTCATGTTCCAGTATGCATTCATCTTAAATGATCCGGCAATGATTAAAGTTAATATGTTTGGGTTGACCACCAGTATTCTCTACGTAACAGTCTTTTATCTTTATGCTCCTAACAAGGTAAACTAATTATTTGTACTTCACTTTTATTGTTTTATTTGAGTAAACAAATATATTAACTGATAATATTTTATAGGGTGAGATGATGAAATTAATAGGCAAGACTCTAGGATTAGCGTCTATTTTTTTGGCGTACGCTAAATTTGAAAGCCCTGACTTGATTGAATTCAGATACGGTCTATTGACAACGGCATTATTATTGATGTTAGTTGGAACTCCGCTTATGAATCTCGTTAGTATAAATCTAATAACACACCTTCTATCTTATTATTTTATAATTTATATAATGATATTTATTTATTGCTTGCTTTGATTTTTAGGGTCAAGTAATAAAAACCAAGAGCACTGAAATTCTTCCATTCCCGTTGATTGCCATGGGAACTGTTGTATCTTTTCTATGGTTGCTTTATGGAATTATCATTGATAACGGATTCATTGTCGTAAGTAGATAAGACAAATAAGTTTCGGCTGATGAAATTTACTACTTAATTACTGTTGAAACTTGTTTGGAATGTAGATAAATATTTGTTGATAATTTGTCTATTATTACAGTTCCAAAACGTCGTCGGCTTGCTTTTATACTTCATCCAATTATCTCTGTTTGCTATCTATCCATCAAAGCCAGCAGAAGCCACTTCTAGCCATTCCAAAAAGGAGTAGGGTGTTAAATTTTAAATATTATATTCAGAAAAACGTTAGTTTTTTAAACTGTTAACCAGGTTAATTTGTTTGCTATTAATTATGCGAGCTGGCCTCGATTTAAGTTAAATAATAACGTACTTTCTTAAATTTTTAATGTAATAATACATGATGCTATTTTTTATATGAATTTAGAGATTTTAAAGTAATTATATTTTTAAAAAATGTTAGATAATTTTTACACAAACTAATTTCTTATTTAAATTAATTTAAAAATATCAACGATGACATTTTTAGAAAAATTGAGCTTAGCAAAATAAATATTCACGCGTAAAAATATTTGTAAATGTTTTTAAATATTAAAACTTAAAAATCAATGAAGAATGTACCAAATATTTTTCTTTTATTACAAATAAACTTCATTTATACCTCATATAATTGACGGAATAGCTCCATATGTTAATTTTTACTAGGTTAAATGTTAATTTACTTTTTACTTCTTCTAAAAATTTTTTTCTCGTCAAATCTAAGTCAGGCGTTTTTAAATGATCGTCTAATACGTTAAAGATCGTTTCTTTTAAGTTGTAATGTTCAATTGAATCAATTTTTGTAATATCTATTTTTTGAGGTATGCTAGGTTTAAGTATATACATATCTAATAATTTTTTTTGGACAAAGTCATTATGATCTTTCATAGGATTTTTCAATATTTTTAATCATATGATCTATTATCTCTATCAAATACGTATGGTGCATTATAATAATTTCTTTTTCATGTTTCTCTTTAAAATTTTGTAACAAGTCAAGAATTAAATTTTCGACATTTTTCACAGTGTAAGTTGGCTCGCAAAAGCAATAGTAGAAACAATCATTATCTTTAGATTTGCCACTATTATAGTTCGCTAAACGGTTTTTTGGTTGATCCGTCCTTCCAACCTTGAATTTATTTTCTTTAGCATACCTCTCTGATGTTGCAATATAAATATAGCCGTCTTTGCAGTGCATTTTGGTGTTTTCTATCACATTTTGCATATTTTTTATAACTCGGTCTTTTTCCTTACTATCTGCCTCTAATTTCGCGACTTTTTGATGGGTGAATAGTGATTCTAGATCCTGATAAATATTGTCGGATTTCTGATGCTTTGTTATTATTGAATTTCTTGACAGATTTTTTGAAGTCAAGAAATTTTAAATAAATCTTTGCCTCATCAGTACTAGTGGTTATCTCATTTTCAAAATGTATGTTATTTTCTTTTAAGAATTTAATATATTCAAATATTAGATCCTTTTTGAAACGTTTTTGAGTATGAGCATCGAGATCAGCATTGCTATCATTAGAGAATCCAACGAATTCCAATAAATCTCTGGTAATGGTTATTTGGTTTCGTGTATTCTTAAAGATTCCCAAATCTGAATAAATATTCTATCTATTTTCATGTCATTATCAATTTCTCTTATTAAAATACCAACATCACTTATCCGCATTCGTATCGTTTCATTAAGATAATTTTTTCATTAAATGTACGAACCCTCTCATCATCTTTTCGATTTCTAAAAGAGAGATTCTAATTCTTCGTCGTTTATATATTGTTTTTGAAAGCTTTGAAATAAAGAATCATATTGATCCTTTATTTCATTAGCAATAAATTTTAAACAGTACTCTGTTTTATTTTCATTCATCACAACTTTAAAATCATTCAATATGATATCCATTCCCGATCAGATAAAAAACTAATCTTCAATGGACCTTAACTTCGTATAATTACAAATTTCAAAGGATGAAAATTTACGATGTCACTCGAGCGCCTCTTCTATAACACATATAATATAACTTTCAACGACCTGTAAGATGATTGCAAGATTAAATCACAAAAAAGCAGCTAGATATAAATTTAAAATAATTTAGACCCTAAAACGCCTAAATTGCATTGAACTCTTTATTAATGTTAACTGAATCAACTAGTTCACTAATCCAGTGTGGTAATTACCGCATGAACTTTCGAACAATTTATCATTCGTATAGATCGCTCTTTGACTAGAGTTGTTTCGACTAGATTTCATTACTAAATTTTCGCCTGTTTCATTTTATTCTTTTGTCTATAATTAACTTTAAATATTGTTAATTTCGAATAGTTTTCATTTCGGATATTTATGACTTTGTAGATTGTATATTTCCCTTAAAAAATAAAACCCACCAATCAATGCCCTACACGGTCTAAACCCGCGGAATAATTAAGCGGGAAGAAATTTACCGTAACGACAGATTGATGATTTTCAAATAATCAGTATTTATATCAATAATTCTCATTGTATCAAATAAAATGTCATTTATAAAAATTTTTTAGAATTTTATGACAGTTAAATTATAATTAAAAAAATTTAGCAAAAAAATTCCACATGTAGAAATTTAAAAAAATTATAAGTGCAATTTTAAAAAATTTTCTTTTTGTTTTTTATTCCAATTAATAAAAAAACAAAAATTACTTAACCGTCTGCTAATTCTAGTGATTCTATATTGTAACATATTGTTCAATTTACTAACATATTGTAAATTTACACACTGTAGTGTCGATTTAGTCGATGATAATGTCTTATTTACTAAGGTAATTAAAAATTAAAATAAAAAAAAAGAAAAATATTATTAAAATCGTTCGTATTTTTTCAGCTGTTTAAGCTAAAATAAAAATTGCATAAAATTTTTATTTTAATAATTCATAAAAAAATTAATTCAAAGTCAAAGAGTATAAAAAAATTATTGTCGCTTCATGTAAATTAACTAAAAGCTTTTAAAAACATAATACAGTTTGTGCAACAAACTCTACAATCTCAGATACTTTTTTGTCCTGGACACTACGCATGATATATATTTGGCGGGTTTTTGTCCACTGTGAGCAGTGAAAGTGATACTTGACTATTCTAACAACTGTTCCTATCGTGCGTAATTGTTTGTTAAAATAATAACTCTACTTAATATTTCATAGTAAGTTACATTTATTAATAAAAATATTAACAATGACTGGAAGATTGCACATTGGTGGTAAGCACGTAGCTGAAAATGTAAACGAGAATGTGGCAATTGAAGGCTATTTAACCAAGGTATTCCAAATATCAAACAACTAACTTTATTTCTAGATGTTTCGAATTACTCATAGATCTTATCAAATCTCTTGTTTCAGCTAAGCAGTGATGGTAAAAATGTCGAATTGAAGACATTCGACGAGACTAAAATTAATGTCGCCTTGAATAGCCCGTACTCTGATGAAGTATCTGGTATTATGCAGGTCTTTGGGACAGTTACTTCCAAATCAACAATTGCTGCAGATACTTATTGCCGCTTTGCACCTGAGGAAGATGAAGAAGCATTTGGTATGATCATTTATTAACTTGATTTTATAAAATTTATTTAAAATTTTCTTCATTTAAATCAATGATTTTATTTTCATCTAGATCCTGAAGACCACAACGATTTTATGAACGTACTGAAAGTTATTAATTGCCAAGATGTTGGAGGAAAATGTAGTCTCATTTCAGATAAAGGAAATGATAGCATCATGCACACAGATGATAACTGAGTGACTAACATTTTTTATCGTTTTTTACATCCTCACGTTCATTACAAAGTTTTCATTTAAAATATTTATATTAATTAATAATAGCCATACTGATTGGAAAAATGTACAATATATATTTTTCACAACAATTACATAAAAATATCAATACAAACTAAATTGCATGATTATTTACTAACTTAAAACAACATTTGTACATTACATCATTATAAAATTAAATTATTTATGTAGAATTTACAAAAACATTGAAAGAAGCGTCGAGAGAAAAACAACGACAACTGCAGGAGGTAACAGGACATTCTGTGTGCTGTCTGAACCAATGAGTAATGTGATCAGTGTGTCCACCGTGTCTGCAAGTTTGACACCACGTGAACCAGTTCCCAAATTCCGTGAGCTTGCTGTCGTCGTCGTTTCTCGATGAAATTCCAGCTAGAGCGCGTATACCGCTGGGGGTTCCCATGTGCATCAGACAGATATCACACCTTGGCAGCGGCTTGCGACAATTTGGACAGGAAGATATTTTTAGTTGATTAGAATTATTTACAAGTCTACTGAAAGGTCCACGAGATCTGCTGAGGTTCTGCATGAACGCAGATATGCTTTTGCCGCAGAAATTACATGATATAAAAACCTGCTGCGGCGGTTTATCAGTGGTCGGTCGTCTCATCTCTATGTCAAAATGAGCGCGTTGGTTCCACATCTTCCAGGCATCCAGTAATCCTCGATAACTGTCTATCCACACCTGGACTTGATTTTCTTGTCGAAATTTACCAGGTAACGCGCGAATTGCGATGAGACTGCAGCTCTGTACATCACCGGTGATTTCTAGATAACGGTTCAACAGCTGAATACCATCAGAAGTCGCTCCAGTAAGTAGAAAACCGGCCAAGTCACCCTCCTCGCTTAATTTAACAGTCAATTTTTTCAAGTACTCGCACAATTTACTGTCTGATAAAAACATCAAGGCAAATGCAACTCTGTCTTCAACCGCAACGCCGTTTTCATTAAGTACGTTATCGTATGAGTCATTATCAGCCGTTAGAAATGCAAATGTTGCTCTGAGGTAAGGATCTGACAATTGAGATCGCGATTTTAAACACAATTCTCGCCACATACTGTTTTTGTCTTCGGAAAATCCTGAAAGAGCCATTGCGACAATGTGCAAATTGCTGGACATTGAAACTTTACTCGCTCCACGATTTAAAATATCAATAGCTTGCCTCAGACATAAATTAAATACAGAGATAGCAGTAGCACGAGCATACTGGCCTTCTCTTTCTAGCCTTTCAAGAAACAAATTGTTGTACGTCGCGTTAGAATCCTTGTCAAATCGCCAGCCACACAGCTGAAGAGCTTTGTCGCGGTCTGTCGAACGGTAAATTTTAGCAGTGTGATTAGATCCGATATCAACCCACGGTCGATTAATCAGTTCTGATTTCATGAACAATCCATTTCCACCATTCTGACCGTCCAACCGCAAGACTGTTCTTACTCCAGGATGGTAATTGTAAATTGAGGGAATAATTCCGTCTTCAACTAAAGACTTACTTAAGTATAGCCATTGCCATAAATTTTTCAATGTTTCATTTTCTGCTACCTCACCGTTTTGCGATAGTTCAGGAATCAAACCATAATTTGCAAGAGCACGTCTCTTGGTAAGAATTGCAATGTCATCTAGAGCTTTATATACATTATCACTGCTTGAGATATATTTTAGAGCCTTCGTAGCATGATTCCACACCAAATGAGATCTTGTGGACCAATTAACGGTGACTCGTTCGTAGACTGTGTAATCAGTAATTCCTTGTGGCGATATCGTTAGCAATCTATTGGTATGAGTAGGGTGCCAGGTAAAACTGTTGATACCTGTCCAGTTGGTTCCAGGAGTCGACCAAGGTGTGACCATTCTTTCTAGAGCTCCTGGCTCAGCATCTTCTCCGCTTCCAACTCCACTGTGCTGTATATCATGCAAATACAATACTGCCGAGTCCTTCTGCAGAGATCCCAAGAGATTATGTCGCGTAGGAGACCACAGTACTTTATTTATTTGTCTGCTCTGCGGCAGCGTCAACATCGGCTTCTCAAAGTATCGCGTGTCCCAGATAGTTATTTGATTGTCTACGTGAGAAACCAACTGAAAAACATTGTGTGGATTTACAGCGACACTGTACACGGCCTTGGTCGCTGTGGTATTTGCTGTTTTTGCAGAGTCTCGAAAGTCTATTATTTTTAATTGCTTGTTATTAACCCCGGCAACGAGGCATCGCGTTTCATTGTTAAACCACGAAAGCGAGTGCGTTGTTTCAGACACTCCAGCCTCTGACAGTGGTCTTATTGAATCCGTTTGACTGGTAGCGTGGTGATGCGTCCTATCGGTTACTGAGGGAGATTTTAAGACGTCCCACAGCAAAATTGAGTGATCAGTACGATACTTATCAAGACCGCAGACTATTAAGTTTGGATCCGCTGGATTCCAGGCAACTGCGTTACATTGTCTTGCATGCTTTGGTGCTAAAATAAATAAGTAAATTAATATTCACTTGATAAGACATTTCAGTTGTTTATTTGAAAAATCTTCAGACCAAAGGTTCAATATAGTATAATAATAAATTATAATATTTTTTTTTTGATTAATTTTAAGCGACTTGATATTTTTAAATTTAAACTTATATAAATATTAACCTTATGATTAATATTATTTAAATTACAGCATGTGTATTTATTTGCTAAAGCAAATTATATTTATATAAAGAATAAAATTTTTTTAATATTCCATAAATTAATTATCTTAAAATGAAATTAGGGGTAGTTTTGAAAAACGTAATTTGATACAGTGAAAAGAATACAAAAATTATGAAAAACCAGATTTCTTTGGTTTTTCAAATAAACAAGTATTTATTTTTTTAATATGTAAATAAAAATTACCCAGCTCCTTTCCTGTTAAACTTAAAGAATCAAAAGCTGTTGGTCCAAAAGTTGTCAGCACTATTTTCCCATTAGCCTGACCCACTGCCAGCAAAATATCCGGTTCGGATTGAGGGTAAATATCAACACATTTAACATAATGATGACTTGAGTTTGTAGCCAATAATTGGGCTACCGTTGTATCAGAAATTTTAATGCCTAAAAATAAAAAACATATTGATAATAAATAAAACTAAAAAAATGGTTGTTTATAAAAAATCAAATTACATGATTGTTTATCATTATCCTTAAATTCAGCAACTTCATAGAGACATATCTCAGTTCCCCAAGTAATGAATTTATTTGAATGAACTGGAGACCACTGGACTTCCAGCTTGGAGCTGTTCATTATTTCAAATAAAAACTAATAGATACTCAGCGTTTGAATTTTCTCAGAACCACAACTAATAGTATAAAATTATATACACATGGAATGTAATGTTGTTGGGCATTTTTGTTATTGAGACTCAATTCTCCACTCGTTACATCGAAAGTGTGTAGGTAAGTGTACATACAATTATATACGCGCACACATATAGAAGTATATCTGTATATTTATATATATATATTTATTGACGAAAGCGCTTTGTGAGTCATAGAGTAACCGACGGTGAAAGAAGGAACCAACCCGATGTGACGGCTGGGACTTGATCCTGACTCATATAAAAAGTTGCTGTAACTTTTTTTTACTGTTATTATATTTAACTTTGCCAAGGTAATTGTTGTAAAGATAATAAGTGATTGTTTATCAATAAAAGTGCGACAATTGTTAATGAATAATACCAAAAAAGTGTCCGCTGTCATCGTGTATTTATTATTTATAATCTGCAAAGGTTAAATTCGCAACAAACTTGTTGGTACATTTCTCCGACAACGCGGCACCGCCTTTTCGTTATTCCGCGTTATTCATTCTATTCTATATATTCTTTCTTTTAGTATATAAGTATTATACATTACAGACAGACTCGATACGCCCTGAATCTTTTTTTATTCATGCTAGATTATCTTGTTCCTATTTTATTTTTATCATTCATCAATACTCGGTATCAATTAATCATCAACAATTAACCCAGTTTAATTAATCGAACTAATAAAAAGTTATATAGAACAGTGACAGTGTTATCTCCAAAATTCAAGTTTATATTCCATTAATTAGATTTACTTAAAATATTATTCACCTCTGTTTTAAAGAAATTTATTTCAGTTTTAATCAAAAGCGCAAGTTAATTTTATTTAAGGTGTTTTAAAAAATATTTTAATTGATAAAAGTAGTTTACGTTTTATTTGTTTTAATTGTAATGAATAAATTAAATTGAATAGAGAAACCACTGAAAGTAGTTGAAGAAAAAATAATTTTAATTGAGAAAGAAAATAATGAAATACAATAAACAAGTAATCCTACATCATATGGCTTCTTGTTTATGTTGATTCATTCTTAGAGATAGTTCACACTGATTACAAGATCCGTTAACATCCTCTGTCTATTTAAATATTTCCTAATGACTTTATTCTAATTCGTGGGAATATATGTTTATTTATTTAAATGAATTTTTAAAATAAGTATGTTAATAAATTTTTTATTTTTCAGCTTAAAAATGGCGAAAAAACCGGGTGCAGCTCAAGCTTTACATAAGGTGATAATGGTTGGGAGTGGAGGTGTTGGTAAATCGGCTTTGACATTACAATTTATGTATGATGAGGTTCGTATTTGTTTGATTATATTCACTTTAAAAATAGTTGTCATTTTAATTCTATTTTTTTTTTTTTCTTTTTGTTTTTTAGTTTGTAGAAGACTATGAGCCAACGAAAGCTGATTCATACAGAAAAAAAGTTGTGCTAGACGGCGAGGAAGTACAAATAGATATTTTAGATACTGCAGGACAAGAAGACTACGCGGCAATCAGAGATAATTATTTTAGAAGCGGTGAAGGATTCTTGTGTGTTTTTTCAATCACTGAAGACGACAGTTTTCAAGCTACTCAAGAATTTAGGTATTTTTAATTTTTATTATCGTGATTCTATTTCTAAATATTAAATATTAATTATATTTTTTTTTATTTTTTTGCAGAGAACAGATTCTCCGAGTTAAAAATGATGAAAACATTCCTTTTTTATTAGTAGGAAACAAAAGTGATCTTCAAGAAAAGAGAAAAGTTAGTCTAGCTGAAGCTCAAGGAAGATCTCAACAGTGGGGTGTACCTTACGTAGAAACGAGCGCTAAAACTCGGGAAAATGTCGATAAGGCAAGAAAATTAATTTTTAAACTATATATATGTAATTTATTAAAATGATTGTTACTACTTCTTATTTTGTTGCTGCTGCTTAAGCATGGGGCTCCAAAATGTTCTAAAAATTTTATTTAATTGTACATTGTTGCTCAGTGTCACTATGTAGTTGTCTATGAATTAGCATCACTTGCACATTTTACAGGTATTTTTTGACTTGATGCGTGAAATAAGATCGCGTAAAATAGAAGACAAATCAGCGAGTAACGGTCGAGGCAAGGATCGTGCCAAAAGGAAGAAAAAGAAATGCACTATCCTATAGGTTCGCAAATTTATTATCTGTTTTTTTTTTTTTTTTTTTTTTTTTTTTTGCGCTTACCATCTTGCTTGGCTTGATGTTTTGTGTTTTTTATACCTACTGTGTGTGATTCATTTCTTAAAATAACTCTGATAATTTAAATCGATAAGTCAGTTTATAAAATTATTTATTTCAGGTGTTTTTCGACTTGATGCGCGCCATAGCAGCGCGTAAAGCCCAAGAAAATAAAATCGAGGGTGCTGAGCGCAAAAACAACAAACGGTGTTGTGTTATTCTCTAACGAACCGAAGGCAACTTTATAGTTTTCTATAATTTAAAACAAAACAAACAAAAGTAGGTTTAATTATTAATACATTAATATTACTATATAGTGTATATTTACGTCCAACTAAATGCGTTTGTATAACATACTGGTGTTCTCAAACCCTTTACAGCGATAAAGTGTTGACACTATTTTTCATCTTTATGACTGTATCTACAGTATAACTCGAGGGACCTACTACACGACTTGATTCAGGATCAAATTTTTTTTTATATTATATAAATAAACTATTATTAATGTTACATAACAATATACAGTCGCTTATTGTTCTTTACACGCGTTTAAATATTATTCGTAATTGTACAATTAATTGTTCCTAATTTTATTTCTAAATGTTAAAAATGGTTCTTTATATTAATTTCTTAGTTCAGATTCAAAAACAGAGCACCGGTGCTTTGAATACACGCATACACAAATTTTTCCTTGTTATTTTATAATATTAACTTTTAACTTAATGTTACATTTCAACTCAAAGACATTTATTAATGCACAAATCATAAGTAACGTCATTATTCATTACCTTTGAGTGCTGAAATTGTTTAAAAATGAAATTATTTTTTATTATATTTATAAATAATGTTTTTAAATAATAGTAATATAATTTGGAGTATTTTATTATAAATTAATTTTATACGGTATTATATAATTAAAAAGACAGTTAATGTTTAATTTTCGTTAATAATTCTTGTTAGTTAACAAGTTATGTAAATTACTCTTATTGAAATAAAAAATAATTTTTAATAATTTATAAATTAAGACAATGCAGATTTTTATTTGTTGACCTTTAATTTTTTAATTAATTTCAGCACTTAACATGTCGTGAAAAATTTCAAGTATATATTGTAAAGCTCCGTTATGTTAGACTTACTGTCTGTTTAATTTGTTGCTTAGCTCTATAAATAAATTATTGTTTGATAATATTATTAAAATACTTATCAATCTAAAATACTTTACTACTGCATCCATGACTGATAATTTTAACTGCAGTTATTTTTTAAAAATTAGCGTAATTTCTGTGATGCACTTGTGTGTAAAAATTAACATCCTTAAATTTAATTACAACTATAAACTACTATTAAAATAGTAACTTAAAAAAAAGTTGGGAGCTGCTCAAAAGAATTGACTGTATAAAATATTTGGTTTTATATTTTTGTACTTTAGTGGATGGTCGTGCTTTTTGAGTACCCTTGAAACAAAAAAAAAAAAAAAAAAAAAAATCAAACGAATTTTATAATTTAGATAAAAAAATTTTTTATTGCCCTCTAACAGTTGGTGCAAAATGAATAACTTTTTGTATAGTTGGCTAGAAAATCTTCGGTATTTATATTAATATATATATATATATATGTCTGTATATGTATATCCTTATGTCATTAAAATTATAAATAAAAATCGTTTTATGTATAAATGTAAACGCCACACTGAAAATAAAATTATAACAACATTTTTCTAATAATTTACAGTCGTCAAATATATTCACACATATGACCGCAACCAGTCGGACATTGTCTATTATTTTGAAACCAATCTTTCATGTGTTTTATATGTCCGCCATGAGTACATCCTTGACACCAGGTGTACAATCCTCTAACCACCTGCAAATGTTTGTTACAAATTTATTAAATTACTGTATTCAATCAACTAATATATTTTATAATTAATGTAATAATCACCTGATGACAAATTGAACACAAAGATAATTTAGATTTATTGCATTGATCGCAGAACCACGTGGTCGGTGGAAAAGCTTTCCCACAAGTCGTACAACTGGCATGAATTATTGTTGATTGTTGATTTAATTGTGATATTGATGGTATCCAAGCATTTTGAATAATCTAAAAAAACAATTAATCATTAACTTTCTTTCTATATTAAATTGTAACTAATAATTAAAAATATTAAATTACCTGAGTAGCAACATCGTAGAGTTTAAATCTGCCTAACAGGTCTATGTACTCAAGTAACCAGCTCTCTTGAATAGCCGTTGAAATATTGAGACTTTTTCTAAGGCTTCCCAGGGCCATTAAAATAGAAACAGATGTCTGGACATCACGTATCGATACATGGTGCATCAGGGCTGCTTCAACGAGCGGCGTGTGATCAAAAAGTTTTGGCTTGGGAACAGAGTTGACAATAAGATGACAAGGTTGATCTTCAACAGTTACCGAACCCGAGTCATCATTTATGTCCGCAGGATTGGAGAACTGTTCAGGCGGTGGTGATCTGTCCTGTATCTCGTGTCTCAAAGGAAATGCTTCCTTTGGCAATGACCAGTCACTGTCATTGATTGTATTATCAATGTAGTCCTCCGCATTGTACTCCATTGACAGCGATTCAAACTCAAATTCTCCGAAAATAAAATCACTTTTTGGCTTGCGTTTGAATCCATTTAAAGACTTTTTATATCCCGTAGAAATATTTCCAAGTGGATTTAAATTTTCTGGCATCTCATCAGTCTCAGTCTCATCATCTCCTCCACTGACTCCACCTAAGCCGTCTCCCTGCAATGACTTAACTTCGTTTTCATGGGCGTTACTCGGTTCCACACCAGTGACCTTAAGAGTCATTTGAGATAAATTTAAAATTTCATCTTTATCAGGAATATTTTTAGGAATACTTTCCAATGGGTCTGCGTAAAAAGACTTAATAATTTTCCAAACGTAGCAAATATCAATACGCCCACCGTCGGCAGCAACTTTGGAATTGTGATCGCAAATATCACTCAGTCTTCCGTTTAACATATATTTTTTGGCGCAGTATACAAACCAAATAGGCTCTTTAGTAGTGTCTAGAGTAAATCTTTGGACAGTGCTCATCGCTGAACAAAAAGAGTCACTGTTTGTTTGAGACTTTCTCATTGGAGTAGTCACATGTTTAACTGTTGCAGTTGCATTGGTATTATTATTATTATTATTATTAGTATTGACTTTATTCGCAAAACCAACCTCGCAGTAAGGATTTATATCAAGGCCCTGAGGATTTGCTTGATTTGCCGGACGACTAGCTTCTTGGAAGGCGTGATGATACAACGTGCAATCACGACTGGTTGATATAAATGAGTGGGGATCACCTCGCCAGGCAATACCAGTAGTGACGTCTTTGTGCTCATTAAAGCTCGCGAATGGTATATAAGGTCTGCGAATGTCCCATACATTTATACTGCTGTCGACAACCAGCGCGCAGCTCGCTATATGATATTTCCTCTGTGGTCTCCACTTTACTCTACCTACGGAAGCAATTGTGTGAATAGTGTACTCGCAGGTCGGCTTTTGAGTAAGGTCCCAGATTTTAATTGTCTTGTCTCGCGACGCAGTGGACAGCCACTGGTTCTCCGGGTGCCAATCACATGCAAAAATAGGCCCGCTGTGAGCTGTGAAGTGCTGGAAATACCTATCTGGACGCCTCATATCCCACTGCTGGACATGTCCGTTCTCTGACACCGCTGCGAATGTGTACTGCTGGTGCGGGGAAAACTCGACGTCTCTCACAGACTCCGTGTTGCTGTAGAAAGTCTTGGCGGCTTCTTTGATACGTAGGTCAAAACACTTCATCGTACCATCCTGGGAACCAGATATCAGCCACATTGGCTCTGTTGTATGGAAACTTACTTTATTTACTGTTCTTTTGTGGTCAGTAAATACGTGTTCTTGTTTGGACCGCGTTACTTTGTTTAAATTCCATAATACTACCGCGCCATTTGTTGCTGCTGTTGCTATCAAGTGATCTAAATATTTAAAATTATTGTTTGTTAAAATAAAATAGCATATTTTTTATTTATTTTAGATTACTAAAAAAGAAAATGGAGTAATTGTAGAAAAATAAAATATTTTTATTATTTACCATCATTTAGATTCCACGTAACATCATTGCAGGAAAAATTTAAGTTTAAATTTTTACCAACTCTTAAATTATATACTTCTTCAAATTTATCGTCCAATACTGAGAATATTTTGAAAACTGTAAAAAAAAAGTTCAGAAATTTATTAATTTATATTACAAAAAATTCTTTGAAATTTTTTAATAATTTAATTAAATAAAAATTAAATTATTCTAGTGAAAAATAAAAAAAGTATTGAATGTCTTGTGTTTTAAATACTATTAAAAAAAGAAATACCATTTCGTCCAGCAATAACAACTTGAGTATTGTCTTTGTTAAGAGCCAAAGCATTGGCTGGACTCTCCTGAACAATACATACAGGTTTTGGTGGCATTTTGTTACTTATTAAATCTATAAATTAAAAAAAATTCGTGAGTGATTTATAAATAACTTTAATTCTTCATATTCTTGATTTGCAAGTCTTGTTAGACTTTTTTTTTTTAACCTTTATCAACAATGTTTTGATGTAATGTTTACATCCTATCAAATCATCACTACATTTGCAATTGTGTAAATTTTGTGTTTGACAGGTGCTGCCTCTTTCGCCTTATACTACAGCCCATTCATAAATTAATATTTTAGGTTATAAACTGTTTCGATACAGTCGACGATGGTATTTAGCGTAAACATAAACTGACACAAACTCCATTTAAATTTCTGAAAACAGTCTTTGAGACCATAAGTGTTCAAAAAAGTTTTATTAAATCTTCAAAAGATTGTTGACAGTCGGCGTATTATTTATTAAATTAAAAATGAATATGCAGAGTCCTAAATCCAACAAATTGAACAATATTGAAGCTGCCAATAGACTTAGACATGGTTCGCCTCAATTTAAAGCAGTATTGCGACAGGTTGTTGATATTTTTATTTAAATAATCTTATGCTTTATGTATTTATTCAGTATTAATATTTATTTATTTTTTATTTAACAGCGATGCCGAAAACAAATGCAAGAAAGACGTGACAAATTATTTAATGCGCGAAGAATCGGCCTTGATGACAAAGATGAATGTGTTGAGAATACTCTTACCGAAATAGTCAGGCGGGAGTTTAGTAACATGTCATCAATGCTAAATGAAAGCTCTGATTCACTTGCCGAAATGATGAAATGGCCAGACAACCAGGAAGAGTTGATGAGTATCGAAGAACAAATGATTAAAGATGAAGGTATTTTATTATTATGTGATACTGAAATATGAAAATTAAATTAGCCGACATCTGAAAATTTTTAGAATTTTTCTGTTGAAGAAATGGTTATTAAAAAAATTGAAAGAAAAAATTTCACATGTAAAAGATTTGAAAAATTGTACGTGGAATTTTTTTGTTAAATTTTTTTCATTATAGTTTAATTGTTATAAAAATTTTCAAAATTGTTAAATGTCTTACAAATTCAGTATCATTGTTATTATTATAGCTTTGTTAGAGAATTTTTTTTGTATCTATTAATTTTTCTAAGTATTATTTTGATTACTGACGGAATTTATTTATTTGGAATTTATAGAAGAGTGGATCATTGAAGAATTTAATCGTATGCATCAATATGAGATGGACATGATGGATAAATATCTAGAAGAAATAATGAAAAATGAACTTGTCTGCCCTATGTGTGAAAAAGGTACTATCGCTCAACTTAATGATTTTTTCGTTTGCCCGAAATGTCAGCTCTGTTTGCCAGCCAAAGTCACCATGGATGATTTTTATCAACGCATCAAAAACCAGTCGGTTAATCACAGTGAAAATTGTAATTTGAAGCCAAGTTTCATGGTAATTCCTGAAAACAATAACTACACTTTGTACATGACATGCGAGTCATGTTCATACTTTGGTCTAATTTTATAATTGTTCTGTGTCTACTTTTTTATTTATTTATTTATTTTTGTTATAAAAATTTTAATGATACCCAGTGTTGATAAAATGTGTTATTCAAAATATTATATAAGTACTGGTTAATAATTTAATAATTAAATGTGAATTGTAAATATGTAATTGAATTAATCTCATTACTTTTAAGAGACTACAAAAATTTGAAATAATCAATTCAAATCTGTTATTATTTAATTTTCACTGATGTTCATTTAGTTTTAAATAGTTTTTAATAGTTGTGTGAATTTTATTAAATTTGTTTTGTTGTAAAAGAAAAACTTAAATAAAATTAATGTTTATTGAAATACTGTATTTTTTTAAAAATAAATGTATGAAAAAATAGAATGATTTTAAATATGATTAATTATCGGTAATAAATATCTTTAAAATAATAAATAAAAGTAAAGACGTATATCGGATGAATAAATAATCTTTTTTGCGAAAATTTATTAATTTATTTCATTACAGTGCTCTGCACAAATAGACATTTCAACAAAAAATATATCTAGTATTTTTTATTATCATTAAATTTCTCTAATGTTAATTAATAATTTTGTTTTCAATTGGTGGGGATTTCACATTTCATTTTATAAAATAACAAATTCGTTCATTGACTTTATGATACTTTTAATATTTGTTATCATACGATAAATAAATTCTTACTGCACCTTATTTATTATAGCAATAAACATTATTTTATTCACATTATTATTGACCTTATTTCATCAAAATTGTGAGTTTACAATTTTATTTGAATGAATAATCTAATCAACTAAACAAAAAAAGTAATCTATATTAATTTAATTTTTTGTTATTTCTTCAATTTTTAACTGGACGGCAATAGAAAAATCTGTTTAATTATTATATCGACCATTTAAAATTCCAATTGTTAACAAGAATACTTGACAAATTTTCATTTAATTAATAATATTTATAATTAATCCGATACAATTAATTAATTAGCCAAGTAAACTGATATAAATGCTATGAGCGATACTTGTTACATATACACTTACATATTAGACATAATATATCATTAAAATAAAATTGTATTATATAGCATTGTTTATTTATTATTATAATTATTTTAGTCACTTGTAATTTTTGTTACAAAAAATATAGGTATATATGTGCAACGATTATTTATATTTTTTACGGTTAAAGCGATTATAAATATATAATTAAATCGCTTTAAATATGAAGTAGAGTTTTTTAATATGATATATTTGTCGGCAGCTGGCTAATAATATCACAGCTGTGTGGTTTTATCTATTCATTTATTTGTTATTAATAATAATAAATAAACTCAAAGTAAACAATGATAATTTTTACTAATTATAAAGTGAGATCACATTCGTTAATTCTTTCTTTTTACCATTAAATACTTTATTTCTTATTCTCTTTTTTAATTAAAAGGCAAATTGTTACCAATAGTTTCGATGCATAATTTACAGCAAATTCATTTTAATAATTAAATAAGCAATTATTTCAATAAGCATTACCAGTTATTTTTATTTTTATAATATAAATATTACATTATATAACGAGCCCTGAGTTTCGATGTGCTTACGAATAGGTACTCGAATTAAATAATTTATTTTTTTTATGTCAATAATTATTAATAAAGAAAAAAAAAAAAAAAAAAACATTAATTGGCTGGTTTTTAAAATGCTATTCGTCTTTTGTATTTTTGAAAAAGGCTCTAGTGGAACCGTTTATTGTCGCATTCAAACAGTACACCTGATCATTTTATTAAATCATCAATTTCTAAATGACCTTTATAAATTTGAGAGCCACCGATTTATCAACCACTTACAAATCATAACATTACAATTTTTACCTCAGGTTTTAATCTTATGAGCGTTTGCATTTGTTCGCATTTTTATATACAAATATATAGATTTATATTCAGAAAAATATATTATGAGATTGATAAAAACGCAAATTTATTATAATCAATAATTATTTAATTTATGAAAAAAACAATTAATTATTTTTTCTACAACTCTTTTGTGCGTTGAGAATAAATTTAAATAAAAGTCTTGATAATTGAATATTCATCCGTAGATTACAAAAATATCAATATTAAAGTAAAAATAGAACACATGCATATATATGTTGTTATTAAATATAAGGTATCATCACACAATCCTGGAGCAAAATATTATCAACAAAAAATGTTTGACTATTATCATTAAAAAAACATTTTATCCACGGACTATCCAATAGTTGATGACACCATATAACAATTTATACTAATAAAATTTTAGAAATAAACTTAGACATTATAAATATTATTTATTTCTCATTATAAAAATTATTATAGTCATTTTATGACAAAATTTATTATTGAAAAAAGCTTTATATTCGTACGAAAATATTTCATTTCGCAGAATAAAAAAACGATCAATTCCACAATGTGTCAATGGTATAAATAGTATCATCGAGATCCGAGATAAAATACTGCAGCAATATATATCTTTAGGTGTGCGCTGTTCAATTTATTCTCACTAATTCATTTTAATATTTTCGTATAATTTTTCTTTTTACCAATTAATTTGAGAAATAGATTATTGTTATTTTTTTATATTCTTTTACAATAGATCAATTATAGAAAATCTATTATCGTCTACAAATCGTCCATTAAAATTCGCTTAAAAATTATTGCGAAGACTTTAAACAATAATAATTGATCAAAAAAAAAAAACAATCACAAGTTTTTTTTATTCATTGACGATAGTACTAAATAATAATCATAACTAATTGTGGATATCTCCATCAGGCAGTATAATAAAAATGGTAATAATAATGATAATTAAAAATACCTTAGCAGGACTTTTAAAAATTTATTACCAAAGTCCTTGTGGAAAAAATATTATGTCAGTTGAATAGCAATTATCATACTCGTTGATTCAACATATTTTTCAGTACTTGGTACGAAGTATATCGCTATTCAAGGCTCACAGTACATTGCACTTGCTGGAACGTCGTCGTTTCCGTCGTTTCTTATCAAAGTCCGTGGGCGGTTGATTCCGTATAATACGTACGACCTAAACACAGATTAATTCCACAAGTTATTTAATTAATCCTCCTCCTCATTGAGGTTACCATTTTATTTGTTTGATAATAATAATTCTGTGTGTCCTACCTCATGAAAAGCTGCATCGACATTTAGCGGCGGATCTTTCGCTGATGTTTCAATATACGGAATTCCTAGACGATGAGCTAGCTCTCGGCCTTGTTCCTCAGTAACTTTTCTCAGATGAACAAGATCAACTTTATTGGCGACCAGCAGCATAGGATACACATCTCTGTCCTTGACTCGCAGAATCTGAGTGTAAAAGTTAACGATGTTTTCGTAAGATTGTTTGTCAGTTACAGAGTAAACTAATAAAAATCCATCGCCTTTTCGCATGTACTGCTCTCTCATGGCACTGAATTCTTCTTGGCCGGCAGTATCTAGTACTGAAATTATAATTTTATTTTTTACATTATTTCCAAAGGAAAAATTACAATCAAGTTTAAAGTAAAAATTGTTTTAAAAAATGACTTACCATCCAAAATGCACCATTGTTTGTCGACTTCGGTGTGTTGGATGTAACTGTCTTCGATAGTAGGGTCGTAGTCAGTGACAAAAAGTTTTTGGAAAAACTGTATTGTCAGAGCACTCTTTCCGACGCCTCCATCTCCAACCACCACCAGCTTAAACGTCATAAGATTATCATTGTTAGGAGGCCGCGTCATTCCGCCTCGTTGTTTTCCGCCCCCTCGTCCACTATTTTGCCTACTTCTGCCTATTCTGATGGCCCTTTTTTACCAAATTAGTTTAATCTCGCCACTCGTATTGTCAAATTTCTAGCTTCAGACCTGGAAATAATCAATATTATTATTATTGTAGCAAATAATTTAAGCACATTGGCTATTTTTAGTGCTCCAAATAACGAGAAAAAAAAAAATTAAATAACAGTAAATACAACAGACAACACAAGGCATGCCATACGTACACACGTACCACAAAATAAAGCTGATAAACTTTTCGTAGTACATTTTTCAGTATCCACAAGATCCAGTATAAAAAATTATCAACACATGACAGAGACTAAGATGGTTATAGGTGTACTTAATACTGACATACCAAAACTTTTGAACAGTGTGTCACTCCATTAGTATCCTTTCTCTGGTTGATGTTCCGTTGCTCTGCCAAGCTTATCTACTCTGTCAAACCAAACTGCTGGCCAACAACAACAGCCGTGACAGGAATTAAAAACAATATTAATATAATATCAAAAGCGACGTCTTTACATGGTGTGCTTAACGCCCTTTTTTTCAACGTCAATTTCCTTTCACGTTTATGTATATGACAGTTAAACACTGTTATGTGTCCGTTTGGTCTTCTGTCCTTGTTGCAAACCGTGCTTCACCGCAACCACCTCTGACTCCAACAGCCACCACTCACAGACACGAGCAAATCTCCAATGTAGACTCTCATCAGTCGCTCCCGAGCCCTAATTTTTCCTATCCCTTATTATACACAGCTTTCAACTCGAGGTCGCCGCGCTTAACCCGATGTACATATTACTCTATACTTGCGTTTGCCCTTGACCAAGCTTAAGGAGAAGGAGAAACTAAAGCACACAATCGCATAATCGGGCGATGTTTTTACTCTCGCTGCTGTTTCTATGTTAGTGGCTCCATCCTTTTTATTGTTGTTACTTTTTTTTTTTAATCTGAAATTATTAGAAATTTTTTCATTTTTATATTTGTTAGTTTTGATATTAATTATTGTATATTAGTTACACACATGACATTTTGTTCTTAACACTTGATTTTTTTCGTATTCTCAAATGAATAGATGAAATACTTACAAAAAAATATATTGCAATGGATTTTTAAAAATTAACATCTGAATTGTTTAGATATAATTTTGTTATAAATGTACATATTTATAAAAAAAATTCTAGTTTCATATAAAATAATTTTTTTGGAAATAAAAAAAAATTAAAATTTTTCACACTATTCAAAAACTGTTCATCGGTAAGGAAGGAGTTTTTCTTCAAGATTTGAAAACCAGCCTTAAAACGTAAACATTTTTAACATTTTTTTGATTTGAAAAAAAAAATGAAATAATAATATTTTATAAATTTTTTATAAAAACATTTGCTAAAATATTATTCTTTAGGTCAAATACAGAGTTATATATATATTTCTTAGAAATCAAAATTATTGTAACGTCTAATTCTCACTGCGCATACGCCAAAATGACTTTCCGAAATTACTCGGAAAAAGCCGAACAAAAATTATCTTTGGTTGTGTATCGTGTTGCGTTGGGTACAAGATGGCAGAGAAAAATTCTACTGAGTTGATGAATTACAACTAAGTTTAATTTTATTATAATTTTTTCGAAATTTATTTGAAAAACGGTATTTTTAATTTTGTATATTTGATTTATAAAGTAGTGCACACATAAATCGCAAAGTTAATTTTTTAGAAAGACTAAAAAGTTGGAGTATTCATTAAACGCATACTTACGTTTATTCACCAAACGTATATCCAATATACATTTGCGTTGTTGTACATAAATTTATGTAAAGAAACCTATATAGCAAACAAAAATGCCGTTAAGAAGGTATGTACTATAGATTGTAATTATTAATTTTGTTTTAAAACCAAAAAAAAGATCGCAAGTTTTTTGCAGTTTTTTTTTTTTGGAGTAAATTGTAAAAGAAAATATGCATTTGTAAAAAATTACCCATTAAAATTAATAACCACGTTTCTTTTAATTTATATTTGATAATTTTATGGGATCAATTTGATGATACTAAAATCAACGGACATCTTACAATTTTCACAAATTTTTATAACCAATCAATTAAAACATCAACAATTTTATATTTCTGTTGATTTCAGGATGATATAAATTTTATGATTATTTGATTTTAAATCGTTTCAAAAAATATTTTTACTAATAATGTTTTCTATTTTTGTTTCCAGTTTCTTACCGGACCCTAACCAAGTGACTTGGGACAGATCCGATGAAATCCGTGAGCAAAAATTAAGACAGAGACCAGTGTCAGCTTTGGTTAAAGCTTTTGTGACCGCTCCGCCATATGGTCAAAGAAAAGGATGGATTCCCCGGAGCGTAGACGACTACGGAGATGGAGGTGCCTTTCCAGAAATACACGTAGCTCAGTATCCTCTGGAAATGGGTCAAAAGGGCAAAGAAACATCCAACGCCCTGGCAGTTCAGCTGGACGCCGAGGGAAAAATAAAATACGACCTTATTGCCCGACAAGGTCACTCTAAAGACAAAATCGTTTACAGCAAACTAAGTGACTTATTGCCCTCCGAAATAGCCAATGAGAATGATCCGACTCTTGTTCGACCTAGCGAGGAAGAACTTGAGGAAAACACCGAGAGAACTCGCAAAGCACTGGAAAAAATAACGCAGTCAAAAATAGCCGCTGCTATGCCGGTCCGTTGCGCTGACAAGCTAGGTCCAGCACAGTATATTCGATACACACCATCGCAGCAAGGACAGTCGTTCAACTCAGGAGCTAAGCAACGTGTTATTCGGATGGTCGAAGCTCAAGTAGACCCCATGGAGCCACCCAAGTTTAGAATCAACAAAAAAATACCTCGAGGACCGCCATCTCCACCAGCACCAGTGATGCATTCTCCAACCCGTAAAGTTACTGTCAAGGAGCAAAAGGAGTGGAAGATTCCACCGTGCATCAGTAACTGGAAGAACGCGAAAGGTTACACGATTCCTTTGGACAAACGTCTAGCTGCTGATGGACGGGGTCTGCAATCAGTCCACGTAAATGAAAACTTTGCCAAGCTTGCTGAGGCTCTTTATATTGCCGACAGAAAAGCGAGAGAAGCTGTAGAAATGCGCGCCCAGCTAGAGAAGAAATTGGCGCAGAAAGAAAAAGAAAAGAAGGAAGATCATCTTCGTCAGCTGGCTCAGAAGGCTCGTGAAGAACGGGCTGGATTGAAGGCTTCTGCGGCTTTGGAAAAATCCGAAGAGTCTAAAGAAAGAGATCAACTGAGACATGAGCGGCATAAAGACCGTGCACGTGATAGGAATCTTGCTCGAGCTGCTCCGGATAAAAGATCCAGGCTTCAACGGGAGCGTGAACGTGATATCAGCGAGCAAATTGCTCTTGGTATGCCGGCTAAAAACATCAATACTAATAGCGATAGTCAGTTTGATCAACGTCTATTTAATACTACAAAGGGAATCGATACGGGGTACGGCCCTGATGACGAGTACAATGTTTACGACAAACCGTGGAGGGACTCTAACACATTAGCATCTAATATATACAGAGCCCCCACAAATGTTGACAAAGATAACTACGGAGAAGACTTGGAAAAAATAGTTAAGACTAATAGATTTGTACCAGACAAGGAATTCACCGGCACTGATCGCTCGGCGCAGCGCACTGGGCCAGTGCAGTTCGAAAAAGACGAGGAAGAAGAGGACCCTTTCGGGCTGGATATATTTTTGCGTCAAGCCAAACGAGCCAGCGCCACGACGGCAAATTCATCTTCTGCGACTTCGTCGAAGCGCAAAGACGAGAAAGATCGGCGCGATGACCGTGAGAAACGCCGGAAACATTAGATTAATTTTGTTATAATGTATCATGTAATTTTTTTCTTTATGTAAAGTTAATCATTTTAGTGATAGCGATTTAATCGATAACAATAAATTTTTGAATAATATTTGAAAGGCATTGAATTATTTTTATTTTATTCATTGTTATTATTATTATTATTATTATTTAATTTAATAATCATTTCAAATTAATTTATATTTAAATGTGAAATGTGTATGGTTTTAGTTATATTGAGAATTTTTAACGAGATGTGATTTTTTAATATAAAATTTGCCAAAACTAAACTCGAGCTTATAGCTATTATGTTCTTATGCTAAAGACCTAATATTATTTAATTTAACCCAATTATGTATAGTGTATATAAAAATAATTAATCAATAAATTTGTAAAATAATATTACTTAATCATCAAAAAAGAAAATAATTATTTTATTTTTTATAAATATTATAATTAGAGTCGACGAGAAAATGAATCAAAAACAAGTATCAGCAGCAACAACATCTGTGGGACCAAACCGAAGATGACAACAATCGAGAAGAAATTATCTCGCAATGGAAAGAAGAAACCAACAAAAAAAAAAAAACAATTCAGTTGGTTATTATCACATCCACCAGTATGGTATTAATTATTATGAAACAATTCAATGAAAATTGGTGACAAAATAACACCAACTGATTTATTTTTATCATATTATTAAAATTAGCCACAGTGGTTGCAAACCGTGATGCCAATGATTTTTGGTACATATTAAATCAATGATAATATTATAGGTATTTTATTATTTTCTGATATATTTTTCCAACTTATATAAATGATTGCAATGCTGATTAATGACTTTAATTATACATACAATAGTACAGTTATCATAATCATTCTATGAACATGTATTTCACATAATCATTTGTACAGAAAATTGGTAAGTACTGTAGAGACTACGGAAATGGAAAACATTGATTTTTTTTTTTTTTCTTAACTTATTATTTTTAAAATTTGGTGCAGCTTTAAAGTTGGACGCTGATAAGAGTTTATCTATTAACTATTAACTAATACAGGCGGTAACAAAACAAATAACATTATTTCTTACACTCATGATATGTTTAGTATTTAACTAGACAATTGCACTAAATCCCATAAAAAATTTACTATAAATAATATAATTAATAACTAATAATAATAATAATCAACGAATCGTTCTAATATAAATACTAACAAAAATTTTTTCAGTGTCCAACGAAAAGGGCATCACCGTTAGAACTATCTACTTATGGATGGATCATATGCATCGGGCCACGTCGGGCATAAAAATTCTACACAAACATATCCATAATTATAATTAATTTAGTAATATTAAACAAATAATTGGCTGGACAATCTATGACTATTAATCAATTACAATAAATTGCTATCCGGTTGATTGGACGTGTGCAATTTTGACATGCGTGTGTCACTATCTCACATTGAGCAAACGCATAACACTTTTCACGAGTCGCATGGTCTGGACGTATTGTAGGAATAAATATAATAATTTTTCTCTACCCTGTATCGTTTAAAAAACTCAAGCGTAAAAAATAATCTTTAATCATTAGAATAACTTATTTTTCCATTATCTCATTATTTGGCATTTCAATCACACGTGAAAAATAATTATTCTATTCACTAGATAATTTCTTACTTAAATGATCAATTAATTAATTAATATGAGATAAATGTCCAGTTCAATATGAACTCATCATAACTCTAATTATACTGTATTTTTTTTACCTCATTTAAAGATATTAATGATCGTAAAAATTACTAACTACAATTATATTATAATACCGATGTGTAGATAAACAAATGCAATATTAATTATAATAATACTATGCGCTAATAGCCAACTAGCTTTTGCGCGTTAAATACATTTTGTTTCATTATTAAAAGAGTACAATTATTTTTTTTTTTTTTTTTTTTTTGTAAGGAATAATAATCATCATTGTTAAGTATACAAATACGAGTAATTCGTAGTAAGAAATTGCATATTGCGTATCCGAAAATATTGATTTGAAATTTTCCTTCTTTTTATCTTGATTGTACAATATTTGAACAATACTGTTTCTATGGCAATAATATCGTTATATATCATCAAATATACTTTATTTCATGTATGTACTCGAAAAGACATTTTTGTTAGTATTGTGTTTCGTGTTCACTAGAATCAAACATAATCATATAAGTATATATAATATATAAATTGTATGTCTACAATAGGCAGCAAAAATAAATCCAAGAGTTGCTTTATAAATTTTCTTTACATTCATACATCGATTTTCTTACTTTTTTTTTCTTCATATACTTTAAATATTATCCAGCTGTTAATATATTTTACTTTAATTCCTAGCTCTGTTTCAAATTGACAATAGACATTGCATCATTACTGCTTTAAAATCACTTTAAATACATCAAATATTACAAATACACAGTATCTAATTTCGTCATAGATATACATTTATATATACTTTTTTATTATTATATTATAAAGTCGATTAAATATTTATCATAAAAGTTTTCTCATGTTTTATAAGTACATATATAAGTATACATTTATTGCCTTTGTTTAATTTGATTATTATTTTAAATATTTAATTATATATTTCGATTCATCAATTGTATGACGGTCTCAAATAGGTACTTTTGTTACATTTTTCGCCGAAAAAATACTATCAATACTCTGTTTCTATTTGGCAAGTAATTTCAATTATTTATACAAATTTACTTTCTAAAATAATACAGCACACATTAGTTGGCAAAATAATGAGAAAACTCTTAGCAAAAAAAAAAAAAAAAAAAAAAAAAAAAACTATTACCAGTATCAGTAATTAAAAAATATGCGGAGCTAATTGGAGCTTCCAGAGAGAGACAGGTCTTGCGAATACACCAGCGAGACCTTTTTCCTTACCGCCTACGAGAAAAACATACAGCGGTGCAGGTGTGACAGCTTCACTGGCAGCAAGTTTTTCTCTCTGTCTCTCAGCACGCGATGCACTGACAGCTCTCCTGGACGGGGAACCAAGCGCCAAACTCTTGGGAGGGGCCCGAGGTTTTACTTCCTGGAGCTCGAGTAATTCCGCGAAAGTCTGAGATGCTGATCTACCTGAAGCATCCTCAAGAACGCTGTCAGGCGGACTATTAAGTAGCTTAGCAAACTTGTCGTCATTAGTCTCTAACCCTAAATAATTAGGATTGCAAAATCCAAACTGACCTTCTCGTATCGTCGGAGCGCGTTGCTTGGACTTTTTCCTATCAGGCCAGTCGTCATCGGCCAGTGGATCTCCAGGACTCCTGGCCTCTATACTCGCATAATCCGAGGTTGATTCTTCACCCTCCTCTAAATCCGCGAACCGTACAGACGCCGATGTAGGAATTTTAGTCGCACAAGGTGTCTTGGGACTCTGGACAGCTTCGTACAAGTGGGAACTGTAACTTTCGCCACGCGTAGGCTGGCAAGCTTGATGGAGAGTTTCAAAGTCTGCTTTTTCTTCCGCGACATCAATAAGCCGCGTCGTCGCTAATCCTTTGCGGTCGTCATCACTGTCCTCGTCGGGATCTACAAAAACAAGTCTCGCAGCCTCCACGGGGGTGAGAACAGGCGTGGGTAGAGTCAGAGCCCGAAAATTTGGCACGGAAATAGGTTCACGAGTCATGCGGGCACTTTTAGCTTCATAAGAAGAACTTTCAAAGCTGCATCTATTATTCGCCTCCGCTAAAGTACGCTGTCTTCGTCGAGCCAACGCATTCGCGCTTCGTGATTTCACCATCCCACTCGACGGCTCAACTAGCTCCGAGTCAACTTGCTGGAACGGATAGTACGAGTTAACATCTTGTGGGCATTCTTCAGTATCTTCTTGTCCGCTCAATACCGAGTAGCTGCATTTGTTTGGATGGCTCAGTCTCGAGAGATTTATCTGCGAAAGTTTTGATATTTCTTTGAGAAAACTAGGTCTCGTGGGAGCTTCACACGGCGATACCCGATTACCTCCACTGCTGGAAAGAGAAAATCTTGTTTTATTACTCCGTAATCTTGTCCGGTTGTCTTGCACGCCACTCCCTTTTATAACTAGCTCGGAAACAGCCAGAGCGACACTTTCTGCCCTGGGTTGAGGCTTCGGACCTGGCACGGTCAATCTCTCCCAGGTTTCAGTCGCAAAATGAAACCGCCAAAGATCATTAGTGGCCGATCCGTTGCTTTCACCCCCAAAAATTAACATACAACTGGGCAATCGACAAGCTGCGTGACCGTGGAGTGCTCCGGGTCCTGGTTTACTTTTAAGCAAACTCCACGTTGCTGACTTAACGTCCCACTTCCAGCAGTCATTCCTTTCCTGCAGATCTGTCATACCCCCGTAGATAAACATCGCTTCGCAGTGTAAAACTGCTGAGTGTTTATGACGCGGGGCTGGACCGCATTCACTTGAAGATAACAAGTGCCAAGATTCCGTTTCAAAATGAAACGCCCACAGTTCCGGGGAACTACCACGCAGATCTTGATATCCGCCGTAGATTAACATCTGTCCTCGATGTACCAGTGCCGTGTGACCTCTTCGTCCTCTGGGTACCGCACACCCTCTCTGGGCTCGTATTTTTCTCCACGAGTTTGTCTGTAAATAAGACAAACATAACTTCTTTAGAAAAAATTTTTTTATTGAATTACAATCAAGAAAAAAAATCGTAAAAAATAGTAATCCGATAAAACTCAATTGGATAAAAAAACAATGTATTGATACCTGAAACTTATTTTTACGCAATTGAATTAAAAAAAAAAAAAATGTGATAATTTTCTATCATCTTGAAATTAAAAAATTTTTTTGCACATTGTGCATGAAAATTCACATTAATAATTAATTAAAGCTAATAAAGTAAAAGTAAAAGTTTATAATTGAATGAGGAAGAACTTTACAAGATCTGGAAAGCGTTACAATGACTTCAATTTTCTCCAGCTACCTAATAAATTAACAACAAGTATTTCATCGCAGTTGGTGTAATCTCATCTTTTACACTACCTTGACTGTGTAAACCCATAGCGGAGTTTCAGTACCCGCGGAGAACCCAAGCTCGCCTCCGAAAACGTATAAACAATCCTTGTAGGCAACTGCGCTGTGTTCCTGAAGCGCTGGAGGACGCTCTCCACTCGGGTGTAGCTCTTCCCATCGACTTTCAGCTGAAACAAGCAAAAGAGAAAATGAAAAAAATAAATAAATATAAAGATAAAACAAAAATTTTTCTGTTACTCGGGTAATTGACACGTTGCTACGGGGAATCAACTTAACATGTATGAATTTTTGTGTGTATCTGAGTTGCACTCTCATTTTGGATAAGAAGATTCCCTCTTCATAAAACATTTATCTCTTCTCAACGGGTTCCAAAACGTGCTACCAGACAATAGGGTTCTCAGCGACTACTTTAGTCAGCGGTTGACCTAGTATTTTACATTAAACATGCTCTATCTACTTCATCGAACAAACTTTTCATAACGCTCTACTAAAATTTTTTATTTACGTAATATACATAGCAAATATTTATTTTATCTTGATAAATAATCTGTAATCTCAACAGGATTATTAAATTTATCCAGCAATTAATTTAATAAAAATGTTGTTTTATTTTCGAGTACGTCTCTCAATACGTTTATTTTTATTTGTCCTTTTCCTTAATCGTTTTTTCTGTCTCTTTCGTCTCTGTTCAGCCAACCAACGACCCCTGCCACAGTGAGAGCATTTTTTTTGACCGGGTTTTCTTTTGGCTATCTTGCCACTGCGCGTCGGACAGAACCCGCATTTTCCAACGCAATCCGGGCATTTACAGCCTTGGGGACGACGAGGTAGACGTAAACCGGCTACTGATGGATACTGAGCGGTGTCATTCAACTTTAACTCCCCTTTATGATCTCGTTTCAGAATCCCAAACTCCTCATAAGCTTCCAGAATATCCGATAACTTTGTTTCAAAGGAAGATGAAAGAAAAAAAAAATTATTGAATTTAATGAAGCATAACATATACTAAGCAAAAGAACATTTTTTAACCCAAAAAAGTGAATTAATAAATATTAAATACCGGTCGTTTGATTAATTCTTCATCAGTATTAAGCTGGGAAGAAATATATTTCAATATTCTTTTGCCAAAACAACTTGACTGTCGATTTAAAGTATTAATTGCCTGGATTATACTATTAAACGTCTTTGCTTTGTCTTTTCCCATTGTTTGTCATTCATTTAAAAAAACATACCTTTGATATTTATTGGAAACATTAATTTGTCAATCGGAAAAATTGTGTCAACAGTTATAAAAGATTGATCAAATAGATAAAACTGCAGCATTATTACGAGATTTAATTTTTAATTTAAATTGTCACCCAACGCATCAATAAAAAATAACATGAGTGATTTTTTTTACAGCGATACATGACGTGCTGTAATGCGCTATGACAAAAAAGCATCGACCACCTGATAACCAAAAAAATATACGTGAGTAATAAATTGGAATACAAGCTAGCAGATACAAGTGTCAATCCAGTGAGGTGTGTAATTGGGGATTGGGATGAGCATCAAGCTAACCAGATGTCAATCAACCAACCGTGATAACGAGAATCCGAATGAGATGTGTTTGCTCGAGGGTATTCAACAGCAGTTCTCATCTGATCATTGAGTACATATAAGTTAAGTCCTGATCCGAGTATTGGTGCTTGTATGTGGGAATCTGTATGTATACATGTAGAATATATATATAAAGTTCTGAATGTATGTATATGTGAAATCAAGAGTACACTTTACTTACCCAGGCTATACCTCCAGAGATCTTTGAGTGGGAGATTTCCATTGCGGCCTCCTAGAAGATAAACATGACCTCCAAGTAACGTCGCACTGTGTTTACTTCTCGAAGGCGGCGCTGGACCGTTTTCCGTTCCAGCAGAAGTCACCGAGCTCCACATTTTTTACGACTGTAATTTTTATATTCTTCTGGCTCCAGCACTTGTTCTCAGCTTTTTTTATCTGCAAAAAAAAAAAAAGGAAACGAAAATGAAAGAGGATTTCGTAGTTAATCCGTTCATGCTGAAATTGAGTGGGATTGAAATTCATTTTAGGGCCACAAGAAAGAGTCGCTGCAGGAGCCGTCGCCAAGCAACCATTTCACTCTCCTCTGGATACATTCGTACTCTCTTTCTTCGTTATCCCTTACCCTCGGTTTCAGTCATCACTTACATTGCTACATACTACCTACTATATATACTATATATTATTTACTTCACATATGTACTTGTGTACACATATATAAGCTAAGCTATCAAGCCCAAACCCCCGTGATTGCATTTACTTGTCACTTGTGGCGGTAAATCTCTCTTATGTTACGATTGATCTTGGATAGTTTGAATCAAACTAGAATAATTTTTCATGTTTATCCATGCGACCGACAGCTATCTAAATCATTAGAGAAATATTCGTGTAGTCCTTTAACTGAACCGTTCGAGTACTATTTGTAATTCCATGTCAGAGGGGTGTCGACAGGACGTGCATGCCGCAAAGGGGAGCCGGCTCGTGCATCCAGTAAATAAAATATTGTTCGCTTCTCTTCATATAAATCGTTACTTTTACAATAGATTCAACCTAAAAAAGAAGCAATTGAAATAAAAATTCCAACATACAATGTGTAATAATATTTAAAATCTGATACGGAAGTAACTCGAGGTCACATTCAATAAGATTTTATAGTTCCCTTGTGCGCTCTTGATAGGCTTTATTTTATTTTTTACTTTTTTATTCATTTACCCTCTAGTACGCCTGTAGATACTCGGGAGTTAAATAATTTAATTGTTCAACGGACTGACGCTCGACAATTCAATCCCTGGGATAAAATGAAAACTTTAAATTCTATCGGACACTTATTATTATCTATTTAAAATTTATTTTTGTTTGTCTGCGAAAAATCAATGCTTTTATTTTAGCCGAGCTTTAATATTAATAACATTCAATTTATATTTATATTCTTTACACCTAGTCGATTGTATTAACAATAACTCTAAAGTGACGGTAATAAAACGAAGATGAAAGATGAAAGTAAAGAATAAAAAAAAAAGTGTCGAAGAAAATGAGATTATCATCGATAAAAGCCATCCGTGTTTCATAGATCCCCTCTTTACTTTACTTTGAATCTCTTTTTATTGTTTTCTTCGCTCACGGTATAACAAATCGAGCGGTGTATATGTATTTGATACTTTATACATACATATTTATATATATATATATATAAGGTACTAGCGAAATAAAAAGTGTCAGTGTACGGTATAAAGCTTTAAGCTTCGCCCATAAATCCCATTATCCGATGCAACTCGTGACCCACATGTGAGCCGCGATTATTCAGCCAATTAATTGTCTCGACGTGACACTCTAGAGTTATTCTTCCGCCAGCTTCACAATTAAGACGTTCTGCAGTCTCCAGCTTATATATATCATGTACACATACAATACATAATATAAAGTGAGCAAGAGTACATAGACATTAATAATTGTACATTGCACACCTTAGTGAAGATGAGAAAAACGAGGATAAACAGAGTTATGTATGCAGTGTTATTACCATCTACTGTGACGGAGCATACTAAATTCTAACGACGTTCTTCAGGATTTATTTTACGTCGTTGATAATAGATTGGTGCAATCCACTACGCAGATGTCGTGGTATTACTTGGTCAACTATGACGATGTTTAATTAATTATTAAACATACAGTTTGAAAGTTTAACTAGAGCTAGACTACTCGCTACCTCAGCTACTGGTGGATGTATAAAAATAAAAACTGAAATAAATAAATAAATGAATAAAAAAAATGACAATATTTACATACAACGGACATTAACATCAGTATAGTAAAACATAAAGCTCACCTGGTTAAATCATTCGTCGTGGCAGTAAAGTGGTAAAAAAAAAATCACCGACGGGTTTGGATATTTACTTGGTACTAGTAAATAAAATCACACAACAAATAAATTTAAATGCCCAGGTTGGCAAATATTTATCCGGGACGTCGGACCCGCTAGACTCAATCAATCGTAGTGGACATTTCATGTTGTCATCACCAACACAATCACACAAACATACACACACCTTATTGATAACCTATGTACATACTCGATTGGTCACGTCCCCACGTTTTTGGGACGCACACTGCACGCTCTGGGTTTGTAAACAATAAGAGCTCTATCGGTGATTATTGCCCACGTAACGTTTACGTTTATAATTCGGTGGTGATGTGCTGCTGCAATTGAAGATCCAACTACGTCTGGGTCGAGCACCTAGAGGCTAGCTCTACTCGTCATCATCGGGGACTTTACGCAGGCGCTGTCCTACTAACCCTCCACCCTCAGCTTTTTACCACCACCTGCAGCTTTTAAATTGTTCAACCCTCTTTTGGTAATAGCAATGACTTTGATTTTCCTTCTACTCATTCATCTAGCTATTTTATATATTATTCTTTCAGCTCCGGGTATTATTCACTAGGTGTCTGTTTTGTTACCTGTAACAATAATATTTGTCAGCTTCACATTAACAGGACTATTGTTGTACTAAAAAATAATAATTATCTGTCCATACGTACATACATACATAATAATAATCTACGGAGGATGAAAGCTTGATGTTGATATTTGTTTGGGAATCAATGAGAGAGCCGGAAGGACTCGTGGTCCACGAGGAATAGAGTCAAGTGTGTAAGGACGAGAGGACGTTGCCACAAAAAGGGGAGATAAAAAATTTCTTCTGAAGAAATAACCTCGCATGCGCGGGCGTCGGTTGTCATGGCGACAGGATGCAAGAGAACCAGCCGCGCGTGAATACGTATTGATTACTACTTTGATACTCACTTGCTCTTCTGCTGTTATATCATCTGTTGTCTCTACTATTATGTTTCGCCAAGGTATTTGATCTCGTCCTGTATGTATTATATAACTGTATGTATATCATGTAATCTAATGTATTTATATATATATATGTATTATAGTAGGTTATGTATAGAACAGAGTATGTTCCATGTATATATGGGGTCGCATCATCTATATTTGATATATATGTATTAGGATATATAGGAATATTCCCATGGGTACTAGTCAACACTTGACAGGTTCCACGCGGTGACAGATGCACACGCGTGTTCAATGAAAAATTAACGGATACTTGGTTAACTTGGAAAACGCAATATCAGCTTCCTGTTGATGGGAATGCATAATTAATGATTGCTATCAATTTCAATAAAAATATTGTTGTCACAGCTTTTTTGCTTTGCTTTACTGCTTTATTTCACAGTTATTATCAAGAGGAAGCCATGCTATTGCTGAATGCTGAATGTATGTCGTATGTGCGGATATGTATTATCCCATATTGTATGTATACTAATCTCCACAGGCGAGACTAATGGGTTATATTTCATAACTTTCGATTGCTTTTCAGCGGAAGTTTCAAATTAATTTTTGGTGTACAAACTTATTGTTGGAATTGTTAATTGTTAATTAAACGTTACAAGGACGTAAGTTTCTCCGTTTTAATCTTTATCTTTTGGACTGGTATGGGTAATATGGCTATTGTAATATTTTGTTAATTTAGGAATGTCCTTGGAGAGTCTCTTAAAGTGATGACACACGAATCAGGAGCTGGTTATAGGGGACCAAAATTTCATTCCACGGATACACTCTATTCCCTGTTACACACTACGGGAAAAGTTTTTAAGGGGCTTTTGGTATAGTTGGTTGGAGAGGCCCGTTGACAAAAGCACCAAGGTGCAATTACAATTATACAAAGAGAGAATACGCCGTAACGAAGAGAGTTGCTCTATGCGTGACACTCTCCTTTTCACTTGAGCAAATTTCTGTCACACTTTGTGAGCGACGTATACTTTTTCGCGGGACTCTTAACTTTTTATATTTATAAAATAAAAAATTACTATCATTGTTTTCATAACGTTTAATTATTCGTTTTTATAAAATTCAATTCAAATTTAATTAAATGACGATATAAATTCGATTAATTAAATAATGATTCAAATGAGATAATTGTTAAGAGATATACGAAACAAAAAGCTCTAACGAATTAAATAACTAACGAGCATGCAACCCTGAAGGGCAGAGTGGGTCTCTATGTGATTGCTCGCGTGTGACTACCATATAAATAGTGAAACTCGAGAAATTAGAGAGTCATTCACTCTCAATTTTTTCAACAAACAACATTATAAGAAATTGTTTATCATTTTTATTTTTTTAATAGTTTTTTATCAACAGTTGTGTTTTAACTTGGAGTTTTTATTTTTCCAAATGACTTGATTCTTGATTTATAAAAAATAAAAGTTTTAAATAAAAATGATTCGCTTAATGAGCTTTTTCATTTTTTTAACACTCGTAATTTATGAGTCCGGTTCAGTTGCAGTGTTATCGGAAAAAAATACTCTGGAGCCGATTAAACCATCGCCAGTTGACGAGACTTCAAACGATGAATCTCCGGAAAAGTTTGTTTTACCTCTAGCGGAAGGATCCAGTGATAGCAAAGTAAACAAACGTGATAAAGCTTCAAAAGATGATAAATTTATAGATGATGATAGAAAGGATAAGAGGAATCATGGAAGATTTAGTGAGAGAGAAAAGTCCCCTCTGTAAATACAAATATTAATCATTTTTTCATTATTTATTTTTATGGAAACTTTATTATAATTTTTTTTTAAGCCTCAATTGTTGTGGGAGCAGAATCGAGACTCTCGGGCGACCTGAGTCGACATTACAGCCGACAACTAGAGCGTCGGATATTAATCGCTATCCAGATCGATATGGAAATCGACCGGATGATAGATACAATAACTGGCAGTCTGTCAGACCGAGTAGTTCTACCAACAACGGAGTTTATGGAAACTCTGGTAATCAACCCGACAGGTCAGTTACTTTATTATTTATTACAAAATTATCACACTGAAGCAATGAAATTATTATGAAAAAGATTTTACATATATGGTAAAAGATTCAGCTATTGACATTGGCCGAGTTATTGATACTTGCAATTTTATTTTAATTAAAAAAATAAAATATTTTCAAAAAACCAATTATCTTAAAATTTATAATTAAAAAATTGTATTTATCAATTTATTAGGGTCGATTTGTTTTTTTTTTTTAATTAAAATAAAATTGCAAGTGTCTATAATTGGGTCTTTTACCTTAAAAATAAAAAAAAATAATAATTAAGTAGTGGAAATTTCTAAATACATTTTTTTTTATTGCTATTGATTTGTTATAAGAATTAAAAAAATTGATAGTGGTCAGATAATTTCAGTATCATGACAAAATCATTTTTGATTTTTCAAAAAAAAAAAATTATTTTTCATTAGAAGATTTGGATACCGTCCATCATATCATGATTCCGAGTACGGAAGACCCGGAAATAAACCCAATTATAATTACGGTTACGGTTACGGAGGATACGGCGACAGTGGTTCTTTCGCAAGTCAAGGATTCGACTTAAGTCATCGTCCAGGTGGGATTTTCTTTACAGGTAGCAACAGACATCCAGGTTATGGAATCCATGGAGTTTTAGAAGGACAAGATGAATTTCCCGCTGAAGGGGGTGCAATGAAACCCAATATTCAAACTCAAAAGGTAATTAATTACTCGAACAATTAATAGTTCATAGGAACAATTTGATAATACTGATAAAATTTTAGGCTGTAGCTTTGAAAGCGCTGGCAGGAGTCGCGTTAATTGGCGCGGCAGCAGCACTGGCTGCGAATCCAGCTCTCATTCCTGTTGGAGTTCTCGCTGCGGGACGAAAAAAGCGCTCCGTAGAACCTGACCAATCGTTCAATCTTTTACAATTTCCCGAGCAATTTATTCGAGACCATATACCCGGAGTGTATGAAGACGACGAAGCAGCTAAGAGATTCTGGGAGTCACCGCAGTGTGTTGCTCGACTTACCTGCGAAGTTCAGAAAGAATATCTGAAGGCGATTTCGAAGAATCCGAATCTACGCAAGGATGTTCAACATCGGCTAAAGGAATTGTCAGTATACTTTAAAGTGAAGTATATAAACTTAAATGTAATTTTTGGTATTGATTATTTTAATTATTATTCCAGAATTGACAGTCAGATTCTCAGTGTCGATTATGTTAACCAAAGTATGAAGATACTGACCAAAATAGCACGCAATGCAACTCCCACAAACGGAAAATGTGAGATATTTGCTTGTAATTTCTTTACATAAAATGTCTTATTGAATAACATTGAATTTATTATAAAGTAGTAGTTAGAAATTTTTATAAATACATATTTAATAAAATAAAATAATGAAATAAATACGAGTTTAAAACTCACTATTTATTTTTGTTTTATTTATCATTTCAATTTCATTGTTAATTTATTAATCTGCCAATTATTTCATTAAATTAAGATTTATTAATATAATAAATTCAAATTATAGAAGACAAAGTGAATACTTTGTTTTCGGCCAAAAATTGGAAGTTAGTGACGGACAATAATAAAAATTTTTAATGGATTATCATTATTCAATAAGTTTAACTATTAAAATTGTTAATCGTAGTAATTATATAATGAATTTTAATGAATACAAATTTTCATATTAAAAAGGCTATGTAAGTTTCTTTGCTTTCTGATAAAGTGTATCCACAACTTTTCCCATGCTATGTATCGTATCAAGAGCTATTTCGTAAGTTTTATCACGTGGTGCGTCTTCAAATACAATCAACACTCCTTCACCTTGATCCAATACTCCAAGCAATTTCTTATCCAGAATCATTTGAGACAGTTTCTTTTCTACTTGAGCAATTGGCAATGCTATACATGACGCTATGTGAGCAACCTACGCATAAATTATTTGCATTCGTCATTTATTTATTTTATAAATATTAAGTATGGCAATGCTTATGTTTATAATAATTAAAAAAAAAAAAAAAAAACAATAAATATCATTTACCTGAACACGCGAATAAGGCTCAACTAATCGGCAAAGATTTTGTTCAAGCATAGTATCATAAAGAGAACCAAGATGAGCACGAACAATGGGGTCGTCCTCCAACTCTTGGCGATATTCTTTTACCGCTTTTTGAAAATCGGCAAGTGAGCGCTTGTGACTGGCTTCAGCTACAGCTTTCATAGCATCTAAATCGCGGCCAGCATACTTAACAGCTAACTTTCCTGACATTATAGCTTGGACATCGTCAGGTGTACGAAGCATTATTTTTGACAGCAACATGTACTTTAAAGTTGTAAGGGCTTTGGGACTGTCAACGCTGTCATACCTATAAAAATTAAAGATATTATTAATTATATTGTACTTTTATAAGTTAAATCTCAATAACACTAAAATGAGCCGACATTTTTAATTCTTTTTCATTTATTAAATTAGAGCTAAAAAATATTTTTAAAAAATTGCACATATTTTCAATTAAAAAAAATTATAAAAATTTTTAGATGTCGGCTAACTTAATTTTCATTAAATCTCATTCAATAATTTTGTCTATAATTTAATTTTGTACGTAAAAATAAACATATATCTTGAATGTAATGTGGCGACATTTAAAAATTAATATAAATACAATTATAAGTAACTATTGACTATCGGATAATAAATTTTAAGATTGCAAATATATTTTAATCTTATGTTTGTCATTATTAAAATCTAATAAAATTACCCTTCAAATGCCTCATAGAAATAAGAATAGGCAGTCTTGAAATCTCGTTCATCGGCAGCATGTAAAATTCCAGATTGTAAATCTAGAGCAGCTTGCATTTTAGGTGGACAATAAATAGCATTCGCAGTAGTTCTTGCACTGGTCAGAGCTGCTCTAGCTTTAGCTAAATTACTCAGAGCATGGTAGGTCTTACTCTCAAGCAGCTGTACTTCAACCAGCAACTGCTTGTCATCGAGTTTCTTCAGCTCCTTTAACAAAGCTGAACTCAGTTGTAATGCCTCGGTGTACATCCCCGTGTCGAAATAAAGAGCTATCAACCTCGCCTCCAGAGACTGTCGGAGGAAGGTTCTCTTCTCTGATTTTGCCCACTCTATACATTCTTTGCAAAGTTGTACCTAAAAAAATAGAACAAAGGCATCAGCGATGACAACATAACACACCTTGTCAGGTTAGGTTCTACACTAAACTGCTTCGTCATTCAATACAAAAATAAAGCTAAATACCAATAAACATGACTCACCTCGATTCCTATACCAGCCTCCAAGTCTAAGAAAAAGTCAACCAAGGATCTCACCAGTTTAGCAGCTTTGGCCTTGCTGATAAAACTGAGAAAAGGTCTAGTTGCTCTTATGAGCTCAGCGAGATCTCTAGCATTACCCTCTTTTTTGTAAAGCTCACCAAGCTGCAGGATGCCCTGTTCTTTGATGCGGATGCTCTCTTCGTCATCTTCGGCCACTCCAACATTAGGATTGGATACAATCTCGTTGAGTAAGGATATTCCCTCGCTGCGATTTGTCAAACAGGCGGCTTGAGCACGCTCAAACAACATTGCACCGGCCATTTCAACTTTCTCAGACCTAACGGATGTTATTTATAAATCTCAAGTTTATATTTTATTTTTTTTTTTATCTTACTGCTATTGTCGGTTGTGTTTTTATGATAAATTAGTAGTCAAATAATTATCACATAAATGCGTGTAAATAAATTCACTCACTCAGTTATTGTTTTTGTTAATAAACTATCAGACTTTAAGTGTTCACTGTTAACTGCTTACTTTTTATAGCCGTTAGTGCGAGTGCGAGAAAGATCTGGTAAATCTCGTGTCATGCTGCTACTGAAGTCAATTGACTGTCTCTCTGTCTCTCTTTTAAAGCTAGTGACCCGCTGATGGTAAACTAAAAGGTCTCAAAAATAACGAAAATAACGTTCACTTGGTCACTTGGAACCTTGAGCGCCCTCTTATTTCGAAAATCGAAACTTGTCATATTTTAATTTTGGAGCAAAATATTTTTTTTTATTTTTATATTTTTATTCTGTGCAAGTGTTTAGCTTTCAGTGTTTAAAAATGGCTGTACCGTCTGCTTCGTTGTCAACGCGAAATAAAAAACATTTTCTCGGTGTACCAGCACCATTAGGATATGTCGCTGGTGTTGGAAGAGGGTAATGATTTTAATTGTTTATTTAAAACTATTTTATTTACTAAAAATTTATAATTTATTTAAAAAATGACAAACGTTTAATTCTAACCTTTTACGTTTTTGTTTTCAGAGCTACTGGATTTACTACACGATCGGATATTGGACCTGCTCGTGATGCCAATGATGTTTCGTGAGTTTTAATTATTATTATTATTAATTATTGAATCTAGATATTTTTTTAATTGATTCTTATACTTATAATATTGTTGAATTTTTAGAGATGATCGACACGCTCCTCCAACAAAACGAGCTAAAAAGAAAGAAGAAGAGGAAGAGGATGAAGAGGATCTCAATGATTCAAATTATGACGAGTTTTCTGGATATGGTGGATCACTTTTCAGTAAAGTAAGTAATCACTGTTTATTTATGTCTGGCAAACTACTGATCAAAGTATCTTTTAATATTATTTTATAATCATAGTTTCAAAGCAGATAAGAATCTACCTATGAAGATCTTTAAAAGGGAATGTATGATTTATTGATTCAACTGTAGGTACATTTAAATTAATATCTTGAATTATTTATCAAAAATAAATGAGATGACTCAATGAGCTATATTAGAATTCTTGAATGATTGTCTTGAATTTCTAGCCAAAGTTTTTTAAAACAAATAAAATAATAGATATTTTTATATAATATTGGGAGTACATATATTTTTTTTTTTAAAGAAAATAATTATTTCTCAATTTTTTTAGCTTAAAAAATTTTTTAATAATTTATTATTGATAATTATTATATTACAGGATCCATATGACAAAGATGATGAAGAAGCTGATGCTATATATGAAGCTATCGACAAGCGGATGGACGAGAAACGTAAAGAATATCGTGAAAAACGACTGAGAGAAGAGTTGGAACGTTACCGTCAAGAGCGTCCTAAAATCCAGCAGCAGTTTTCAGATTTAAAACGAGAATTGATAAATGTCTCTGAGGATGAATGGAAAAATGTACCAGAAGTTGGAGATGCAAGAAATAGGAAACAGAGAAATCCAAGAGCTGAAAAGTTCACACCGTTGCCAGATTCGGTATTGGCGCGAAATTTAGGTGGTGAGTCTGCGACTAGTATTGATCCATCAAGTGGTTTGGCTTCGATGATGCCGGGTGTGGCGACGCCAGGAATGTTAACACCTACCGGAGATCTAGATCTTCGGAAAATTGGTCAAGCGAGAAATACACTGATGAATGTTAAATTGAATCAAGTGTCAGATTCAGTAGAAGGACAAACAGTGGTAGATCCAAAGGGATATTTGACTGATTTACAGAGCATGATTCCTAGTTACGGTGGAGACATAAATGATATCAAGAAAGCTAGACTTCTTCTTAAATCTATTCGTGAAACAAATCCTAATCATCCACCCGCTTGGATCGCGTCAGCTCGTCTCGAAGAAGTTACAGGTAAAGTTCAAGCAGCTCGTAATTTAATAATGAAAGGCTGTGAAATAAATCCGACATCCGAAGACTTGTGGCTGGAAGCAGCTCGTCTTCAACCACCAGACACAGCAAAGGCTGTAATAGCGCAGTCGGTTAGACACATTCCCACGTCTGTAAGGATTTGGATCAAAGCTGCGGATCTTGAAACAGAAACCAAGGCCAAGAGGAAAGTTTACAGAAAAGCTTTAGAAAATATACCTAATTCTGTGAGACTTTGGAAAGCTGCGGTGGAACTTGAAGAACCTGAAGATGCACGTATTTTACTGAGTCGAGCTGTCGAATGTTGTCCGACTAGCGTAGATCTTTGGCTGGCTCTGGCACGTCTTGAAACTTACGAAAATGCCCGTAAAGTACTAAACAAAGCCAGAGAAAATATTCCAACTGATAGACAGATTTGGACGACAGCCGCTAAATTAGAAGAAGCCAATGGTCACATTCAAATGGTTGACAAAATTATTCAACGTGCTATCGAGTCACTGAGAGCTAATGGCGTGGAAATAAATCGCGATCACTGGTTCAAAGAAGCTATAGAAGCCGAAAAATCTGGAGCAATACACTGCTGTCAGGTTATTATTCAGTATGTAATTGATTGCAACGTTGAAGAGGAAGACAGAAAGCATACCTGGATGGAGGATGCTGAGATGTGTGCTCAACAGGGTGCATTGGCGTGTGCAAGAGCTGTTTATTCTCACGCAATTAGTCACTTCAAGTCTAAAAAATCTATTTGGCTGAGAGCTGCTCACTTTGAAAGAAATTACGGTACAAGAGAGACACTGGAAGATTTACTCCAACGAGCGGTTAAACATTGCCCGCAAAATGAAATGCTGTGGTTGATGGGTGCTAAGTCAAAATGGATGGCTAACGATGTGGCATCCGCAAGAGAGATTCTGTCTTTAGCTTTCCAGGCCAATCCTAATTCCGAGCAAATTTGGTTGGCTGCTGTTAAGCTTGAATCAGAAAACGCCGAATACGAGAGAGCGCGACATATTCTTGGAAAAGCTCGTGCTCAATGTTCTACGCGTAAGGTTGTTATGAAGAGCGCCAAGTTAGAATGGTGTCTTAACAATTTGGATAAAGCGCTTCAGCTTTTAAACGAAGGTCTAAAAGAATTTGATGATTTCCCCAAATTATGGTTGATGAAAGGACAGATTGAAGAGCAGCTTGGTCAGTTGGACAAAGCTCTGGAAACTTACAATCTTGCTATTAAGAAATGTCCTCAGTCAGTTCCACTTTGGAGACTGTTGGCTGACTTGGAGCGTCGCAAGAATCATATCACCAAGGCGAGATCTGTTTTGGAGAAGGCACGTTTGAAAAATCCAAAGAATCCTGAGTTATGGTTAGAGGCTGTTAGAAATGAAATGAAGTCCGGTGGTATCAGAGATATGGCTTACACTTTGATGGCTAAAGCTTTACAAGAATGTCCTAATTCTGGATTATTATGGGCAGAAGCAGTCTTTATGGAACCAAGACCTCAAAGGAAGACCAAGAGTGTGGATGCTTTGAAGAAATGTGAACATGATCCTCATGTTCTTCTTGCAGTTTCAAAGTAAGTTTTATATTTAATTTCATTCTATTACTAGACATATTAATAATTTTTAAATAAATATTTCAATAGTTTTATATCAACTTTTTTAAGCATCTATAAGATAGTTTAAAAAAATAATTCTTAATTTAAAATGTAATTTTTCTTGAATTTTAATAACATTAATTTATTTATTTATTGTTATAGACTCTTCTGGAGTGAACACAAACTGACTAAATGCCGAGATTGGTTCAATAGGACAGTAAAAATTGAACCGAAGTTAGGAGATGCATGGGCATATTTTTACAAATTTGAAATGGCAAATGGAACACCTGAGCAGCAAGAAGATGTGAAGAAACGAGCTATTGCTGCAGAACCAAGTCACGGAGAAAATTGGTGTAAAGTCTCGAAAGATATCAAAAATTGGTGTCTGAGTATTGAGCAAATTTTAGTAATTGTTGCTAAAGATTTACCAACACCTATCTAATTAACTTGAAATTTATTTTATAATGAAAATAATAAATAATAATAATAATAATAATAAACTGTATATTCTATTAAAATCAATATAAAATCTCTTAAGTCTAGTTGTAAGTTTAAAAGTCATTCATAATTCATAATTCTCAAAGGGAGTATTTAGGTAGTTTCAATGTATAGTAGTCCATTTTCATGAAACGTAAGAATTATGGGATTATGGAGACTATACGTGTGTGTATAATGTGTATATATATATAGTCTCCATAGTAAGAATTGTTCAAAGCGATGACCGAGCGAGTATAGCGAATAGGGGATCAAGTACAGCGGCCGAATGGGAAAATACCCAGAGCCTAAAGAATACTACTACTACTACTACTAGCGAATAGGGGGAACTGGGCGAGTGAGTTTGATTTTGATTTGATACTGCGCCAGTGGTATATAATACTTATGTTAAAAACGATACAATCAAACATGTTTGATTAATATTTGTTATTAATTTATTAACCCAGTGCATTTTAAATTAAGCAATTAATATAATTATTAAAAAAAAAAAATAAATATGACTGCTAGTTAAAGTATTAGCACTGTTATTCAGTAGACAATAGTGCTTAACCTCAAAATAGCCTTAATAATGCTATTTACTGCTTGAGTAACCAATAAATTAAGTAAGTATAAATATTAAATAATACTTTATTAACATGACACTAAATTAATAAATTATTATTATTAATTATTTAGAATATAAAAATGACGTCGAGTTTAGTCCAACAATTTGTCCAGCGCTTAAAGTCGCGTCACGAAGATGTGCGTAATAAAGCGGCTCGGGATTTGTGTCATTATGTCAAAACAGAGTTACGAGAATCATCACAGGAAGAAATTACAGCATTTATGGATGAATTTAATCATCATATTATCGAGATGGTCAACGGATCAGATATGAATGAAAAAAAGGGAGGAATACTGGCAATTGTTTGCTTAATTGGCGCTGACGTTGGAAACATCAATACCCGGACCATAAGATTTGCTAATTACTTAAGAAGTTTACTGCCTTCAACTGATGTAGGTGTCATGGAACTTACAGCAAAGACTGTGGGAAAATTAGCACTAGTTTCCGGTACCTATACCGCCGAGTACGTCGAATTTGAAGTTAAACGAGCGTTCGAGTGGCTGGGTGGTGATCGTAACGAGGGAAAAAGACACGCTGCTGTTCTGGTACTTCGAGAACTAGCTGTATCGATGCCCACGTATTTTTTTCAACAAGTAACGCAATTCTTTGACTTGATATTCAATGCGGTGAGGGATCCAAAAGCCGTAATTCGTGAGGGAGCAGTCGAAGCGTTACGCGCTGCTTTGGTGGTAACTGCTCAACGCGAGACAACAAAACAAATGCTCAAATCCCAGTGGTACAAGCAGTGTTACGATGAAGTAGTCGCCGGCTTCGAGGAGGTTTATAGTAAAGAGCGAGGATACAATCGGGACGATCGTATTCATGGTTCGCTGTTGGTTCTTAATGAACTGTTTCGTTGCAGTAATATCCAGTGGGAAAGAGATTACGAATCTCTGATGGAGCGATTAAATTGCCCGACTCAGCAAGCCGATAACGATATTCTAGCTCTGATGCCACGATTAAAAACAATTATTGTTTCCAAGTGGTCGGGCTGTCCATCCGGAGATAATTTTCATCATACACAGCAGTCACTTCATCTACTTCATGAATCAGCAGCTTGTCGACAGCTTATGCAAGAACGACTCGATGATTTTTATAATGACGTGATGAACCAACGACATTCAAAAAATCCCCATATTCAACATTCACTGATGACTTGCTTACCACGACTTGTCGCTTTTAATACCGAAAAATTCAACAAAGAATACCGTCGAGAAACTATGAATTATTTATTAATGACACTGAGAGGCAGAGAGAAAGATCGACACGCAGCGTTCATGACAATCGGATTAATTGCAGTAGCTATTGGAGATTCAATTAAACCATATTTATCAAAAATAATGGAAGTCATTAAAATGAGTCTGCCGTCTAAAGAAACACCCAGTAAAAAAAGAAGCGCGCCCTTGGAGCCAGCTGTATTTATCTGCATCACACTGTTAGGTTTTGCTGTTAAATCAGCGATCAGTGCTGATATAAGAGACCTTTTGGACTCGATGTTGGCCACTGGGCTAAGTCCCATACTGACTACATCACTCCGCGAACTAGCTCAAAATGTTCCATCTTTAAAACCAGACATTTCACAAGGATTATTGCGAATGCTGTCACAGGTGCTGATGCACAAGCCGCTTCGGCATCCAGGAGCCCCTTGGACAGCAACCAGTCCTATAATCACGACTCCCAATGAGCCAACCGACGTTCCATCGACTGTTCTAGCTCTCCGTACTCTTGGAACTTTTAACTTCGACGGTAATCCTCTGTTACAATTTGTTCGCAGATGTGCAGACCATTTTCTTACTTCAGACCAGTCGGAAGTAAGATTAGAGGCTGTAAGAACTTGCTCGAGACTTCTCAGGCTTGCTTTAAACCAACCTGGGCCCACGGTGACTAAGACAGTCCACACTATTATTGAAAAACTTGTAATCGTAGGTATCACCGATATGGAATCAGATGTCAGGATTTCTGTTTTTACATCCTTAGATTCTTCATTTGATATCTACTTGGCTCAATCTGAGAACTTATCTTCTCTATTTATAGCGATGAACGACGAAGTATTTGACATCAGGGAGATTGTCATCAGAACCACCGGACGTCTGAGCATAATAAATCCTGCACACATCATGCCCTCGCTTCGAAAATGTCTAATTCAATTTCTGACCGAGTTGGAGCACTCAGGAATGGGTCGGAACAAAGAGCAAGCTACCAGAATGCTCGACCATCTAGTCGTCGGTGCGCCAAGACTAATACGTCCCTACATGGAACCTATTCTTAAGGTCCTTGTGCCTAAATTGAAAGAACCAGAAGCAAATCCCGGTGTAGTGTTGGCTATTCTCCGAGCAGTCGGTGATTTAGCTGAAGTCAATGGTGCGGAAATGCAGCAGTGGATGCCAGAGTTGCTTTCAATCCTTCTTGAGATGCTAGTTGACGCGAGTTCACCAGAAAAACGTGGGGTTGCTCTCTGGGTTCTCGGGCAGCTTGTCGGCAGTACTGGACACGTTGTCAAGCCTTATATGCAGTACCCGACACTTTTGGAAGTTTTAATTAATTTTCTAAAGACGGAGCAACAGCCGATCATCCGCAGAGAAACAATCCGCGTACTAGGATTACTCGGAGCTTTGGATCCTTACAAACATAAAATGAGTCTCGGACAAATTGACAGTCAATTGGACACACTGACATCGATAATGGACTCGAAAAGCGAACTGGAGAACAACCAGGATTTAACTACCAGTGAAATGTTAGTAAACATGTCTTCGTCGAGCTTGGAAGAATTTTATCCAGCGATAGCTATCGCAACACTCATGAGAATAATCCGCGATCCAACCTTAGCTCAACATCACACGATGGTCGTTCAAGCGGTGACTTTTATTTTTAAAAGTCTTGGTATAAAATGTGTTCCTTATATTTCTCAAGTAGTACCGAGCTTTTTGAACGTCGTTCGAACGGCAGATGTTAATTTCCGCGAGTATTTATTCCAGCAGCTTTCAGTTCTCATCGCTATCGTGAAGCAGCACATAAGAAATTACCTCGACGATACATTTAACTTGATTAAAGAATTCTGGACGATCAACAGCCCGCTGCAAAGTACTTTAATTAATTTAGTACAAAATATTGCCATAGCTCTAGGTGCCGAGTTCAAAGTTTACCTGCCTCATCTGATGCCACAGATATTGAAAGTTCTTTATTCTGACAACAGCAAAGACCGCACTGTTACTGTGAAATTACTCGAAGCGCTTCAAACATTCGGTAACAATTTGGACAATTATATTCATATGGTTCTGCCGCCCATAGTAAATTTGTTTCATGCCCCGGATTGTCCGATAGTCGTAAACAGAGTCGCTCTGGAGACTGTTGATCAGCTGGCAGATACTCTAGACTTTTCAGAATACGTCTCAAGAATTGTTCGTGCGGCTGTGAGAACTATTGACTTGTGTCCGGAATTGAGAAACACCACAATGGATATGCTTTGTTCTCTAGTTATGCAGCTCGGGAAGAAATATCAGTACTTTATTCCTCTAGTACAGTCATATATGACTAAACACAAGATAAGTAATTCCCAGTATGATGTTTTGGTAGATAAAATACTTACTGAAACTTCAGTACCCGACGGAGATGATTATTTATTAATGAGACATCGTCATCCGCGGAACAGAAACCGAGATCTCTCACTTGCGTCTTCTGACATCACGACAATTAAATATTTACATGTTTCAGCGTCTAATTTACAAAAAGCTTGGACTGCATCTCGCCGAGTATCTAAAGACGATTGGTTGGAGTGGCTGAAAAGTTTATCAATAGGTCTTTTGAAAGAATCACCATCTCCTGCTTTGAGATCATGCTGGGCATTGGCTCAAACTTACTCTCAGCTACCACGAGACTTATTCAACGCTGCTTTCGTCTCCTGTTGGACGGAATTAAACGAAACTTATCGTGCGGAACTGATCCAGACACTCCAGCAGGCGTTGATGGTACCAGACATTCCAGAGATAACTCAGACAATTCTAAACCTCGCTGAGTTTATGGATCACTGCGACAAAGGCCCTTTGCCTATTGACTACAAAATTTTAGGAGAGCGTGCGATGAACTGTCGTGCGTATGCTAAAGCTCTTCATTACAAAGAAGATGAGTTTCATAAAAGCAGAAACGGTGCTGTATTTGAGTCACTGATATCTATTAATAATAAATTGCAGCAAAAAGAAGCCGCTGAAGGTCTCTTGGAGTATGTAATGAACCAAAATAACCAGCAGGATTTGAAAGTCCAGGTACGCTGGTACGAGAAACTTCACAACTGGGACAAAGCACTGGATCTTTACAGCGAGCGTTTGGAGACTGATCCATCTGACGTTGAGTCGACTCTAGGAAAAATGCGATGTTTGGAAGCTCTAGGCGAGTGGGGACAACTCCACGAGGTCGCGACACGCGAGTGGTCGAATCAAATTGATGATGCAAAACAACGAATGGCGCGAATGGCTGCAGCAGCTGCCTGGGGCTTGGGTCAGTGGGAGTCTATGGAAAAATATGTGGCCCTAGTGCCTAAAGACACCCAAGATGGTGCGTTTTATCGAGCTGTTTTGGCGATTCACAACGAACAGTATAACGTAGCTCACCAGCTGATCGACAATGCTCGTGATCTTCTAGACACTGAACTAACTGCGATGGCTGGTGAAAGTTATCAACGAGCTTACAACGCGATGGTCGAGGTGCAAAAGCTAGCAGAGCTTGAAGAAGTTATTCAATTCAAACTAGTGCCCGAAAGAAGAGCCACTATTAAATCTATGTGGTGGGAGAGGCTTCAAGGTGGGCAAAGAATAGTCGAAGATTGGCAGAAGATCATTCAAGTCCACACCCTGGTAGTGTCACCTCAAGACGATATGTACACGTGGTTAAAATACGCTAGTCTCTGTAGGAAAAGCGGGAATCTAAAACTTGATCACAAGACTCTAGTGATGTTACTAGGCTCTGATCCTTCTAAGGCTCCAAAAGATCCGCTTCCTACAACGCATCCTCAAGTAACTTTCGCTTATTGCAAGCACCTGTGGGTCGCAAATGACCGCGAAGATGCTTACAACCAGCTGCTTCACTTTGTCATAAATTCCGTAAAATCTTTGAGCAATTCTCCCAGCAAACTTGACGAAGAACAGCTGCATCAGCACGAAGCTCACAGGCGACTTCTTGCCCGATGCTATCTGAAGTTAGGAGAATGGCTTGAATCCCTGCAGGGTATCAACGAACACTCGATCCCCGCTGTATTGTCTTACTACGCAGCTGCGACTGAATATGACTCTTCTTGGTACAAAGCTTGGCACGCGTTTGCCTACACCAACTTCGAGTCGGTACTGTTTTACAAGCATCAACAAGAAGAAACTGTTCCAGAAGCCAATGGAGTACGTAATCAGTCGATACCAAGCTCTCAATACATTTCACACTTTACTGTGCCAGCTGTCGAAGGTTTCTTTAAATCTATTAATTTATCTCACGGTAATTCTCTCCAAGATACACTGAGATTGTTGACCCTTTGGTTTGACTACGGACAGTGGCCCGAAGTTTACGACGCCATTATCGAGGGAATAAGAATGATTGAGATAAATACTTGGCTGCAAGTTATTCCTCAGCTTATTGCAAGAATCGACACGCCCCGAGCACTAGTCAGCCGGTGTATTCATCACCTTCTTATTGATATCGGTAAGTCTCATCCTCAAGCACTAGTTTATCCTCTAACAGTAGCTTCCAAGAGTGCAAGTCTTGCGCGAAAAACCGCGGCGAATAAAATTCTGAAGAACATGTGCGAGCACAGTCCGACTTTGGTATCGCAGGCGATTATGATAAGTGACGAGCTCATCAGGGTTGCGATTATCTGGCATGAGCTCTGGCACGAAGGTCTCGAGGAAGCCAGTAGACTTTATTTTGGAGAGAAAAATGTTGTTGGTATGTTTGAGACTCTAGAGCCGCTCCATACGATGCTTGAAAGAGGAGCACAGACTCTGAAAGAGACATCCTTTATCCAGGCTTACGGGCGTGATTTGATGGAAGCTCAGGAATGGTGTCACCGCTACAAAGTATCCAACAATGTCAGAGACTTGAATCAAGCTTGGGATTTGTATTACCATGTATTTAGAAGAATTTCACGGCAATTGCCCCAACTTACAAGTCTAGAGTTGCAGTATGTCAGCCCCAAGCTACTTCTCTGCAGAGACCTCGAGCTAGCCGTTCCAGGAAGCTACGTTCCAGGGCAATCGATTGTCAGGATAGCCAGCATCCACAGCTCAATGCAAGTTATCACCAGTAAACAGCGTCCTCGCAAGCTTTGCATCAAGGGGTCCAACGGTAAGGATTACATGTTTCTTTTAAAAGGACACGAAGATCTGAGACAAGATGAACGGGTTATGCAGCTCTTCGGACTCGTCAACACTCTTTTGCTTCACGATCCAGATACTTTCAGGCGAAATTTAACAATTCAGAGATACGCTGTCATACCGCTGTCGACTAACAGCGGCCTCATTGGCTGGGTTCCACACTGCGACACGTTGCACACCCTGATCCGCGATTACCGAGACAAAAAGAAAATTCTTCTGAATATCGAGCATAGAATTATGTTGAGAATGGCCCCTGACTATGATCATTTAATGCTGATGCAGAAGGTCGAAGTCTTTGAACACGCGCTGGAACACACCCATGGCGATGATCTAGCAAGGTTGCTCTGGTTGAAGTCGCCATCAAGTGAAACTTGGTTTGACCGGCGTACTAATTACACGCGTAGTCTTGCGGTGATGTCAATGGTCGGCTACATTTTAGGCCTGGGAGACCGACATCCGTCGAACTTGATGCTGGATCGTTTGAGCGGAAAAATTCTCCACATTGATTTTGGGGATTGCTTTGAAGTTGCGATGACTAGGGAAAAATTCCCAGAGAAAATTCCATTCAGGCTAACGAGGATGCTGATTAACGCGATGGAAGTCACTGGAATTGAAGGGACTTATAGAAAAACATGCGAATCGGTAATGTCTGTCTTACATCGCAATAAAGACAGTTTGATGGCTGTTCTTGAAGCATTTGTGTACGATCCGCTGCTTAATTGGAGGCTGATTGATAATAATGCAACCAAGAGCAAGCGATCAGACGCACAGAGTATGAATACCAGCAGCAGTCAAGAGCATGGAGATATTCTCGACTCGTTGAACTCTACTTTGCCGAAAAAAGGAGCTTTGAGTGCTGAAAGTACTAATGCTGATGTTAATCAACCTGAGGCGCTGAATAAAAAAGCCCTGGCTATCACCAACAGGGTGAGAGACAAGTTGACTGGGCGCGATTTCTCCCACGAAGAAACTCTCAATGTCAAGCGGCAAGTCCAGCTGCTTATTCAGCAGGCGACTAATAATGAAAATTTATGCCAGTGTTATATTGGATGGTAAGTTTCGTTTTTATTAATATTTTATTTTGATAATTAAAGACAAAATAATCTAGTTTTTTTTTTTTTTTTTTTTAAAGTTTATTTCTATACTGAATTTTGTAATTGAGAATATGAATTAATTTATGTAAAAAATTTTTTTAACTATGCGATTAATATCTTGATCTACTTATGTCTTTAATTATTAAATAATTCGTTTAGTAATAAGATGATTATTGTTATTAAATAAATATTCATTAACGTTTCAGGTGTCCATTCTGGTAAGCTGATAATAACGATGTTTAATTATTATCAAGGATATTTGATGCTTGGGTCAAAATGAAATTCAAAAATAGTAACTACGTTGTCTTTTTTATAATTGGTTCTTAATTTGATTTAAAATTGAACAAAGCCGTCTAAAAAAGCTCTTGAATAAAATAAAGTTAGCCCAGTATTTGATTTTATCAATATTGATTTTGGAATTCTTTTGGCTATTATAATTATTAATTTATAGAGAAAAATTTTTACTATCTGACTGTTTAAAGTTTTAACTTTTAAATAGTAAATTTTACAATAATTTATAATAATTGTAATTATAACAGCTAAAAAAGTACCAAAGTTAGTGTAATAAAAATCAAACTGGGTGGATTATGGGATACATTTATTAATGCACCGCAGAGATCATTGCTTCAACAAGTTTATAAAATTACCTCAACGATGTAAATATAAATTTTTTAAAATGCATAAGCCTTCTGTATATAAATATATTTGTAATAACATAAGAACACATTTAACATTGTAAATTAGTACATTGAAAACAAATGAAATATAGTTATTATATTACAATTATTTAAAATAAAAAGTAAAATTCGTTTTTCTAAAGCGAATAAGCTTTCAATAAAACAAAATGCTTAAATATTTGTTTTTATAATTTTAATTATCATTTTATATGATATTTTGTTTAACCGTCAATAAAATATAAAAAATAAAATTAATATTAATTAATAGATTCTTTTAAACGAAAAGCCAGAGGTAATAAATCATTCACTGACGTCTGTACAATTTTGGTCATTGTCGGGTCTGTCAAATAAATTGACATATCTCCAAATTCAGCAAGTGTTTGCCGACAAACTCCACAGGGTGAAGTAATTAAATTATTAACCATGTCAGCGGCAACAGCGATTGCTTGAAATTTAAGTTTCCCATCGGAGATCGCTTTGGAGATTGCCGTTCGCTCAGCACAAATGGTAGCTGCAAATGATGAATTTTCTATATTGCATCCGCGGATTATTGTTCCGTCGTTGCACCTTAAAGCTGCGCCAACTTTAAAATTACTGTAAGGTGTATAAGCCATTTTTCGGGCTTCAATACTCTCTCGAATTAATTCTTGGGCTTCTTTATCTGTAATAATAACATTAAATATCATTAAATTGTTATAGAGTAAGTGACAATTAGTGACTCAGTAATAAAAATCTAAATTACTGGTTGATATCAGTTAACAAATGGCGCGTAAAATTATATTAATCATACTTATTTAAGTGTTAAGTACACTTATGAAAATAATTTATTTTTTATTATAATTTATAATTATTAAAAATGTTTACTTACTCAGACTTTCAATTTCAATTAATTTTTCAGCCGTCATATTATGAGAGTAAATATTCAAGTATTGATTTTGTTCTTTTAATCAGAGATATTATTATTTTACTTGAATATTTACAATTTTCTTGCAGTAACACATGGAATTACGATGCAGTATGTTGGAGAGGAGAGCCAGGCTTAGCTGATTAAATTGATAGTGAAGATATCGTTTTAGACGTGGTGAGAGTGAATGTAACACTGAAATGAGGTGGAAACGTCGAGAGATGATGTGTTAGATATGTTATATGGCTATAAAAGTGTTTATAAACGCAGTGGGAAAACTGCGCAGGTGTGGAGAGGATAAATTCTTCAAGCAAAGACTTTTTAATGCCACATCAGCTGCATCATTATTTTTTTTAACGAGTTTTTAATGGTACCAAAATTTGGATTACGTTTTTATGACTTGGACACAGTAATGTCAAAAATTTTTTTTAAAATTAGTGTTTTAACTCATTAATCAAGTATTTTGATTTTTATGAATATTTATTATTTTAAATTACACCAATTTTAATTTTTGTTTGTAAATAACAATTTAAAAGTAATTAATATATTTGTAAATTCGTAATCAGTATCTATACCTACGTAATCAATTAAAAAAGGCGCTTCTGTTGAACTACTTGAGTTTAGAAAGTTTAAATTTGTTTTCTTCAACAGGATTGTTTATATTTTTATTTTTTAACATTGAAATAAAGTCAAAAGAATTATTTCCAATATGTAAATTCCAAAAATAATTAACAGATACTTGACAATTTTTTTATTCTTATTGAAAAAATAAACTAAGTCCAGAAAATTATTTTTGAAAAATTGTATTTATTATTTTCTATAGAGCTTCTAAAGATTTTCTTTAGAATTTCTTTATTAAATTTTTCTAGCTATAATTAATTTGTTGAAAAAATTCTATAAATTATCAAATGTCTCTCAATTTTAGCATACTATTATTAGTTTTTTTTTTTTTTTTTTTTAACACAATATTATTTTCAGAGCGTTGGATTTTCTCCATTTATTATTTTTATTTTTTCTTAAAAAAATCTATTAAAATTTTTAAAATAGTTATAGAGCCAGTCTACAAGTAATAATTTGTTTATAGAAATAAGAGAACTTCAGGTTGGAGTAATAGATTTTTATTTATAAAAATATTTTTGACATTATGGAAATTATTAATGACTCAATGCAAATAAAATCAAGTAATTTTTCAACCAAAATTACGCTAAAAAAGTTTATTTTTTTTAATTAGTAAAAATGTTTTCAGGTTTTAATAAAGCCACAGAGCTTAAAAATATCAATGAAAAAAAATCTGGAGACTTAAAATTACAAGGTTAGAAAATTAAATTTTATCTTAAAAAAATTATTTTGAATGAATAATAATTAATTTAGAGTTGGAGAAACGGCTAAATGAAGCAGGTCAATCATGTCTTCACATAAAAAGTCGTTTAGACTATATGAAGATGTTGTATGAAACTACAGGAGCACCTGTAGTCGACAATTCGTTGAAATTATCTTCTACAAAATCAATTGATTCGACTTGTAGTGAAAAACGGCAATTTTTATCTCTGTCGGCTGGTGAAGAAGAAAATTTTCATGACGTGGAGAGCTTAGAAGACATTCCTAAAAAAGCTGACAGCGATGTTTACTCTGTTATCAGCGAAGAAAAAAGCTTGCTGTCGGTTAATTCTTTTCGAGTTAAATCAGACGAGTATTTTTCAGCGAGCAAGCAAGAATCGCACACGCATATTTTGTCAGGCAGAGAAATTAACATTAATATGATGCAAATGTTACCACAGAATGATTTTAATTCAAAGATTTATCTTAACAATCAAGAATCTGAGGCATCGAGTGAAGACTCTTTTAATTGTCCTCAAGATTCTGAAGATTCAGATCAAGAAAAAAAAATCGAATATCATCCGCCAGTTTCTGTGGCAATTAAATGCATCAAAAAACCAGAACCGAATTATAAATTCAATGGGGGTCGTCCGGAATATCTTCGTCGTGCTAAATTAAAGAAGAAAAGTAATTCTTCACGGGTATCGAATCGATTGAATCTTTTAGCAAAACCTAAGTACGACATAAAAAAACTCGATGAGACTGCAAGGATTAAAATAAAGAAACGAAAAACAAGATTGAAGAAAAGAAAGTCAAAAAGTATCGAGTCAAGGTCGAGAGATATTGAAGATGAAAAACCAAAATTTGAAAAAGAAAATACTTTTGTAATAAGTCAAGATCAATCTAGTAAATTTTTGATTATTTTGTTTAATGACATTAAAGTTAGCAGACACTAGAGAATTTTTTAATTTTTTTTTAACAAACAAATTTATTTAAGAAACTTATTTTTAAAAAATTGCACTTTTTATTTTTTAAAATTTCTACATGTCAATTTTTTTTTTCTAATTTTTTTTTGCTGTAATTTATTTAAAAAAAATATTCTAAAAATTATTAAATATCTGCTAAATTTATTTTAATTTTTTTTTTTTAATCAGTGATAAATATTTTATTTATTTTATTTCAAATTTAGGTAATAAAGTGCTGCAAGACAATTCATCACAGTCATCAAATATTATACCAGCAGTAGAAAATGTCGAAATAATTGAAAGATTAAATGGAAATTGGAGCGACGTTGTTGAAATTTATCACAATGTCCAGGCAAAAAGTATTAGTCCGTCGGTGGTGTCCAGTAAGCAGCATTTCAAATTGGATATTCAACAAAATATCGACTACAAAGATCAAAATACTCAAAGTAATTTTCAAGTGCAAACCAGTATTAGACCAGAAGATTTCATCCGAGTAGACATTCAGCCCCATTACAATCAAAATACATTTCCAAGGTTATAAAATAATGAATGTAACAAATTTTAACTATCTTTTTATCTTTATTATAAATATTTTTTGATTAATAGAGATCAAGTATTCAAACATAAAGAGTGTAGGTCAACTCAGTTGCATTCGTGGTGCTACGAATCTTTTTCTGTAAGAAGTTACCAACGACCGACGAAAGCTTCCGAGGCGAAGAAAGCTAATAGATGCTTTTTTACTACCCGTTTTGACGTAAGAAACATTCCATTTGTTGTCGGCACTTCCATTACTCGCAGTTATAACTTGGGACTGAATATTCAGAAAGTAAATTTCAGGATTCATTTAATTTGCAATTTTTTAGAATTTTTAATTAATATTGCTTATAATACTATTACTGTAGGTGTTTGGTCTTATGAAAAATCGACATCCGGAGACATTGAACGCAATCAGACCCGTGCTAATTCGCAAAGTCGGAGAAACATTTGGTTCGACAATTAATACCGCCAGGTCGATGCATTCAGATAATTGCTCTGGTAATGAGGGATCAATCATTACTTCAAAGCAAAATTTCTGCCATGAATTAATTGGACAAACGAATAATCGCGTTGCATTGAAATGTAATCATTATGGAGATTCCATTGATACTGAAACTGTGGCTACACATTTCACTCGAAGCGCTTTACTGAAACAACGAGAAGTAATTTATTTAGTTTTTTAATTATTTATTATAATTGTAAATAATTTATTAAATAATTTTATATGTACACACTAGGAACAATTGAGAGAAAGTGAAACATTTGATTCAAAATGTAAAAGATTTACCAGTAACTCGGGCGATGTCGGAAAAGTTTTACGTCGATTGCAAGATCAGTTTGAAGAAATGCTTGAGTAGATATAATTTATTACTTATTTTATTTATTTATTTATTTATTTTATTGCAGTTATTGGGTGTATTCCAGAATATCTGGGAGTAACTTTATAGCGCAGCGCTAAATTAATATAAAATTGAGTTTTAGAGTCTTTAACAGCTAAAAAGGCAGACAGAAATTCTTTAAGAACCCAATAACAATTTTATAATATTAAAACTATATATTTCAATATTGATGTTAATTTTTACGTAGAAAGTATGAAAAATTGAAGGATAAGATAAAAAAATTAAACGACGTGAGTGCGATGCATGAAGTAAGTGAACTGGAAGCTGAACTAAATATTAAAGAAGAAGAAATTTTTACCGTAGCTGGATTGTACAAGGAAGTTCAGGCTTTAAAGCAGCAAATTAAAATGATGCAGCAAAAAAAGAGTCTTATTTGTATAACCGCTGGGAGTGCAGCAAAACCGGAAAAAAATTTGCTTAGGCGGTCGCGAACTTCGTACGTACTTCCAGCTTTTAATCATCATCAAAGACCTAGAACATCCTGCAGTATAAAACCGCCTACGTCTTCCCGGTTAGTAGGCCTCTTGCGTTACATTCAATCGGTTCAACAACAATTATCTACTCAAATAAATTAGTGAGTTATATTTTTTTAAAATAAATCATTTTTCTTTGAATAAATTTTTATTAATTTCAGCTTTATTTTTTGGCTGTTTTGATATATATTATACATAAATGTTTTCATGTGTTATTTATATACAAATATTTAAAACACATTTTACATATGTTAAATGATTAATGATCGAAGTTGACGGGATTTTATTTTTATTTTATTCGTATTATTATAATTTAATTGTTTTGCAAATTTTAATTCGCAGTTTACCATTTTATGTTTCTCAATTATTCTCTACAGGCAACAAGTATTATTGTATAGGATTTTTTTTTTTGACAATACCATGTAATCATTTGCGATTTTTTTTTTTTTTTTAGGGATTGGCAAATTAATTTAATTTAATTTAATTTAATTTAATTTAATTTACCTAGTGTAAGTTTTAACACATGTTAATCTGTATCTCACTATCTCTATCTACTATAATTTATATAAATTGAATTAATTAATTCATTTATTATTTTTTTCTTCTTTCGATGAAGATCACTCAAGATATGTTGACAATTTACAACCAATTATTAGTTACTTTATAAATCAAATAATAATAAAACCAAATGCTAAAAAATATAATTCGTAATTTGCAATTAGAGCATAAAGTTAAAAAATATTTTAAATATCCATAATTTTTAATATTGATTAATTATTCTTGTAAATAAAAATCACAGCGTCTCAGCTATTTTGTAAGTACTAAATAGTTTATATATATATTAAAAAGCAATATTTTTATAAAACTTTTTTTCAAAAACTACACTACTTAGTTTTCCAATTACAAAAGAGTTAATTTACAAACCAAATAATAATTAAATTCGATTTAAACCGAAATAATTATTAATATTGAATAAATTTATATGTTCATCCGTTTATGACACAAATATCTCTCATATCACAGACTAAAGATGCTTTGGTATTGAAAAGAATACGTTAAAGAAGAAATTAAATAATACATTAAAAGAATGATAATTGAATAAAAAAAAAAATTTTTTTTCATTGTCAATTTAATATTTTTGAGCATTCATCAACGCATATAAGCACTTTCATTCAATGAAACGTGCAAAAAATATTATAATTATTTATTATTATAATAGTTATTGTTATTAATAATATATATATATATATATATATTCATTACTATTAATATTATTTTGTTGGTTTTAAAAAATTTTTTTTGAAAGCTCAATAGATTTCTTAAGTATTTTTTATTTTGTACGTGTTATTTATGACGATAACAGTTGATAGGATTTCAACGTTTGATATATCTTTAATAGATATTTTACGCAATACAAAATAATCCATCTTTCTTATTATTTTGTTTTTTTTTTTTCCATATATGTTATCCTCGATGGTCGAGCATAATATAACTATAAATATAGTAATGTATTTATATTTTATTATAATTATAAATATTTACATATCTAAACACGAAAATGAAACAAGATTGAAAAATTTTTACTTTACGATAAAACTAAATACTATTTATAAATATCAAAGTGTAACAAATAACGTATATAAATAAATCAATCAACGTATATATTTATATTTAATATATCTTAATTTATATATATGACGTGGAAACTTTACTTTAAAATTTATTAAAAATATTTCCCAGTTTTTCTTTAGCTTATTTTTTTTTTTTCATTTCCCCCACCTTTGAATCGAGTTAAATTTAAGCCGTTTTAAGCACGTTTCCATATAAAACTCGCCCAACTTTAAATAAACATCAATAAAGAAAATACAATAAAAGCTCAACTTGATCAATAATATCTTTTTTAATTTACAGACGACCTCTGAGAGATATTCCATCAATAATCCAGAATTTTTCATCTGAGATCAAATAATAATAATAATAATATTAATAAAAATAAATCATCATCATAATTATCCTTGTTTTTGTATTTATAAATAGTACAAGAGCATGTTAGAAACTACGTCAAGCAGATTTCGATAACAGAGCATCTATAAGTCTTAATTTAGCTTTTGTTTGTTTGTAAGACTCGTAGACGGTGGTAACATGAGGTCCTCGATCTTCTCGTTGCATTTTTCGGCCCGCTCTCGCCTCGAACTGGGCCTCCAATTCCTTCAAAGCTCGCCTGAGACACTTTTTTTCTTCCCTCATGACTCGTTGCTGGGCAAGAAGATCTTCCTGAGGAAGAGCGTGGAGACTTTCAGCAGGTCCGTTGCGGCTACCTTCGCTACTGCTGTGCTGGCTATCGCTGTCAGTAGGCAGCGGCTCGGGTGCATCGATACAGTCTAGAATCCCACGGTGTGACATGTCAGGCTCACTAGCTCGTCTGTCTCCGTCTCCAGCATTTCCCGGAAGCGATGAGGATGTGAAATCCATGGCTTCGTGCTCCAGGATTGTTGCTAACTCCGATATACTGTCCTTGTTCTTGGTGATCCCCGCTCTAATTAGCAATCTTTTCAATGCGCGGTACCGGTCGTACAGCACTCGGACCACCGCGCGGTCTTCCTTGGAAACAGGTCTGCCAAACGCATCTTCGATGTGTAGCAACGCTTTTTGCACCGCTGTTTTCTCCTCAAGCAATTGCTCGTAATTCATCTCCTCCAAATTTTCAGCTCGCGCGTGTTTCAGTCTCTTCTCGGCGAGCTTCCTCTCAAGATCCTTGAGCATTTCTTCCATCAACGTAGCGCGAGATTTCTCCGGGTTGTTGTTGTTGTTGTTGTTGTTGTTGTTGTTGTTATTATTATTGTTAACCTGAGTCGCATTATCAAGAGCCTTGTTTCGGTTAGCAGCAGCTCGTAGCATTCCTATTGGATCTTCCTTCAGCATTTTATGCTCTTTTCGTAACTTGTTAAGTTCTGAGCAAAGTCTCTTGATGTCCCGATTGCTCATCTTGTCTGAGTGGCTTGGACGATATCCAAAATTTTCCTCAAATTCGTCCTCGTACTTTTTTATTTTTTTCTTTAATCCGTTAATGTGTTTCGTTAGAGTCTTGAGCCCGAGCTCTGCGGGGCCTGGAACACTGGGTGGCACGTCGTTTTCTGTGTAAAATCTACGAGGTAACAATAAAGAATTTCTTGGTGACAGCATCGCTTCAACATTGTTGATGTCGCCCTCCTCTTCCTCCTGATAACCAAGAAACAAGATACGATAAAAATAATATTAAAATAAAACTATGACTCAGATGTTATGCAGAGAGATTTAGTTTTTAAGTTGACACACCTCTGCTGTATTCAGAATTGATAATTATTTCATTATTGAAAAAATTTCATAAAAAAAATTTTATTCTTAATTTGTAATTTAAATATTATTTTTAATTTATTTTAACTGATCATTTTAATTAATAATTTTATCAAAAATAATTGAATGAATTATTCGAATAGTTTAATTAAAACTAATTATCAGCGTAAAATTCATTTTAAATGAATAGTTCAGCCATTTAATTATTTTAAATGAGATATTTTAAATTATAATGATACTGGGATTCATATTATTATTATCATTAATTTTGTTCCAATTTATAATTACAATAAATCAAATAAATAATTTTCTATAATTATTTATTTAATATTAATTTTCTTATATCTCGTTCTTGCCTAATTTAATATTAATATTTTTAGGACCCTGTTGTATGTAAAAATTTCTATAGAATACTCACGTTAGTCTGTCTACTCTGAAAAGTCCAATATGTTGGCACAGGATTATTCGAATCTTCGTGGTCTAGAGAACGAGGACGAGCCGGCGATGGCGATCTGCTTGGTCCACTGCTCAACATTTCTAGAAAACTTTGCCCGGTGCCTTGATTGCGACGATTTGAATCCGGAATATTGATGTACAAATTTGACTCTTGTTCTTCATTTTCATTTTCATTTTCCTATATTAACAAAAATAAAAAACTCATCAGTTAAGCAGTTAAATTCGTCTATGTAATTATAGCTTCTAAATCTATTTTAGAGCTCGTAAAACAAAAATAAACCAAGTATTTACCTTACTGGAGTTAAGATCAATTTCAAGACCCTTGTGAGTTTTTTTACGTCTTGTTACCCGCCTCCCACGAGGCGTAATGCTTCTACTAAACCTCTCGGTACTGCGTACACGCTCTACATCGCACTCAAGCTGGTCAGCGCTGAGTAAAATGTCACAGGGCGCCGGCGACGGTGATGGCTTTGTTGATACCGGCGAAACATTCGTTCTTTCATGCAAAGGCAACCCCGTACATCTCTGGAATAAAATTTTATGAGTATGACAGTTTCGTTTGTTGAGAACAATCGATGTTAAGATTGCATCGGGTGATGTAATAATAACATTAGCATAATTGAAAATAAAAGACAATCAATTACCACTCCATGTCCCATGTCTTGATCGGGATAAATAATATGCAAATGTTTATCGCTGTTGAAATCTTCGTGGCTGCTCACTCTGCGAATTGATTCTATACCATTCGGAGGACTTTCTAAAATTTGCTCTTCACTGTTACTCCTAAAAAATTATTTTAATGATAATTAGTTTTTTTCCCTAATTTATTTATCATTTATTTGTATACTTTCAATATCCTTGGCAAGATTGCCGGTCAATAGTTTGTTATAGTTTTTTTATCAACACAATAAAAAAAAACCATCAAAGATTTTTATAGTTATAATTAGTTATTTAAAATTGATAATTTTTAGGTGATTAATAGTATTTATTAAAAATAAATTATTTTGTTGGATAAATATATAATTGTAAATGAATTAATAAATAATGATAAAAGATAGTGAATTTAATACGATACTGGAATTAGCAGACATTTAGCAATTTTTTATTTTTTGTCATGAATTAAATAAAAAAAAAAAAAAATTTTTTTTAAATTGCACTTGTAGTTTTTTTAATTTTTTACATTTGAAAATTTTTATATAATTTTTTGAATCAAAAAAATTTTTTAAATTGTCAGATGTCAGCTAATTCAGTATCATAATGATAAATTGAAAATAAATACCTGATCAATTTTCTTTCTTGGCAACAAGATTCGCGACGTTCCTTACGTTTACGCGGTTTCAGCGCGCAAAGCAAACCCGTACTGGTTGACGTTGAGTTATTCTGCTGGTCCTTTGGTTTGTTACAGCAGACTTCGCAGTCGTTTGGTATCACCGATGGATAAGCTGACGAATCCCTAGCGCTGCAAATTTTACTCATTATTACACAATATCTATTTATAAATTTACTAATTGTTATAATTATATGTAATATTTTTTACATAATCTCATTTAGTAAAATTAACCCTGTTTATGACTGTTATATTTGATAACAAATATTTCTACGTAATTTTATGGATCAAAATGAACCCGGTCGATAGAGAATAAAAAATGTCAACAAAAAATTATAATTCCATTATGTCACAGTCATAGAGAAAAAATATGCTTTGTTTAATCAAGGCAGAGTTAGTAAGTATTTTATTATGATCTCGTGGTTTGAATTAAAGTCATTGAATCAATTTAAAAAATTCCTCTCTACATTTCGATACAATTTACTTTCAGAAATATATAGATATTTTTTTTTTCTATTTGATTACTACTAACTATAAGTTGAGTTTACAATCATAGAGCCGGCAGTTTATCAATTATCAAGGACAAGTAAATAGACTGGCTGGTAGTGAAAGGTCAGAATGAAAATATCGAAACAGTATAGATTCATTGACTCTGTTATGAATTACAATACACTAGTATAAACAATAATTAAAAACTACTTAGCGCGTAATGCTTGCAATGAAATTACCTATTAATAAAACGTCTTTGTTTAATTTTTTTAAATAAATTAATGGTGTGAATTTTTTATTATTTAAATTAATAATTAAATTTTTGCAATTATGTTTTAAAAATTTTTTTAATTCTATAAATAAAAATTTTTTAAACATTGAAAAATTATTTTTCATTTAACTACTTTAAAATATTTTTTTTTTTACTTGAATTCTATGAAAATTACAAAGAATTTGATAAAATTGATAAGATTGTCAATTTTAAAAGATTAAATACGTTTAATATTTGATCGGTTATTTCCACTAAATTAACTATTATTTGTTCTAATATTTCTAATTTCTGTTGAAAAAAAAATTTCTAATAAAAAAAAAATAAACAAAATTTTCATACCAAATAAATTACATCAGATTGTAGGCAATAAATTTTTTACACTAATCTCTTGCGTAGTTTATTGCTAACCGGCCGGCATTTTGCGAAATTACGACGGCGGTCAATGGAATTTTTATTTCTCTTAGACAGTAATAGCAATCGAAGCATAAATATAATAATAATAATAAACTCTTAAAAATATTTAAAAACATTAATAAATTGACTTACTAAGCAAAAAAAAAAAAAAAATAGGACAATTTCTGATAAAAAAATAAACAGCAATCTGGGTGGTGATTCAGTCAAAGTGGTATGACTTATTATGTGATCATAAAAAGTAACTTTCTTTTCCAATGGAACTTTACTGAAATAATAAATCTCACTGTGTTTCGACGATACATTTATTAATGTAGGTTTTCTATTTTCAGATCACCGTGGTAAGGTTCACCGTTTAGCCGTAAAAAATCCACAGGGGTGATTTGTCAACCTGACAGTGCCTGATATCACACTATCAATAATAACACACCGTAAATCAATATTTTTTGATAAAAATATAAAAAGCAATAAAACGTAAGCATGAGTAGAGCAAACGTCAATAAAAAGTTTAAAGCGAGACACGGCCTCGGCGGAGTGGAGTGAAATGCGGCATGCCAGAAACTGTTAGTGATACTGACTCTCCAGTGGTTAAACACGCGAGTCTATATCCGCGTTGACTCAAAACCGCGGTATATGTGTGATGGTACGGGTACGAGAGTATGGTAGCGCAATTTTGGTCCGGGGTTTCATCCTTCTCGCGCATTCTCGCGAGCCCGCGGCTATTATATTTAACTAGCTGTGTGATATGCATTGTACATCATTACATTCTCTGTATGGTCTTTGGCTCGCTCTTACTCTACACACTAGCGCAATACCTAAAAAACAAAACACCACATGTAATAATTGAATACAATTTAATTGTAATGTAAGTATAAATGTATTATGTATTATGTATGTGTTACCGTGCACATATATTAAATATTGAACATGTGATATGACGATGACATGGTATCATGTGTTACTTTCAGAGGAAGAGCTTCTATGAGTTAAATGCTGATTGGAGTAGAGTGAGTGCTCGTACCACCGGCAAATAGCACATTCACATCAGCATGCTGACTACTAGCAAGCAAAAGCTAGAGCTAGAGCAAGAGCAAGAGCACATGACATGCAAGAAATAGTTTTTAGTATTTCTACGTGCCAGGGATGCGCTCGATATCGGAACTACGTCGTGGCATGATACCACCAAGATATTCTTGTTACCCGATTATATTGTTTTTTTCCACCCATTTATATTTATGATCCATCGATCCAGCTGGACTCAACTTCCATCCACTCAACCGTTCAACTCTCTCTTCTATATAATATTATTCCTCGGGTTTTATAAAACTCTTGTGACAGACGATAAAGATAACACCATGTTTACATTACTGAAGAATCCAATTACATGGCTATAGACGATATGGGAATACGATCACTGATGTGTAATACTATTGCCGGTTTATCAGTAATTATTGATTGACTACGACTACTTGTTGGTAGTTAATTAAATTGATTGCTGAAAATTTATTTTTTAGGTTTTTTATTCAACGGTAGATTTTGCAAGCGCCATTCAAAAGAAAAATTAAGTCAATTTATATTGAAACAGTTGTAATTAAAATTTCAATTTTAACACAGTTGATTGATTTTTAAGAAATTTTGAAATTTTATTTAATTTTAATTAAAATTAAAATTTATCAGTGTTTATTTTTTAAAATTACTATTTGTTTGTAATTCAATAAATTAATCTACAGAAATTTTAAAAAATAAGCAGTCATAGTAAAACACTTTTAAAGTTTTTTAATAAATTTTTTATTTTTGTTATTATTATTTTTTTTTAATTAACTTAGTTCATCAGGTGTTAAGTTATGTAATCTATTATTATTCATGATTATAATTCATATTATTGAACTTGAACTTTTATAACTTGGCATTAAAAATTTATTCATTGTTTCTATTAAATTTTTAATGACAATTGCATCTATCAAAAATATTTTACGATCAATAAAAAATATTATTAAACAATCTGTTAATTTTCAAAGTTTCCATTGTAAATTTTCTTGATAGTATTAAAATTGAAATTTTAAATGTAAAATTCAAAGTATTGTCTTTTGAAACTATTATAGAGAAAGTTTGAATGAATTTGAAATTAAATAAAATATTTTGAACCGTCAGCAGGGAAATTAAAAAGTTTCCGTTCGTATGTTTCAACAAGAGCCTAGACAATCGGCAGTGTATTCACGTATAGACTACATGCCAGGGCCGTAACATTTACTCAAGGATTGACCCTGCTGAAGGTTTCATAATTATAGAACGCATCTTCAATCAACAGAGACATTGCATCGTTCACTCAATGGATTATTGATTAAACGATCGAATGACACTGGTAATAAATTTGCTGCTATCTTAACACTTTGCTCGGCGAGTCATTTTATTCCTGGGCGCTAGACCGTAAGACTATCCGCTAAACCGGTTATGTTTCATCTATTCTATTTTTCAGCTGAAAGGAAACCCTTCATAAATGCTATTTAAAAGTCTATGGAAAATTTTAATAATAATAATAATAATAATAATAATAATAATAATAATAATAAGATGATTTTTAAACCGGGATGTAGGAAAATTTTGCAAGGATCCTGATTTATATGGCCAACATACTCAAGGCAAGCGAGTGTTATTGTCAACTCGAAGGGCAAATAATTGTTATACATTATCCAGTTGTTAAAATTATTTTAGCTTATGCTATACTGTGTAAACAAAGCCACGTGAAAACTTAATATAACGAGTTTGACATTCAGGGAAAAATAGAATTGGCTCAAATTCATATTGGCGGCGTTAAATAATAGCTGTAAATTTTACTTTTAATTTTTTTTTTAAGTTCGATTAAGTTTAAATTACATATAATATAAAACAATGAAATGACAAAGACAGACAAGAAATAAAAATAAAAATAAAATTAATCCGTAAGTTTATCAATATTATTAAAATAATATTTGCTCGGAATCTATAAATAAGAGCAAGAAAAAAAATGATAAAAAACATAAATGTATAAAAATGAATGGAGAGAAGAAATCGAACTGGCGAAGATCCAAAATTAACTGCTATTTGCACACATTCAGTCTACTGATATCATTTAGCACACTCGATACTTTTATTCGTGAAACTGCGCAATTCCTAGGTGAAATTGAAATTATTTTATTACGGAAATACTATATGTATATGTACTGTCAGATGGAATAGTGGCAATAACAAATGATCGAATCGTGGTTACAGCTGAGCTAACAACGTCTACATCAAACACATCTTCGTCATCTTCCTATAACGTACTTTCGTTTCGTACAAATTTACCGTCATCCGTTATTACAACCGGAGTATATATTTAGGAAGATAACGCTCTGTATAATAGACACAAAAATATTATGAGAAAATGCACGTCATTCAATTGCGTCAGCTTTAAACTTTTAAATAAGACGGAATAACAAAACTGTTGGTCATTTTTTTGGCTACGCTTAAAATAACAAATATAATAATAATTTCTTAGTAAAATAACACAATAATTATGAGTTATTATATTACTAATGACAGTAAATTTATCGATTGTTATCGTTTATTTCATAATTGGAATGCCGCGATAAGAGAGATCGATGTCGCTTCGAATAACATATCGTATAACTCGCAGTCAAAGGAAATAAATTCATATAGTAAAAAGGAAACACTAGTAAAGAAATGGAATAAAAATACTTGATAAGTAAAATTCATATTGAATTTACTTGATATTAATTAAAATAATTAACCAACCAGTCGGGAAATAACTTAGAAGCCTCTGTGATAATATCTCGGAGAAGAGTCGTAGCCGGTGGAACGTGAGGAAGTACCACAGGTGCAAATACACCGCAAACTCCGGAACTTCTGCCATGTCGGGCTTCATAGTTGCTGAGATGGTGGACCAAATAACCCAGAAGACGATAGTGTGAAGGAGGCAAGCAGCGTAAAAGCTGCTGCGTTCTTTCGACCCACTCTTCGCGGTGATGTTCATACTCTTCTGCAAGAAAATATTAATAATTCTTAGACTCAGTTTTGTTGATAATATTAACAATATTTTTCCAGCTTATTTTTTAAAAATAAATCATAAATTTTGACGTCCAGAAAATGAATGGAATACGCTTCCAGTACTTTTTGCATAATAATTATCAATTATTTTTGTCAAAAATTACTATCAACAGTACTTTAATGTTTAATAATTATTACACTGAGAGAAAAAAAATTTTTTTTAAAAGAAATGGGCATTGTTGTGACAAGAAATTAATTTGTTGAAAATTTTCATCAATTTTATTTCTTAGCTAAAAAGTTTTTTTAATTTTGAAAAATCAATTTTAGATAGACAACTTGCGAATTTTCATGCAAATTTTTTTTTTACCTAACTCTAGAAAACTTTTTTTCATCAAGAAAGTTATTGTAAGAAAAATTTTTATTTCTTCAGCTAAGAAATAAAATTGTTTAAAATTTTCAACAAATTAATTTTTTGTCCCAACAATGCCCATTTTTTTTCAAAAGCAATTTTTTCTCTCAGTAGATTGCAGATAATTTTTCATGTAATCATAAAACCATTAACAACATTGCGATTGAATGGACTTTGACAGAAATTATGTATACTTACGTGAGTGAACGTGTAAAAGTCTTGAGACTAGTGAAGACGGAACAAGCGGTTGTGGTAACTCTTTCAGGTACTGTCTCAGCAGTGTAGCAGCTGTTGAAGGACAAGCAGCAGATTCAAGATCCGCGTCGCCTTTCCTTTCGAACGTCGCTCTGAGCCTTTCCGTGAGTCGCGGACTGCCTCCAGAGAGCCGAAACAGAGTCGCATGCTGGAACCCGTGTTTCTCTATGTAATTGCACAGCCGATGGACAACGTAGGGCACTCCTGTGTCCAAGTAGGACTCGACCAGCTCCAGCCGCGCTCCGAAAACTCTATTGCAATTTCCATTACCAGCACGTCCTAGCAGTGATCCTGTCAGCGCACGCTTAACTCTCGCAAGTCTTGATTCCTCCTGAAATTAATTTATATTCTATATTATTCGTTCCATAATTCACTAATTAGTATTTAATTAATTCAGCGTGAATTTAAATTAAAGTGAATTTATAAATTACAAATATAAACGCAAATATTTTTTTAATTAATAAACTTGTTATTTTTGTGATATTAAAAATAACCAACGCTTACTGACGAGAGTTGATTATTTATTCAGAAGATTTCCGTTAATGACACCACTGAAAAAAAAATTGTCTCTTTTTTATTTATCGCGTATTTTAATTTATTTATTCAACTGGGTCGCCGGTAAAAAAACAAGAGTTGGATTTTTATCTAGTATCATAGATCAATAATTCGTAATGGAAAAAAAATTGGGCAAATCAAATGTTGATTGGTGATTAATAGAGTACGTTAACCTTGATCGAATACTCAACGACCGGATATTGGGTCACAGAAGTGTCCGGCAATTTATTCTTCTATTTCTAATTGGGGTGCTGAAATTGGAATAGGCACTTTTTCAATTTTCATTTATTTTTAATTAACTATAAGATACTTTATTTTGGAACATATTTTTTTAAAGTATTCATTCAATAAATTTTGTATTCTCCAAGAAATTATGTTTATTATTTATTTATATCAATTATTTCCAACTTCAAAAACTGGAAGTCCAAAAATAAATTAAACATTACTGCGTAATATAATAAAAATAAACAACTTAATTCCTTCAAATATAAAAAAAAATTAGCTATAAAAAAATATAAGTACCCTTTTAATCAAAAGAAGACATAAAAAATTAGTGGCCAATTTATAAAGATGCCTTTTTTTAAATTTAATCTTCTCAATTACACCCAATCACAATTACCTTTTCATTACGCCTTGGCTCTATTGAACATGACGGCAGAGTGCCTTGGCAAAGAGGATGATGATGATGGCGGTGGTGGTGATGATCCTCTTGGAGAGATTCTTGCTGCGGGCGTCTCATCCCAGTCCGTCTTCCTCGCGACCCACTGCCGCACTGAAAATTTATTTAAAAAAAATTACAAACTGAAAAACTAAAAACTTAATAATAACAACATACGTCAATTGTTTTAAAAATACTTACAATGCACTCTCTAGCAGCCCTCCACAGATTGAAGTATAGATTATTCAGTCTCAGTGCCGTATTGCCCCGGCAAATGGCTTTTGGGCCGAGAACTATGCTCGCCCTTGGTTTGAACAACAATCGGGAGCCCAGCTTCCGAGTATAATTATTTTCTTATAATTATTTATTAATATTATTATTATTATTATTATTATTATTAGCAGTAGTAGTATAGTATTATTATAATTATTTAAAAAATAAAAAGTACTAAAATAACTAGCGTTAATTAATAAAAAATAATTAACGATAACAACAATGTAAAAGAGTCGTTCTGATGAACAAGGGATGGAATGACTTGTTTTTCCTGTTCTTACCGATGTAAAAAAAATGAGTTGTTAAAAATATTTATATAATTATAAGCTTGACCACTGTGAATAATTAGTAACTCGTCGACGACGTCTGGTATTTATCGTAGTGATTTATTTGGCTCTTATCGACCAGAAATTAGATTCATGGAGGATTGGTAGGAGCACTGGGTACATGTCCCTATCGCGGCACATCATACAAAAGCTTTATTTTTACGCTTCCGAGGCGGCGGATATCTCCCTATGGTTGCTTCAAGAAGTGCGTCGACACGAGGCGTAACGTAAGCATCGAGGGAACCACCTACGGCCCCGATTAATGTTCTTGCACCTTCTTGTCTGGCTGAGTGCCTCGGCGGGACCGAAACTGCCTCCTCTGACACAAAAACCACCGCCACCAGTCACCAGCTGCCGATCACTAGTGTTTCTCGCATCCTCTTCCGCTTACCCGCCGACAACCTCCTCGTCCAGGGGTTGTCTAAGCCTTTCTTCCTGTTGTTGGTTCCACCAAGAACTTCCCTGGTTTAATCCACCCGCCCCGATGACAGCACCTTTCTTCTGTCAATACATCAAAGTCAAATGTCATTAAACTGTACATTATATGTATATTCATATATATAAAATATATATTGTATATTGTGTTTGCCTACTCATTTAACAATTGACCGGTGTTATGGTAATAAATCGATACGAGACTCTATGCTCTATGTGCACTTTATAACTTTATCATATATATTATTTACAGATCTTACTACCATTTCAAAACGTTTAACTGCGTTTTAATTTCCGGTCTTTATTTTATGTTTCATTTCCATTATATTATTATTATTATTATTTTTTTTTTTTGTGTAAAATTAACATGATTTTTCCAATAAAAATATTAACTCCATATTTCTTCTCATTGAGTAATATTTCGTCAATAATATTTTAGTACCTATAATTGAATTCATAATTTATTTTATTGATTACATTAAATTCTAGGTTTATGATGTACTTAAATTAGCAGACTTGTGACCATTTTTTTTTTTTTTTTTTTTAAATTAAATTTGTTTCGTTGAAAAAAAATAAAAAAAAATTTTTAGCATAATTTTAAATGATACTAAAGTTAGCCGACGTTTTTAATGTTTTGATATTTTTTTAATAATTAAATTAGAACAAAAAAATATTTTTAAACAATTACACTTGCAGTTTTTAAAGTTTTTTACAAGTGAATTTTTTTTTTTATTTTTTCGTAATCATTTTTTCAATAAAAAAAAATTCTAAAAATTTTTAAATGACGGCTAACTTAATTTTCATAATTTTAATCAAATAATTCATACAAAGAATTTCAGATTACGGGTCGGATTTTATCAATATTATTTACACAGTAAAAAAATTAGATTTGTAAGCTTTGATTAATAAAATCTGTAGTCATTTTGTACAGATTATAATATTAAAACACTGAAGATATAGTAAATTTAAGAAAGTAACAATTATTATTATTAATTTACATTTAATCTAAGTTAAAAAAAAAACTACAATAAAATTTTCTATTATTAAAACTCTAAAAAAATAATTAAAAAAAAAAAAAATTATTTATAGTAAATACTAACCGGTTAAAAAATGACCAAATTTAAGATAACAATAATCAATCTTGAAACGAATAAATTTTTTCATCACTTGAAGAAATAAAAATAAAAAAAAAAATATATTATATACTATTCTTAAAGACGTATAAAATATTTTCATCAACGTCAAAAAAAAAAAAAATATTTTTAAAATGGCTATTTTCGTTTAGTCCGAATAATAAAGTGTTTTTAAAAACACAAAATGAACTGTCACTCAAACAAAATAGTTCAACAACGCCGACATCTTCAGAAAAAACTTCGAGAAACTTTTCCTGTTAGAGCTCACGTTATTTGCATCCATACATACACATCTACAATATATATACGACTTATTTAATTAGACAATAAAATTTAATGTTCTTATTATCTTTATCCAACCCAACAGCAATAAAAATCGCGGTGAGTTAATACCCAAGTTATAAATAAACATATCCAGAGGATGACGAAACAGAAAACCGATCTGGCAATTGATAACTTGAGCGGCACGAGATACCGAATTTAAAATCTAGGTGAATGAAAATGCAGTAATATAAAGGGTTTCAGTCATGCGTGTATCGTGTCCGGATTAAATTTACAGCAATTAAGGTAAGAAAAACTATAAATACCTGAGTCCGTCGATGAAATTCATACCAGGGATCTCAGATTTGTACACAGTTACCTCACACGTCACAAAACAAATATTGTGTATTACAGGGTGAATTATATGAAAGACAATGCACTTTTTACTGTGCACTCTTAGGGATACAATGAACGAGGAACAAAGTTTACCACTGGTGAATTCACGAGGACGAACGAACGACCTCGAAGCGTCCAAGTGTCGTGACGCAGCTTGCAAACGCGTAGATATTATTTTCTCTGCGCATGCATCCCCGCAAGAACTAGAAGTAGATCAATAGGCGCGCTCTTACATGCGTCGAAGCACCACCAGGTGAATTTATTACCTTTGCTAGTACTCTTTAAATACGTCTTGAGCAGTAATCTTATTGGTAGTGTACATCATGAATTCTGGAGTTACGAGTACAGTAATGAGCTTACACGCTTAACCTTATGCTCTTATTGCATTAATTTAAGACCTATCGATAGTAAATAAACTGAGATCACGATGTTATTTTCAAGTTTTAAGCTCTTATCAAGCTTTATCAATGGGAATTCATTCAACACATGTGCCGGCAGTTTCTTTTTATTTTTTTTTTATTTACACCCTTCAATACATTTATAAACAACAGTTCAAAATTTTACGCTTCAATAAATCAGGGGAAATTTGATATTTATCACACTTTGCTTTTGTTTTTAATCGAAATTCCAAAGTGTAATCAATATTATTTGGAGTAATATCAATGTAGATTAAGAAAATTTAAACTTCTCACATCAATCATCTGGAAAGTTTAATATAATTTGTTAGTTTGACAAAAGTTAATACTGATAACGATAAAGTTTTCATTAACTCTGATGCTCTTTTACAATAATTATATTTTAATTAATTAATTAAAAGCAATAATTAGATTTTTTTAATATTTAAATTAAAAAATTAATGATTTTTTTTACTTTAGATTTTTCCTAACAAAAAAAGACGGCATCAAATTTTTGAATTTGAACATTTTCACGCAAGAATCTCAACTTGAGAATTTTCTCAAATAGATTGTATTTGAAAATTTAACATACTTCTATTATAAATAAAAATATCACAGCAATAAGGCACAATAGAAGATAAATTTAAACGCTCAAAAGCACTCCAGTGGACAAAGGAATGTTCAAAAATTTAAACAAAGAACATAGGACTGCTGCTAAGCAACTCCGGTCTCAAAGTGAGTTTGGTCAGTTGTTCCCTTTCGAGATTATCCATTTGAATGGGAACTCTGAAAAAAAAAAAAAATACAATAAATAATTAACATAATTATTCTTGAGAGATTAACTCAATTGTTTGGAATAATTGCATTAGTTTAACTTGCCCGTTGATGAGCGCTCGAGCTCGAAAAGCTGCCAAGTGAGCGTAGTAAGTGGGAGCTGGGTAGCTCACAGAACGAGTACACCTGCTGAACATGTGACAAAGATAGTAGGTGAGGGTCTCAATGTCATCTTCAGACATTTTATTGTCGTCCCATAGGCAGCGATATTTAGTAGGTCTTGCAGTACCCTACAATTTTAATAGATACCATCATTTTAAAGCCAAAAGCTTCGATTCAGAAATCGAGTTTCTCACAGATCTGTTGAGAGTTTGATTTATGAATACCTGGATACTGGCGTGGGAGACTAGATAAAAGTCTACGTGCGAGGGATGAGTGATATTGCTGTCGACGATGGTGCCTGCTTGCACATTTTTACCTCGATCTTGGTCGTCTGAATTTTTTATACTAGTCGGAAACAATCGGATATGGTGCCGCTTTTGAACGACCAGGAACGTTATCTTCGGCTCATACCTATTCGGCTGACCGAATCGTCTGCATGCGTTTTTTATAGCTTGAAGCTCGAAATGCATTACGTGGGGAAACTGGCCTTCACTCACTCCGTCGCTAATATTAAAAAAAAAAATAATCCATAGTAAACTTATATGATTTCATAATGCAATTAATTAAATTATTACCGATAGAAGAAAATTTTTTCAGGCTTTTTTCTAGCATTTGATTCAGTGTAAATTTTCAACTGACTGTAAATTATTTCTTCTAAATGTTGTATTATCTCCTGACGAGCTGGTTGTAATCTTATGACGATGTTGTATTTAAATATATCAGTACTCTGACTGGCCGCCACCTAATTTTGATAAAAAATTTTAACAACTTTTTATCACTATCAGTTACATTACCAACTTACTTACCGCTGCAATAGAAGGTGAGTTGGTGGAATCAGGCGATGGATGGGTAACATCGGCGCCAAAAATAATCGCTCCTTCCAGGCATTTAGGTCTACAATAAAAAAATTTTTATTTAATGAAAGTAATAAGTAATATTAAAATTTTAATAAATTACTTAATCTCCGGAACAAATGTATGATTGATTCCGTCCAGTTTTGAATTTATTTTCAGAAGAATATTTGCTGTTGTCGCCCTGTCTGTATTCTGTACAATTTTACTTATCGTCAGATCCCTGAGACACTGCGTGAGTATACCGATGTGCAATTCTGCAGTTTGTTTTACTTTAGCATAGACATCTGCTGGAGACTTGGGAATTACAACGATTACTAGCTTCAATCGATTCTTCTTCTGTTGCTCAAGATAATTTATAAAGACTCGGATACCCTGAGCGCTTTGAATTTGCATATTGCCAAACGGAGTTCGAGGCTTGCCAATTATCATACCACTTTCTTTTCCTAATTATAAATTCATAATTACCATTTTTATTTTTTTAACTCTCCAATAGTTAAATTATTGTTAAATAATTCAAAAAATTAAAACAAATCTTCAGTATTTAGGAAATTTAAAACTTACCAAAATTTTGTAGCACAGAAGTAAACTTTCTTATTTCTTCTTCCTTACATTCCGAAGATAAATTTAAGATAGTCCAGCAATCATCTTGGATACTCTGAGCTTCCAAAAATTTACCCGCTCGCCAAACGCCTTTTTGAACTTTAAGACTTTTTATATCTTTATACTTAAGCGAAGGTGGTTCCAGTACCCGTGCGTCTATTTGTTCTAGTTGTCCAGTGAGAGAAACTCCAAACTCTTTCATCGTTAAATTGTTGTTGAAGTCCATTGAATTTAAAACAGTTTTAATACCTCCCATCCTTTCTGGTGCAGACTTACCAGCTTCTTTCATCATCTTTACCGTTTGTTCGTCACTCAATTTCTTAGTGACCATCGTACCAGCGGCAATTGTACAAAGCTAGGAATAAAAAACATGAACCCATTTATTAACGGTGTAATTTAGTTCATCGGCTAAAAAAATAGGGTATTTTTTTTACCAAAATTTAATCTGCAAGCTTAGAAAAAAAATTTACTTAAATCAAGTAAATAATTTTGAAGAATTTAATCTAATTGATTTGAGTAAAAAAATTTTTAAACTATAAAATTTTTTTTGGTTTTAGTAAATTTTACTTGATTCAATAATTTTTCTTTTGATTCTAATTAATTTTTTTTTTTTTTTCAGTGTATACATTCGAAAAATGTAAAAAAAATCAAATTTTCGAAAGTGACCAATTACACGACACTCTTAATTAATCAATTATAAAATCTATTGAAAAAGTATTTGAACTTACTTCAATAGGAACGAGAACTTTTTTCTGCTTCGAACCAACCCAAAGGCAAGGTAAATCAGCGCGTTGTATTTTGTATCCTTTTAATCGATGAAAGTAATTCGCAACAGTAGACTCTTGACCATTGTCTAGCGTAAATTTCGCGTCTTTCGCAGGTAAACCAAGGCCGTTGACACTAAAATTTCTTTTACTACTCGGCTTGTTAGGAATTTGAAAAACAACTTTCATTCTTTCCAGAAACTTATTGATCCTGGCCATACTCTTGGAGACCATCTCAGCGGTCAACTCTTGCGGAGGAGGTTTCTTCGGCTCTGTACATTGTTCTTTTATTGCTTCCATCACACTAACCGCTTTTGGAAAGGATTTATGAGAAACTAAAATAAAGAAATGTGTCATCAGAATTAGAACAAAAAAAAAAAGAAATTCAATTATGAAATTTGAAGTAACAAATACTGTCGACATTGAAGAAAGGTTTCCATCCAAGAACTGCTGACTGGAACATCCCAACCCAGAGTTCCATGCCGTTGTCCAAGTCAAATGCCTGAGATTGAGGGCATTCGAAAAACGAACGACCTATGGAAATCGCACGACTATAAGGAGCACTTCGGAGGATCGTATCCAAAACTTGAATAGCAGACTGGTCTTTATCTTTTGCTTTGAAGCCTACACACACTTTTGGAAGCCATGAAAGATCTATCTCATTGACTTTCTCCATCGTTATTGTTATAGCGCAGTCTTCGTAAACTTCTTCATTAGTTAAAAGCACAATTTGAGTAATCTGGCCACAAAAATTAAGTTGTTAGTACTATACTTAATGTTTTAAGTACAATTTCTGTATAAAAAAAATTAACTTTGATCAAGACTAAAAATTATTGAATCAAGTAAAATTTACTAAAACTAAAAAAAATTTCGGTATTTTATGATAAAAAATGTTGTGAAAGGAACAAATAAAAATTTCGAGAGCTTTCTTGTCTTTAAAAGTTGGAAAAAATGTTGGCTCTCATATTTTTGGATAAAATTTCTATTTTATCTTTTTTTGATATATTTTTTTGAAAAGTACATAAAAAAATGAACAATTTAAAAAAAAAAAAAAACAATTGATCAATTGGATATAAAAAATAATTACCAAAATTTCTTGGTTTAAGAATTTTTTTACTCAAATCAAGAAAATGAAATCCTTCAAAATTATTTATTTGATTCAAGTTAATTTTTTTTTCTGTGTACTTACACTGTGTTTAAAAGGTAAATCACCAGCGGAATAAACATTGGCATGACCGTCAAACGCCGGCCAATTCTTCGGAAATTTTTCTATGCGCAATTTTTCAAAAGCAATTCTCTTCAGCATCTTTGATTTGTTTGGGTTGAATTTAACGTCGTAATGAGTAGCCTTTATCTTGAAATTACTATTGAAGATAATTTGCACCATGTTTGTAAAGACTTTAATAGATCTGCCTTGAGTTCCACCTTTGCTTAAGTTTCTCCTAGAAGGTATTAGACTCAGCCAATAATTTTTTTCCTTTTCAGTGAAAGACTTTTTGTCTAATACGCCTGAAGCTCCAGCCTGAAAATTTTTCATTATTTAATTATTATTATAATTAAATTATTTTATAAAATTGAACTCACTTTAATTACTGCCTGAGTATTTTCAGATGAAGAAGCTGCTTGTACTGGCTGAAAGGTAAATTTACAATAAAAAAAGCCATTCGGGAGACAAAATAGAAGTTGATTTGTTCGTGAAGTTTATGATGTGTTGAATCGAAACGAAAAAACGAACGAAAATTTAATCAAAAAGATAAGTAGACTTTTTGGTAAAGCAAATAATATGCGTGTATCACTAACAGAGTAGAAAATCAATAAGTGATTACATTATTGAATTATTTTTAGAAGAAACTGGGAAAATACGACTTTAAAAAATATCCAACTGCCGACTTTATCAAACTAAACAATTGAGTCAACTCATCTTCAAACGTGATCCTCAGAACCATGGAAATAATAAATATGCCAAGTCTTCTGATGATCCGTTGTCGAGTGTTGTGTAGCCTACTGTCGTGACAAGCCGTTTTCTACCGTACAAATATAAGACATACTTATATGAACTTCTAAACCAAAGATATTTTTCAATTTAGCTCGAAGAGTTGAATTGAAAAATTCCTAATTGAAAAGTAATGAAAATAACTAAATTTAAATTCTTTTCAATACTTCTGAATATTTTTAATACACAGAAAAAAAATTCACTTGAAGCAAGTAAATAACTTTGAAAACTTCATCTTCTTTATTTAAGTAGCAAAATTCAAGCCAATTTAATTTTTTTTCAGTGTACTTTTGAATTTTTTCGCTTTTGGAGAATTAACATTTTCAATTACACTGAGAAAGAAAATTTCTTTTTAAAAAAGTGAACATTTTTGTGACAAGAATTTAGTTTGTTGGAAATTTGGAACAATTTTATTTCTTAGCTAATTTTTCTCTTAGTAACTTTCTAGTTGAAAAAAAAGTTTTCTAAATTTGAGAAAAAACAATTTTGGATGAAAATTCTCAAATTGTCTATTTGAATTTTTTTTTTTTTTTTTTATTTCTTCAGCTAAAAAATGAAATTGTTGAAAATTTCCTTGTCACAAGAATACCCATATTTTTCAAAAGAAATTTTTTCTCTCAGTGTATTTTGGAATCTTCTATCTAACCAGGGATAGTAAAATTTTTAAAAACTTGCGCTATGAAGAATGCAATAATTAAATTTTTTTGATCTATAAATACAAACCTTTTTTATTTCTTCTGTCTTTCTGTGAGCAAAATTATCAGATTTATTGTCAATGGTATCTTCTCCCTGTTGACCTTTAGGTCGTGCCCAAACTCCTTGAGGAGGTTCAGGGTCTACTGGAACAGGGAACCCGCACGTAATATCTCTTTTTTTGAAAACTCTTTTTTTGATTTGTTGCGTCTGCTGCTGATGATCTTGCTCCTGCGATGACCCTTCTTGCTCATGAGTTCTATGTCCTTTCTTCTCCTTCTTCTTTTTTCCTACAAAACCGCGAATTTTGATATTAAGACATTTTTCATGCATGATTAAAATATTTTAAAATTATCTTCACTTGCCTTTTCCCATCACAAAATTCTATTAAAACAATATTAATAAATTAATTCAATAAATTTAATAGAATTTTTTTAGAAAAAATGAATAACAGTCTTGAAAGTAGTGCTAACACTACAAATTTCACCGCTGAACTGAAGTGATAATTTAAACGGCATCCACTACTCCAGTTATGAAGTCACTTGTAGAAGAAGTCCTGTAGTCCTACATAGTAAAAAAATAATGCAAAAAAATAATCATAATTTCATTTTTTAATCTCTTTACTGTACAAATTTATCAATAAATTATGTTATTATACTATTAACATTATTTTACTTTGATTTATATGTTTTTAATGAAAGTTTAAGTAAGTTTTATTTCTTCTTAACTTTCAAAATAACGGTCAAAATATTTACTTCAAGGTATTCAATCAATATTTATTGATCTATGTTGGTGACAATGCGCAAACGTGCAATTTTTACCGAGAATGATAACGATCAGACATACGTGTCGCATTTGGATTTTTCGATGGTGATCTGAAGAGAGGGAATCAAATAATTGGAAATTGTAGAACGCGTAACACAGCCTTCTCAAAAGATTTCTTTTTATTTTTAATGTAAATGTTTTATCCAGCTAACTAAATATTTAATTTTTTTTTTATCCATATAAATTTCACATAAAAATATAATCATTTTCAGAAATCAGCTAGAGCATTTTGAACAAAGATCATTGGGTTGGTCTTCATTAATTCTGGATTCAACATAAAGTTTATGAATAGATATCTTAAAAACAATTGACATGTATAAGTCTACTTAAAAATAAAATTGCAAGAAAAACCATAAAATTTCTAAAAGTAAATTTACTATGCATATCCTTAAAAAGATAGTTTGATTAAAAATGAGACAAACAATCAATAATTATTCCTAAAAAATGACTCAACTTTTGTTTAATTTAAGGAAAATTATTTGTAAGGAATGAGGATTAAATTATTTGCAATTGATTGTATTTTTTATATTAATATTTATTGATATTTAACGTATACATATAAGATTTGGTATACTTGATTAAATTTATTTAAAAAAAAAAAAAAGTATAATTAAAATATAAATAGTTATTTGTAACGATTAAGGAAATATATTATAGGTTCAAAATTACAATGTTGGAATTCCAACATTTTAGTTCAAAAAATTACCATAACTCTTCTATTCTAATTAAATCAAGAGCTTTGAAAAGTAGTAATTAATATAAAATATCTTAAACGAATATATTAAAATAGAATTCAACAGTCTCTTGTAATTAGTGGAAGCAATTATTTTAAACGAAAAACATCGGGTTGCCGTTTACCAATTCAGGTCTCAATGTAAGTTTACTCAACTGCTCTCTATCAAGGTTATCCATCTGGATTGGTACACTGAAAACATACAATAGAAGATATGAATAAAGTAAATTAATGGAAGCTTAATATTTTTGCTAGTTGAACTTACCCATTGATAAGAGCACGAGCTCTGAAAGCTGCCAAATGAGCGTAGTATGTGGGTGCCGGATAACTCACAGAACGTGTGCACCGGCTGAACATATGACACAGATAGTAGGTGAGGGTTTCAATGTCATCTTCGGACATGTCGTTGTCATCCCATAAGCAACGGTATTTAGTAGGCCTTGCAGTACCCTAAAATATTAATATATGAATTATTATTATAAAATAAAAGTAGAAAGTAGCGATAATAAAATTGTTAATATTTACTTGAATACTAGCGTGAGATACGAGATAAAAATCAATGTGCGAAGGGTGTGTAATTTGAGTATCGACAATAGTACCAGCTTGAACATTTCCACCCCTATCATCTGAATTTCTAGGGTTAGCTGGGAATAAACGAATGTGATGACGTTTCTGAACAACCAAAAATGTTATCTTGGGCTCATATTTTTCCGGTTGGCCGAATTTTCTGCATGCATTCCTTATAGCTTGGAGCTCGAAATGCATCACTTGAGGGAATTGACCTTCACTCACGCCGTCTCTGAAATAAATTTATTTAAATTATAACAATTAGAATTTGTATCTTAGAAATTTGTCCGAGAAATCAATTGATTAAGTACCGGTAGTAAAAGATTTTTTCGGGTTTTCTTCCACCAGCATTTGCTGCAAAAATCTTCAACTGATTGTAAACTATTTGTTCTAATTGTAAAATAATTTCTTGTCTCGCGGGTTGTAGCTTAATCTCAATGTTGTATTTAAATACGTCGAAACTGTAACTGGCGGCTACTGCTGCTATGGAGGGTATATCAGTCGCATCAGGTGAAGGATGAGTAACATCAGCGCCAATTATTATTGCCGGTACGCTCAAACATGGTGGTCTGTAATTAAATAGTACTTGTGATTATTTATCATCTCACAATAAATTAAAAATGTTAATTTAAAATTACCTGAAATTATAACTAAAAGTATGATTTACTCCATTCAACTTTGCATTAATTTTCAGAAGAATATTGCCAGCGGTTGATTTGTCATTTTTCTGAACACATTTATTAATTGTTTGTTCCTTGACACACTGAGTAAGAATTCCAACGTACAATTCAGCTTGCTGTTTGACTCGAGCGTAAACATCGGCCGGAAAACCCGGAAGTACAACAACTACAAGTTTCATTCCTTTATTTTTTTGATTGTCTAAAAGATTCTTAAGGCTTTGAACATCCCTTGGATTGCGGAATGCCAGTTGTTGCACTTCAAATGGTGTATGGGGATTTCCGATTCTCATACCATTAGTCTTTCCTGAAATCGGTAAACAAAAAAAAATTACTACAATCGAATAGTGACAAAACAACAACATTTACATTTCTTCATTATTTACCGAAGCCCTGCAACATGGAAACGAATTCCCTGAGATTGCCTTCTTGGCAACGGGACAGATTCAAAATAGTCCACTGGCCATCTGGGATATTTTGAGCATTCAAAAATTCACTAGCTCGCCAAACACCTTTCATAACGCGTGTATTTTTGTTATCCTTATACTCCAATGCAGGTGGATCCAGAACTCGCGCGTCTACTTTTTCGAGCTGCCCATTCAACGATAAGCCAAACTCTCTCATTGTAGGATCAGCAGCAAAGTTAACTTCCTTCAAAGTCTCTTCAATTTTTCGCTTGCGATCTGGCGCGGGTTTCGCAGCCTCTCGTATCATCTTGCGAGTCTGTTCATCGTTTAATTTTCTGTTCGTAACCAGTCCAGCAGCAATTGTACACAACTATATCAAAAAAAATTTTAATAATTAGTCATAAACATAACATTATAATTAAATACATTGGAGATTCTTGTACTTACTTCTGGTGGTAATAGAACGTGTTTATTTCTTGATCCGACCCAGAGACAGGGTAAGTCTGGACGTTGGAGTCTGTATCCTTTAGATCCCGCGAAATAAGTAGCAACAGTAGTTTGTTGTCCATTATCTAAAGAAAAAACTGCTTTGTCTGCAGGTTTATCCAAGCCGTTAACTCCAACAGTCCTTCTGGTAGTTGGTTTATTGGGAAGCTGGAACACGACCTTTAAACCTTTGAGAAATTTGAAAATTTTGTCTTTATTCCGTTCGACCAGATCGGTGGTCAAGGGACCTTGGAGAGGTCCATAACGATCACCACACAAATCTTTCATAGCATCAATCACGTTGATATTTTTTGGGAAAGCCTTGTGAGCAACTGTAAAATAATTTATTAAAATTTAATTTAATATTTTCTATAATATATTAATTTATTATTAATATTTAATTTTCTATAAATATTAATTATTACATACCATCGACATTGAAATAAGGTTTCCAACCAAGAACTGCTGATTGAAACATTCCGACCCAGAGTTCCATACCGTCAGTCAAATCAAACGATTGAGATTTCGGCTGCTGGAAGAATGAACGCCCAACAGGAATAGCTCGGTTGAACTGGGCCATACGAAGTACAACATCTAGAACTTGGATAGATGTTTGATCTCTTTCTTCTTCTCTAAATCCAGGAGTGACTTTCGGTAACCATGACATATCTATGACATTTACTTTCTCCATTGTAACGACAACAGGACGGTTACGCTGCTGCTCTTCGTCAAAGACCTCGACAGTTTGTGTAATCTGCAATGTAATTTATCATTAGAATAATAATTAATAAATAACACTGTAAAAAATTAACAGATTTTTTTCGATAATATTGTTCTGAGGTACTTACACTTCTACCAAAAGGAAGATCTCCTGCAGAATAAACATTGACGCGTCCATCAAACGCCGGCCAATTATTGGGGAAATTTTGTTCACGAAGTTTATTAAACGCAAGTCTTTTTAAAAATTTAGGCTTGTCGGGATCAAATTTGACATCGTAATGGGTAGCTGTATTTTTGAACTTGCTTTTATCAAAAAAGATCTGTACCATATTCGTAAACACCTCAATACGCCTTCCTTTAGTTCCTCCTTGTTTAGGATTTTTCCTTCTAGGAATCAAACTCATCAGACGATTTTTTTCTTGATCAGTTAGCGACTTCTTGTCCAAGCCACCCGGAGCTTTCTAACAATTAAATTATTATTTAGCTATTTTCTTACATATCAATTGTTTATGCTATCTTTTGATGATCGACTTACTTTAGGAGTCTGTTGAGCTCCACTACCACCCGATTTAACTGATGCTACATCTCCGCCTGCCGAAGAAGCAACTGACGGTGGCCGTGATGGCTAAAACATAATATAAATTTTAAAAATACGAAAAAATGACATAGTATGTAAATAAGAGTATACTCGGTTGATATTTTCGAGAATTCACCTCAGCTGAACGTACATGAGCACCATCTCCTTTAGCAGCAACACTACCAGATGACTGTTGAGAACTAACGCTCATTTGTTCCATAGATTTCACTACTCCGGAGGTGTCTTTCTCCGGAGGAGCTTGTTTTTGCAGCTGCGGTTGCTGTTGCTGTTGAGCAGGTTTACCCCATGCTGATTGTGGAGGTCCTTGTGGCTGTTCAGCAGGTTTACCCCATGCTGACTGTGGAGGTCCTTGTGACTGTTGTGGTTGTGACTGAGGTTGACCCCAGGCACCCTGCCCTCCTTGTCGAGATTGTTGACCTTGTTGAGGTCTTCCTCCTTGATCTTGACCTTGTTGAGGTCTTCCTCCCTGTTGTTGACCTTGTTGAGGTCTTCCTCCTTGATATTGACCTTGCTGAGGTCTTCCTCCTTGATATTGACCTTGCTGAGGTCTTTCTCCTTGATGTTGACCTTGCTGAGGTCTTCCTCCTTGATATTGACCTTGCTGAGGTCTTCCTCCTTGATATTGACCTTGCTGAGGTCTTTCTCCTTGATGTTGACCTTGCTGAGGTCTTCCTCCTTGATGTTGACCTTGCTGAGGTCTTCCTCCCTGTTGTTGGCCATGTTGATGTTGAGGTCTTCCTCCTTGTTGCTGACCTTGTTGATGTTGAGGTCTTCCTCCTTGTTGTTGACCTTGATCAGGTCTTCCTCCCTGTTGTTGACCTTGCTGAGGTCTTCCTCCCTGTTGTTGACCTTGTTGAGGTCTTCCTCTCTGCTGTTGACCTTGCTGAGGTTGATCTTGTCTTTGGGATGATCCTTGTCCTTGACTAGATCCATCACCTCCGTCCTGTCCTCCTCCCCCTTTCTTTTTTCCTATATAAATAATAAAAATAGCTTAACATAATAGTAAACATAATAACAATAAATAAATAAATAAATAAATCGTATAAAATGCTGTTATTATCAACTTCTAGATTCATTTGAAATTTTTGCAAGATGATGCAACAAGAGTAACCTCAATAAAATATGTTCGAGCTTACCTTTACCCATTGTAAAACAATTTCTTTATGGTTTATTTAGTGAAAGCAAGCTACCATAAATTAAATTTATTTTATTTCAAGTAAACTTAAATATTTTAATAAATCGAAGCGTTAAATTTCTCTCGCAATGCAAAATTTCCGTAAGTGCGTTTATCGGGGTTCTGTTTCACAAGTGTAAAATGTCTGAAAATGGCGTCGATGCTGTGCCTGTATATACTTTGTATACTTATATAGTGTATATAGTGTAAAGTTGTTCTTAGAAATGTTTTGGAATTAACCGACTTGTATGAACTTGTTATTTTTCTCGTAAGCATACAGTCACAACAAATAATTTTTCAATATGACAGTTCTCACGGAACTCTCCTACTATTCTCTATTGGTCTAGTGTTGTTCTTCAAAGAATTTGATTGGCCGCTATAATTAACTTCGTAAAGACGCCGAGTATTTTTTGTGCAGCTTGTACTTGTCAAAATTTTCATCACGACTACATTCTTGACCAATGACGGCAATGACCAATGTTTACTTTAAAGAAAACAAAGTGTTTTATTGGTGCACGTCAACTGCACTTTTACGGATGTACCAATCTGACAGGATAAAAATTAAAAATTACCAACATTATAAATAAAGAAACATTTACCTGGCACTCCTCTTGATAATAACAAGTCACCTGTTTGTTTTGTTGATTTTGTTGTGACTTATTTGAAAATGTACATATAATCACATGCCATATTTGTATAAAATGACTAGAAATTAAATATTAACTCAGTTATTTTATTTTTTCAACCAATGATATTTCACCGAATCATTATCATGTCATGTCAATAAACCCTCAAAATTCCTTTCACTGATAAAAGATATCTCAAATGTCATAAGCTTATTTAAAATTATACTAAATAAATTTCAACTATTAAATAAAAACGTAAGAAAAAAAGTTTATCAATATAAACCAATAATTTAAAAATTATAAAATGAATTCCGCGAGTAAATACATACGCTTATCAACTGGATTTAATATGCCTCTTGTTGGAAGTAATATTTATTTTTTAAATACATTAATTTTTTACAATAAATTAATTATCAATAATTATTGTGTTTTTTGATTTATTCCAGTTGGGACTTACAAAACTACTGGCAGAGAAAAGATATTCAATGTTCTTGATGAAGCCTTGGGTGTTGGTTACCATAGCATTGGTAAAATACTTTATTTATTTATTAAAATATTAAAAGATAATTAATCATTAAATATAATAATTATTCCAACAGACACAGCAACTGTGTACAGGAATGAAGAGGATATAGGTTATGCATTAAAAACTCTATTAAATAAATACGCTCTTGAAAGAGACGATATTTTTATAACCACTAAACTAGGTATGTGTTTTTACTAATTTTTAAAAGAATATTTAATCCCATATTATATAATATTTATTCCAGCTCCGAGTGATAATGGAAACCCTCAGCGGATCCGAAAAGCCGTGGAAACATCTCTGAAAGCTTTGGGAACGTCTTACATCGACTTGTACTTGATTCACTGGCCAGGTACCGGAGGAATACCTGAAGATTCTATAGAAAATATTAAATTGAGATCCATCACCTGGCAAACGTTAATTGATTTGAAGTCTCAGGGATTTTTACGGTCTATCGGTGTGTCTAATTACACTGTTAAACATTTGCAGTTGTTATTGCAAGATTGCCACGGCGAAAGTCCTGCTGTGAATCAAGTAGGTTTTTTTTTTTTATTTAAGAAAATTATTTATAGAGTTTTATTATTTAAGGTCGAGTGTCATCCGCATTACAGACAAGAAAAATTACTCGAATTTTGCAACAAAGAAGGGATTCACGTTCAAGCTTACTCATCTCTGGGAACAAGTAATGAAACAACTCTGCTAAAAGATCCAATTGTCTGTAGAGTTGCTGAAGAATTAAACGTCTCCCCTGCTAGGGTTTTATTAAAGTGGGCACTTCAACAAGGGATCGGTACTTATTTTTATTAAAAACAGTTTAATTTTTATTTTAAATACTCAATATTTTATTTTTTACAGGAATAATACCTAAAGCAACGTCAAAAGAACATATCCATGATAATTTCAAACTAGACTTTACTATCAATGAAACTCAAATGAAAGCTCTGTGCTCTTTGCCGCAAAGAAAATACGCTTGGAGCCCAGACAACGTTGTCTAAATTTTAAATAATTAATTTTTTTTTTTAAATTAATTAGGTTATTTAGATTTAAGTATTTCAAGATGAATTTTGCAGATAAAATTGCCGAATTATGTATCGATAAATATAAGTCTCTAAAAAAAACCGGCAAACCGCGGGATACTGAGTGGACGGTCCTATCAGGAATAGTATTAAAAAATGAGCATTGTTTAAAAGTCGTTTCTTTGGCTACAGGGACCAAATGTTTGAGTTCTAAAGAATTAATAAATACTAATTTATATGATATGGGTAGTAGATTAAGTGATTCACATGCAGAAGTACTCACACGACGTGCATTTCTAAGATTTTTGTACGATCAATTAGACCAATTGCTTTGCTTAAATAAAAGTCAAGTGTTTCAATTTAATGAGAGTGTCATTGAATTTATAAATGGGGTGTCTTTTCATTTTTATGCTAGCCATACTCCTTGTGGCGATTGTTCAATAGTTCCAAAATTTAAAAAACCAGCTAGTGACACTCGCGACGACGATGGACATTGCTTGCCAAAAATTTTAAAATTAGAAGAGACAGTTATTGAAGACAAGGGAATAGTTGTTGATGGTTTTGTAGAGGATATTCATCGCACAGGAGCCAAATGTGTTGCTACAGAAAAAAATCAAGATCTTCATTTACCTGGCGTCAACTATCATATCACAGGGCCTCTAAGAACTAAACCTGGACGAGGAGATCCCACTTTGAGTTTATCATGTTCAGATAAAATTGCCAAGTAATTGAAAAAAATTTTTTTGCTTAATGAAATTGATAATAAATACTAATACGTTTTAAATTAAATTGCAGGTGGAATTTTCTGGGTATTCAAGGAGCACTTTTGTCATTATTTATACCAACGTTGAAATTTGAGACAATTGTTATTGGCAGTGGGTGTCCTTTTTCTATGGATTCAATGGAACGCGGGTTAGGTAAAAGATTCAGTGATGAATATCCTCTGCCGAAAATTTATCAAAGTTCTTTGATATTTATCCATAACAAAGATGATGATAGAGTTAATCCTTGCCCGTCTAGTATTATTTGGTCGTCTGTTCGAAAAGTGTAAGACATTTTTACTTAGTTTTAATATTTTATTCTGGTGAATTTTTAATTGAATTTATTTTTAGAGATACTGAAATTGCGGTTGAAGGAAGAAAACAAGGAGCAACTACTAAAAATAAAAAAGGAAATTACTTGCTTGTGACGCGGAGAAATTTTTTGAATAATTTTTTTAACATCATTGAAAAACATCCCAAGTATAAATTACTACCAAGACATCCTAAAAAAATAACTTATTTTCACTGTAAGCAGTGGTCTAAAGATTATCAAAAATCGTGGAGTAATTTAAAAACTATTATAAAATCATGGCCGTCTAAACCAATGCACCTTCAAGAATTTTCTCTATAATAGATACTTAATTAATTATAAAAATATATTTTTTAAATAAAACTGCAATAAAGATTTACATATTGAAATTTTATAAAACTATTTTGTATATTTTAAAATAAAATTTAAACACATATCTTTAATTCTTTTTTTTTTTACATAAAATTTTTATGTAAAGAATAAAAAAATTATCAGGTGCAATTTTCTAAATAAAAATTATAATAATCTAAAAAATTATCCTTTGATAAATATAATATTGTTAATGATCTTTATTTTTGTAAAAACAATAATTATTTTAGATGATTAAATCCTCTGTACTTCAATATAAGTATTTTTTTGGTCAATTATTACCCACGTGATAAACAAGTTAAAATTACAACACAAATTTTTTAAACGTCAGCTGTCACTGTCTTTTAAGTCTAGTTTCCAAATCTCTTCATACTTCTACTACACTGAGCTCGATTGGGTAAGATAGATCTAAAACCTTCCAATAGAAAGAGTACATACAATTTATCCACCAATCATGTTAAACCACGGTTCTAAACACGCGAATCTACCAATCCAGATGGTATTACGCACTTACTCTGACGTGAAAGAAAACATCAAGCAAAAACACTCGACAAATTTGCCGTATCTTGAATCATCCTGGTTACGGTGTCTGGATATATAAAAGAGAATAAGTACTTTCATGACGTCATTATTCAAAATTATTTATAAGTTGTAAACGGTATATCGTACTTTGAACAGTATAGTCGAGAACTACCTGCCTGCCATCAATTGTAACAACATCTTAGTGGATCTTATAATTATAACAAGTAAGTATTAATAAACTTTCACATTACCATCATTATTATTACTCTATTTTGTTAAAAATATAATGTAATGAGAAAGTGCAAAATATTTTAGTGACCGGTTCATAAAAATATTAATTTAAGTAAATATTCATTTACTTAGTATCATTTTAATCTTAAAAAAAAAAAAAAAACAAGTCAACGTCTGTCATTATTGACATTGACTTATCAAATTAATCATTAAAATAATATAATATTTATCATCAATATTTTTGCCAAATTGAGTTTTTAATCTACTTGTTCTTTGAACTTATCAGGTTATATTGTATAACGATGATTTATTCCTGAATTATCATTAATAAGCAGATAATTATAATGTTTTTTTTTTTTCTAAAGTAGACTAGATGTAATAGTATGTATATTTTTTTTCAGGTAGAAGATAGCAATTATTAACCATGAGTTTACAGTGGACATTAATTGCCTCATTTTTATACGTTGAGATATTTATAGTGTTGTTGCTGGTATTGCCGGTAGCTTCACCAAAAAGATGGCAATCACTATTCAGATCAAGATTTTTACAGAGTTTAAGTAATCAAGCTTCATTTTACTTCTTCATGCTTCTCGCTATTTTAGTATTATTTTTACTTGACGCCATCCGAGAAATGAATAAATATTCCAACAAAGAACATACTGATCATGGTCACTTGGACGCTGAAATGCAAGGTACCGTTCAATTTAATAAATCACTATATTTATTACAATTAATACCGTTATCAATGAGTCATCGTTAGTTAAAAAAAATAGACCGTAACTTATTATGATGATTTCATGATCTTATTTTCAAAATGAATTAATTAAATGTAGTTAATTACTTTTGTTTACTGTTTTAGGAAGCATGAGGCTGTTCCGTGCTCAGAGGAACTTTTACATTTCTGGGTTCGCACTATTTTTGAGTTTAGTTATACGGCGACTTGTGATTCTAATTTCTACACAGGCGACTCTTTTAGCACAAAGTGAAGCGGCTTTGCGCCAAGCTCAGTCAGCAACTACTACTGCGAAAAGTTTATTGTCACAAAAAGGAGAAACAGCGCAAAACGACAGTAACGAAGCACATGACAAAGTGGTCACCGAGCTGAAGTCACAAGTATCTGAACTATCTCAAAAAAATACAGAACTTGAGAATGAGCTGAAGAAAGAGAAAAAAGACAAAGAGGCTCTCAAATCCCAGGCTGAATCACTCGCCAAAGAGTACGATCGACTCACTGGAGAGCATGCTAGATTGGTGAAAGCTGAAGGCAGTGATAAAAAAAGTGATTAATTAATTAAATTATTTTTTATCAAATTTTTAATCCTCATTTTCCATCGCTTTTAATACTTAATACCATTTATACTTGTTCATAGATATTTTACTTTTGTTGTAAATTATAATCAATATTGAATATTCGATACTCATTTCACAAATCTTCCCAACTCCATTAATTAATATTAAATATTTATCATTTTATATGTGTAGCATTTACAACATATTTATTTTAATTGTTGCTAAATAATCAAAATAATTATGTTTGTAAATAAATAGGTGAAATGGATGGTTATAGTTATATTAATATATAATGTATGGATGAATGAAGAAAATATAAAGGTTTGATTTACATAAAATACTTGTAATTATTTTTAATAATCATTTATAATGAAGAATTTATCAATAATCAGAACAGACTTGCAACAACAGTTAAAAATTATATTTAAATTTTTTTTTTACTGTACATTTCAGAAACTAGAGTCAGCATCTCTCATCATCAAATAGAGCGAAAATAAATGAGGCAGATATTATTAATAAATTTAAATCAATTTTATGTCTATTAAAAACATTACATAATTGAGAACTAGACTTTGTTACTCTTTTTCAAGAACAAATTAGTTATTGGCTGCGGAAATAATAACCAGGTAGGATATTAGCATCGAGCAGCAATAATATTAGCTCGACATTTGTCCACGCAACTGCTAAACTCTTCAACAACACTCGCACATTTCAGTATCTGACGGGGATTCTCTTGGTAACATTCAAGTACTTTTTTCTTTTTATCACTACACGGCGCAACTGTTATGTCAATGTTAACATTTTTATTGCCTGCAAAAATAAATTTTTTTTATTAATTAATTGTACGTGAATCAAGTAATGATAAAAGAAGTAGATGTTTGACAATCCTTAATTCATTAATATGGTATCAAATTTTTTAATTGTTAAAATGGTCAATAGTAGTTTTAAAAAATTTGAAGATATTTTAAAAATTAAATCATCATACATCTACCTCTTTCAGACATTAAGATCATATGGAAAAATAAATACTAAAAAGAAAAAAAACACAAAATTTTACCTGGAGCATTTGCAATTTGTTCCTTAGCACGATTATACTCATCCTGAAAAACCCTGTTTATTTTTTCATACTGCCCGTGAATTTTTTGTAAGCGTTCTCTCCAGTAGTGATCCTGAGCTTGAAGTTCATCTTCTTTTTGATGTAATACTTTCATGGCTGTCAGAGTGTAATCGGAGTACAGTTGACCTGAATATTCCGATTTTGGCAAGCTCTCTTTGCGAGTAGGTAGACTACGCATTGGTGTTACAGGAGCAGGAACAGGAGGAATAACACTCGGAGCGGCTTTGGGACTCGACTTTAAATTGTCATCGGCATAACTTTGCTGAGAAGAAGCACTATCAGTCCTAGGTGATTTTGATGACTTTACGTCACCGGCAGCATCAGCTGATACACTTTTGTCTTTACTATTCCGTGCCAATCGTTCGACTAAATCTGTTGATATCTGAATAATTCCTTCTTCGTTATCGATTGTGAGCTTACGTGCACTCTGACTGGAGCCCATGCTCCTAATTTAGATCTACTTAAAAAAAAAAAAAAATATCTATTTTAATAATTTAATTTTATTCAGTTGTTAAAATTTAATTATAAATAATCCTCGGCACTGCAGTTTAACATCACACTAATTTACTTATCGAGGTCAAAAAAAAAATATTTGTTAGTTTAATTGTTTTTGGTTATTACCTGTAGATTTTTACAAATAATTTAATTGTTATAATTTATTTATTTATTTCTATGATAATGTTACATAAATTTCATAACACATGCTGAATTAACAGAGGTGCTCAATTACCCAGAATATTTCTAATAATTTTTGGTATATAAAAAAAAAGTCAAAAGGTTATACAGTGGTGAGCAACATCTTGAAAATGATTCACATGATTTTTATCAGCGCCTCTAGTTACAGTTACTCTAACTATTACGCGCTGTTTTATTTTATATTATAAAAAAAAAAATAAATTTAACTGAAGTAATAATTCCTTTGAAAAATGATATTCTCTTTATTAAAAATCCGATTTTACATGTTTTATATATGTACTAAACTTGTACTTTTTATTGGTATTAAAAAAAATTGAATCAATTGGTTACTACATAATTAATTTCGTTATTGACCCTCTGTCAAACTATATTTTTTTTTAATATAAAACGTATTTAATTGTTCCTAATAAAATGTAATAAATGTAAAATTTTTTTTTTTTTATTTTGAAACATTCAAATATATTTAGATGCAATGATAATCCGTAATTTTTTAAACTAAACAATATTAATTTCATTAGTACCACGATAAGATTTCATATCCTGAAAGAAATCATATAATAACTAAATCATAAATAAAATTTAAATAGTAATTAAATTATTACAAAAAAATAATAATTTTCAAAAAATAATGAACTTAAATTCAATTAAAAAAGTACTTTTGCTTTTTAACTTAATACCATTTAACAATGATAAAATATAAAATGAAACTAAAAATACTTGAGCTGGATTTAAAGCCTTCATGCTGAATGGCTGTAAAAATTAAAATATTAATTAATCTAGTTTTGCACCAACAAGTCTAGGCTGTTAACTATTGGATGTAGGAACGGTAAGTTTTGGATGCGATTGATGATCAATCACACTGCCGAAATCATCGGCACTTATAATAAAAGTGATTTTCTTATCCTTATTTTTAACCGGGTGGTTTTTAAATTGATCTTTAAACCTCTGTATAAGAACGGTGACACGCTGAAAAATTTCCCCTTTAAAACTAAAGCCATCTGGGGTAACAGTAATGTGTTCATGATGACACTGAATGTTAATCAGGCACGAGAGCAGAAATTTACCAGGTTGGTTTTTGGAAGCCGATATGATGTAAGGAATTTTTTTAGGAGATTTTTCTTTTTGTTTTTTCAAAAAATCTTCAGCCTTGGTTTTCAAACCATCGATACCGTCCTGGTAGTACTTAAAATTGAGCAATTTGGACGCATAGGTAGCCATCGGGTTGATGTATTTCGCTATTATTTCATCTAGATCTTCAAACTCTTCGTCTTCAATCCACAAGCTTTTGCCAAGTGAAAAAATACTAAAGCCATTGGCTTCTTTAATAGCAACGTGTTGATAAATTTCCTCAGCAACTTTCCAAGTGGCTGACAGATATCCAAGACCTCGACTTCCAGGTCTTATGATAACTTCTCCTTGGGCCATATCCTTCATTAATTTTTCAGCCTTGGCAAAACTGACATTGCGAAAAGACGGATGATAATTAACACGCTTAATAGAAACCTGTTGCTTAGCTTTTTTTCTGTCCTCTTCTATCTTTTTATCTTCCAACTCAGCTTCGGTATCATAGAAGGGATCTTTTGTCGGGCGTAATTCATTATTTAAATCAAGTACATCGCTTCTTTTGTGTGAACATTCGACAAGAAATTTTTCAGCATGAATAGCTATCACGCGGCACTGGAGTGAACTTCCAACGACAATTATTTTTTCCGGGTCGTCAATGTATTTATCGGATAAATTTTGAACTAAAATATATCCATTTAAATTGTTTTCTAATCGTATTTTTATTTTTGAAACTGTTTTAAGACAATCTTCAGTATTAAAGTGCTCCAAGACTTCATAAGATTCCAAAAAGTCAGCTCGTGAGCAGTATGGACATATCCAGAATCCAGTTTTTTCACTTTGAACAGGATCCAATTGATTTTCAGGCTGATCAGCCGCTGGTTTTTTGTAGCCAATACCAATGACTGTAGCTGAAACTAATTTACCAACATAAAGTGTCTCAGGCGTCTCTTTTGTCAGCATATCAAACAGCTGCTCAGCATTCGGAGATGTGTACGGTGTCCTAGGGTCTTTGTAGCCAGAATTTATTTCTGTTAGCACATCGTTGAGTGTGATAAGCTTCTTGCCAAATCCTCGTAACTCCAATTCCTTTGCAAAGGCGTCTAAATCCAATTCCAAAAGCTTTTTCGGTACTTTCATAATATCTTCCAGAGCCATATCTGTGTCATCGTTGTCTTCGTCATACTCCAGAGCATCGAACGCCATCTTAGTTGCTAGCTTGTAAGTTTCAGGATGAATTCTTGTACTATCCAGTACCTGAATATGTGACTCCGAATTATATCTTAAGCTATCAGTATCAATTTTAATGAATCCAGCACAATTAATGTAAACCTTGGGACCCATATGGCACATTGTCACTAATTGTTCTCTACTTTCAAGTTTCTGATTTTTGCTTTTTATTATTTTTAATAATGCACGACTTTTTCTAGGTCCCAATCCATTGACAAATTGCAGCAAACTTTCAGTATATCTTCGATTTTCATTAATGTCAACACCAACAGCATTAACGGTATTGATAAATTCAGTATGAAGATTATTAATGAGTTCTTCTTTCGACAAAGAATCTTGAAGAGGATGAAATTTTAAACATAACAAATCGTTATCAGAATTACATAACTGAGAAAATTCCCCTAAAGGATTCTGCAGCCTTCGCGCAAGTGAAATAGCTTCTCTCAATTGCGGTGGATAGCTAGGAAACTCGGTGGCTCCTTTAGTGTTAGCATAAATTTTAGCCACGTTACTATCTGATATTTCAACTTTAATCATCGGATAATCTTCTTCTTCAAACAGTACAGCAATACATTGTGTGACATCTTGAGACACATGAAGAGCTTCTTTAGATTCGCCTCCTATAACAACAGCATGCGGTTTATTCTTCGAAATAAAATTCGTTAAAGCTCTGAGTTCTTCGTTTTTTAAAGCTCCATCTGAACTGTAGTAATAATTTTTACGCTTCAATAAATGAGGCAGCTTAAGGTGGTCTTTGCACTCACCACTCGGAGAAACTATGCACGCAAATGCCGCTTGTGAGCTATCGGGAACATAAGCGATCCCCATAACACGGGCTCCATGCGTTGTATCCCAGTCTTTATCATCTTTTTTATCAGGAAACTCACATACAATCGGAGCAACGTTGATCCAGTCATGTAATTTTTGACAACATGCGTTCATGACAAATGACTTGGCCTCCTCCAATAATTTATTTCTCAGCTCTTTTTTCAAATCCGGAATTACTAGTCGCAAAAGAGCGTCTTCAACAGAGTTGGCTCGTAATTTATTCCATTCTTGGACTATATCGCTATTATTGTTTTTAATGAATAACTGTCTCATCTCGTCGATGTAATTGTCCGAAGAATTACCTTCAACGATGTCACTCAATTGAATCGTTAGTAATTTGTCTTTCTCAGCTATCACTAATTTGAGCCACTGGTCTCCCACTAGTTCGCGTGCTGGTTTTTCTTTCAAATACTGCATTGTATACAGTGGATGACTCTCGTCAATTTCTTTGATGCCTTTCTTAGTGGGTCTTACATACAATTTAGCGCGCTCCATATAAATCATACGAACGCATTTTCGAAGTAGTGGTTCGCGCGATAATTGGACTGCCATCATAGTTTGCGCAGCTCTGAAAACATCTTCAATTGTCTTAAAAGTTTCTCCAACAAACTCTTGGGCTAAGTCATTGGGATGGATTGCCACCTGATGAACTTTATGGTGCTGATAATTATCTTGAACATTCTCAGCGAATTGCAGAGGAGAGAGTCCAAATTTTTTGGTAAAATTTTCAAATCCAAACTTTTTAAACACTGCGTAAGACCCACTCCTCACAGCTTTTTTACGAGTTGATGTTACTTTGACTTCTTCTTTTTTACTATCTTCAGAAGGTGATCCTGATTTCTCACCTTCTATGTAGCTCATTATTTCTTGCATCTCGGGAATATCTTGACGGTAGTACAACATTAAATGATGATGAAAGTCATTTAATTCATCGTTAGTTTGTACATTTTCTAATTGCATAATATATTTATCATCAATAGTTCTAATGCCAGAAGCTTCTTTCTTTATTTTTATTTTACTCATCACATAGTCTTTCATATTTTTAAATAAATGGAGTAATTTTTTCTTTCTTTCATACATCTGACACCATTTTCCATCAAACTCGTAGACTTTCCACAAATCTTTAATAGTCAATTCAGGAAGAATATATTCTTTGCGATAAAAAGCTATGAAAGATACCTCAAAATTGTTATTGCGAATAAAATCAAGTGCGTTTTTTATTTTATCTACAGTCTCTAGACTTTTTTGGCGAAGTTCATTAATATTACCGCTGATATTCATAGTTTGACGTGAAATAGTAAGCTGGTCAAACGCTTGTTGATAAATCCAATGAGCCTCTAGGTTTAGCTCATCTGAATTATTGGGTACCGGAGTAACTGGTATCAAACGTTCTTGCATCCTCTCAGGTAAATCTTTACAACGAATCTCTTGGTCCCGATCTGTATAATAAGCACGCTTGAGATCGATCGGTTCATAAACGTCAAAAATACTTTTCACACCCTGTTTAACCTTCCGTTGAAGCGATAGTTCCCCTTCTTCAGCCTCATCATCATCATCTTCATCGCGTTGTTTAAATTCTTCATAATCAAAGTCGGTTCCGAATATTTCTTGAGCTTCTCGGTAAGCTGAATTCGAGCATACTCTATCTTTTTGTGTATCAGACATTATTGGAACATCCGGTACTATAAAATCATCTACACCAGAAGATTCGCCATCACTACTGTCCTCCTTATCACACAAAGTAGTAATGTTTTTGGAAATCTCATGATTTTTATCAGATTTCTTGTTTTGATCATCATCTTCCTAAAAAAATTAATACAATTAAGATTTTGCAAAAATAAACATGACATTAAAATTTGCAAATACTGGACAATTTTTGTATTTTCTTTAAATAATAAATTAGGTTTAGAAAATTATCTTTAAAATATTGCATTTATAATTTTGTAGAGCATTTAAAGAAAGAATTTTTTAAATAAATTTTTCTTGTTACAATTTATTAGTTAAAAAATTTCTAAAAAGTATCAGATGTCTCTCAATTTCATTATCATAAATAAATATACTATTAAATAGATAGAATAACTTACATTAGAGTCTCCTCCAAATAATTCTGCGGCTATAGAAACTTTAGTATTACTATTGACTTTAGCTATGGTCTGGATGCTGTCATCAGCATCAGACTCACTGTCTGAAAACTTTCGTACACGTTTAAAACGTTGTCTTTTAATTTTTGCACCAACATTTTCTTCAATAAGATCATAGTCATCGTCATCTAATCTGCTATCAAAAGTAACTTGTTTTTTTTTTCGTTTTTTTGAGCGGTTGAGTGAAGAGTCTTCTTTTTTTCTTTTTTTTACTCCTTCATCTAAATAATTATACCATCGATTTATTAATATTAAATCAGTTAAATAAGTTTAAAAAATATAATATTTACCTTTTGGACTTTCTTCGTCACTGGAGTCAAATAATTTTTTAACCCTTCTTTTTTTCGCAAGCTTGGCAGATTTTTTTTCAGACTCCATCTTCAATAAAAATAAAATATTAGCACGTATCATTTTGATTTGTAATTAAAAACAATCATCCAAGACACAAAAATTATTAAAAATTTATAAAAACAATCTTACTAACTATCAAAAAATTTCATGTCTGTACCTGTCTCTTTTTATCATGGATCTGAACTTGATTTTTCATATTTTATATTAAAATGTTTATTAAATATTTTAAAAATTATGCACGAATAAAAACGTTTAAAAAATAATAGTAAGTAGAATGAAGACTGAGCGACTAAGACACAATAAAAAAAAAATAAAAACTCCGAAGCGTTAATTTAAAAATTCGCCGTTAATCTTGAGGGCGTTGATTGTGAAATAGTTTTGATCTTACTTCACGCATCTCACACAAAGAACTGAGTCAAGAGGAAATCTGAGACGCCAGAGAAAAAAATGTTTATCTAACCCTGAGTTTGATATACAATTATTGTTATTATGGTTCACATAAATGCAATTCATGACTGTACACTATAGACAAGTGTACTATTAAAATTTTGACATATAAATTTTTATTTATCATATAAAATTTATGATAAAATATATTTTGCATTGTTATTCAACTATACAACATTAATAAAAATTTCTGGAGACAATGGCAGCATTTTTCAGTCAATCAGCAGAGGTAAAGTTAAATAATTAAAATTAACCTTCATTTTGCAGGTCTTTTAATTAATTAGTTAATTAACTAGTTTCAATACAGTTGATTTACAATCAGTTTTTTCTTTTTTCTTATTTTTCTGTAGCAAGCGTATGATGAAGACGACGAATTCAGTGGCAAGAAGAGAAAAATAATCATCCATTCGGATGACAGTGACAACGATGAAAGTACGTTGCTTTTTATTTTACCAAACAATAAATTATTCTGTTAATATTTTAAACTATTTCAATTATGATTGAAAATTCATTTAGCATATATTTAATAATTTTTTTAACAAATAAATTATGGCAAAAACAAAATTGAAATATAGAAATTTATAAAAATAAATAATGCAATTTTTTAAAAAAATTTACTTGTTAAAAAAAGATTAAGTGGCTGATAACTTTAATGTCATAACGAATTGTTAAAGTTTTGTTATTTTAACATTTTTGAACAAACATTTCTACTTAGCAATAATTCTTTTAAAAAAAATTCGATATCTGTTATTATTTTCAATTTTAATTTCGAATTCTACTATGTAGTTTGTTAAAAGTTGAAAATTATTTTTCAGATTCAGACGATAAAAGTTTAAAAAGTGGAAATGCGGAAAGTGACGATGATAATAATTTTGACGACCGTCTAGAGGACGAAGACTATGATTTATTAGAAGAAAATTTGGGTGTACCCATTCAAAGAAGACGTTTCAAACGTTTAAAACGGATGCCCATTAATGCATCTGACGATGAAGAAGAAGAAGAAGATGCGGAGGCTACGAAACAAGATATTGCTACTGGCTTATTCAATGGTGGTGATAGCGTAAGTTTTTTATTTGCTTAAAACCATTAAAACTACAAAAATGATTTGAAATTAATGATTCAATTTTTAGGTGAATGATGGACGTAGTTCAAGTGTCGAGTCTGATCACCAAGTATTTGATCTCGACAACAGTAATGATGAAGCTTCGTCAGACGAAAATGATTTTATAGTTGACAACAATGACAGACCTTTGCCAAAAAGAAAAAGATATTCTGGCGCTGACTCTGCTTTAAATGACGCACGAGAAATTTTCGGAATAAATTATGACTTCAATGAGTTTAACAATCAGCGTGATGAAGACACTTACGAAGAAGAAGATGAAGACGAGGAAGATACTGGAGGTGTATCTGGACGCGGTAGTCTTCCATCTAGGCGACAAAAAAAGAAACAAAAAAAAGTTCTGCAAGGAACAGTACTGATATTTTTCATGTTTATGAACCAGCTGAACTACAGCAAGCACATTACACGGATTTCGATCACCAAATTCGAAGCACAGACATCCCAGAAAGGATGCAATTGCGTGCAACACCGATTACTCCTGTAGCCGCAGGATCTGATGAACTTGATCAGGAATCAGAATGGATATACAAGCAAGCATTCTCTCAGACTAAAATTCTGCAACAAGTTGAAGATTATTCGAGTGGATTCGATGATTTTCAATCTAAAGGTCCAGAATCTGTAGAGAAAATAAAAAATGTATTAAACTTTATGCGCAATCAGCATTTCGAAGTACCTTTTATACTTTTTTATAGAAAAGAAGAAATTCAACCAGATTTGAACATTAACGATTTGTGGAAAATATATCAGTTTGACGCTAAATGGTGTCAATTACGGCAACGTAAAAATAAGTTGATTCGTTTATTTGAAAATATGAAAGATTTTCAACTTGATGAAATTATTAAATACCCTGATCAACCTCTTCCAGATGATGTTAGAATAATCAAAGAAAATGATATTGAACAATTGAAGAATGCACAAACTGATGAAGACTTAAAAGATGCTTACAACCACTTTATGCTTTACTACAGTCATGAAATTTCGGCAATGCAAACGGCTGTGAAATTGAAAGCGGAAAAAGCCAGACTACTGAAAAAAATGGAAAAGCGTAAGCAGCAACTGGAAGCTGAGGAAAATGGTGAAGATCCGCCGCATGAAGATCAGAGCGATAATGAACTAGAAGAAGTTGATAATAATCTTAAGCACGCTATACGTCGGGGACCTTACACATATTACAGACGCGCTGGGCTCTGTAGTTTCGCCAAAAAATTTGGTCTCATGCCGGAACAATTTGCTGAAAATTTAAGAGATAATTATCAGCGTCACGAAGTTGATCAGGATGCTATTGAACCGAGTGTGGTAGCCGAAGATTTTCTGGGAAAATTTTACCAGTCGACTGAACAAATTTTGAAAGCTGTTACATCGATGGTGGCGATCCAATTGGCTCGAGAACCTATTTTACGAAAAAGCGTACGTGAAATGTATATGGAACGTGCTAAGATATCAGTACGACCCACTAAAAAAGGTTTCAAACAAATAGATGAAAATCATCATCTTTACACTGTTAAATATTTGAAGGATAAGCCTATTAGAGAACTGGTTGATAATATGTGGCTGAAGTTATTAGCAGCTGAAAAAGATGGCCTGATAAAAATGACTCTAAGCGATACAGTTGAAGGCACGAGTAGTTCTGATTTTATCGAAGACTTCAAACAATTATACGTAAGAGATGAATTTAGTAAAAATGTTCAGGATTGGAATGATTTACGTAAAGCCAGTGTAGAGTTGGCTTTTAAAAATTACGTTATACCAGACTTGAAGATCGAGCTTCGTTCAAAAATAACTACCGAGGCTGTGGAGTCAATAATACAATTATGCTGTCGTAAACTATCCAATTGGATTAAATTTGCGCCTTACACCTGTGAGTTTTATAATGTTGATGAAAATAATGATACTGAAACGTGGAAAACTACCTCAGGTATTCGGTCAATGGGAATTTCTTACGTCCCTGATTCTTATGAAGCTGCTTTTGCCGTGATGGTTGCTCCAAATGGAGACGTTGTTGACCATTTAAAACTTCCTCATTTGTTGAAACGAAAAAATAGTTACAATGAGACCGAAAAACTTCTCAAAGAATCGGATTTACTCTGTCTGAAAAATTTCATTGGCAAGTTTAAACCTCATGTTATTGTTGTCAGTGGTGCATCCAGAGACGCACAGACGATTGTTAATGAAGTTAGAGAATGTTTGACAACTCTCAGTGACGAGGAACAGTATCCCGCTATACAAGTAGAAATATGCGACCCAAATGTAGCCAAAGTTTATTCACTCAGTAATAGAGGTGTAGCCGAGTTCAGCAGCTATCCACCTTTACTAAGAGAAGCTATTTCTCTTGCTCGGCGTTTACAGGATCCTCTGGGTGAATTTTCTCAGCTTTGTAATTCAGATGAAGATTTATTATGCTTGAAATTCCATCCGCTTCAAGATTTACTACCAAAAGAAGAGCTTTTGGAGAATTTGTATCGAGAATTTGTCAACAAGGTCAACGAAGTTGGTGTTGATCTTAGTAAAAATAGAATTTATAACGATACTTTACTCCAATTTGTCTGTGGATTAGGTCCAAGAAAAAGCCGTGGATTGTTAAAAATATTAAAAGACAAAAATACTATGCTGGAAAATCGGACTCAATTAGTGACTGTTTGTCATATGGGTCCAAAAGTGTTCATTAATTGTTCTGGATTTATAAAAGTAGATACGACTGCTCTCGAGGAACGTACCACTGACGCTTACATTGAGCCTTTAGACAGCACGAGAATTCATCCTGAAACTTATGAATGGGCTCGGAAAATGGCCGTCGATGCTATGGAGTACGAAGATGAAAATTCGCATCACGTCGGCGCGGTTGAAGAAGTGATGCAAACTCCTGAAAAGCTTCTGGATCTAGATCTCGACGCTTTTGCAACTGAATTGGAGAAACAGGGTTTTGGAAATAAAACTACCACACTCTATAGCATCAGAACGGAATTGACGGAGCGTTATAAAGACCCTCGATCACCCTATGAGTCTCCTTCCTCGGAAGAATTATTTACAATGCTTACCAAAGAAAGCGCCGAGACTTTCTATGTAGGAAAATTAATCAATGCAACGGTGATTGGTTTTAGGTTTAAAAAACCCGACACTGAACAAAGGGATCAGACAAATCCTGTGAAAAATGATGAAACTGAGCTCTGGGAATGTCCGTTTTGTACAAAGAACGATTTTCCGGAGCTTGCAGATGTTTGGAATCATTTTGATGAAGATTCATGTCCTGGTAAAGCTATTGGTATTCGACTGCGTTTGGACAACGGGTTGTCTGGACACATTCATGTGAAAAATATATCTGATCAACGTGTCGAGAATCCTGAGGATAGAGTGCAAATACGACAAACAATAATGTGTCGTGTTACTAAAGTTGACATGGACCGTTTCAGCGGTGAGTGCTCCAGTAAAAGCAGCGACCTCACTGATGAAAACAACACATGGCGACCTGCCAAAGATTCTTACTACGACCTAGAAGCTGAAGAGGAAGATAACAGAGCTTTAGAAGAGATAAAAAAAGATAAACAGCAGGTTTATGTTAAACGCGTCATCATTCATCCCTCATTTTATAACATAAGTTTTGCTGAAGCTGAAAAAATGATAAAATCGATGAAACAAGGTGAAGCTATCATCAGGCCTAGTAGCAAGGGCACCAATCATTTGTCAGTTACTTGGAAAGTTACTGATGATATTTTTCAACACATCGATGTTGTCGAAGAAGAAAAAAGCAACGTTTATACTCTAGGACGCAGTCTATGGATTGGAACGGAAAATTTTGACGATCTGGATGAAATTATTGCAAGATACGTTAATGTTATGGCTGGTTACGTCTCGGAGATACTGGAATCCAAATATTACAACAAAGAGGTCCTGGGTTTTAAGGACAAAGCTCAAGAAATCTTAAAGGAGCTGAAAAAAAATAATCCCACTGGCATTCCTTATATTATATCCGCTTCTAAAAATCATCCTGGTAAATTTTTGCTTTCATATCTTCCACGAGAAAAATGTTATCATGAGTATATTACTGTCACGTCGCAAGGATTTCAATTTCGTAATGAAGTATTCAATAATCTTGACTTGTTAGTACGTTGGTTTAAAAAACATTACAGAGACCCAATTGTTGAGACTCCACAATCGGAACTGACACCCAAAGATACTCCTTCAGACTTTGCTGGCTTAGCTGCTTAAATTTGTGCTTAGTACTATTGTGTTGACATTTATTGTTCATTGTTAGTTAAGTAGTTAAAAAAGTATTACTATCTTTATAACTTTATTTAAGTATTTGTGCTTATTTCTGGATAAATGATTTGTTGCTACTGTATCCAGTTATATATATTTTTTCTATTAAAATTTATTGATGAAAGAATAATTATTTTTTTTTAATTTTACCAGCCCAAGATTTTGTTTGTAAATAACATTTTAATTAATGAATTATTAATTATAATAAAATAGTTTTAAATCTATATTTGACAATTTAAATAAACTTTGATGTAGATGGCGGTAGATGAAAAAAATTAACAGAGGTGTTATAAATAAATATACTAAAATTTTGTAAGGTTACGTGCTTGTTAAAGTTCCGTCTGGAGTCACGGGAGGCGTCATAGGTATCATAGGCTGGCATGTTCAAGAATTACTTCCACTAAAAATGAATGGAATAAATTAAAAAAAAAACAGCGTGAGTGATCAGTCGTTTTCTCTAGTCCACCGTTGAACAAAAGTGGATTTAATTGTTTTTAAGTTATTTATTTAAAATTGTAAATTATTTAGTTTTTTTTTTAAGTGTTTTAATTTTTACCAATTGTAAATATTATATTATATTTAATTAATTGTAAATAATGGCTGATTTTGTCTACTCCGAAGCTGAGGAAAGTGAGGTAAATATTGCATGTAATTTATATAAAAATTTATTTTCCTTATTCTTAAACCGATTAATATTTTTAACTCCCAATAATCAGTCGATTATGTAATTGTCTTGGATATTTACATTTGTTTATCAAATTCATGTTGTTTAATTCTGATGCTCTTTAACAGCACGATGATGACGAGGAGGAGGCGATTGATCATGGACGCAAGAAAAAAGTCAAGAAAACATTGGATGAAAGTGAAGAAGAAGAAGACGGTAAATACTATATTTTTCTTTAATTTTTTTGTAGAATAAAAAATAATGCTAAGCTATTAAAATATCAATTTTTACGTACTTAAATTTTTAATGCGAAAATATTGTTATGTAAAGATTTTTCCTTTACATATTTAATTAATTATAAAAAATGACAATAATTTTCTTTTATTTTTAACGTTAGTAAAAATTATTTGAGTGTGAAAATTAAGTCTCTGGTTTGGCTTTTTGTAAAAGGCCTGGAGAAATTCCCACAATTAGTTTGGGACCTAGGTAATTAAGGGACTAAAATCTAAAAAGATAGATAAATAAGAGTTCGTTACATGTAAGCAAATTTCCTTATACTTTAAATAAGAAATACTTAAGAAATAATAAAGAACATTAGAGAAAAGAATTTACCTCGAATAGAAAGATTTTAGAGTAACAATATCCAGATACATTTTTAATAATGCTCTTTTAAATAATTTCAGATAATATATAAAAAAAAAAGAATACAAAAAATTCAGACAATTTAAATTAAACAAATAATAAATAATAACAATATTCTACAACAAAAACAAAATCATAATTCTGGAACGTTAATAAATGAAACATTTTTATAAATAAATAATTCAACTCAAAATGCATAGAAGGATATTGAATTCTAATAAATTAGTAGTTAAAAGTTTTAAATAAATAATGTTATGTTGAATTGTATATATGTAGGTATGTCTTTGTCTGTACGTAAATGCGTTTAAGGACCTAAACTATACGTTTAGGAAAATCTTAAATAGGGGGTAGAAGCCCAAGAAAATAGGCAACTACAGTGCTCTCTCCCTAAGATATAACAGGTTATCTTTTTTTCTCTTGTTAGTGACTAATGAAAAAATGGCGACAGAGCTAAAATATCTTAGAGGAGGGGGGGGGGGGCACTGCATAAGAATGAAATAATAATTGATGAATAAATAGTGTCAAAAATAATTAATAAAAGTAACCACGTGTAAGCAACTTGAGGTATTATCTATCTTTTAAAATTCTCCTATGTAAATTTTAAATGTTAATTTACTATTAGATAAAATTTTGCATAAACTAAATTTGTGTTTAACAATATTCTCTATATATTAAATAATTTGAATCATAATTTTATTAATAAAACCTGCCCCTCTAATCTTCTAGGTTCCCGGTCTAGTGGTTGAAACACACCAGGACCAAAATAAATTTAATTCGTTTTTGTCCAATCTGGACATAACACAGTAAAGTTATTGAAATATAAATTTCCACGTGATTTAATTTTTAATGCAAAAATACCTAATCTACTTATTGGCAAATCACTTCGAGACACTTACATTTTGGTTCAGTTAAAATAAAAATGTCGGGAGTGGTTTATTATTCTATTAGAAGATTAATTGTAAATATTTTTAAATTCTTTGTACTGATAATGTTTTTAAATTTATAGATGATGAGGACAAATTACGAGAAGAGTTAAAAGATTTGATAGACGATCGACCCATTGAAGAGAGCGATGGCGAGGACAGTGATGCATCTGGTGATCCCAAGAAAAGAAAAAAAAGCGATGACGAAGATTTTGACGACCGATTGGAGGATGATGACTACGACCTCATCGAGGAAAATTGGGGTATTACCGTAGAAAGAAAACGGTTCAAACGACTTAAGCGCATGCAAGATGCCGAGTCTGACGAAGAAGAGGATGGTGATGCCGAAAAGAGGGAAAGAGAAGTCATTGCCAATGAGATATTCCCTCATGGCGAAGGTTCTGGCGATGTAAGTATTGTTTTTGGCAATATTATTTTTGTATTCACCTAGTGTAGTAATTATTGTATGTAATTGTCCCGTGCCACCTTGATTTAAAAATAAAGGATAGGACTGCGGTAGGTTTTAAGTAAAAATTTTTGTAGTGTTTATGATAATGTTATTTTAGTGATTAAAATGAATTGAGAATTGGTTTTTTATATTGAATGATTTTTCAGGAGGATGGAAGAAGCGAAAGGAGTCATCGACCGGAACCCGAGATTATTGACGGTGAAGGCAGTGAGGGAGAATACTCTGAAGACGATGATTTTATTGTAGGTGACGATGACCGACCTATTGGCGATAAAAGACGGAAGAAAAAAGTTTTTGAAGACGCAGCGTTGCAAGAAGCTCAAGATATTTTTGGAGTTGATTTTGACTACGATAATTTTGAGAAATTCGGAGAGGATGAATATGAAGAAGAAGATGAAGATGAGGACGATTATGTTGATGATGAAGGAGTGGAACGACCAAGAAGACACAAAAAACAGTCAAAGAAAAAACCTTCGAAGAAAACAATTTTCGAAGTTTACGAGCCAAGTGAGCTCAAACGTGGACATTTTACGGATTTGGATAACGAAATTCGTAACACAGACATACCTGAGAGGATGCAGTTACGTTCAATGCCGATCACTCCGGTGCCTGAAGGCTCAGATGAGCTAGACCATGAGGCGGAGTGGATTTATCAACAAGCATTCTGTCGCCCTACGATATCTAATCAAGACACTAATTTAAATAACGACATGAACGATGGCGGAGGAAAAGGACCGCAAACTGTCGGTAAAATAAAAAAAGCTTTAGACTTTATGCGGAATCAATACTTTGAAGTTCCTTTTATATCTTTCTACAGAAAGGAGTACGTTCTTCCAGAATTAAACATAAATGATTTGTGGAAAGTATATAAATATGACGCCAAGTGGTGTCAGTTACGTCAACGAAAAGAAAATTTACTTCGTTTGTTTGAAAAGATGCGAGATTTTCAGTTAGACGAAATTATGAAAAATCCAGACGCTCCTCTTCCGGATGATGTCAGAGTCATCAAAGATGACGATATCGAAAGACTAAAGAGCGTACAAACAAATGAAGAGTTGAATGATGTTCACAATCATTTTATGCTTTACTACAGTCATGACATCCCAGCTATGCAAGAAGCGGTAAAGCGGAAGGAAAAGGCAGCTAGACAGGCTGAAAGATTGCAAAAACGCAAACAACAGCTGATGGAGGCGGAAGAAAATGGAGAAGATCCACCGCCTGAGGAGGAAAATCCAGACGAAGTGGAAGAAGTTGAAGACTCCTTGAAACAAGCAGTAAGAAGTGGACCCTACGCACTTTGTAGACGCGCTGGGCTTCATAGTTTTGCCAAAAAATTTGGTCTTACTCCTGAGCACTTCGCAGAAAATTTACGTGATAATTATCAGCGTCATGAGGTAGATCAAGATCCTGTCGAGCCTAGTGTAGTTGCCCAAGAATATGTTGGAAAATGTATAGAGTCAGTTGAAGAAGTTCTGACGGCTGTTAAAATCATGGTATCAATTCAACTGGCACGTGAACCGCTCGTGCGAAAGTGTGTCCGTGAGATGTATATGGAACGTGCTAAAATATCAGTACGACCAACAAAAAAGGGAATCACTGACATTGATGAGAACCATCCGATCTACACAATGAAATATCTTAAAGACAAACCTGTGCGTGATCTCACTGGAGACCAATGGCTCAAATTGGAAATTGCTGAGAATGATAAGCTTATCAAGATTTCTTTGAGCGATACTTTCGCCGGTAACACTAGCAATAATTACATCGAAGAGATGAAGCAGCTTTATATAAGGGATGAATTCTCAAAGAATGTTCAAGACTGGAATAATCTGCGAAATGCCAGCGTTGAGCTAGCGTTAACTAGATACGTTATTCCGGATTTAAAAAAAGAACTGCGTTCAAATCTTTCAACCGAAGCAAAAGATTACGTTATGCGTGCTTGTTGTCGAAAACTGTACAACTGGTTAAAAGTAGCACCATACACTTGTTCATTCCCCGATGAAGACGATGAGGAATGGGACACGAAGAATGGTGTACGAGTAATGGGTATAGCGTACGTTCCGAATATCAGCGAAGCGGCTTTTTCTTGCGTTGTTTCTCCGGACGGCGAGTGTGCGGATATCTTGCGTTTGCCTCATTTGCTGAAAAAGAAAAATAGCTATAGAGACGACGAGAAGCTCAAGAAAGAAGCCGATTTACTTGCAATCAGAAATTTCATCAGGAAAAATAAACCTCATGTTATTGTCATTGGAGGTGAATCAAGAGAAGCTATGATGATTTCTGCGGACATAAAAGAATCCCTGACAATTTTAGCTGAGGAAGAACAATATCCAGCAATAAGTGTAGAGATATTAGATAATGATCTAGCAAAACTTTATTCTGCTAGTGAAAAAGGTAAAGCTGAATTCCGCGACTATCCGGACTTACTGCGGCAAGCAGTTTCTTTGGCTCGGCGTCTTCAAGATCCCCTGGTTGAATTTTCTCAGCTGTGTACTTTGGACGAAGACATACTGTGCTTAAAGTATCACAGTCTTCAAGGCCAATTGTCAGAGGAGGAATTATTAGAAAATTTGCACTTGGAATTTGTAAACCGGGTTAATGAAGTTGGTGTTGATGTTAATAAGGCTGTCCAGCAAAATTATTCTGATAGCTTAGTTCAATTTATTTGTGGTTTGGGACCACGCAAAGGTCAAGCACTGATAAAAATGCTCAAGCAAACTAACCAACGACTCGAAAACAGAACTCAGTTGGTAACTGCTTGTCACATGGGCCCGAAAGTATTTATAAATTGCGCAGGATTTATTAAAATTGATACAAATAGTTTGGGAGACAGTACAGAAGCTTACGTTGAAGTTCTAGACGGTTCTAGAGTGCATCCAGAAACCTACGAGTGGGCTCGTAAGATGGCTGTCGACGCTTTGGAGTACGACGACGAAGATGCCAATCCAGCTGGCGCATTGGAAGAAATTCTTGAATCCCCGGAAAGATTAAAAGACTTAGATTTAGATGCCTTTGCTGTAGAGTTGGAGAGACAAGGTTTCGGCAATAAATGTGTAACACTGTATGACATCAGGTCGGAGCTTAATAGTCGCTACAAAGATCTGAGAACGTCATATCAAAGCCCAACTCCTGAGCAACTGTTTGACATTCTGACCAAGGAAACGCCGGAGACATTTTACATAGGCAAACTCATGTCAGCCGTCGTAGTTGGAATTAGTCACAAGAAACCTCAAGGTGAGCAGTTGGATCAAGCAAATCCAGTGCGAAACGATGAGTCCGGGTTGTGGCAATGTCCTTTTTGTTTGAAAAATGACTTCCCCGAATTATCTGAGGTATGGAATCATTTCGACGCTGGTGCATGTCCTGGTAAAGCCGTGGGCGTGAGAATTGTGCTAGATAATCCTAATATATCTGGTTACATTCACATAAAAAATATATCTGACAATCATGTCGCTGATCCGGAGGAGAGATTGCGAGTTCGTCAGACTATTCATGTACGTATAATTAAAATAGAAGTCGACCGGTTCAGTACTCAGTGCTCGTGTAAAACTTCCGATTTAGCAGACAAAAATAACGAATGGAGGCCAGCCAAGGATCCATACTACGATACAGAAGCTGAGCAGCAAGACAAGAAATTTGTTGAAGACTTCAAGAAGAAGAAGCAGCAACAGACTTATGTCAAACGTGTTATTGTACATACATCGTTTCACAATGTAAGTTTTGCTGAGTGCGAAAAAATGATGAAGACACTCCGGCAAGGCGAGGTGATAATACGGCCTAGCAGCAAGGGATGTGATCATCTGGTTGCCACTTGGAAAGTAACTGATGATATTTATCAATACATCGACATAAAAGAAGAAGACAAAGCAAATGATTTTTCTCTAGGACGTCGGTTGATGATCGGAAATAATGACTACGAAGATCTCGATGAAATAATAGCAAGTCATATTAATCCAATGGCTGCTTACGCTGCTGAGTTACTTGACTTCAAGTATTATAAACGCAGTGTAGACGGTATTAAAGACAAAGCTGAAGAAATACTGAGAGAACAGAAAAAAGAAAACCCCGGTAGCATTCCTTATATTATATCTGCGTCGAAAAATTACCCAGGGAAATTTTTACTGTCATATCTTCCTCGATTGCGCTGTTATCACGAGTTTATATCAGTCTCCAAAGACGGATTTCGGTATCGCGGAGAAACATTCGCGCGTGTTGATAAACTTGTAAGCTGGTTCAAGAAAAATTTCCGGATGCCGATTCCTGGTCAAGCTACGCCCAGTACTCCGCGAGGAGCTTCTTCGAGGACGCCGTATCACACTACTCCTGGAGTTGGAAATGTTAATCAAGAAGCAATACAGCGAGTTGCGCAAAATCTTCCTCATCATATGCTGCATTCGCTTTCACAGGTGGCCAACCAGACACCTCACTACCCGCCACATACTCCTGGTGCTACTGGTGCCACCGGTTATGGAATGCATACCTATCCCAATACTCCGTACACGCCTTCAGGACAGACACCATTCATGACACCCTTCCAAACGCCTCATCACTCTCAGCCTACGCCGAGATACGGACAACAAACACCTAATCATCAGTTTGTCCATCCTGGACCACCCATGAGTCAGAATACTCATCACAGATCAATGTCACATCGAAGTTCCACGTCTTATGGTCTTGGTAATGAAGAAGAGTTGAAGAAAGCGGCCGAGGACTGGGCGAGACTGAAACAGTCAACACCTAGAGGATCGTAAGTTTTTTTTTTATTTTTGATATTTAAATGTCATTTTTAAATTAATAAACACTCTGACAATTTTTTTTTAATTTTTAACACAACTAAATTATTATGAAATAATTTAAATATAAAAATTACACATTTAGAAATTTAAAAAAATTACAAGTGCAAATTCTTTAAAACGTTTTTTTTTAATGATTTATTTGTATTAAAAATGAACAAAAATTATCAGATTTTTGCTAATTTCAATATAATTATTTAAAATAATATTAATATTGAGAAACATTTGACAATTTTTAGAAATTTTTTAACTAATAAATTATAGTAAGAAAATTTATTTAAAAAATTCAATCTTTAAAAGCTCTAAAAAATTATAAATAATTTTTAATTTATTATTCAAGAAAAATATTGTCAAGTGTTTGCCAATTTAAATGTCATTTATTTAAATCTAAATTCAATAAATATAAATCCATTAAATACTAAACTATTTATCATTTACTTTAATTAGAACTCCAAGGTATGATGATATGAGAAAACCACGTGATTATGCGGACACTGGAAGATCAACACCACGCAACCGACATTCATCTCACGCGTCATCTCGCACTCCGTCGTACCGATCACCCCGGGGAACGCCAAATACTAATTCAAGCCCTCGGAGTATGTCGCTCAGCGGAGATGGCACACCTCTCTATGACGAAAGTTAATTATATTAAATTATTGTATACAACCGGTCTTATGTTAGACGTTATTTTTTTATTTATAATGACTTTTTTTTCCTAAGAACTGACTTATAGATTAAGTTAATTCTAATTTTTAATCGATTTTTATTATAATTAAACGTAAACAAAATTCGTATTATGTAAATAACTGTTACGTTATTTTATCAATTATGTATATTATTAAAATTATTTACAATTATACCTATGTATCTGCAATACATAAATTTTCTTTGTTTATTCTACAACAAATATTTTTAATAAATGAATTTATCTCCATAAAATAAATACGTTTGTTAGTTAACAACCTTTATACTCATTATTTGATAATTGTTTACTTGCTAATATGATCATTTGATTTTTAGTCATGAAAAATAAAAAAGTTGATTGATTTAAAAAATTATTTCTGAAGAGAAATTACTCAAAGAAATAAGTTAATGAAAGTAACAGAATTTATCATCATTTTTGTGAAAATTAAGTTAGTCGACATCTGAAAATTTTTAGTTTTTTTTTATTTAAAAAATTATTACAAAAAAAAAAATTAAATTGTAAAAATTTGAAAAACTGTAAGTGCAATTTTTAAAAGATATTATTTTGTTCTAATTTAATTAATGAAAAAAATCAAAAAATTAAAAACGTCAGCTATAACTTTAGTAAAATTAATTTAAAAAAAATAAAATTAATTATTCAAGAGAAAAATTGTTAATTTTTAAAATTAAAAATTCTAAACATTTGAAATTTAAATACCGATAGAGAAATAAGAAATTTCAACCATTGAAAATAATTTTGACAAAAATTCGCTGCTGAGTCATAAATGAAGTTTTTAAATCCTTTAAAATCTTTTGGTTTGTCCTTGAAATATAATTTCTTTAATTTTTATATTTACTTGGGTCAGTCTTTTTCTTTTCACAGATAATATATGTGTTAAATTTTCCCCTTAAAATTATTTTATGACACCGTTGCGAACACATGGCTCAGCTGAAGTTACCATACTAACATATTTTCAAGTTTAGTTGTCACCAGTCGAACTTGTTGATATTAATGGAAATTACGATAGCAGATATATGACAATTTTTACAAGTTTTTTGTTAAAAAATTGATTTAAAAAAAATTACACATTTAATAAATTAAAAAAAAAAAAACAGTACTTGCAATTATTTAACTATTTTTTTTAGTTCTAATTCAATTAACAAAAAAAAATTTTTAAAGTCTATTAATTTCAGTATCATTTGATTTGAGAGAAATTTAATACAATCACATGTATTGTATATTATATTAGGCTTACAAAGATGTATTGTGTCTTTTAGACTGTACTAATCTTGGAATGTTATTGGCGGCAAATAAAATCTTCTTATCCAATGGGAATCTTGAGTTTTGTTTTGGGTATTTCCCCCCGCTCAAACACCTCAGCGACAGAAGGAGTGAGAGTGTCAGCATGTTACACCGTCTAAAAATCTACAATTGTTCTTCACGCGTTCAACTGTTTGGTTCTTTCATATCCACGGTAATACTAATATTAATAATACATTAACATATTAATAATACATATTAATTAATAAATATTAATAACAATTATGTGTACTATGTATATTATATATTATATATACATATATTTAAAATTGAGGATACAAAATACAAAAAACCATCACCGGCATTAATAAAGTGTAATGCGTATTCAATATAAACAGTAAGTAATTTATAATAATAATTAATTTTGTTAAAATATTTCATAATTTTACTTATAAGTAGCTACTTAATTTTATTGAATTATTCGAATAACTAAGATAATTTTTTTTTTATTAGCTCTCAATGGAAATACAAGATTGTTTAAACCAACCGGAGGAAAATAGCGATTAAAAAGTTATGAGTGACATGAATATTTCTGAGAAAATTATGGACATGGAAAGTGATGAGGACACTTTCACGTTACAAGTTACTGATGACAGTGGCTTGGAAGACAATCTCAGTGATAGTTTTGAAATTAATAAAAATAGCGTTTTAATAAGTGTTAATTCTCAGACAAGGAGTGATAGCTCAGGTAAACAACAAAAGATTCAAAGTGTTAGAATTTTGAGTGATACTTATTATGATGACGATGATGATGATGATGATAATAATTGTTACGATACTGACCCTGAAAAGTTGGTTGAAAGTAAGCAGGCTGAAGTTACTGACAGGATTCAGTACGACTGTGTGAAAATTAGTGAACCGGCTATTGAAAATAGTCAAGAAGCTACGCAAAACAATTGCTTAGAAAACCAAAATGAAAGTATCGGAAATTCAAAACTCGAGTTTAGCCTACGAGATTTTTTAGAGAATCAAGGTCATCCTAATGGATCTTATAATATAGAACTTGAGAACAGTGAAATTCAAGACATAGAATGCTCAAATGAACATATCGACGTTGATCCAAAAGATAACGAAGATATCGATTTCACGGATAAACAGTGGGAGTATTTACCTAGTGCTCTCGATGGTGTTGAATTTGAAGTTGGCAAAAATGGTGCCAATTTGGAAAAACAACAAGCTCGAGAAGATATTCAATTGTTGGTAAATCAGAAAAATTCTACTCAGGTTGAAAATTTAAATGGTGAATTTGAAGTTGGAAGAATCGACGCTAGTTTGGAAGAACAGCAAGCCCTGAAGGATTTTGAATTAATATTAAACGAGGAAAAAGACAAAAATTGTACGCAGGATGAAAATGTTAGTCGTGAATTTGAAGTTAGGAGTGATGTTAGTTTTGAAAAACAGAAGGCTTTAGAAGATCTTGAATTAATAATGAACCAGGAGAAAAAACAAAATTTTACGCAGGTCGGAAATTTTGATCGTGAACCTGTAGAAATCAATTTTAATTTAAAAGATCAACAAGCTGTAGAAAACAAGGAATTTTTAGTGAACCAAAAGACAACACAAGACTGTAAAAAAATAGAAAATACTAATCGCGAACTTGAAGAGGGTGAAATCGAGGACAATGAGATCGAAATGGATCATGACTCTGCGAGAGAACAGAGAGAAAAGTCTGCAGAACTAATCGTTGTTCCTGATGAGGTTAATGATCGGCTTTTTGATAATGTCAGCGATTTTTCGGATGTAAGTACTGTAGATAATTCTTATTATGACGATTTTGAGTATACCACTTCGGACAGAAATCCGTCTCCTCCGGACGACGGTGAATTTTCCACCTACGAAGATGACGACCCTTGGGATTACGTCGAAGCATCACTGTCGGATGACTGCGTTATAGTCGATGAGATAGAATGTCTTTCTAAAGCCGTCCAAAGTCATACGGTGCCGGAGGAAAATTCTTCTAAATACAGCAGGAGAGATCAAAGTGATGAAGAAGTCACCGAAAGATATAATAATAATAGTAATAATGAAAAGAGTAAATCACGCAAGAGGAAATCATCAACGTCAAGTAACCATGATTCTGTTGAGGAAGTTAATGTAGGTAATAAAAATGTAGATCCTGATTACGATGATTTTACTGGAATTTGTTCCAAAGAAGAGGTTTCCGAATTGCCTGACGATGATAAGAGCATATCAAAGAAGAGAAAAAGTCATCATGGCCGTGATGAAGATCATCCTCTTTTTCGCGACGTGGATGCAGAATTCTGCGAGAAGCTGATGCGCGTGAAGAAACAAGGTGAGATTATCGTTCGTCCGAGCAGCAAAGGTTCTGATTACCTAAAAATAACCTGGAAAGTCACCGATGGTATATGTCAACATATCAAGGTCAAGAAAAAATTAAAAAGTCGTTCATCAAACAGATACAGGTACTGGATTAATAATAAAGAGTTTCGCAGTCTTGATGATATAATCAATTCGTTTGTCACGCCAATGGCGGAAAATGCTTTGAAGTTACTTGAATATAAACACTTCAAGCAAGGAATCAACGGTGTCAAAGCAACTGCTGAAGAATTATTAAAAGCTGAAAAAAATAAAAACCCGAATTGTATACCATACATAATATCTGCGGTAAAAAAATCTCCAGGGAAATTTTTAATTTCTTATTTACCTCGGGTAACTTGCTACCACGAGTACATCAAAATTGTTGCAGAGGGTTTTCGTTTCCGCGATCAACCGTTTGACAACCTCATCGACTTGTTGATTTACTTCAAAGCCAACTCCAAAGAAGTCAAGCCTGTTGCATTGAAAGACGAAATTGTGACGTCAACGACGACTTCACGCCCGGGAACTCCAAGACCTCCTACACCCAAAATTCATGATCTAACGCCTTCAATTTTGGAAGTTATTCAAGATCTTCCTGATGAAAAGTTGGAGTCCATGAGGCAGATCCTTGATAGCTTGGCTCAATCAGCGAGCAATCCGCCAGCTTTCAACCAGAATCGAACACCGCCTTTTATGTTCAACGGGTATCATCATCAACCATTCGCACCTGTTCCTTTTCCTTTTCCATCGTACCAACAAACATTTAGACCAGTTGGACTCGGCTTGCCACCTGGGAACAACGTACCTTTACCTGTGCCATATCCCAAAAACTTAGACTTACCTGTGCCAAATTATAACCTACCAAGTACTAGTCGTGTAACGAATTTGCCATTACCTCCGGGCACTTGAGAAATTATCTAGCGCAGAGCTATGTGCAATTTAGTTAAGTACAAACTCAAAGTGATCTCCACGAATTTTCTTATTAACTTACTAAATATATACTATGACATATTTTTCTTTTAGAATAACTATAAAATATTTTTGTTATGATTACATTGTACTGAATAAAAAAAAAGTGTAATATATGTTACCAGTCAAGGTCTTAAAAATTTGATTAATTTTTATTTTAAATATAATAAAACATTAAAATAATACAGCTTATATAATTTAAATAATTTCTCTGTACAATTGATATATTATTTATTCATCGGAAAAAAATTTATCACGGTAAGCTACTTTTCGATACTGATAAGAAGTTCCCTGTGGAGTTTTATCTGAATCTGAAGAACCTCTGTCATGTTTTGATTTATTTTTAGATCCTATTTTTCTATCGTTATCCTCAGGTCTCAACTCATTGCGATTAACATTTCTTCTTCGCTTCGACTGTAATTTTCCATCATCCGAATCACTAGAGTCACTGGACGACTTAACTTCACGGTAAGATTTTCTTTTAAGACTTCTGAATCTTTGACTGCGCCTCCGGCTTTCTGACACTCGAGGACTCGCTGTTTTCTTCGCAGAAGATTTTTTGTTATTTAAATTGTAATTATTATTGTCTTTCAATTTTTTAGCATTAACTAAATCATCTTGCTCTACAGGTGGTTTAGATTTTTTTTCCTTCTCTAAATGACTTTGATTTTTTTTCACCACCGTCAACTCATTTTTGGAAGTACTTTGTTGTTTTCTAGGTGAGCTGTGTAAAGTATCCTTTTTTGAAGCTTCGTTGGAAGAAGTAATCGACTCTTGGAAGTGTCCTGGACTGTAATAGACTTCGTCGCCTTTCATGGATAATCTTTCGCCCTCCCAGTAACGTAATGATTGTACAATTCGACGGCCACGCGAGCTCGTCGGTGCACTTGCTATATCTACCGATCCATTTAGCGACTGCGTTGCGGCATTCGAATTATCATATTTAATATTTGCCCACTTTTCACAAAAAGCCGTGATCTTTGCAGGACAACCATCAAGACAAAGCTTTTGAAGTTCCTGTGGTACCAAGTGCTTGTTGTTAACTATATCTCCAGACAATTCGTAAAATTCATTATTCACAGTTTCAACCAATTTTGGAGTTACTCGACGAATTATCATGTCAGTCACGTATTTTTTAGTACTAACATGACCAGCTTCATTCAGCAATTTTCCTTCAAAGACAAGTCCATATTTTTTCTCTGACAACTTTTTGATATTTGGCATCCAACAAGTCAGTACTTTTGGATTTTTTTCACTGCCAAATACTATTTGAGACTGCATTTCTAATAATTTATCATTTCTCGTATCCCGAGGATACTTCTCAGTACTTTTACTTTTATCCGGAACATTTGGTTCCAAAATTTCAGGCGATTTTAAAACCTTAGGTTTGTCTTCGGTTGAACGAGATTTTTTAATTAATTTATCCTCTGTTAATTGATTATCAATTATTTTTTTCGGTGACTTGACTTTACGCGATAGAGATTCCATTTGACGAGAGTTTAACTTCATCGCTACGTTTTCTATTCTAACAATAGTTGGTTTTATTTTTTCAGGAGTAATTTTTTTAACTGTATCTTGTCTTTCTTCTATCTGAATTATTTTTGGAGACACTGGATGTAAAGCTTGATTATTAGCAATTTTTTCGTTTTCTTTATCGTCAGTCATGGTAGCTTTAGAAGATACAGCCTGGGGAAATTCTTCGGTAGTCTCCGAATGAGTTGCAGGTCGTTGCTGAGGCTTTCCGTGGCCAGCAAGCTGATTTAATCTCTGAATACTTGTTCTCTTCATGACTTGATCCAAATACTGAGCATTTTTTTCCTGAAGTATCGGCTTCTTGTAATTATTTTCTTTAATTACCTTTTTAAGTCTACTTGACTCATCTTCGGTGATACTTATACACGAATCATAGCACAGTGGATATTTAGGCCCTACTGGAACAGTCATTTTTTTATTTTGTTCTAAATGAATATTTTGTCGACCCATAGTCCGAAGCGCACGCTCATCTTCAGTGATGCTGGCACAAGAGTCGTAGTTTGCTAAAAATCCTGTGATTGTTGAAGCTGATTCAGCTCCTCCACGATCATGAAGATAAACTGAGCGTGGCAGGGGTATTCGTGAGTTCCTGACAGTATGCTGAGACTGTATTGGTTTTCTTATTTCATTTCGTAAAAACTTCTTTTGCTCCGGTTCGACAACATTGGTATTTTTCCTTCGATCATCATACGCGGGACTTACCAAAGATTTCTTATTTTTATGTGCAAATTCATCTAAGTCGCTACTCTCAGAATCAAGTGAACGCCTACGTCTAGCATGATTAACTCTTCCCGGTCGTTCGGGTAATCTTTTACTGGGAATTCGGACTAAGCGTGATTTTAAAGCATACCGGCTGTCGTAGGGTTCATCATCATCATGGCTGTCAAACTCATCTGAAGTATCATAATGACGATTAGTCAATTTTCTACGAACTGGAACATACTTTGAATTATTTTTAGCAGAATGTTTACTCGATACTTGATCAACAACTTGTTCTCTCAACATTTTATTGGATTTAGCGGATAAATTTTTATTAATTCCAGCTTTTGTATAAGTAGCGCTATGATTCTTTGACGAAATGTTACTCTCAATCATTGAAAACTGATTGCTCTCAGCTGGATGTTCATCAGACGTCCGAGATATGACACTCATCAACGAGTTAGACATTTCAACAATATTCTCCAAGAACTCAACCGAATATTTTTTATTTTTCAACAGAATTGAAAAAGCCTTCAACGTTTCCAATTGTTCATCAGAAGGTTGTACATTTGCGCTGTTTAATAAAATTGTTCCTAAAACTTTATCGACAGCTTGACGTGACTCATTATCAGAATCCGCGGCTACTTCTTGATTAACTCTCGATCGAGACCTAGGACTCTTATTCAAATCTTTTTGGAGTGATTCAGTTGGAGTTTGAAAAATTGAACTCTGTGGATCTCCAGATATCTGAGCTGCTGATTTAACGGAGGGATGTCTGGGTGACGAAAGCTTTTGTTTAACAGATGACTCAATTAAAGACTTTTTTAAAAAGTCTCCAGTACTTTCATGATTTCTCAATAATCTTTTTCGAGCCCGTGAACGCTTTAGGGACTTGGAATTATTTACCTCAGTTATTTCACTTATTAAATCATCATCGCTGTCGGTGATTGGTGTCGGCCAGCGAAAATTATCACTACAACCACCAGCGACGAAACTTTGCCATACATGGTGAACATTTTTCCAATCATCTGGAAACCCATTGTAAAATTTACCACGCACATACTCGGGTAACTCTTTCGCTTCGTCATGAATGCGCCCTTCAAGACTATAAATGTGTGAGAAAAAAGATTTAACAGTTGTTGAGTTGATGCGTTCGACTACCGGCTTGCTGCGAACATATTTATTGCCTTCTATGAAACCTTTAATGAGCAGCTCGCCTGTGTTACTCAGAGCAACTTTCCATCGTTGAAAAATACGATCAGGTTTGCTCGTGTCCAAGGTGGAGTGTAAAATATTGGATTTTTGTTTATCAAATTCGCTAGCTGATGGATAGTTAATTGCTGAAATAACACTGGTGTTAGATTCAATTCCAGAAGTCGTTGTCTTGGGAACTATTTGAGGACTCGCCAATGAATTTCTCCGGGATGAATGAGCGAGGATGCCAATTGTTTTCGGCGGCGGCATTATGGCACGATCTATAACTTCTGGAGAATTTTTGACACTTGATGTCGTAATACCGTGGGTTGGTGTATTTAATCGCTGAGAAAGTATATTCCGCATGTTTGTACTTGACGAGACAACCTCGCTGCCAACTCGTGAACTCGTCTCGCAATCCAGCATATTACCGTTGACACTTGAAGCACAGGATCGAGAGTCAAGTACTTGGTTAGTTCCAGTCTCATTTATCCGTTGATTCAACTGCATCTTCTTGATAGAACGCTCTAAATTTTTATAGCGTTCTTCCATTTGTAAATAACCGAATGTAATCTAAACAAAGAAAGGTTTCAATTTAAAACACAATAGTTTTTTTTTTTTTTTTTTTTTTTTTTTTTTTTTTTTTTCATTAGAAGCTTGATTTACTTACATTTGGCGGAGACGTCATTTTTATAATGTATTTTCTTATTTAACAAATCGTGATAAGTATGTGATTTAAAAATATTTAATTTAATTGTTTGGATTTAAAAGGGTAAAATATCCATAACCTCACAATGTCATTGTGTTACTAACTCTTTCGGCTTTCGCATCATTTAATCAATCCTGTAGATAAAATAATTAATTTTTTAGTAATTATTGTAATTTACACATGAAATTATGTAAAAATTTACTCACAACAACAATAACGAATATTATTTAAAAAATTATCTTTTTCTTTTGATTACAAACAAGCGTAAACGCCGCCAACATAAACGTAAATGTTTTGTTTTTTTTTTTTTTTTTCCTGTAACGTAAATATCGAATTTCGAGATATCGATTAATTTTAATTTAAGAATAAAAAATTAAAAATGTTGAAATTAAAAAAAAAAAACATTTTATTGTTAATACAATAAAAAGTAGGAAAAAATAATTATCATGATACTAATGAAGTTAGTTGTATAAAAATAAATAATTCTAAACTTTTCAAACTTCCCGCGCATGTCTCTGATGAGAAAAAAAATTTTTCTCTGTCAGGTTGACGTTGATTTCTGCTTCTGCTTCCGCTTTCTTTTACGCCCCTGCCTGCTCCACGAGGTAATGCCCTTTCGTTATTAGTGCTTTTTTTCACAATTTACGATTTTTTATTGCTAAATTTGTCCATAAAAATATTTTAAAATAATTTTTATTAATTAACTATACAAAATATTCAATATTTACAGGGTAATTAAAATTGTAAATATTTAATTTCAGTGCGTATGTAGCTAATCTCTCTCATAACCTCAAAATTATATTATCTTGCTCAGAAAACTTACTTGGGATTTATAAATAATTATTGTTATTAACAAAATAATTTATTTTCTTAGGAACAAATAAACAAAATGCAGTTGTTTATCCGCGGACAAGAGACTTTTGTAGTCGAATGCCAAGAGCATGAAATTGTCTCCAATCTTAAGGTAAAATATGGTGTAATTATTTATCATATTCGGCAAGTATGAAAATTGAAAAAATAAAGTAAAAAAAAATTTTTTTAATAATTAAAAAAAAGCATTAACGGATAAACTGACGATTATTTATCGGATGGTCAGTAGGAGCATTGATGCGAAAGAAAATTAGATATCAGGATGATAATAGATATTTTTTCTATTATCCTATCATCAATCTAATACAATTGACTCATCAAAATGATTTTATTCATTCTTATTATTTATTGGTTTTTTAACTACTGCATATTTTTTGTTTATAATTTATTTTATACCAATTTTTTTCTATGATTTTTCAATCAAGAATTTCAATTTTTTTTTTTAATTCTGATATCAATTTTTTTCTTTCATTTCATCTTCTGATTTTTATTTGTGAGCATTCTATTAAAGCTTGATCAATTTTTAAACATAAAAATTATATTTTGTTTTTTCAATTTAACATTTTTTTAATAAATAATTTATTTACTAGGCTAAAATTACCGAAGCCTGTGATTTTGGATCAACAGAATTTGTTTTAAGTTGCAATGGGCAATTATTGTCCAATGAAATACCAATTAGTGCTCTGACATCTAACTCTTTGGACCTCAACGTCTTACTTCCCGGAGGTAAAGTTCACGGATCTTTGGCTCGTGCTGGAAAAGTCAAGGGTCAAACACCCAAGGTAATTAACAATAAGTTATATAACTTATACGCTAAATGATCTTAGCTGTACTTGGTAAAAAAAAATCTACAGTAAAAACTTGGCGTTATATTAAATGAACAATTTAAAGTGAAGTCTTGATTAATTAATAAGCTCGGCTTTTCATAAATATGTCACAATTTTTTATGTAATTAAGTAGAAAATTATCTAAAGAATTGAAAAATTTATAAGTATAATAATTAAATAATTAATTTGGTTTATTTTAGGTTGAAAAACAAGAAAAATCAAAGAAGAAGACTGGTCGTGCCAAGAGACGAATCCAGTACAATCGCAGATTCGTTACTGTTGTACCAACTTTCGGACGTCGTCGTGGACCAAATGCCAACCCTCAATCATAAGGATGATGTGTATTTCTTAAAACAGGTTTATTATTTATTTATTTTTTGAAGTTATGAAAGATAAATAAATAATGATGTAAATTTAAACACTTGTTTTTTCTATTACGTTTCCCATAATTCAAAAAATTGAAACCGAATTCTTGATTTATTATTAAATAAATAAAATGACAGAATAATTTTTTCCATAGATTTTTATTATTTATTTTTAGTACAATGAATTCAGTGCAGTATCCAGTATATTTAATAATATTTATATCACCCATTAAAGCGTACAAGTATTGTACTTTATGATTATAAAAATTTTATTTATGTTATAATATTATATATATTTATATTCGTACAATATCTATATATATAATTTTATAATTAACATGAGGCGCATTTATTGTATACTAATATATCGATGACTTTATCGTTGGGAATATCATCCATGCAGACTTCTGTGGTTATTATTATTTTAGTATGATTGTAATTTGTTAAATGGCGCTAAAACTAAGAAAGTTTTTTAAAATTTCTCACCACTTTACGTATTCGGTTTATTTATGTTAGAATATTAAATAGAATATATAAATTATCCTCTGACTCGAGAAGATTCAAAAATTAAAACATCGTTATAAAAGTATTATATATAATTATAATAATATAACTAACAATAGAACAGTTAGAAAAAAAAAAAAATAAACGTTAAATTAATCTTAAATGTTAAAATAATTTATCACAATAAGCATCAGTAAATTTCTCTGCTTGGAAGCTGAGACAATCACATAAAATCAGCATTTAAATTCAAAAGATATACTAGTACAGATACATAAATAAGTTAATAAATTATTTTTAATCAATATATAAGAGAAAATTAAACATTAAACAATTAACTGCAGTTGAATTCACAATATTAAGCATCGTGCTTGATACACCATCAATATAAATATTTACTTTTAATATTACTAATAAAATGTAGATTTTTTGCACGCCTCACTTTACTCTTTATATGCTGCGTTATCATTATTTTAAAATCATTTTTATGATCTAAATTTTGATACCAAAGAAAAATTTAACTAAAATTTGAAATTGTAAAATGAGAGTATTTGTAAATTTATTGAACAACGAAACATTCAATAATGACTATTAAAAATATAGAAAGATTAATGTTTTTCAATATTTAAAAAGTATATACCAATATTTTCTTTAATTATATATTTGATTAAAGTATCCAAACAATAAAAATGAGTATGTGAGGCGTGTATCTTTGGATACCCTAAACTTTTTATTAGTTTTTTATTTTTATCCTCCATAATTTGAGTAGTTTCAGTCTCAATTTCTACTTGTTTATATATTAACTGTCAAAGAGTACATATTTTCTGGTTCTTTTATTTTTTATGTTATTTTTAATTGATTCGATTAATTAATTAATTACGTTTTACTCATTACGGACATTCTATTACGAATAAAATTTGGATTATACCAATGGACACTGAGCAGAAAAATTATTTTTAGAGCCTAAAATAATTTTAATTAATTCTTTTGTATTAAATCATATTTACTTAAATTGAAGAAAAAGTCGTTTTTATCAAATATTTGAGCTTATTTAACAAAATAATAGAATACATTTCATCATTTTAAAAGTTAAAAATAAATTTTCAATATTTTTCGTAAATCCTTAATAAAATATTCCACTGCTAAAAATATTTTTTCACTCATTGTAAATCCATTTAGTACAATATTTAATTAAATATTTGTATAATATTAGACCTTTACATTAATTTGTATTATGTTTTAAATTCTTGTTTTCATATCTTGTTATACCAAATATCAAATGCACTATGTACTCGTCTATTTATTTATGCCATATAATAGCTCATTACCAATAGTAACCAAGCTACGAGATAAAATCTGACCATTCTTTCATTAATAATGATAATAATAGTACAATAATCATTTATAATATAATAATAATAATAATAATAATAATAATAATAATATTAATTATATTTGTTTTAATATTGTTAATATGCCACTAGTGAATTTTCCATTAAAAGTTGAATATTAATACGTCAATCGGTTCTTTTACACCAAGTATATAAATATTTAAGACGAGGATTCTCATGCGAGGTAACTAAAACACAAAGTCTGCTGTTTGAAGCCACATGTACCAACATGCATAAATGGTTTTATATAATTTTCATGTCAATAGTAATCATAATCAATTATCATTATCAATGCTATACCATAAATAATAGATAATTGTCATTACTTGTCATGTAAAACGCTTTACTCTTTTGTATTATCTCTTTACTGTTTCTTAGACATATGTGCGCCGTCATTGAAATCTCTCGATTGATCTCTAGAATTTCTGTCGCGGTAATCACGATGATCGCCTCGCGAGTCTTGTTGGTCTCGGCGATCTCTTTGACGTCCTTGGCCCCGAAACTTGCGATTACCACCATCTCGATAATAATTACCGCCAGCACTTCCACCACCACCGTTGTGATAGCCTCGCGATGATCGAGGATAGAATTGCGGATAGCAAGGTATCTCTGGCTTCACATTGCTATTGAGTAACTCCGGGAGAACAATGTGGCGTGACATGTCGGGTTGTTCACTGTCCTTTTTATCCATACGATTGCGACGATGGTGTCCCGATTGACGGTCATAGCTAATTGATACAAAAATTAAATAATATCCTTATACTTAATTTGAAAAATTTAATTATCCGTCAGAAAAACAAACCTAGGACGACCTCGAGTAACGTTTCGCCAATAACTCTCACTTTCCAGGGGAGGAAAATTGTAAGAATTTCTACTGGACTGTCCAGGATCGCCAGATGATCCGCGACTGTGATGACCATTCTCATTATTTCCTCGTCCTCGTCCATGTCCACTGCGATTCCCGCTGCTGTTTTTCGCAGAAGATGCTTTTATTGTTGATATTTCACGCTGCTGCTCTGAATTCTCACGCTGAAGTTTCTTTACCAGCAACTCAGCATCCTCAAGACGTACCACCAGCTCACTGTTAACTGAATTTGTTTCTTCTACTTGTATAGACGCATCAGTGACTTTGAGCTTTTCTTTTTCTTTAGCCGTTTGTTCTAATTTCCTTAAAATTCAATAATTTTCAATTAATTAAGCCGCTGTAGTTTGAATTTTTTAGTTTACTGGGCACTTACAATTTCTGTTGCTCTATAATCTCAAGAAGGTGAACATTTTGCTTCTTCACGTCATTGAATGACACCTTGAGCTCCTCGAGATCACGTTCAAGAAGTTCAATCTGCAGAGGAGTAACATTGACACTAACTGGGCTTCCCTAATAGACAGACATCGAATATCGTAATCGAATCATCGATGTCTGGAAGCTTTATCACAACTAGCTTATGTATTATAAAAAAAAATAAATAAATATATCAATTACAATCAGTACCTTTGGTTTCACGAACCCACTAGAATTGTCTTCTGGTGACGATGGGCTGTTTGTACACGCAGTACCTTTCGTAAATACCAACTGAAACTGCAAATCTAAAATTTGAATAGCAAGTTAATTAATTCATTCAATAAATTTTAATTATTATTTATTTTAACGTTTATAATAATAAGTATTGTTTTGATACACAATTGAATAATAATTTTATTTTTATTACAAAAAAATTTTAATGATTTAAAATAAATATCGAAATTTTTTCTACTAATACAAAATAAAATGACACTGAAATTGACAAACATTTGATGATTTTTAGGAATTTTTTTTAAGATTTAAGACAAAAAAAAAAAAATTATTTAAAAAATTTCACAAGTAGAAGTTGTAAAAAATTATAAATGCATTTTTTTAAAATAACTTTCTAGAGCTAATTTATTTATTAAATAAAATTTAAAAAATAGTCAAGTGCTAGCTGATTTCAGTATCATAAAAAAAATATAAATAAAAATTTTCCGTACCTCGGTTTCGTTGGCGTAGAGTTTCTACTTCCTGGTGCAAAGCTACAAGAGTAGCTTGATGCTGTTCTTGAAGAAACTTCATATTTTGCTCGAGTTGAGCAGTTCTGTCACCATTTCCAGGCGTTTGCTGAGACCTTAAGGGCGTTGCAACGCCGTCATTTCTCGCCGGCAGACTCATTAGCTCCGGCGTTGATTTTTTTCCCTACAAATAAAAAAAAAGTTAATTACAAAAAAAGAGAAAAAAAAATTTAACCATCACGTCAATTTTATTTAAGTCACCTACCTGAGAAAATGGCACCGTGGGCAACTTCACTAGCACCTTAGACGTCATTTTGTGATTGATCTTTCTAATGATAAAAAAATAAACGTCAAAAATTAAATGAGATATTTGATTATTATTAAATGTTCTTTTTTACGACTCAACGTCGTGCATTATTAAACAACGCAATTATACGGCGACACTTTTCGCCAGCAATTATGTCAGCCTGATAGTCTAGACAAGCGACAAGCAACGTTTGAACATTCACGCAAACTAATGACTCAGTTGAATAATTAAATCAATAAATAAATATTTTAAAGAAAGTTAAAAAAAAAAAAAAAAAAAAAAAAAAAAAAAAGAAGTAAAATACATACGTGAGACGTCTATTGTAACCAGAACTCGTTGCGAGGTGGCAAACCAAGGTGAGGGAGGAGGGTGAAGAGGGACGAGGGCACGATGTCTTGGATTGTTCACCTTCCTCCCCTGGCTGGTTCACCCGGTTCAGCCGAGGTAGTCGTCGAGGCCGCGTTATTGAAGTATATTATTCAATTATTTTAAATTATTCCGCTGAAAAAATCAAAAATTTAATTACAATTAATTTATTTTTAATTAATAGGTAAACTAACACACTTAAAAGTTGGAATTAAAATGCAGTACGCAGCGATTTTATTCTGTTGGAACTGACACACCGGCGGAAATCTTCGGGCGACTTTCTCTAGGGAAGAAAGCCGGCGTAGCCGTCAGTATTGATCGGCGACTCATACTCAGCAGCTAGGCACGTTATATACATAGACGATAGACTACACAAACTCAGGTATATAGTGGTGTACGGCGTGCTCATGTGCCTTTTGCAAACTACACTAGCAACCAGTAGCCAGATACTACTTGGTTGCTCGGTACTCGGTCATTGGTGCTGTACTTGTACGACCGCACCCACGATACGACTATACCATTTACATATATCTAATGAATTTTTTCTCTTTGTTCACCTGACAATTTTATGTACTTACACACATCGTCCTTTTACTTTATTATGGTTTATTTGCCATCAAAAATACCTAGATGTAAAAAATGTAATCGGTTAGTTTTTTTTGATGGATTTTTTTGTTGTTTTTATGTAATTTCTGCTGATTACTCTGGATAGGGTTGAATATTTGAAACTTTGGTCTATCAAGTTTAATTAAAATTGCTGCTTAATTTTTTTTAAGTAATTTAATAAAAGTTTTTTATTAATAAATAATGAATAATTAAATTTAAAAACACCGCGCATCTGAAAAAAAAAAATGATTTTTTTTTGTAAAAAAGATAAAAATGATTCAATTTAATAAAAAAATAAATTTACAATCAATTGTTGGTTAATTACTTTAAAATTAATGTAGAATGAAAAATCCCGCGCATTTTGATGGAAAGAAAAAAAGTAAAAAAAAAAAAATTTTTTATGAAATTTAATAATTATAATTTTTTAAACAATCATTTATAAAAATATCTAAATTCATGTTGTAAGAAAATAATTAATTTAATAATAAAGCGGTTAAAAAAGTATTTTTGAATGAATGCAGCAGCCGGTCGTTTCCCAACGACGCGTAAACAAAAAAAAAAACGCCTGCAATTCTCAGCATTGGCATTTTGAATTTCAAAAAACTGTTAAATTAATAAAATTAAAATTTTTGCAGGAATAAATTTAATTATTAACACCAGTTTAATTTCATCAAACCTATTAACACAATGGATTTTGGTCACCTAAAATAACCGATAACAAAAAAAAAAAAAAAAAAAAATTAACGGTTTGATGACAGACATAACCAAGAACGGTCATGTCATCCGTCATCAAGTCCATAAAATATAACTATTCAAATGATGAAATATCACCAGAAAGTATCGATGTTTCGGATGACGATGACTTTAATTTCAAGGTATCTATAAATTTATTATTATTTTATAATTATTGATTTATTTTTTAATTCATAGTTCTCGTAATTTTAGTATGTGCCGTCAAATCAATTTAAATATATCGTGAAAGATGTCAGAAGACAGAGAACAAAAAATGATGAGGAACGGGTTTGGACTTCTTTTGTGAATCGGCAGGACCAGAAGTCGAATTATTACCAAGAATGTTATCACGGAGTCGACGCCAAGCAGCTGCTGCGTGAAAATTTACAAGAGGTTGATAAAGAGCTGAGAAAATTTGATGCAGACTCAGAGCAAACTGAAAGATTGACTGTGTGTACGAATGATTATAAAAGATCCAACTTGGTAATTAATTACTAACTATAATTTTAAGTAATATTTTAGTTTTAATATTGGCGTTTTATGCTCAGCCTTCGAGAGAGGAAAAAAAGTCATTAAAATTTGATTATCAAGTCGAAAATGACGAGGATAACGACTCGGAAAGCAGCAGTACATTGCGAGCTGTGCAAAAAGAAGACGAGGATGAGCTGATTTACGAGCGGTCCCCGGTATCTCAGCTAGACTTCAAATCTAAAACGACAAAACTGCGTTACGAGCACACGATAAGGCATCATCATGAACGACCATGTACATTTTACCGAGATTGCAATTGTCGTGATTGTACTTCAACTCCTGAATTGATATCCCAAAATGGGAGTAATCAATATTCCTCGCACGTAGTACGTATAGATCCAGTAGTAGCTCACAAAATTTTAGGGGTTCAGGCTAAAATCTCGGAACTTCTGGATGAAATTTCATACCGACTTTGCCGAATACCCCAGCCGGATGGTGATATTGATTTAAAGCGACGTCAGCAACGTGTCATGGAGTTTGCAATACGCTTTTCACGTAATTATTTGTATGAGTTGAGACGTCAAATGTCTGACGTGCAGAGACACGTACGAGTTATGTCACCAAGCGCCAGACGACCTACTAAACGTGTGCTCTCACTTCATATGCAAGCGCTGGAACAAAAATTATGCTCAATCCATCAATTATTACTCAATGCTTTAAGCGCTTACTGCAAGCATATACCGAGTTCTATTTTGAAAGGACATCCGGGAAAGCTTAAGGAAATTCTGCAGGTTGTTATCGATCTGAGAGACGTGTGCTCAAAAATTAATCTCACTGCTGAATTATTCGGTGCTGGCGATACTGCTCCACTTCCTCTGGTAATTTATTCAAATGTCGATTAGTTAGAAGATTCTTTTATTGATAGCTATTTTTATTATTTAAACTTTTTCTTAAAGGGAAAAGATACGCAGAAAAGATGCTATGCTATTTTGTCAAAGCTCCGTTTGACTTCAGACCACGAATCAGCTTACAATCATACTGCACCGACACTGATTGGTACTTCAGCGTCTGAAGCCAAGAGAAGAAATCGCCTGGACAACCGTAAACATAATCAAAATCGTTTCAGTATGTACTGCGTTGATTCTAAGTATTCAAAATGCCTGAGAAATCGGCGGCCTGGTATCAGATGATTAATATTTATAGAAAAACATAAAACATTACTTATTATTTGATGATTGCTTATTTACTTCTCAAATTGTAATTGAATACATGTGTAGTTACTGTTGGTGTGTGTCCAAGAACCGCTGTTGGTAGATTAAGACTTAATAATCCAGCGTCTGGACCCATAGAACCTCCGCATCCTAATATTGGGATGCAAAAACCGAGACGCGAGGTCTTGAAACGAAACCGCGCTAGGACGAGAGCTTATCAGAAGGAAGATGATATCAGAACTGTGATGGAAATGATGCCAACTGATTCGGAAATTGTAAGATAATTTATTTTTATTGGATATTTTTTTTTTTTAAATATATTAATGATAAATATTTACAAGTGGGGTCTGGTCAACCATTTTAATTTTCATTTTTTTTTTGAATGAAATTTCTATTTGATTTTATTGATATATATTCTTTTTTTAAATAGATAAAAAAAACTTGACTGTCAAAATTTTAACAAATTTTACTAAAAAATTTTGTAGAAAATTTTGAAAAACATCAATAAAAGATAAAATAGAAATTTTATCCAAAAACATGAAAGCCAAAATTTTTTTCAACTTTTGAAGGCAAAAAAATTATCAAAATCTTTATTTTTTTCTTTCAGTGGTTGACCCCACTTATAAATAATTACCGTATTAGTTTACAATTTGTTTATTTTACAGGGGAGTAACGGAATGTTGTCGCGTATTTGTCATTCCTCAATGGCAAATGCTAATAAAATTCCAAAGAAAAATGCAAAGCGACAGAGCGAAACCCACACTAAATCGAGTAAACATAATGTTAATAGTAAAAAATCCACTGAAATTGTTATTAAAAATAAACAATTATCTAGTTTAATTCCAATCATCACGGATTTAATTTCTCTGGCAGCTAAAAAAGTATTTTCATTTATTTACTTTTTATTTTTAATTAAGAATTTATGTTTACAATGAAAAATAATTCTAGCAAAAAAACTCATCATTGAAGGACGCTATCACGATGGAAGCTCTTTTAGAGTTTCTTCACGAGTACTTGGCCGAAAAAATGAAGTCCAGTCGCAAGTCTTCAATCACATCTGAGTCCCTGGGAAGCGCGAGCAAATCCTCGGAAACTCAGAGGACTTCGAAAACTCAAAGCTCTCGTGAGTTTGAAAGTAATCGAGAGTTTGTAAACTCGGCTTTGAGCAACGATAAAAAATCTGGGTTAACTCAACTGAAAGTATCTCAAGATTCAGCAGATCGGCTTCTCAAGTATCGTGACGAGTATCAGCGGCTCTGCAGTTTAAGTCCCATGTATACGAGTAATAGCTTAAACAAACCCTGGGACGTTGTTTCGTGGTAATCTATAGTTATTTATTTAAAATTTAATTTTTTGTTTTCATAACAATTCATTGAAATCATTAATCATTAAATTTATAGGATATCGGATAAACTGATTGACGAGCTGATAGTAGAAATTTCCAAAGAACTCCAGATGGATGACCTCATAAAAAAATTAGTCGACTTAGAATTTCAAGACTTTTAGACCAAATAATTATAATTATAATAAATATTTATTTTCAATCACGGAATATTTTTTTGAGACCGATTATCTGTGTAAAAATTGTATGCAACGCTAATTATTAGTTTTGTCTATTAATATGGATATTTTTTAAAAGAAGAAATAACTGAAGAGAGTTAATGATAACTATTTGTAATAAGTAGTGGCTAATATATTTTTTAAAAATTGACTACGAATTTAAAAAATTTAATTTTTTATCAAGTGATAAAAGAAAGATAGAAAAAAAAAAAAACGAGTTTTTATGAGAAATTCCATAGATGTCGCCACGCAGAATAGTCAAACCTGTATGTTACGTGATCGCCCCACGCAAACTCTACTACTCACATTCTTCCACGTGTGTCGAGAGATGTGTGCATATATATAAAATAATGATAAAATGAAATCAAGGTTACTACCAAGTGGAGCTAAGTGGGCAAATCATTGTTGTAAAAATTTTTTACGAGTCAAAAGTCAGGTACTTTAGTGTGTGTGTGTGTGTGTGTGTGCTTCAAACTTCAAATACCACTCCAACTAATTTGGCCCTCCGATGTATAGATAAAAATCTAAATCCAACACTAATATATAACCATGTGTGTATTTATGTTACGGTGACGTGATAGCACATGTGCCTATGTGACTAAAATCACGTTTATTTTATTTAATATTGTTTTATTCTACTTATTTTATTGTCGTCATATATGCCACCGGCAATTAATTAAGTACACTTCCATCGGTATCAGTACGATATTTACTTAGAATTAAAGAGAAATCACTCTAAAATCCAGTTTGACATCGCACAAATGTGAGCACACACGGATATTTGTTTTTATTTTATTTTTTTTTTCATTCTACTTATTCCTTTTCTTTTTCCTTAACTTTAAACTAGCGCACGTGAAAGTATCTTCAGTGATTTGTTGGTCACATGAAACGTGCGTTTGATTTCTGAAACAATTTTTTTATCACAAGGTAATAAATAATAAATTTATTACTCAACATTCGCAATTAATACTTAGTACGTAGTTATTTTGCAATTTTTATTGGGAAAAAAAACAGTCAATTTATTTCAAATCTCAGATTTTATAATCATATTTTGATAATTAGTATTATCACTAAATTCATAGATAAATACACTCAAGTTAATGACTACAGTATGTACATTACTTTATCAATTTCTTATCAATTTTTATACTTTTAATCACTAAAGTATTAAATTTTTGTATTAGGTCTAAGTAAATAAAAAGTTTGTTTCTTTTCAAATTAAAGTACCTGCTGCTGTAGTCATTGAATTTATTAATACAGTAAATATTTTGCTGCAATTCATATTTATGTACGTTTAAATCTTCAGATTGCAATTTAATTGGTATTGTAAGAATGAGTTGCGTAAATTTTATTAATATTACAATAATTATTTACTTTTCAAGTTCGTATTTGAAATGTAAATTGACACAAATGTTGTACCTTAGATATTAATATTTAATTATACTGAAATCGATTAATAATAAAGTTAATAACGCTCCCAATAAATTAAATCAAGGTATTAATATTTAATACTCCAAAGCACGCTATCAAAAATTTCTATCTTAGAATAATTTTTATGTCATTATTGTTTAATTGACGTAATAATAAATCATTAGTTTTTTAATTATAAAAATATTTATAAAAAAAAAAAAAACCGTAAAATTGTAAGTAATTGTTTATTTTTTTTAAATTGCAGAATATGTTGCTGATAGTAGGAATTTTGTTGCTCGGACTAATAATACCCACAGGGCAAGCGTGGCAATTAAACTTGATCGCTAATTCTATCAAATTACATCTCGATGATGTAATCCAAGTCCCATTTGAATTGGTAATTCCCACGAATGTTAATAGCACGAGTCTGGAATTTGTTGTCGAAAACACGGATCCGACTGTTGCGAGTGTTGCTAATCCGTGGGTCAAACCTGAATTTTTACCTGTTGATGGAGAACATTATAATGGGACCCTTAATGTAACGGGTGTCTTTCTCGGCAAGACTAAAATCCTCCTCAAAGTTATTGACCGTGGAGTAAGTATTAAATATTTATATATCCATTATTATGAGCCATATAATTATACGATTTTATTTTTTACAGATAGTTCATGAGCTAGAAAAATTAGAATTAATTGTTATACGTCCTGAACGTGTTATAGATAGATTATTTACTGGGAGTGTTATAGCTCTCGTATGTATATTGTATATTAATTTTGGATGTGCTATGGACTGGGAAGTATGTCGAGAGACAATAAAAAGACCTATCGGTCCAATAATTGGATCAATATGTCAGTTTATTTTAATGCCACTGGTAATTAATTATTTATAGTAATTACAGATAAATTTAACGATCTTTCATACTAGTATTAAATTATTTTTTTTGTTGTTGATCAATAATAGCTGGCATTTGGTATTGGACATGTATTATTCCCCAACAAACCAGAAATGCAATTGGGAGTATTTTTCACGGGGATCAGCCCTAGCGGTGGAGCATCGAATATTTGGACTTTGCTTTTAGGTGGAAATCTTCCACTTTCTATCAGCATGACAACTGTATCAACTTTAGCTTCCTTCGGTATAATAATTATGTATATTGTTTTCATTCACTTATCTCTATAATTATCTCCCCAAGCTGTTAAAATAACTCAAGTAAAAGTTTAAAAATAAATTCAATTATTTGAGTTGAACAATCGCTTTAATTAATAAAAAATTTTTCTCTAGGTACGATGCCTTTATGGATATTTACACTGGGTAAATACATTTTTGACAGGGGAAATATCAAGATACCTTATAGCAGAGTAGCCACTTCAGCTATCGGTTTAGTAGTTCCCCTGGCAATTGGATTTATAATTCAACGCAAATGCCCTAAAGTCTGTAAATTAATGGTCAGGATAATGAAACCGTTCTCCGTTGTTTTAATTTTATTTATTGTAATTTTTGCAATCGTCACAAATTTGTATTTATTCCAACTATTTTCTTGGCAGGTAATAATTTTTGCTTTCTTTTATAAATTAATTAAAGTTACTTTAATAGTTTATTTATTAATTTTAATTATTTTTATAGATAATACTCGCAGGAATGGGTTTACCCTGGTTAGGATTTCTTTGCGGTTTGATTATGATGCTGGTTTTCCGTCAACCGCAGTCTGATGTTCGCGCTATTGCCATTGAAACAGGAATTCAGAATACTGGAATCGCTATTTTCCTTCTTAAATCGGGTATTGAACAGCCAACTGCTGACCTTACAACTGGTAAATTTTTTTTATTTCATTAGTCATCAATTGAATAGACTAATCTACTCATTAACAGGACGTATTCATTTACAGATAATTGAAAAAAAAAAAAAAATAATTTTTAATGCTTCGAAAAGTATAAAAAATCATTTTTTTTACTAATATCTTCTATATTTAGTAACATGTGGTAGCTAACTAATTAATAATGAGTTTTGAAATTTCAACTTTTTGACAATTAATTATAAATGTCAAAAATTAGAAAAAAATCAGTTAACGAAAAAAATACGTCAAACGAATATTTTACGGTGTATTAAAAAAAAATGTTACATTAAGCCGTCAAAAATTATTTTTAATTGATTTGAGTAATCTATTTTTTAACGAAGTAATATTTTTTTTTTTTAGTGATTCCTGTATCATGTGCGATAATGACACCGATCCCATTGATAATCTTGTGGCTGATAAAAATAATATACGACCGTAGGAAAGATAGACATGAAAAATCGTCAAACAAACTTCAACCCGATGGAATGCCTATTGTTATATCAAACTTATCGGCAATACAATCTGCATAAGCGGCACTATTACTTAGAATAACTGTGGTATTAGGGTTTTTCTTTTTAGCTAGATAAGATACGGTTCTTTAGGTATATTTTAGTTAAAATAATCCAGAATACGCTCTTAAATTTTAGTTAAGAGTGAATATACATAAAATACTCGGTAGACCCAAGTAAAAATTAAGATATCAAGAAAAATCAGCCTTAATTTTTTTTTCTTTTTTATATTCGAGGCTAACGCGTGCATAAATACATTTTCAATCGAATAAAATAGTATTCATTGAAGTGAACCGGAGGTCTGTAGGTCATCAGCGGTGTGTACTGAAATAACGTCACTCCAAATAATAATATTATTACTATCTTATGCATCAGTTAAAAATTCTTGCGTATTTTTAACTGCCAGTAAACGCTCTAAAAAAATGTTATTTTTTAAACTTGTCTTTCTTTACTCTATTTTTATGAGAAAAATAAGTAATAAATTTTATGGTATTAAATTGGATTATTCCACACAGTATTCTAGTCGGATGAACCGAGGTCAGGTTATCACTAGGCGTCGAATAATCCCTCGCTCAAAATTATAAGTTGATAACAGGGGATGAATTTCTTTTACCATGATAATTGTATAATTTTTTTTATTACTATTATTAATTATTGCTGAATGTTATGGCATGTGATATTGAATATTAGGACGTATTAATATTGTTGTCATTAACATTTTTATGTGTCAAATCTTCAACATTTTTTTTTAAATAACTTTATTAAATGTTACTAATTTTTATTTATTAAAATATACTAAATATTTTTTTATACATAAAATATCTGTTATAAAATCTGTATATTGAATAATATTACACGTTATTATCCATGTACAAAAATATATATAGTAGGAAGAAAATAATCGCAAGCGATTGCGTGAATTTTATATTAATTTTTTTAGTTCTATTTACATAATAGCTGAGAAAGAATTAAATAATAACAATCAATTAAGCAGTTATAGTATAAATATTAATTAATAAATGAAACAAATTTTTAATTTGTTAAATAAATCCTGCCGTCTAATGCGTAATATTTGTTTTTAATTTTTAATTATACAATAAAATAAATTTGATTTAAAAAAAATTGTTTGTAAATTTCATTTATAAATATTGTGATGAGCATGTAATCCGGATTTCCTTGCAATAACTCGATTTATTAATGTTTAGATTAAATGGTTAATCATCTCGGAATTTGTAAACGTCGGCATGACAGTATAAATTCCGATGGAAAATAAATAGTTTAATTTTCTTAAAGTTACATAAATAAAATACGTTAGTAAACTGTCATACTGATTTATTTTTAGTAAGAGTTGTTGATGACGCGTAGCGTACTATCCTCAATTGTCATAATAATAATAATAATAATAATAATAAAATAATATTAATAATAATAACAGTATGAGTAAAATATTTGAAACCCACGGGAACGTTATTTACGTATAGTTTTGTGATTTGAGTGGCTCAAAGCCAATTAACTTAATCGCAAAACTACTGTTGGAAAGGACCACCAAGTTTTATTTAATAAAACGCAACACCTCTGGATTAAAAGTTGAATGAACTTACTTAACTGTGCAACAATGTTGCTCAGCGTTCAAATAAATTTCTCAATTTATTTATTATTATAAAATTATAGGAATTTAAATACTGAAAAATTTCTTCCTTCAGACGTCAAGTTAATAATAACAGACATAAGGAAATTATCCAATGGTTATTTAAATATTTAACATGCAATCAATCCCGACCTTGAGTGATGTGTTTTCAGGTCACCGTCTGTTTTCAATACTAGAGATAATAAGCAACACTTCAGCATCAAATCTAACTGATCATGATTTAGATCTGGACTATCTGAACAAAAATTAGTCATTAAAAATTGTCAAGCATATTATGTGTTTTTATAGTATCACAATTGTAAGCCGTCGTGTATTTAAGTACTTAAAAATTTATTTTCTAAAAAGAATAATTAATTTAATATTAGTATTGTCTTATGTGGAGAGAAATGCATAACTCAAGAAGCTAGAGTAAGGCGGAGAAGATAACTAAGTGTTAGAGACTTTAAGTGCACACGAAGGACCAACCAACTAACATATCATCATCTTGGATTGCATTCTCTTCCAACGAGTCGTATCAGAGACACGTCGGTTGCCAGCGAGCAGTGTCTTTTTAAAATTTGGCACATGTTATTCGTTGATGATGGGTTTCGTACCTCAAACGCATGATGTATGTATGTTTTTATTGCGGCAGAAGAAGAATATCGTTATTATAATCCACTTAATTTAAACAGCTGAAATGAGATAGAAAAAGAAGATATAATAATAATATGTGTATAGTATTAAGTAATTTTATATTAGCGTGTAAACGTACCGTTAAACTAGCGAAGTAATTTTCTTCTTTCATACCCGCAGTTGAATTAACACCCCCTCATATCCATTAACATCAACATTACCGTGTATTTATTTATATTATTTATATATAAATCCAATGAGTAAATTGTTTGGATTTTATTTATCATAATCACGCCGTCACGTGTTTATTTAATCGAGGATACGTTTGAAGGTGATCTAAATTGCCTGTGCTGTGAAATATTGTATTTTAAACATTAAACATGTAATATTGGTTATGAAATTTGTATATTTGTTTGTAAGTACTTAAATAAATAGTAATAATAATAATAATAATAATAATAAAAAAAGTAATAGCACTCTAACACATTATTGAGCCAAAAATTTTACTGGAAGATAATTTTGTACTGGCCTCATCAACACTTCAACCCAATTACGTAATTCCTTAACTTGCGACACCTTTTTACTAAACCAGTATATTGTATGTATGCAGAGTCATCTTTCTGTCCTTTATTATTGGAGAAGATCGGACGTATTAAGTATTCAAGTAATTTATACTTCAATAAACTATAAACATTTGCCAACCAGGAAATTGTTTTTTAACAACAAATTGTTTGAATTCCCATGATATACAAAATAGCAGGCACCTGGAAGTATTTTAACTTGTAGTGAAATAAAAATAAAATTTAATGATTATATTGAGAAGAAATATATTAAGACACATTAAATATATTTTTGTTGAATATTTAAATGTTTTTTAATGAAAATTATGTTAGCCGACATTTAAAAATTAAAAAGAATTTTTTTATTGAAAAAATTACTAGAAAAAAAAATTGTCATTTTTTAAAAACTTTAAAAACTGTAAGTGCAATTTTTTAAAAATATTTTTTTGTTCTAATTTAATTATTAAAAAAAAAAATCAAAAAATTAAAAACGTCGGCTAACTTTAATATTATTGTTTTTTAACTCACCGAAAATATTTATAAATTTTTAAAATAAATTGAAAAGTTTATTTTTACTGAACCTACTAAATAAATAAAACAAATGTCACAACTCATTAACTTTAGCTTTTAAAATTTATCAACAAGTATATAATTGGTGAACTAAAGGATATGATTAACGAGATTAAAATAAATTAAAAGGAAATGTAAAGAAGACTATTAAAATTTGGAATAACTATAAAAGCATGTGTAATATAAGTATTGACCTTCTCTCGGCGTGGAAACCTCAGCGGAAACTTATAACATATTTCATTTTTCGTTTCTGTTGTGCGTCGACTATTTTTGTGCAGACTAGTGTGTAATTGGGTAGTAGCTTTCTAGCTGGTTCTGGTTCACCCCACGGGCCTTTATATCTTCCCGAGAAGCTGCAGGTTCGCGTCAGGTAACTTTCATCCGCTTGCGTTGCAAGACATCAATCATGGTAAGAATTATCTCCCTTTTTGTCATCTTATCTTTTGAAAGCATCTTAGCATAAATTATTCAGTCAGAAGAGCTTTTTTAAATTTTTTTTTTCTTCCAAAAAATCTGTGAAAAAAAAATGACAGTGATTAAGTGAAAAATATTTTGTTTTTTAAAGTGAATAAGTGATAATGCTTACCAACAAAAATTACTTATTAATTTTTTTTTGTAAAAAATTCCAGGAAGAAGACGAACAAAAGACCGCGATTATGCGAAAAGCATTCCAGATGTTTGACACCACCAAGAGTGGCTTTATTGACACTATTAAGATCTCCACGATACTGAACACTATGGGTCAGTTGTTCGACGATGCAGAGCTCAATGCCATCATTGAGGAAAACGATCCCGACCGGGTCGGTAAAGTTAATTTTGATGGCTTCTGCAAAATCGCTGGAAGGTTCTTGGAGGAAGAAGATGCCGAGGCGATGCAGGAAGAGTTGAAAGAAGCCTTCCGTCTTTATGATCGTGAGGGAAACGGTTATATCACCACTGCGACGCTCAAGGAAATTTTAGCGGCTCTTGATGACAAGTTGACCAGCTCTGATCTCGATGGGATCATTGCCGAAATCGACACCGATGGATCTGGCACTGTGGACTTTGATGGTTAGTTTAATTATTAATTATTAAAATTTAAATTACACTGAAGAATGAACTGAAGTTAGCATCTGACATCTGTCAATTTTTTAAATTCTTCTAACAATTTAATTACAAAAATTATTTTAATAAAAATTATAATAATAAAGTTAGCCGCCATTTTTAGAATTTTGATTATGCTTAATTTATTAAATTAAAACTAAAAAATATTTATTTTTTTTACAAATGAAATTAAAAAAAATTTTTTTTAATCATTTTTTTCACTAAAAAAAAAAATTCTAAAAATTTTTAAATGTCGACTTACTTAATTTTCACTAATAATTTTTACATGAAGAATTTTTATATTAAATTTTATCAATAATAATTTCATTGCTATAAAATTATAAAAAAATTTCTAATGTCTGTCAATTTCAGTCCCATTAATGAAGTAATCTGACTTATGATGATTTTTAAAAGTTTTTTAATAAACAAATTATTAAAAAAAATTTTTTCTGAAAAATTTCACTCGAAGATGTGTCAAAAAGTTATAATTTTTTAAACAATGTTCATAATTTTAATGCTATATTTTAATCAGGATGACCTGGAGATTAACCAAAAACTAGATTGGAAAATAAATATAAAAAAAAATTAAATTGACTATAAAAAATTAATTCTTCACGAGTGAAGTAATTTTAATAGAGCGACAAATATGTTATTTATTAAATTAAATTAATTTACTCTGGCAGCCAAGTTCTCTGGGACCCTGATTAAATGAATAATTAATTATTTAAAGTATTTTTACAAATAATGTGTAATTATTTTTAATGAGCTGTCTTTTTTAAGACGTGTGACTAACCTATTGAAATCTATTTCAGAGTTCATGGAGATGATGACTGGTGAATAACTCATACTAATGTTAATCTTGACAAGAATTTTACCACCCACGCAAGACAAAATTTAAAACGAGCAGCGGACAGCTTTGTCATAATAAGAATGAAAAATATTTGTACACCATCTAAATTATCATTATCCATCGGATCAGCATATCTGGTTTTACATTATCATAACTATTAAATAACTTATTATTATTATTATTAATAACAATTAATTATTAGATAAATAAATAAAACAATTATTTTTTAGTATTAAATTGAAGAATTTTTTATTTCGAGAGATAATAACAGAAAGGAGTAAAAAAAGGAGGAAAAATTGTAAAAAAAATAAAAAAGGGAGAAAGATTGTGAGAAGAAATTCAAAAGAAGTTAAAAATTATTTTGATTTCTAATAAGTTGGGTGGTAAGTTTCATGATGATGCTCATCGTGACCGTCGTGGTGGTACACTGAGAAGTAAGCCACCTTCATGTTGGGCACGTAGTAAGCGCTTGGAGATAGAGGTCTGTCTAATGGGTAACCCAGGGGTTTGTAATCCAGAGAAACAACACCGCCGATAACTTCGCTGATGTGTTTGCCGTGGTAGTAATTCTTCAAGTACTCGACGTTGTGTTTGTAATGGTCGTATCCAGCAGGCTGGTCACTTTGGACCTCGTGGTGTACGTCAGGGTAAACTGGATGAAGTCCTTGGCGGATTCCAGCAACGATATCCTGGTGGATCTTCTCGTGTATTTCTTGATGGAGTCCGTGGTGTAATTCCGGGTGTACTCCGTGGACGTACTCCTTGGCTCCTCCGGCTACGTATGGGTAGGTTGCACCGCTGTGGTGGTAAACTCCCTGGTATTGTCCTTGAGGTACGGTCTGTCCGACTGGTACGTGGTGTTGGTACTGTCCTGAGTACTCAGTGTGATGGATTCCTTGATGTTCTTCTCCTTGGTAGACATGCTCTGGGTGTTCGTAGTAGTGGAAAGGATAGTATTGTGGGTATTTGTGGTACAAGTAGTGACCGTAGTAGTAGTGGTGTTTGTCTACTGAAATTTCATAAAAAATAAATTAATAAAAGTGCGATTTAATCAAGCCCGACATAGAATAATTAATAATAAAGATCAAAAGCCAAAATTTCAAAATTTTTTGAGTCATGAAATAAAGTGAAAAAATCATAAATCATAAATTAAATTAATGATAATGACATTAACTTCAAAATAAATTTGATAGAATCGAGCTATTTATTACAGAAAAAAACGTATTTAAAAATTTTTTCAAATTTTCAAAGCCACTAAATAAAGCAAAAAAAAAAAAATGTTCAAAAGTTAACAAATTATAGCTTAAATTAAAGATAATTGTATAAATTTGACGATTAATTTAATAGATTTTAACTATCTCATACGGCTGACAAATTTTAAGACGATAAAAGCTAAAAATATGGTTAATTGATGAATTTTTTAAAATTTTCCAAGTCACAAAATAAATTGAACCATAGTAAAATCCATTTTAAACTCTAAACAGAGTTTTAAATTAGTTTTAGATTTTAAATTCTAAATAGAGTAACTAATTGAGCACCACAAATGAATTTTGTTGCTTAAATAATGAGTCAATGAATAACATGAAAAAATGCTTTAAATAAAAAAAATTACCATCTTGGCCGTAGACACCGTGTTCGTGGTAGTGAGGAACAACATCAACGTGTTCATAAAGACCTTGTCCGTGTTTGTGTTCCTGGACGTATGGCTCGTAGTGTTCATCATCAAAGATGTGGTAGTGTTGTTTCTGGTAAGTACGGTATTGTGCAGGCACAACGGGTCCGAAGTGAGGAACTAAGTGTTCAGGAGTGCTAATAAAGGCGAGGATCTGGAGTGGGTATCCACCGTAACGTCCCTTGGGGATTGATAGTCTAGCAGGGAATCCAAATATCTGGGATGGCTCGGTGACGTAGTACGGGTTTTGAGAACGAACTGCGCTGTCGACGTAGGTCTTGATGTGGTGGACGGATGGGTAGTCGTGGCTGAAGTGTGGAGCGTGGTGAGAGTCTCTGACAATTACGTTCTTGCCTTCCTGGACTGTGTATTAAATAATAAATTTAAATTATTGTCAAAATTAATGGTATTGAAACTGACTAGTTTTTTAGATTTTTTTACTGAAGAAATTATGAAAAAAAAAATTTCAAATTAAAACTTAAAAACTATGAATAGAATTTTTGTAAATTAATTAATTTTTTAAATTAAGTAAAATCCAAAAATCTGCTAATTTCAGTGTCTTCTTTAAAATAATAATATAAAGAAGAATATACTTACGATCGTAAACAAATTGGTCAAGCTCAACGAAGTAATGTCTGTGGTGGTTAACGTCAACCAATTTACCATCATAGTCGTATTTGGGTGCAATGTAAACGCGTACAACAGCGTTGCTGATGGGCTTGTCGCAGTTAACGAACATTTGGTATTCATAAGGCTTGTGGTTCAATCTCTTGACTTCAGCCTTGACTTTGAGGTTCTCTTGCTCGAGCTTGTTGACCGGTTGGTAGATTCCGTTGTCGATATCGACGATCTGAGTGTCGAAGTAGGTGTGGACGTCTGGGAAGACGATCTTGTCGATGGTTACTCCAGGAATTACGAGATCGTTGTATTGGTAAGCGGGGAGAGACTCCTGGTAGCGTTGGAAGAACTTGATCACACGTTTGTAGAGCTTGTAAAAGACTGGGTCGCGTACTGAGGTCTCGTGGAGGTCCAGAGGAGCCGGGGTGTATTCCCAGATGTTGGCGAACTCTGGAGCGTTGCCGAGAAGCTGGCGGGCTACGGCTTGGTAGCTGCCGTAGTATCTTGGGTTTATGGATTTTCCGGTTCCTTCGATGATCTCTCCAAGGATGTTCAGTCCTTCAGGATGGAAGAGAGAGACAAAGGCTTGCTGAGGGGTGATTACGTAGCCAGAGTCTATCGCGTTGACGATTCTGTGCTCGAGAGCGTACACGTTTCTTACGAGGTCGGCGTAGTACGGGGTCAGGGTGATGTCGTGGGAGCGACCAGCGAACTGGAGTCCGTTGGTGAGGTACAAGTGTGGGTGGTACGGGGTTTGTACGTGCTCGTAGTCGATTTCCTCGATTGGTCCCAGACCGTGAGACAGTCGCTGGAGGTTGTAGTGGGCCATCAATTGGTGGTGGACGTAGTAGTAGATTGATCCACGGCCAATGTGGTATCCGTGATGGGTTTCTCCTTCAACGCCGTGTCCTTTGTAATCCTACCAAATTTAAATACTGTTTTAGTATTTTTTCATAAATTTTATAAATGTTTAGATGTAGAGCTCTAGCGTTTTTTTTTTTTTTTCAATCGTAGAAAATTGAAAAATTTAGTTATTGACAAGCTTTTTTTTATTTTGTTCTTTTTTACGACGAATCTACGAATAATTTGTTAAAAAATTACAAAGCTCTGTATTTATATTTTTTTGCAGTTTAAAAAGAAAAAAAATACTTACTGGTTTCGTTTTTTTTTTCAAATTATTCTATTTTTTATGCAAAATAGAAAAAAATGTTAAAAAATTGTCGCATTAAATTGATGTCTAAAAAATTTCAACAATTTAAGTTTACATTTTTTTTAAATAAAAAAAATTAATTAATGAATTTATAAAATTAAAAAAAAAAGCTTGAAGAAACTAATTTGTCGAGTTCTATGGTAAAAAAAAAAAAAATCGGTCGAGTCTGACATCTAAAAATTTCTACAAATTTTTCGACACTAACTTAGCTATAAATAATCATGTTAGTAATTTTAATAAATTACTTGACTTTTATTAATAGCAAATTTAATTAGAAAAAATTTTTTATGAAAATCGGATAAGCTTTTAATTTAATACTATTCAAATAAAAAAAAAAAAAAAAAAAAATCTCACTTCAGGGATCATGTAACCAGCTAACGAGAAGTAAGCATGGAAGAGAGCGAGACCAATATCATGAGTGAAGTAAGAAAGTTGGTGTTCTCCATGAGGAAGATAGTCAGTGTAGTTAACCGGGATGACAACGGTCTGCTCAGTCAAGGGGTTGTCCATTCCGTAAATTCTGACATTCTGGGCCTCGTGGATGACGCGAGCGTCAAAGTAGTGCTGAGGAAGAATCTCATACAGAGCTGGAGGGATGATTCCGTGGGTCTCTGGGTGCTGGAGGAGAGCGGTGATGAAGGCCTGGATGAACTGGTGCTCGTTCACGTGGATGCGGGCCCAAGCAGCAGTCTTGAAGAATACTGAGTAGTTCTTGGCTCCAAGGAACATACGGGTCAGCAAGGAAACTTCCTGGCGGAGTTGGCTCACGCTTGTTGAAAAGGGGGTTCCTCTTGGCTGGACATGACCGTGCTTGACGAGGCCGACGTAGTATTCAACGAGGTGGGGCTCGCTGTAATCGCCATAGCTATGTTCAATGTCGTAGGTCTTTCCTAAGTTGTAAATGTGTTGGTCTGGAATTTCCTGAGTGATGTGCTCCAGAATGTGGATGACATCTAGTTGCTTATGGAGAAAATCTTGATCGGCTGTTGATTAATAAATTAATTTATTATTATTTCTTCTTCTTCTTTTTCTATTAAATAGTTAGGAATATGAACTAATTGCTTTATCAGAAATTACTACTCACCGGCATGCTGTCTAACAGGCGTCGGGGTAGCGGCAACAGCAGCCACAAGGGCCACCAGCAGTAAAAAGATGCGCATTCTGATTCTCAATCAGAAAACTCCTCTGGTATTTCGCTAAAATATTTACGCTTATATACCTAATTGGTATCAGGTCTTTCGGGTATATCTTCTTGACCTCCATGGCCTGCATTTGTTGATTCGTTGTCTCCCCAAGGAACTTTTCGTTGTTAATTAGTGGACTTTCGTACACTTCACAGGTCACGCGACATCACAGGTCATGGCTATTAAATATTTTTACTTTTTGGAATTTTCCTAAAATATGATAAATAAAAATCATCATTAATTTGTCGGCTGTAATTGGAAAAAAGTTATCGTTATAACCCATTAATTTATTCTCAAAAACAATTACTCTAAATATTTAATGGATAATTATTTTTAAATTACGTTTGCAGGGTATGACATTTAATTTTTATCTTGTTATTTAACACTACACATTTCGTAATCATGCAACATTATATATTTTTTACTTTGCATCAACAACTTTGATAAGTTATTTTTGTGTGCGGTAAATAATTTAATCACTCGGATAAGTAGCTCCAGAAAAAACTTTATAATGTTTAATTTAATAGAATAGAGTTTTTTAAAATTGCAGTTTTAGTTTTTCAAATCTTTCACATAAGGAATTTTTTTTTCTTATTTTTTTCAATAAGAAAAATTATCAGATGTCTACTACTAATTTCATTTTCATTAAAAAATCAATTAAATTTAAGACGTCGCCATCAGTATTTTCAAGAAATAACACTCTAAATAAAAAAAAAAAAACTTGGAGCAGAAGGTAAATATTATTTTTTTCCTCCCGTTCAATTGGAGTGCCGGTTAAGATAAAAAATCTGAAAAATTTATGTCATTAATTTAAATATAAAATAATCAGCAAAAAAACTTATTGGCTCTTATAATTGTATCAGCGCTTTCTTTAAATTAATTTTTATTTGATGATTTTATAAAAACGTGTAAAAATTTTTGATTTTTTTTTATTAATTAAATTACAACTAAAAAAATATTTCTAAAAAATTGCATTTATAGTTTTTAAAGTTTTTTACATATATGTGACAATTTTTTTTTTTTAATTGTTTAATTGAAATTTTTTATTAAAAAAATTTCTAAAAATTTTGAAATCTCGGCTAACTTGATTTTCATAAAAATTCAATCATCTTTCATTTTAAAAAATAGTTTACTATCAAGTCAATTAATTTACTCAAATAAAGGTAATTAAATTATATAAATAACTACATACATCTACTCCGTAAATTTATTCGTATTTATAATCAACATATAAAATGCGCTTGCGTCCTGTTTCCATGTGAAAAGTTTTTTCTGACAACTCCCTTCACGACAAATTAATTTTCAAAAAGTAAGCTATATATTAATTAATTAATTATTATTAAATAAAATTATTTAAACTATTAAAAAAATTAATTTCAATTGTAAATTTTTCAACAGATAATTTAATTGCTGGCAAAAAATGGTGAGTGTCAATAAAGAAATAGTTGATGAATTACGAGAAAAATATTTAAAGGTTAGAAAATTACTTGATGAACCGCAAGATGACCATCCCGAGGGACCCGATTGTAAGACAAAAAATAAAGCCGTCGGAATATTAAGAGAAATCCAAATGAAGCTAGAAAATGTTATTAATAATTCAGCTGATCAAGACATTGAAGTGATTGGTATGCTGTCAATCGTTTGGTTGAACATAGGAATAATTTTGATAGATAACGAAGAATTGAAAGAAGCTGAAGATAATCTGATGCGTTCAGTTGAAATTTTAAAAGGTAATGAATTGGAATCTGAATGTATTTTACCTTCTCTCAGTACATTCAATCAATTGGGGATAATCTGGTTCCAGTGGGGTGAGTACGAAAAGTCTAAAGCATTCGTTGAGAAATCTGAAAAAGTTTACCAGGATTTCAAAAGCATCCAGCCGGCGCGTGAGCCTCGAGGTATGTCTGATTTATTTGGCATTGACAACAGCGAAGAACCGACTCCCAAAAATGTATTGGAAAAATTACATACTCTGACTCTGTACTACATCGCCCAGATTTACGGCATTTGCAAGGATCACCAGCGTGCTGCCTTTTACTGTCACATGACACTGCAGAGGCAGTTGGAGCTCGACGACCTCGACTACATTGACTGGGCACTGAATGCCGCAACCTTGTCACAGTTTTTCATGGAACGTAAACATTTTTCACAAGCGCGCCATCATCTGGCAGCTGCTTCTCATATTCTTAAGATGTACGAGAATTCTCTGATTGACGATGTGGGGGAAAACGCCAACGAAGAACTCAAAGCTGCTAAATGGGAGCAATTTCGACATCGCAGTGCCGATGTCGCCAGATGCTGGGCCAAATATGGGATCCTGCTGATGAGCATGTCAAGGGATCGGTTGATTGAACGTGCTGATAATGTTGATGATGAGAAAGAACCCAAAGAAGACAATAAAGCTGAAGACGCTGTGGACATTGAAACACTGGAGAGCATGAAATTTACAAAGCTCGAGGAACCTATCCAGTCGATCGCTGAGCAAGTGACTGATCAATACTTGTTAGATTTTAACGATGCTAAAAAAATTTTCCTCAACGTCCAGCAGTGGCTGGATCAAGCTAAAAAATTTTACGCTTTGGAAACTCATGCTTCGGATTATGTTTACATCATGCAGGACATGTCGCAAGCTTATAAATACTTGACGTTTTTTGAGGAAGATGAAGATCGTCAGGCAAAAATGCACAAGCGACGAATAGACATCCTGGAACATGTTATCCAAGAACTTAATCCGCGATACTATCAATCGGAGTGTCGGCAGCTTTGGATCGAGCTTGGAGAAACTTATTCAGCGATCCTGGACATTAAGTTAGATAAACTTCGGGCGTCTGATGATCGGCCTACACCTCATGTTTTAACAAAAATTAACCATCTAAGTAGATCTGCTATTAAGTATTATCAAACTTTCTTGGATTCGCTCAAAGAATCGGAATCATCGGCACCGCTTAAGGAATTTCCTGAAGAATTGGTTCGTCCTGCGCTGTTCGCTTACTTTCACTTGGGAACGCTGTACAATAAATTGATAACGCCGGATAAGAATGGGCAAATTGAAAATATCATAAACAGCATCAATGCTTACAACTTCTTCGTCGAGTACTGCAATTCTCATCCGGATGCTGCTGAATTTATGAAAGTTGAGCTGAATGTTTGTAAAGATCTCGCAAATTTGTTGCCGCTTAAATTAAATAAACTCAAGCAAACTATGTCAGCACCATAAAATTAATTTTTTTTTAATTTTTTATTTGTTTTTTGAAAATTTTTTTCTCAATACAGTGTTCAAACACGGTCAGCTTTCTACTGTGCTTTATTCGCACACATATGTGATATAATCTTAATTTTTTTATGTAAAAAATTTTAATGATTAAGCATTATTAATTAATAATATAAATGTAAAATGAATATTTTGTGAAACGACAGAAAACTAAGATTGTTAATGAAAAAAATCATAATAATAATAATAATAATAATAATAATAAATGATGTACAGTTTTAAAATATAAAACTATTATTTTCACGTTTCCATGGCTTCCATAGACGAATCTATCATAGGAGTATCAACTGGTGTTTCCATTGGCTCCACAATTTGTTTTTTAATACCGTAAAGTTTCTGTAACTTTTCGTAGTGCTTCGCTTCCTGTAATTATAAATAAATTTTATTAAAAAATAAATACAACACGGAGAAGAATTTTGCAAGAGCTCTATATAAATATTTTTTTTTTTTTTTATAATTTATAATTATTTACCTTTTCATGTACTGAAGGACGAATTTTAGTAAAAGCAGAATCAAAGTGCCGCATTGACACTTTAGTGAGATCAGAGTTGTTAATCGTTGATTCTTTGAGTGCCTCGAGACCAGCCTCTCGTACTAATGAAGCTAAGTCAGCTCCAGTGTAACCATCACACTTGTCACTTTTTCCAACAGCCTCCAAGTCCACGTCATCTTCAAACTGGGGTTGTGTACCATTCTAAAAAATAATAACATATTAGTAAATTCAATGAAAGTTATTATATTTGGTATTTGTTTTATTATTTATTAATTAAAACATGAATTAATTAATTTTGGATATTATGGGAATAAGTTCAGGTTGTTAGCCTGCCTTTATTCATTTAACATGATTTTAACAATTGATGTTTAATAATTGAGGTATGTGTTTTGATGTATTCTTAGATTTAGTCATAAATTTAATTTTTGAGTTGAGTTTATACTGTCCAAGTTATACAAAGTTATGATAATATTTTGTAATGTAATTATAAGAATATTATTGTAAAGTATTTTGTATTTAATTGTTCTAGCACATGAGGAAGTCGGGAAACCGACGAAACGTTGTGAAAATTTAAATAAACATCGAATAAATATTAAAAGACAATGAAGTTATTGTAATTATTAAAAATATTTACCAACAACTAATATGATTACCTTAGTCACAGCTTTCAGAATATCAACTCTGTCAAGGGGCGTAGGGAAACCAACATAAAGAATTTTATCAAATCTTCCAGGTCTCATCACAGCAGGGTCGATAATATCTGGTCTGTTGGTAGCAGCCATCAAATAAACCCCTTTTCTACCTTCAATACCGTCCATTTCAGTGAGAACTTGGTTAACAACACGTGAGGTTGCTGAATTATCACCCTCCGTTCTTTTGGGACACAGAGCATCGAGCTCGTCAAAGAATATCACACATGGGGCCGAATTTCTAGCCCTAATGAAACATTGTCTCACTGCTTTTTCGCTTTCACCAACATACATGTTCAGTAGCTCTGGCCCTTTGACAGAGATGAAATTAACTTCTGCTTCATTGGCAATGGCCTTGGCCAACAGTGTTTTTCCACACCCGGGCGGGCCACACAGCAGAACTCCTGTGGGAGCCATAAGCCCGAAAGCCGCAAATTTGTCGGAATGTTTAACTGGCGCAAGAATTGCCATTTGTAATTCTTCTCGTACTTCTTTCAACGACCCAATATCATCCCAAGTAACATCAGGTACTGTAGCAAAGCCTTCACGCTTGGATGAAGGTTGAACAGAGCGATAAGCGACCTCAAAGTCAATATTTTCAATCCGCAAATCAGCTAAACGTTCAGGTGACAGCGGGTTTGTGTCATGGAGCAATTGTAACAGATCATCCAAATCACCAAAGTTTGAATTCAATGGCTCAGGTGCTTTTTGTTCCTCAGTTGTGTTACCGTTAGTCAAAGGTACTGTAACATCTGTACTAGTACCCGGTGACGCCATATTAACTTCCTCAGGTACAATAATTTCAGGTTCTACAGGAGTAGCACTTTGATTAGTTTTGTCAGTTTCAGTTTGTGTCTCATCAGGCGAGACAGTCATTTTATTACTATCTTGTTCTGTTTCCGCTGTTGGTTCGTCGGTGGTTGATTTCTCAGGTTCTTTCTCAGTAGGTTTATCAACAGATTTTTCAGCCTCCTCACTATCAGCCTTTTCGGGAACTTTGTCAGCCGATTTGTCACTCGAGGTCATCGGGTGAATCGCTGAGGTTTCTTTTTTCAAAGCTTTGAAAACTCTATCGACAGCAGCAATAGCGGCTTCGCGAAGAAGCGCAACTAAATCAGCGCCTACGAATCCTGGAGTAAGCGAAGCTATTGTCTTAATATCAACGTCATTTGCTAAGGATAATTTGGCAGCATGAACTTGTAAAATACAGGCACGCGATTCTTTGTCGGGAATGCCGAGGGAGACCTCGCGGTCGAACCTACCAGCTCTTCTCAAAGCCGGATCCAATGACTCCGGCCGATTAGTAGCACCAATTACTAAAACTTTGTCACCGTTTTCCTTGGTACCCAAGTCGTCTAAACAGGAAAGTAGTTGAGCAACCATACGCCGTTCCATTTCCTTTTGTGCGGTGGCACGATGAGGTGCCATAGCGTCTACTTCGTCTAAAAATAATACACAGGGTGCTGTAGCGGTAGCACGATCAAACAATTCTCTGATTCGAGATTCGCTTTCTCCAGAAACACCGCCTACCAGCTCAGGTGCTGCGACTTTTATCAGAGGAATGTCTAATTCACCGGCTACAGCGTGAGCCAACAATGTTTTACCACATCCCGGTGGACCGTGAAGTAAAAACCCTCTTGGCGGCGACATTCCTAGTTGTTTAAATATCTCTGGGTGTTTTATGTGGACCAGTAATCTGCAAACGTCTTCCAGTACTTTTTTGTTACCGCCTATGTCTGCAAATTTAATTTTGGTCTCCACTGGTGCTTGGCTTTCTTTTTTTTTCTTCAATATCCCCGACGGACTACCATCCGCTGTTTTTTCTCGTGGTCGTTTTCGAGATTTGTCTGGCCCTGATGATTTTACTTCTGATGACTCCGCAGGCTGCAAAATAACAAACCAATCATTGAATACTTTTTTCAAATTTTTAATTATTTTAAATTAAAATATAAACAATTTACTTTCTGGTGATTAATATCTTCTTTTTTAGCTTGCTCGGGTTTTGACAATTTTGCCTTAGAGCCAGAAGATGAACTTTTAGATCCCGATTTGCCAGAAGTCTGTTCACTACTCATAGCAAACTGCTGACTCTTTTCAGGAGCAATATCTTCAACTTTTTCAGAATCATCGTCACTGCTAATATCAATTAATTCCTTGTCACTCCCGTTACCGTTCATTTCATCGACTGATTTTTTGTACATTTTAATCAGCTCTCTGCCTAGTGTATCATTTCCCGGTGTGTCTGACTAAAATAAAATATCAAATTTATTAGACTGACTTAAAACATAAACACCGAAACTTATATTAATGATAATTTGAACTAATAAATTGCCAAATCAACAAGTACTCAGATTACTTTCGATACTTGTGTCTTATCATTTTGATAAAAACTGTAACAAAATATACCTCAATCTCAACTTCATCATCATATTCATCCTGTCGCGAAAGCGAGTCTGATTTCTTGGAAAAACTCTCGGTGATTTCGTCGTAGGCACGACGTACCAGGGCGCGAAATGCTGAACGCTTCTTAGCTCGGTAATCGCGGTATTTTCTCTGCAAGCTATCAGCCATTTCATTGACATCAATGTAAACTTTGTCTTCATTTTCATATAAGTACTGAAAAAAAAAAAAAAACAATAATAATAATAATAATGAACCATAAATTATTAAAAGTAAATATTGTTAGTGCTTCAAATGTTTGGTAAACAAATGAAACAGAACAAACGCCATCGGTACTTTTACTTTTAGGTTAGAAATGAAAAATATTTAAAAATTACCATTTGCACCCGAGATATTATTTGTGGATCACGCTGTAAACGCATCTGATCATCCATTTGACTTTTATTACCCATTGGACTCATAATATCCTCGTTACTGACTCCCTGAAGGGGTATTATGTCAATAGATGAATTAAATTTTCTCATTTTATTCATATTCAAATGATCGAAATATATAACGTTACGATTTTATAAAAATTACTTTTACCACGTGACTGATAAAATTGTTTTTAATATATTATCCAATAATGATTGTTATTAATTCAGCAAAAACAATAATCAAACCATTATTTATTAACTAATACTTAATATATATGATATTATTAAATGTAACTATTAGTCTACGCAGTTTACAGTTTACACTAAACCACTAACCCCGGCAATGAATTTTACGCCGGCGATTTTTATTTGTTACATACGCTACACGTATACATATGTACACACATTTAACGTATACTATAATAATAATAATAATAAGTATATATGAAAATATATATCTTTTGTATGAGAAATGAAAGAGGGAAAGCAAAAGCGAAATATTACATTTGGCGACGTTTACATGTAAAAACACCGTTGAATTCTCTGCGTGGCTATTGGCTGTCAACAAAGCTTTATATTCCGATTAACTTCCGGCTACAGGAGTGTTGTAAATTGTTATTTTTACAAAAGTACTATTATTTTCATAAATCAATTAATTTTCAATGTTTTAATAATAATTACAATAATTTTAAAATCATTACTCAGCATAAGAAAACAATAAATTCTACAGTTTTAATTGTTGTTTTGATTTTCATAACTACTACTAGTGCCGCCAACGTCGCTATCAACCGTGGAATAAAAATGGTATTTCTTTTACCTCGAGAATCAGAGCATTATGGTATGTAAGAGATGTAAATTTGTATTTATTTGTAGTTAATTATTTTTCCCGATTGATTTGAGGTGAAATAATAAGTAATTAACGTTTTGCGATTAATATTTTTCATAATAATCAATTTTCTTGAGAGTAAATCGACCTAGAGAGCTTTGTAACCTGCATTTATGTTGTAGTGACACGAGCACATGGTAGAATATTTAGTTCTATTTTTATTTAGAGTTATTACTATTATTTTGTTTAATTAATTAAGATCATAATAATTTTTTAAAAATGCTTGAACCTTTTTTTTTTTTTTTTATTAATTTTCGCCGAATATTTCTTTGATATTGAAATTTTTTTGTAACATGTAAAGTAAGGTTAGGTTGGCGTCTCTGAATAATTTTATTGCTTTTTGTTCATTGATGTAGATTGTTCATATTAATTAATTGATAAAATTTTAATTATTCAATTTTTATTAATATTATATTTTTATTTTTTACAGCCGTTCGGACGATTCGTGCAGACGGGCCGTGTGTGCCTGGTTAACGATGGTGCCAATAAAGGAAAATTGGTCACAATTGTTGATGTTATTGACCAAAACAGAGTAAGATACATTTGTTTTTATTAATTAGTAATTATAAAATTAAAAAAAATTTAATACTTATAATTATTAAATAAATTATTATATGAAATCATGATGAACCTTTGTTCTTGATAGGAATTGCCGGCTGACACTTTACTGATGTCTAACCAATTATCTGAGATTATATCAGCATTAAATATATTTAACTTTTTAGTTTATTCAAAAAAATTAATAAAGCTGTTAATTATACAGGTTTTAGTCGATGGACCTCAATCAAAAATCCCAAGAGGCCAGATGAGATTGAGTGAACTTCATTTGACAAAGTTTCAACTCAAGTTCCCATTCACTGGATCTACGAGAGTTGTACGCAAGGCTTGGGATGCTGCGGAGCTTGAAAAAAAGTGGAGTGAAACAGTCTGGGCTAAGAAAGCCGCAGCCAAAGCAAAGGTAAATTGCGCACCAACTTTGAATCCCTATTTTTAACCACTGGTATTTAACTAACATTATTTATAACCACTCATTCTTTTTTGTTTAGCGTTTGACACTCAGCGATTTTGACCGCTTCAAGTTGCGAAAAGCTCGTCAAATCCGCAACAAGCTCAGATCCGACGCTTTTTTCAGGTTGAAGAAAGTTAGCAAGAAGACGAAGAAAGGAGCAGCAACTAAAGACTCTAAAAAAACAGAAAAGAAATCCAAGAAGTAATTTGATAAATACTTCAAATAAATCTTATAAAATTTAATTTTATCTATTTAATTTCTCAACCTGTCATTAAACTTTATTGTTATCAAAATTAACTAAATACACTCAATTAAAAATACTTAACTCTATAGATAATTTTTGACACAAATAATTAAGGATTGATTCATTTTATTAAAGAATGTTACATATTTTTATTCGGATAAAGATTAGGTATACAATAATTACATCATAAACTTTGATCATACTTTTAACAAATTAAATTATACAGATAAAGTTTCATAAAAAAAAAAAAAATTCAAAGAAATAGTTAAAGTATATATTTACGTATGATCGACTAAATATCGAATTTGTTCTTGATTTAATTTCTTAAGTATATTAATATTTATTAAATGGAATTGATATTTTTCATTCTAATAATTTCTTATCATATAAAAATTCACCAAGTGGACCATGAGTGTCCATCATTTTATCGAGGGTTGAAATTTTTCCAGCGAGCTCGCGCTGTCCTCTGTATTGCTCTTCTAAGAAGTCACCAGTCAGCCAATCAACAAGCTGTGATGGAAAAAATAAAAATTAAATTAATATAAGATGATAAATTATTAAAAGTTTATCTAATAAAAAAATTAGTGATAAACTATAACATGATCTTACATGATAATCGTTAAAGTTGACATCAGCTGGTGCTTCGCATTTTTCAATTATTTTTCTGATGCTGCGAGTGACACGTGTTTCCAGGCTGAGTGCTTCAGTAAGAGCCTTTACTCCACTGCTCCATTCCCCGGCAATTGGTTTCTATTGATCAAAGGCACGAAAAAATTTAATTAAATTATTAAAATGTATAATGGTTTACTTCAATAATAAGGACAATTGAATAATAGACTAACAAATAAGCACAGTATTACTCAATTCAATGGCAATAATTATCTATTAATAAGGATATATAAAAATATACTGTGATTATTACTAAGAATTGACAATAAAAATAATTCACGCTAAAATTATTATGACTAACTTACCAACGGGAACTTGAGTAATTTACTGACGTCACTGGTAAGCTGTCCACGCATCAACAAGTACTCGATTATTTTGATAGCGTGTTCACGTTCTTCGCTTGCGCTGTCGAAAAAGAATTTAGCGAAGCCAGGACGATTGACTGAATCTTGAGAGAAATGGGCACCCTTTAAAAAAAAAAAAAATAAGAAATTTTATATACATTTACATGTTTATAGGCTGATCAAATAACCGGTTATTGAGTAATCGAATTCTGGTTAAAATGTATAAATTTCTAATGAAATCTCATTTGTATCATAGATATACAACTCCGGTTAAATTATCGCCAATTAGGGCTTAATTATCATATGAATAAGAATAAAAAATAATACCATCGCTAAGTAAGTCATGGAAGCCTCAATTTCTGTTTTTACTTGAGCTTCAAGCATCTTGGTGCATGGATCAACCATGTCACGCCATTCAAAAGGAAATTCCCCTGGTCTTAATGTACCTAGACATTATTAATATCATTATTTAACTATTGTTCATTTATCAATGAAAAATTATTATTATATTACAAATAGCCAAGGGCTATTCGACGTAAAGTCTACTATTAATACAATTGACTCAAGCATGAGTAATAAAAAAGTACAAAGGATGTTATGATTTTATTTGAAATACATATTATCATTCAGATAATACACTTTAACACAAAGTAAAATATTTTGTTTATTGTTTGTTATAATTTTATAAATAGTTTATAGATAATGATTAACAAATAATGACGATTTTGATAAGCTTTCGACCTTTGGAGTATTATATCGTTAGATGTTGACGCCCACTCGTAAAAAATTGTATCATTATGATTCATTTATAGATAATCAAACAGGCCATTATGATTAATGAAAATATTTAAAACAAATAAAATAAAAAGTTATTTATGTAATCGAGATATCTATTCTGGATTCAAACCCAGACTTTGTAAAAGTATCAATTTTAAATTCACTGATAAATCAGTAATCATGTTAATCAATTAATTAAAATTTATGATTTTCAATAATTAAATATTCTGTTTATCAAGTACAAATATTATATCAATTCTCTACGTTATCAATTTAATCAGTAAAGAAATATAATTTTTTTTATCGGTATAGTACTTGAAGTTTTATCGTCCTTTGTTACTGTATTTTTATTACTCATACAAGTATTTATCCAACTTGGTAAATATTTTTAAACTTGAAGTCAATTGCAATAAATGCAACAATTAAATTAATATCGCAGCATTGTTATCAATTTGAGGAAGACAATTTATTTTTATAAATTATTCTCTGTAAATACTCATGATTATTTATTTTATCACTAATAAAAATTATCTGCTGCAATGGAAAAAAAATAAATTAATAAAACAAAGAATGTTGATTATCATCATACTGTACTTGCACTGGCAACCTAAATTCATTGGGATCAATTGCGAAATATTACCATAAATAAATAAAATAAAATAAATTAAAAAATTGTAAATAAATTTTTATAAAAAAAAAAAATAGCATGAGCATGAGTCATCATTGTGGAGTTTAAGCTATAATTGAAAAAGAAAAGAATGAAAATAAATAAGACGTTAATCTTGTTGACAATGAAGGTGATAATTTTGAAAACAAAAATAATAAAAAAAAATTACTCACATTTTAATCCATCTCCCAAAGATGCATTTATGCAACTTAGTGCAACAATTAAGGCACATAGCACCTTCATGATGACAATTAAAATAGCTCAAACGTTGTACAAAATTAGTCGCAATAAAAGTTGGTGGTTTAGAAGCAAGTAGTAGAATGGCGATTAAAATCTCCAAAGGTATTTTTCTGGTTTTTTTCTAGCGTCTCCTCTCTCCTCTGGTGTCGAAGCAACCTTTATACACACTGGTATAGAAGGATCTTCGTTAACAATTTTTAACCAACAAATATCAAAGAGCTGAGCAAAATGAGCTGGCCATTGGCCACTTGAATAAACAAAGCACGGTGATTATATATTATCTCCAAGTCACAACGGCTAACGCGGTAATGTCTCAACTCTGAAACTCAGTATACATAACAGGATTTCCAATACACTTATATATCTATGTTTATTGCAGATAATATAGTCAAATAACATTCGCGCGTGCGCCCATCAACTATCGAACTGGTGAAGCAAGTGATGTAGGTTCTCGAAGCTCGAAGGCACTGCCGAGGAAGGACAGATAAAATTCAGTCGTAATTCGTCAGCAAAACCGTCTCAATCTAATAATTTACCAGCTATTTATATTATCAGGTTTATCTCCATCAATTGTAAGTATCGGTCATTATCATTATAATTTTATTTCATAATATATTCATAGTATTGATATATCGACATCACCCAATTGTTTATGCCAATACTTGACTCTGCTTTTCTATCTGCGTATTTTCTATTTTGCATCATGGTCTTTTGTTTGTAAGTTAAATAGATAGCTGTTTTTTTTTTTTTTTTTTTTTTTCCCTCGATGAATCATTTATAGATATACTTACTTTTTACACTTTATTATTGTCTTTATATATTAAATTAAAATAATATACTAATTTATTTATTTACTCTTTTAGAAATCATGATCAAGTTTGGAGTATTACTGGGACTGCTTTTAATAGGCGTTTGTTCTGGTGAATTTTGTTTCAATGATGTTGAAGCCGCTTGCAGTCCTCGTCCACTCTCTGGTGATAATTTTATTTATTTATAGATTTATTTATTTATTTATTTACTCATAAAAAAATTGTTTTGTCATTTTATATTTGTCAGAAAATTTTAAAGTAGTTTGTTGTTATCTATTGTCATATTTGTGAAGACTATCATATTATACTATTTATCAAGTAAAAATTTTAATAAATACACATGACTTTTTATAAGTCTTGTTAATATTTTTATGACTTTTAGTCGAGCATAAATTTTTATTGTAAACATTTTACAAGATAATTTGGTTTTAAGATAATTATTTACAAGTGGAGTCAACCTATGCTGTGTCATGTTAAATTTTTTTTTTTTTCATCAAATTGGTCAATTTTTATCTATTTTAATTGTTCATTTTTTTATGAACTTTTCAAAAAAAAAAATATATCAAAAAAAGATAAAATAATTACCGAAAATTTTTTGGTTGATTGTTATTTTCAGAATAATTGATAAATATATTCAATGGCACATATGTATTTATATATTTTTTATCAACAGACGGTACAATGCTAAATTGTAATGCGAAATATGGTGCAATTGACCAATTAATGGTTGACTTGCAAAGCTATGCCAATGCAAACATTGAAACGAGCTTTGAGTACTTACTCATGTCAACGCACTTTGGTAATTATGAAACAAACCGTGAAGGATTCAAAGGCCTTTACCGCAAAATGTCTGACAGAGCATGGGAAAATGCTATAGACATTATTAAATTCATCACCAAGCGCGGTGGAAAAATGGACTTTAATCAGCTTCCGAGATACAAGCGAACTGTAAGAATAAAAAATATATTTTTCAACTGAGGAAACATTTTACATAGATTTTTTCAACAACTTGAAATTTATTATTTTATTTTTTTTAAATCTCCAGGGCAAGGAACAACGTGTCGTTGAGCTTTCTGAAATAAGCAGCTTGGCCAAAGCTCTGGATACCGAGAAACAGATGGCTGATGAGGCTATCCGCGTTCACGGACAAGCTCTACACCATTCCAAACTTGATTCTTCAGTGGCTCATTACATGGAAGAACAGTTCATGGAACCACAAGCTGAAACTGTAAGAACTCTAGCAGGACATACTAATGATATGAAGCGTCTTCTCGCTGATAATGACGCTTCGTTATCAATATTCATGTTCGATGAGTACTTGAAAAAAACTTTGTAATTTAATTATTACTATTTCTAAAAATTACCTTCAAAGTTATTTATGATAGTTCATATAAAGAGAAGAAAGTTTTATTGATTAATTAAAATAATTTATGTTGTAACTACTCTTATCATAATCAATTTGTAATTGAGATTAAATTCTATCTATTCTTTATCAAATTATTTTGTTTTCTTGTAACAATTGTATAGATCAAATATATATATCCATTATAAATCTGTAATTTGTTACAAATTAAATTTATTTGATATTTTGATAAAAATAAAATACTTTAAATTAAAACTGTATTGCGTAGAATATTAATTAATGAAATATTGAAGTTTGCGGACACTTGACAATTTTTTAATTTTATTTAACAAAAAAATTTGTTCCGAAAAATTATTTTAAAAAAATTGCATTTTAATTTTTTAATAATTTTTTTCGAGTCATAATTTATTTATTACAAAAATTTTAAAAATTATCAAATATCCGCTAAATTAATTTTCATTATTAATTATTGTACTATTTATTTATCAATACGTGAATTTTTGGCCTTGATATTTTGCACAATTTTAAATTTTTTTAATAATTTTTTTTCGAGTCATAATTTATTTATTACAAAAATTTTAAAAATTATCAAATATCCGCTAAATTAATTTTCATTATTAATTATTGTACTATTTATTTATCAATACGTGAATTTTTGGCCTTGATATTTTGCACAGTAGATTTATAAAAAATCGACATTATCCTGATAACTAATTTTTTCCCTGAGTGCATAAATATACTTTTTAAATAGCTAAAATTAAAAAAATTTGAAAACTTATGAATAAAACTAAAAATGTCATTAAATTGTTTTGGTTTTTATCGATAGTTAAAATCTAAAAATTATCCATTGAATAATGGAATAGATAGTGAAATAGAGTAACAAGATAAAGAGGGAAATAAATCGTTATAAATTTAACACTCCAACGCTTTTAAATTTTTTATCTAATTTCTTATATTATTATGATTATGGCATTTTATTTGAATGAAAAAGAAAAAAAAAATTAACTGATAATAAAACTCCTACAGCAAAATGTATCTCAATTCTAACCACATCCTATATGCGTATATATATTATATGTATCGTAACTTCAATATGGCGGCTACCGTTGTCATTCACATTCCAGAGTTGGAAACGTTGGAAAGGTATCCTCCCCCTCTTTGCTCAACTCTCTGTGTACACACGACTGAATATTACAAAAAAAAAATATATACAGTGATATAATTTATTGAGAATTTATTTATCTATCGTTAAATGACCGAAACATTAAATTAATTGGCACTAATTATCATCCAAATAAAACATTAAGTGATATTAGATATTAATTGTTAATTTATTATTATTATTATTATTATTATTGTTGAGTACATATATACTTAAACACGTACATAATTTTTTATGTATTACTGTGTAGATAATTTTTTAACATAGAAGGTGAGTAATTTGACGTGTACAATTTAGAAGACAGCTGTCAAAATTACTGTTATTCAATTGCTGTGATAAAACTATTTAATAATGAATTTTTTATATTTTTTTAAAATACTTAGACTGATTTCAATTGTTAAAAGTCGTAATTAAAGTGATAATTTATTTAAATTAACGTAACCTGCTATTGTTAATTGATAATATGTAAGAATATATGTGACTTTACATTTTGTTATTACGTTGTGCATACGTTGTATTGACAAATTAGAGATGCTGAGGATGATACTTTGTGTTTTTATTTCAGAATTCGATAAAATAAATAGCTTTGCCTTATATGTTTATATTTATATGAGGATTTAGTAAGCTAATATGAGTCACAGGTGATGAGTATAAATTTAATTGAAAATTTATCTAATAAAATAAACTGGGACTTTGGCTGTAAAGCCATCATCATTCTATCAGCATTGGAATTGGATTTAAATTTTAAAAAAGTGAGTTCCGAAAATAACATTATATCTACCGACGAGCTGGCGCTTTTAGGAAAGCTGGAAGAGGCTAATAGGTAATAATTTATTATTTATAAATAGCTTAGGTATAAGTCCTCGAGATTTAAAATTTAATGAGAGCATAAAATAAAAAATAAAATTTTTATTTTAAAATTATTAATAATTTTAGGCTGATTGAATCAGATGTAAAGTCATGTAATTCATTACAAAGTAATCACAGCAGAAAAAGTTCGGAATCATTTGCAACCCCGGCGTCGGGTTCTAGCGGTGAAGATGAAACCGCAGCCCGGCGCCACACCCCGACTGACGGCGAGGTTGATGTGTGGAAGCGATGGGGTCACATAGTCGCCGACTGGGAAAATTATTGGAGAAAACACAAAGATGTTATCAAAGAATTGGTCAAGCAAGGAATACCTCATCACTTTCGGTAACACGAAAGCTGAGAGCTATTAATTAAATTTCACTTATTACTCTATATGTATTTAAATTAATTTAAATTACCTTAACTTAATAATAACATTTATTGCAGAGGTATCGTATGGCAGTTGTTGTGTGGAGCACACGATTCACCGGTTAAAAAACAATTCGCTGAATACATTAAATCGACATCAGCATGCGAGAGAATAATTAGAAGAGACATTGCACGAACATATCCGGAACACGAATTTTTTAAAGAAAAAGATGGGCTTGGGCAGGAGAGTTTATTTAATGTTATGAAGGCATACAGTCTTCACGATCGTGAAGTCGGGTATTGTCAAGGATCTGGTTTTATTGTTGGTTTACTACTGATGCAAGTATGTATTTATTTCATTTGTCTAAAAAAATAATTTTATTGCTTTTCGGGATGGTTTCTTAGCTCCCAATTTTATTTTCTCACAAATGATGTCTCAATACAAAGCTTTATGAAAGCAAGAAAAAATAATACTCACAATATTAAAAAAGAAAAAAAAAAAAAACTAATATGAAAATTATAGCTTTTAAGTGATGATATATAATTTTTAAAGTCACAAAAAAATAAAAATAAGAGAATATTTTAATCATAAAAATTATAGTCTAAAAATTTTACATAAAGGATTTTTTGTATTGAGAAATTTCACAAAGAAATTTCATATAATTAAAATTAAATAATTTATTACAGCAAATGCCTGAAGAAGAAGCTTTCGCTGTTTTAGTAGCTCTAATGCAGGAATACCGTTTAAGAGATATGTTTAAGCCGAGTATGGCCGAACTCGGTGTTTGCATGTATCAATTAGAACACTTAGTAGCAGATACGTATCCGGAATTATCAGCTCACTTTACAGCTCAAAGTTTTCATACATCAATGTATGCTTCTTCATGGTTTCTTACATTATTTACAACGGCATTAACTCTGCCTCTAGCCTGTCGAATTTTTGATGTTTTTTTAATGGAAGGCATGGATATTATTTTTAAAGTCGCTCTGGCTATGTTGGATCTGGGAAAGGATGATTTACTCAGTTTAGATATGGAAGGCATGTTAAAGGTACGGGTTTATTCGCGTATCTTTTATTGAAATAAAACCAATGGGGCATGTGGATAAATAAAATGTTTTTATTTCGAATTATTTATTGCAAGCTTTTATTCATCTAATTTTTTTTTTTTTTCTATTAGTTCTTTCAGAAAGAATTGCCGGGCAGAGCTGAAAACGATCCAGACGTACTGATGAATTTGGCGTATGGGATGAAAATAAATCCAAAGCGCATGAAAAAGTTAGAAAAAGACTACACGGTATTGAAAATGAAGGAACAAGAGGAAATGGTTGAACTGCGACGACTGAGAGCTGAAAATCGATTATTGAGACAGCGAACAGAGCTATTGGAGGCTGAGTCTGCTGAACTAGCAGATAAACTCGTTAGGGGTCAAGTATCGCGCGCTGAGGAGGAGGAAACGACTTTCGTTGTGCAGAGAGAACTAGCGGCTTTGCGACACACTCATCTTGAGACAAGCCATCAACTAGAGCAGGCTCACGAGGAATTGAGATCGCTATCGATGCTTTTGGAAGAAAATATGTCGTCTAAACAGTCGTCTATCGATGAAATGAGTTTAAAGGCCGAGGCATTGTCACAGAAAGAAGAAATGGTTGAGTGTTTGCAGCAGGAGTTGGTGCGTGTACGGCTGCATGAAGCTGAGAAAGACGCGACTATCAGGGATTTGAGAGCCAGGATACAGGAATTGGAGCAAGATAAAAAAACTTTACGTGAATCAACCCCGGATAATTCTGTCGCTCACTTGCAGGAGGAATTGATAGCTGTTAAACTGAGAGAAGCTGAAGCCAATTTGTCATTAAAGGTTTTTACTTTTAGAAAAATAATTATTTTAATTCTAAACTTGTATCATTAATTATTATTATTATTATTACTACATACGTTGTTATTAATCTAGGATCTCCGGCAAAAAGTTGGAGAGTTAAGTACTGCCTGGCAACGACATTTACAAGAACACCGGTCGGCTCAATCAACCCCAGCTGCTGACTCGACGCCGAAAAAATTGCTCTTTTGGGAGAACCGTGGACATGAAATACAAAAGTTGGAAGAAGATTTGATGTCATCGCGTTTACGTGAGATGGAAGTACTCACCGAAGTCAAAGAATTGAGGCTAAAAGTTATGGAGCTTGAGACTCAGGTCCAGGTTGCGACAAACCAACTTCGTCGTCAGGATGAGGGTGAAAAATTAATTCGCGAAGAACTTGAAATATCCTCCGCTAAAATAAAGGAATTGACTAGCAAGCTGCGTGAACAGATGCACAAATATTCCGACTTGGAGTCCAAGATGAAGGACGACACGATGATGGCTCGAATCAGAGATGCTGAACACGCTCAACATGTCGCTGAATTAACGCAAAAAATATCCCTACTCGAGTTAAAGGTGATATGGAAGCTAATAAACGGATTAATATGAAAAATAATACAGTACAGAATTTATAGCGGTAATTTATTTTTTTTTTTTAGAACGAAGAAATGTATGCAGAGGGTGAATTGAGAAGCAATCTAGATGACAGTGATCGAGTACGTGATTTGCAAGACAAAGTTGCTGAGCTAAAAGCAGAGGTAATAATTATATTTAAAATTAATATTCTATCGATAATAAATAAAATAAACTATGAAAAAGTGGTTACTCGTTTATATTTGTTTATTAATATTTATTAAGCGTCGTGGCGTCAACTATACATCGCATTCGTTCGATAATACCCGGTGACAATATTTAAATTTTATTGTTGTTTTTATCTTTCTTTAAATTTATAGTTCCCCACGCCAATAACCAGTCCAGAGACAGAGCCTTGGCGGTGGCTCGAGTAAGTTCAAATCTATCGAGTACGTGTAATTTTGCCAATATATCAATTTTCAATGTTACTTATTAATTATAATTACTTTCAATTATAACTATAACAAAATTATTATTTTATTGGTAGCTAGACTAAAAATTATCCTTCAATATATTTTTGTAATTTTTTATTTTGTTTTTCTCAGACATTTTCTGTATTTTGTGGAAATTATTTATTTTTATTAATTAGTTGTATTGGTTAATAAACCTGTACATTAGATAATTATTTATCCAAGCATTTAGAGACTCTATTAGATCCTGTAGCATGTTAGATTTTTTTTTTAATTTATATAAGTAGCATTTGTGATTGATAGCTGACATATTGAACGAGCTGAGCAAGCATGTTGCTTTGATGTTTTAATCTTATTAATATATTTAATAATTTTAAAATGATTTTATTATTTTTTATATTTTTAAATTTATTGGTAAAAATAGATTTAAGAGTAACGAGTGCGATGTATGTAATTTTTCCTGAGTAGAAGGTATTTTATTTTTAATTATTTAATTAGTCAATTTTATTGCTTAGTCTGTTTTATTGTCCAACGTCAAGGGTTTATGAATTATTAATAATAATAAAAATTTTATTGTTGAATCATAGATCATGAGATTGAAAAATAGCAAATACCAATGGACTGGGTCAACGGAACGAATTGGACGAAATACTAGCATTGATACAGACAGTGAATTCGACGAACGAGATCTGCGAATTTGTCTTCAAGATCAACTCAATAATGTAACGATATCCGATTCATCGAGAAATTAAGATTAAAAAAAAATATATATATATATTCGAGATACATATTTAACATCAAAGTTTATGTAAAAGAATTAATTTTACTGCATACATACTTTGATGTTGTCATATAGTTGAATTATTTAAAGCATTAAATCTTTATAGGATGCGTGTATGGCACACAATACAAAGTATTGTATCAACGGCACTTAGTGTTTTTTAGAGTAACAAAAATTATTAATTGACGAGATATGGACGAACAAAATTGGTAATTAATCCAAGTGATTGGGATACTTAAAAAATATCATGATAAATCTATTATTAAAACTATTTTATTTTATTCTTTGTTTTTTTCTTTTTTTAATTTTATTGTTTTAAATAATAATTATAGTATGTTAGGCATTTTGTTATACAATGTCAATTGCATTTAAATTAAATTTTTTATAAATACATACAAATAATATATAATATAAAATATAAATTCAAATACATTCTATATTATATTTTAATAATTTTACTATCCTTTTAAAAAAAGGGGCCAATTAATTGTTTACCGATTTATATTTAAAAAAAAAAAAAAAAAAAACTAATGTTGGCAATTGTTTATGTGCTCATCTTCCGCTACTTTTTAAATTACTTACAGTATTTTATTTGTCAGCAGTTATAATTTTATAGATATTTATCATTTTTATTGTCTATTTACATAGATTTATGAGTATATAAACTTTAAATAGTTAGAAACCTAGACCCGTTTATTTATTAACGAAAATTTGTAGATGCAAGTAGATATGAATCTTAAAAACAAAAAAAAAAAAAGACTTAAATAATTGTACAAGTAGTATGTGGCAAAAAAAAAAAAATTATTGTAACTTTTTGTTTTGGTGTGCAATTATTATTATAGATGCATTTATTATGTCAAGTAGTGAATGATTTGTCATCATTATTCATCTCATCCTGCGCACATGAATATTATTCAATCGCGTACTTACTCTGAAGTTCTAAATCATGGATCTAGAACAAAAATACAGCACGAGTTAGCATCTCATTAAATATACTGTCATCGATCATAAATTATTAACTAATGTAGATGAAGAGTTGACAAGCTTTTTTAACGACAAAAATTAATAATATAATGATAAAAAAAAAAAAAACTGTTGATTTTTTATATTTACCTCTTGCATTTTTTGTTTTTCCTGCATCCCAAGATTGTCCAAAATCTCTTGAATTCTCTGTCGCAAATTAAGATTATCCAGATTTGCTATTTCGGCCTCTTGTTGCTGTTTACATTGACGAATATCCGCTAGCTCATTGTGAAGGATGACTAAACGTGAAGATAGTGAGCCTAGAACATTAATAATAATTATCAATTACTTCGGTGAGATAGGGAGAGAATGACTGGACTCTATAAATAGATTATAATTTTATAAGAGACATTAATAATTTGATTAAATTTAATGAGTTATTTCAATTATCTAAAGAAATTATTCATCAGTTGTAATTAAATTGTTCTACAAAGTCATGAATGACCACTATTATTTAGTAATAAATTCTCATCTAATTAGTCACCAGTATAAAGCTCTACTTATTTATGATTCATAAAAATATTTCAGCTCTAATAAATTTAAGTTTGTTTTTATTAGCGAAAAATAAATTAACATCGTACCTTTATTGGTAGACATTGAGGGCGATGAATCGTCTGGAATAATGTACTCCGAATGAAAATCTTCAATTTTGGGTATTTTTTGAACATCTTCAACGTTAGGTTTGTTTTCTTGATCATAAGGAATCTGTGGTGGGAACATATCTTTACTGAATTCCGTCAGCAATTCACTGCAAGTATTAGTGTCTTGTCCAGAACGTTCGGAGAAACCGACCTGCATCGAATTCGAATCAGAGACACGACTATCCGCGGATATGCGGCTAGTTTCATCTAATTCGACATTGATATTAGTTTCCTCATCCTCATCCTCGCTGTCACTAACAGCTTCACCGAAAATGAGATGCTCAGCTGAAAATATTATTAAAAATTAATAACAATATTTATTCATTATTGTTATGAATCATGAAATGCATGAATAAACTGATAATTAACAAGCGTTGTTCCTTACCAACATCGACATTTTGAGATGATCCACTTGCATCTCGTTTACCCTTAACAGTGCCCGAATTAGATATTTTATTAGGCTTCGTGCTATCTTCATCCTCGCAGATAACTTCCCACTTAACGTCAACAGCGTCGTTATCAACCCTCAACAATCTTTTGACCTCCTTCTCGATTTCTGGAGCTTCTACATACTTTTTTTTCAGAGTTTTTCTGAACCGCCTTTTTCTTATATTTTTGGTCGGTGGAGTAATACCATGCGGCCACAGAAATTTTCTATCCACCTTATTTGGATCTTTTTTCTTTTGTCTCACCGGAGACTCGTCATCTGTTGTGTGGTCATCTTCCTCTTTACATATTAAAAGCTGATAAAATAAAAAAAAAAATAACAAACATTCTAACTAATTATTTCTAAACCCAAAGATGAAATTAAAAATTCTACCTGACAAATATCCGCAGTCTTGTAAAAACTTTTGTTGTCGATAGTTTTCATCGACTCGACAATCGTCGGCAAATCCAGAACCTAAATCCCATTGATAAAAAAATATATTCAATTATAAAAATCATAAATTATAACAGATTAATTACTAATGAAAATTAACCTAGCATATATTTAATAATTTTAAGAATTTCATACCAAATAAATTATGGCAAAAAAATATTAGAAAAAAAAAATTAACATTGAGAAATTTTAAAAAATAAAATTATTAGATGCCGATTATAAAAAAATTACCTTAGCATGTAGAAGCCAGTGATCAAACCTAACTTCTCCATATCTCATGTCATTTTCAATCTTCACCGTCAACCTATCTTTCAGAGGCAATCCCGCTTGAATAATTTCTCTTAATACTTTCGCTGGTTCCTAGAGAAAAAAAAAAAAAAAAAAAATCATCATAAGCATAAAACTTCTCAGAAAAAAAATATTATATATTCCAAATGACTCATTTAACAATAAAAAAAAAAAAACAATAAAAAATAATTACCTCTGGTAAACGTAGAATAAACTGACTTTCTAGTTCAGGCTGCGGTTCAGTTGTTCGGTTTTTATTGTGATCTGCATTATGTCTATGCATATTTTTAATATATAAAATAATATAAATAAATAATAATAAAAATGTTGTCTCAAAATAATCCGCACGATCAGTAAGTCTTTTCAATTCTGTAGGTTATGTTTTTAATTTTTATCTCTTACTATATCTACAATTTAGAATTTTATTACTCAGCAAGCGTGGCAGGCATGTAGTAACACGACGTTTTGTATTGTAGAGGTTGGCAGCTAAGCTTTAGCATACTTGGAAAATAAAATATTATTATTATTATTATTATTGTTATTGTTATTATGAAAGAAATGAATGCATCTTTTTTCTTACTCGGGATGTCCGGTTGGCGCCGCATGCATCGAGGTCATTTGGATATTCTTTGTCCTTCTCTTCACACATTTACTTTCAGTGCATGTACAGTAGATCCATACATAGAAAAGCAACACATATATAGTAAGTACACTAGGAGCAATGTAAATGGTAGATAGTGATAGTAAGTAGGAGAAGAAGGGGAAGTGGTGGAAGAAAGCATTAGCAGCACTATAGAGCATAGCAGTAGCATCGAATATCGGCGTGCCGTTTTCCTTATGCCATTCGGGCGTCGCACAAACCCCCCAACAGAAATTTACCACACAAATGGCGGACATGCTATGGGGTGTGGCGCACACGCATGCGTACACTTAACAAAATCTCTACCACCATTGTGTAAATCCGGTGAGTATTGAGTTTACTGTATATTAAATTTTGTATATGGATACAGGAACAGGAGCACAGAGAGAAGATAAGTAGTGGTGTGCAGTACTTGAGAAGCTGAGTAATATACCGGCCGGCAAGCCTGCACGCATCCAGCTAGCACACAGTCACCCATTACATCCAGCCAGCACACACCAATATCCAGTATTCCAGTATTCTGTTCACTGTGAAACTCGACACTTCTATCAGACAAACTCACTAACTCTGACCAGTCAGTATCCACCGACATTTCGTGCAGTGTGCAGTTTTAACTCCATTATTTTATCACGCTACATTATTATTATTATTATTATTATTATTATTATATATAAATATTTAATTTATTATTAATTAATTAATTAATTAATTAATTAATAAAGCGTAAATTTATTTATATATTATAGATATATATATAGAAATAAATATTTAATTGTTGGAGTAGAAGAGGATTTACGTTTAAAGTTGAAGATTATTGTTATAAATAATAAATAATTAACAATGACTGTAGCAACGGAAGCTGAAAATAATACGGCAGTAGGTGAGAAGGAAAATAAAGAAGTTAAAGACATGAAAGCAGCATTGAATGAAGAGACGCCACCAGATAATAAGCAGCAGCAGGGCGATGATGAAAAGCCCACTGAAAAAATGGAAAACGAGAAGAAGGAAGAAACCCCAGCCACGGATGAAAACGCCATGAAATCTGCGACCGTCCACAAAACCAATTACGATAAGGACACCGTTTATCTTTATCAGTTTTCTCGTACTCCGGTAATACCATCCATCTCGCCCTACTGTCTCAAAGTCGAAACATGGTTGCGGCTCAATGATGTTAAATACGAGGTAAATTTATATATATATATATATATATATTTTTTTTTATTTTTGCAATTAATATTAACAATATTTTTGTGTGAAAAAAAGTAATTTTAGAGGTTTGCTGTATTTAAATGTTTGCAAAAAAAAAAAACGTGCTCTAACATCGAATTATTATTTGGGCATTGGATCGAGTAGAGGACGCCATTCTTACTTTACCTCCCGCTAGGCATCCTTGACGCATCGTCGTCACCCTCCCATTTTAATATGTCCGGAGTAGAGTGCTGGTGAGCTTTTTATAGATCCTTATGGAAAGGTCCGTCCAGCATTCCATAAGGATTACCTCGAGTCTCTTGAGTGGGCTGAATGGCTAAATAAAAACATATAATAACTCATTTTTAAAATAAAGCTGCTTTGGAAGTTTTAAAACTTTCTCACTTGTATATTTAAAAACTAAAATAAATTAAGAGAGAACAAAGCATCGCTCTGTTTGTTAAAGAGAACGATATTATACATACATTCAGCAAAATATATCCACATCTATATAGATATATATATAGTTGTAAATGTATATTTAAGTATAAGTAAGGATGTATATGCATTGCATCCCCTCCATTCGAGAGAAAAAAGAAAAAAAAGTTGGCTATTGTATGCATTGATGCCATATATAGAGAGAGTATTACTACTGAAGTTATCCATAGCTTTTACTCAACTGTACTATGTCGTCTATTCTCTAGATTTAAATGTTGCAAAACTGTCAACTGCTCGTAACAATCAAGTTATATTATCATTTCAGAGCAACAAGTGACGCTTTCTTCATTATTGTCACTATTATCATTATTACTTTTTTTTTTTTTTTTTTTTAATTTATTTATGTTAAAGTTGTTATTTGTATATATTAAATTATCTGTAATCAGTGTACGTCCCTTGTTGAATGATCAATTCATTCGTTTAACAGTCACGTCTGTTCTCCTTTTTTTATTTCTTACTCACACACTCGTCGCTCCTTTTTGTGTTGTTAACGTACGTAGTGTTTGAGATAGCTTTATTTTTAATCTCTAATGGGGTATATATTTCATCGCCAATTCATCGAATCTACTCGGCAACAGCTCGGGTTGTTAGCTTTAACAAGCTCTCCTTTCTGTCATTATTAAAACAAATCATTCAATAAGTTAATTAAATTTATTTTGTACAGTCATGCCATGAATGACCACGCCACGATCATCATCATCATCATCATAATCATCCTGCTCGTTATTATCGTTTTCTTCATCCTGAAGCCTGAACTTCCAGTAGTAAATTACATTTATTAAGTAGTTCATTTATCATTAATTGACGCCAAGTGGTGACGTAATGAAGAAATGACTAATTAACTGTTGAGATAAATTTTTAAGACATAGATTTATAAATATTGTCCAGTCTTTTGTTGAATTTGCAATATTAAAAAAAAAAAAAAAAAAAAAAAAAAAAAAAACTTTTTTTTTTAAATTTAATTTAATTATGGGTGAGAATATTAATTTTATTTTCAGTAATTATATAATTTGTATTGAGCGAGTTATTTTGTATGGGTTTAAGAAGATTCTCAGTCCCTAATGTCTTTTTCATTTCTTTTTATGTTATTTTTTTTTTTGAATGCTTAAATGAATGAGGGAGCACATAGCGGTCGCGAAGTGGTGCCCCCACGATCAATACTAGCGCACAGTACAACGATAACAACTACGTTGATGGCAACTCCGGAGCCGAAAGTGGCGGGGATGTTGCTAAGCAACGGAAGCTGTCTACCATGAGTTCATCGGCCTTCCTCAATTTCTCTCTTGCTCTCACTACATATATAATACACTTTTATCCCCCACGCACCCTTCCTTCTCTTCTCTTCTCTTCTCTTCTCTGGCACTCAGCTCTCTGTACTCTGTACATACTCTGTAATACGCGAATTAAATTCTTTTTCTCGATTAAATGGCGAAATTTCAATACAACTATTCACATTTAACAATCACAGGACGTGTGTAATTTACAATTACATCCACACGCACTAAAAATACATTTAAAGATAAAAATATATTTAATGGAGCGAGAATTTTTATTCATCCTCCCTGATGATAGGATTACTTGAGTTATTGATTAAAGAGATGAAATATTTCAATTTATTTTTATTAGTATTATGCTTACGATAATTTATCTGTAAAAATATACATTTTAATTTGATTTAATTTTATTTATTTATTTGGTTATTAATTTTTTTTTTTTTTCAATCATTTCAATTTCAGAATGTCGATCATAAAATGAAATTCCGCTCGAAGAAAGGCCAGCTGCCATTTATTGAATTGGATGGGACAGAGATTCCAGATAGCACGATTATTATTCGAGAATTGAGCCAAAAATTCCACAAAGACCTGGATGCCAATCTTACTAATGAACAGCGTATAATATCTCACGCAATGATCTCAATGATTGAAAATCATCTGGTGTGGGTGGTTACCTCGTGGCGTGCCAAGAACACCGACGCGACTCTTAAAGGATATCGTGTTAATTTACAAAATGCTTTGGGTTCACGTTTGCCCAATGGAATTCTCGCTCTCTTCTTCAAGATTGGCTATTCACGAAAGGTACTGCTTTACTATTTCATTTGCGATAAATCATCATCATGAATATTAATTAATGGGACTAACTTATATAGAAGTTAAAAATTGGGTCGATTAATTATAATATATAATTAAATATTTATTTATTAATTATTATTCCAGTGCGCAAAGAAAGTGAAAGCTCAGGGATTGGGAGTCCATACTAATGAAGAAATAACTCAATTTGGTTGTGATGATCTTAAAGCTCTCTCTGAGTTGCTTGCCGATAAACCATTTTTCTTTGGCGATGAGCCTACTACTGTTAGTATATGTTTCTTATTTGATTATTTATTTATCCATATGATTTTTTTTTTAATATTTATCCATTTATTTTTATAGCTGGATGTTGTAGCATTCGCTCATCTTGCACAAATTTTGTACATTGAAAAGTCTGTTCCTTACGCATTGAGAGACTTTATGCAAGACAACTGCCCGAATTTAGTTGGACACTGTTCACGTATGAAGGAACGATGCTTCCCAGACTGGGATGAAATTTGTAATACACTGGATCTGAATACTCATTTGCCAAAACCACCCAAGGAGGAAACCAAGGAGAGCAAGGAGGAAAAGAAAGAGTCCAAGGACTCCAAGGAAGGTAAGGAGAGTGATGAAGAAAAAGTTGAGAAAGAAAAGGAAGCCGAGAAAGATAAGGAAGTTGAGAACAAGGAAAAAGAAGAGAGAGTAGAGGAAAAATAAATGGTTTATTAATTTATGTATTAAACCAATAAATCACATAAAAATTTTAATTGATAACTGTAAGCGGTGGTAAGACGAGTCAAAGAAATTGATATAATGCGACGCTGAATATAGGAAAATTATATGTATAAGAAAGCAGGATTATGAAGGAATATAATTTCTGCTTGTATCCTTTTTTTTTTATACATAAATATATATTATATATTATATATAAAAAATCATATATAGTATTGATATCGTTTTATATTAAATTTTTTACTTTACTTTTTATTTTACGAGAAAGCGTTTAAATTCTCTTCACTTTACATGATTTTATTGTAGTAATGTTTGAATATTGATAGATCAATCGTGTTCAAACACGCAATATAAGAACTGCAATAGATTTGCCATACGTTTGGATTATATTTTATTTTTTTTTTTTTTTTTTTTTTTTTATTATTTTAAATGATTATTTAGATTTTAAGTTTTATTTTTTTAATTAAGCTTAATATTAATGTACACAATTCATATCTGATAAATATTACGTTACAATTTGATTATTTTGATACAATCATTTTTAAAATAATTATCATGACATATATTGATTTTAATGATGAATTAATAATAATAATAATACTAATAATAATGAAATGAAAACTCGTAAATTAGGGTTGTTATGGAGTAAAGATAAAGAATGAAAAGAAAAAAAAAAAATGATGAAAAAGTAAAAATAAATTAATAGTTATTAGTTAGAGCTCTCTTTGACCAATAATCAGTCATGCGCTGATGGTGGAAATGAAAAATAAAATGAAATAAACGGAAATGAAAAAATAAAATAAATAAAAAAGAACAAATACCGTTACATGTATGCAAATAACGATGAGTGCAGCAGCTCAAAAATAACAAACGAACAAATAATAATAATAATTTAAATTTAAAAATATAAAAAATTGTATCGATAATTTGTCATTTTGCGATTAACGAATCAAGATTCATTTATAAAAGTCATAATAAATTTGTGATATAAATAATAAAACTAAAAAGTTACGATAAAATGACTGTATTATTAATCAATTGCATGCGTCATATTCTAATCAATTCAAAATTTATTGAATAGTGTTAGTTAAAAAAAACTAAATCCATGACGTCATTAAAGTACAATAAGCATTTCAGTACATTATAATTAAAGTTAATAAATAAATAAATACCACAAAGAAGTAAAAATAATGAAGTAAATTAAAAAAATAATAAAATAACGTAATTGATATTCATGCAAAATTTTTTAAGCGCAACGAAAAAAAACGCTTTCACTTTTGTATGCCGGTGTTGCATTTATAATCGAACAAATAAAAAAAAAAAAAAAAAATGATAAAAAAGTAAAAAAAAAAAATAACAATTTATATTAAATAATTTAATTCATTGTCATCGCCATTCCTTTTTTTAGTCGTAGATTTTTTTTATATGTATATTTTTTACGATGTATTCATTAAGCATTAGATTCATTATAATTATATAAAATCAAATTCATCTTTTTTATACACTACTTGACTTACGTAATTATTATTAATTAATATTATTTTATTATTCATGACGAATCTCATTATGTAAAAAAAATTTTTTTTTGGTGCAAACAATGGCTTAAGCAGTGTTTTATATGCACAATTAAGCTTCAACACTTTATTTCAATATATTGACTTACCAAACAATACTTTGATAATTTTTATACTCAATAAATAATGCTTAACAATTAATAAAACAACCATGACAATTTTTATATTTAGTTTGCCAGCTAATAGTGAACTTTTTTTATAAAAATGCCATGTCTTTGGTATTGAAAGTGAATGATTGATATTAACTTTGTTCTAAGAAATAATTTTCGTGACGTGGCACTTGCGGGATACCATAAGACTTTATTATTATTAATTACTATTATTGTATTAATTATTATGATTATTATTATTATTATAATTGTAATTTTTTTTAAAGAGAATAATGACTACTCGCTTCAATCGGACTTGCATTCTGTACGGAGAAAATGAATTGAAATACAAACAAAATAGTCTAACGATTAATATATAATAAACATTAGAATAATTCAATGTGAGTTAAATTTCGGTTTATACTCAGTGCTATGTATTTCACTGTCATTATTACACCATCATTTATTGTATCATGCAAAAAAAAATAAACTGTGTTTATAAATAATTTTCTGTTTGTTTCTTTTACAGTGTCCCTATTTTTCTTTTAACTTTTATGACAATACAATTATTTAAATATTTCTTATAAACATTAGTATTAATAATCGATACTGAAAATATCCAACATCTTTCAATTTTTTTTTTTTTTTTCCAACAAATTAATTCTATTTAGTTTCTGAAGCCAATAATGAATAGTTTTCAGAATTTTTCACTTTTTTACTCAACCAAAATAAAGTTATTTTTTTTATGACACTAAAGTTAGCAGACGTCTAAAAATTTTGTAATTTTTTTTATCAATTAAATTACAACTAAAAAAATATTTATAAAAAATTGCACTTATAGTTTTTCAAGTTTTTTACATGTGAAAATTTTTTTTTTGTTTAATTGAAATTTTTTCAATAAAAAATTTCTAAAAATTTTGAAATGTCGGCTAACTTCATTTTCATATTCATATTTTTTTTTCTTAAATAACTACCTACAACTTTTTCAAAATTTAACTTATGAGGACGTTTTTTTCGAAATTTTTATTTTCAAATGTAATTTTTGAAAAAAAAAAAAATTAAATTAAAAAAATATATTCAAACCTATCATCGTTATTTTTTATTTTTGGGTCCTTTTTAAGATACTTTTTTAATGATTATTTTTACCAATATATGCTAATAAAACATTTATAAAAATTGACCCAAAGTTTTTTTACGATAAAATAAAAATTTTTTTTAAATTTTAAACTTATTAAAAATTATTTTCTACTTTTTAGCTGAATTTTCTATTGAAGATTCATGAAAATTAATTTAGCCGATATTTAATAATTTTTTTAATAAATAAATTGCTGCATGAAAAAAATGGATATTTAGAAACTTTAATAAATAAAAAATGCAATTTTTTAAAGATAATTTTTTTGGAGCAAATTTATTTATTAAAAAATAGTCAAGCGACTGCTAACTTTAATGTCATTGAAGATTCTTTTCAAAATATGATTTTTTTCAAACGATTCATAGCAAGGTAAATGATAAAAAGTACATTGAATTTATCGACTTCTATATAAATATACAAAGTTATGTGTATAAACAATAAAAAACAGAACGGAGCACTGCCAGCAGGCAAAAAAGAAATATAATATTTATCAAAAATGATAACAATGCAAGCATGATGAGCATGAGCAGAGCAGAGCATAAGAGGCAATAGACAACGACATCAAGTGCAGCTTGACTTTTAGTGTAAAAGTCAAGTAATATCTATATATTATAAAAAATATAAAAAAAGAGCAAGCGTTTCATTCGCCGACTGACAACTACGTATTACACTTGCTCTGTACATATATACATGTATATTAAAATCTATCTATATTAAAATTCATTAAAAATCAAAAATCACTACGTTCGATACTCACAATTACGCTCTGCGACTTCCACAATCTTATACCACAGTTTATTTACAATGACAACTACGGTACTCTTTTTAAATAATTAAAATGCAAGTATAAAAATTTAATTGCTGTGAATAATCTTAACCAAAAAAAAAAAAAAATGGCTGTGGATATTTTGGACGAAGATCATCTTGCAGTAAGTGCAATAGTGACAATTGGAATGCAGCTGATATTTTTTTCAATCGCTGCAACATTTCAAATGGACAAGGTTACTGATTTTGCTGGTGGAATGAATTTTGTAATAATCGCACTCCTCACATTTTTCCTCGGTCAGGAAGGAAAGGTTTGCCGCAATATTTATTATTTATGGATCATTACATAACACATACCATTCAAGCTCTATTTATTTATTTATTCATTCATGACAACACCATTAACTTAACAATTATACTAAAGTTAGCTGACGTTTTTAATTTATTAAATTAGAACGAAAAAATATTTTTAAAAAAATGCACTTATAATTTTTCAAGTTTTTTACAAATAAAATTTTTTTTTTTTTATTTTTTTGTACTAATTTCTTTAATAAAAAAATTCTAAAAATTTTTAGCTGTTGGCTAACTTAATTTTCATAACTAATAGTTATGAAAATTAATTTAGCAGATATTTGAGAATTTTAATAATTTTTGTAACAAATAAATTATGGTAAAAAATTTTTTTATTCTAAATTGACATTATAGAAATTTTAAAAAATAAAAAATGCAATTTTTTATAAATAATTTTTTGGAACAAATTTGTTTGTTAAAGAAAATTAAAAAATTTTTAAGTGACAGCTAAATTTAATGTCATTAACTAAACTATTAATTAAAATTTTTTATTTTAGGTTTACGACAGCAGACAATTAATGGTGACAATATTCGTTTGTCTTTGGGGGATAAGATTATCATCGTATTTGCTCTATCGAATACTAAAAATCGGTCGTGATAAAAGATTCGATGATAGACGCAGTAATGTCATCAGGTTTGCTGTATTCTGGACCTTCCAAGTAAGCTATTTATGTATTATATTCAGTGACCTGCTAACACACACCTACATACAGAAGAAAATTAACTTTTATCAAGTAAATGATTTTGAAGAACTTTATCTTGTTGATTTTAATTCTTAAGCTAAGAAATTTTTCTTGGTTTAATTTAAGTAAATTTTACTTGATTCAGATTAATTTTTTTTCCAGTGTACAAAAATTTTTCTGCAATAATATTATCGGCATTAATATAATTTATTAAATTCACTCTTATGATAATCATTTTTTTATTTTTCAAGAAAAATAAACTAAGTCTAGAGAATTATTTTTAAAAAATTGCATTTAGAATTTTTTAGAGCTTCTAAAGATTGAATTTTCTAATCAATTTTTTCTCTCTAATTTGTTTGTTAAAAAAAAAATTCTAAAAATTATCAGATGTCTCTCAATTTCAGTATCATTTATTTTAATGATACTGAAATTAGCAAAACACCTAGAAATTTTTTAGTTTTATTTAAAAAATTAAATTCGCTTTTTCATTAATTTTTACAAATAAAATTTTCAAAAGATTTTCTTAAGAAATTAATTTTTTTAAGAGATCCTAAAAAATGTCAAGTGTCTATTAATTTCAATGTCATGATGAATGATTTGTACCTAGTACTTAAAAAATAAAATTGACCTAGAATCATAACAAGCTTTAGCGATCTACAAAGTATAAATAAACCACAATTATTATCTGATGTAGGAGTACTTAAGCCTTTTATTAAAACTTTTACACGTTGTTCAGCTGACAATATCCTTATACATAACACCTTGGCCACTTGAAGCCGTACTTACCAATAAAATGTTCAACATATACATTAACATATTAAAAATTATCAGTGTCAATGTTAATATTTTAGGCGTTTTGGGTTTACATCGTAAGTCTTCCGGTGATGATTATCAACTCACCACGTCACAGAGTTCCTTTTGCACCTAAAACAATGACGACTTTGGATAGCGCTGGTACTGGATTATTTATTATTGGTTTGCTGGCTGAAACCTACGCCGATTTACAGAAATTTGCATTTAGGCAGGATCCGCATAACAACGGGAAGTGGTGTGACGATGGTAATTTATTTTTCATTAATATAAATTAACAATTTATGTCGTAGAAAGTCAAACAGTGAAGAATTATTGATAATTACTTCTTGCTGTTAATTTCCTACAAAATTTATTATTAATTTTTTTTTTTTACATGGAAAAAATTAAAATGATATTTTGATTAATGATGTTTTAGGATTGTGGGGAGTGTCAAGACATCCAAACTATTTCGGTGAAATAGTACTTTGGTGGGGAATTTTCATAATATCAATAAATGTTATTGAAGGATTTGAATGGTTCGTCATAGCGTCGCCTATTTTTACAACTTTTATAATACTATTTCTCTCAGGAATGCCGTTACTTGAACGAGCTTCTGATGAAAGATATCGAGAGTAATAATAAATAATTATTTTTATCTTTTTCTTGAGTAAAGTCAATGAAGGTAACTTTGATAGAAGGTAAATTGTTTATTAATCAGATCACATACATATATTATCGAAAGAGATATATTATTAAATTACTAAAGTTGTAATTAAATATTTTTTAAAGACAATTCAACCTTACAAAGTTACTTGAATTGATCAAATTAATGATTAATAATTTAATAAAATATATTTCTGTAACCAGCAATGCAGAGTATAGACAATACAAACAATCAACATCACCATTGATTCCAATACCAGCAGCAATTTACAGAGAAGTACCTGGTTTTATGAAATTTTTGCTGTGCTGCGAGTTTCCAATGTACAATTCATTGGACGTGAAACCACGATCAGCCGTCACAGAATCAACATCGATTAGCCTCGCTGCGTCTACGTAGCTATAAGCCCACGTCAGGTATCAGCTGCGATTCCTGGCGTGCTTATTAATTAACGAATATATAAATTTTTATTTTATGAGTTTTTAAAAGCTTGTTAAAAGTTTTTACTTTTAAATTAAATCTATTTTGTATACAAATGTATACCCTTATTTTTATTTCAAATTACGCACAATTTTATTTACTATCATCTAACATCGACAACTAATTTATAAATAACGATGATAACTTTATTTTTTATACTCGTATTAATAATTATTTTTTTATATTTAAATTTTATTAACTAATTATTAATTGTTTTGTATTTTTACATTTATTATTTATTTACACGGATAATCAACAGTAATATAGAAAATTAACTGTCCACTTCAACGATTAATTTAAACGACAACAATCGAAAATCTTTTTATGACATGATATACAAAAAGATTTATTCTATATACATTAATATTAGAACCAACTGAAATATTAATCAAATTGCGCAAATAACTTCGATTGCCAATGATCAATACAAATAAGATACATCTCAATAAAAGTGGGTGCCAAGTGGAAAAAAAAAAATAATAATAAGAGCACCCATACTTCCAACTTCTTCCAAAAAATTTAATCAAATTGAAGAATTAAAAAAAATGTGAAAATTTAATGTTTATTTAAAATAATTAATGCGATAAAATCGCATTAATAATGTCCAATGTCTATTAGGCATTATCATTTAAATTATGAATAGTCATATCAATATTAATTAGTATTATTTAGATCTATCGGTCTTGTATTAAATTGTTACGATAATAATTTAGGAACAATTTTAGTGTGATATGTACGTCTGGAATGACGGAAATCTTGAAACTTCCAATTGGTTATAGTGGTTCTTTAATAACTCATTCTCACTATTTGAATTAAAAAATGCTTTATCGATGCACAGATTTAAATAAATGTTGACTATTGAATTTATATATTTAAAATTTTAAGGGATGTTATACTGAAATTGCACATTTATCTATTAATAATTAAATTACTTATTATACCTCTAGTAAATAAGGATCTATCTTAAAATCTAAAATATGCCGAAAATTTTTTATGTTTTTAAATTTTTAACTTTAACTTTTAGAATAAGATTTGAATGAAAATTTTTCACTTTTATTTTTATCTTAATAGCAAAGAGTGAGATTAATACAGGAAAATAAAATTTTCTACTTCCAATAAATTTTAAATTAATAATGCATGCTAAAACTTTTCTCAAGCACAGTAGAAATAATTTCAGTAAAACATTCCCTAGCTAATTTAATTAAAATTGAGGAATTAAAACAAAAATCTAAATATATTTCTGCATTGATTCCTTGATATTAAAATAGAAAAAAAAAAAAAAATCTCATGTATAGACTTGTTGAATTATAGCCAAATCGCCGCATAAAAATAATTGACTAAAAGCTAAATGATAGATAATAATTAAAACTTATAGGTATAATTAAGGAAGAGATGTATTAACACTCTAGCTCACTTAAAAAAAATTTCTTTATTTATTATAAATTTGTACATCTTATTATCAATAATAATAATAATAATTATTGCCTACTTATCAATTAATTAACAGTAATGAGACCTACGATAAGCGAAAAAAAGATAAAATAATAATTGTAATACTAAATGAAATGATGATCAAATAGGAATATAGGCAGGTAAAGGTCCGATCGGTGGCCTTTTAAATTGTAAATTTTGACTATCAGGCTGTGAGGATTTATCTGATTGCTGGTGTGCATTATTATGAGTGACAACAGATGAATCAAGTGCTACTGATGGATGATTTTGTTCAGAACCAGACATTACGTATTTCATAGTATTTATTTTAGTTATTATTTTTATTCTTTTAGCCGCCAATGTCTCGTCCAAACAATCATCATTATCGTAATAACGTTTTTTGTTATCATCGCGAATCGGTAATAAGTTGGAAGACGAATAAGCATCTGATTTTTCGTTATCAACGCCCGTTTGTGTACTGAAGGTGATTGTGGCTTTACACTTTTTCTTATTATATACTTTTAATTTTTGTGCCGACGTTGAGGATTTATGAGGATAAGGACAATTCTTACCTTTTGAACACTTTTCTGTTTTTTCGAATTCAGGACAAATGTTTGTATGCCGCTGTTTGCACTGTGAATAAATAAATTGAGACAGAAAAAATATCATGAATATTTCAATTTTACAGTAATCTTCCATTGAATAAAAAAAAAAAAATCAAGTAATTTAAAGTGGAGATTTAAATTGTAAAAAAAAAAAAAAAAAAAAAATTTAATTGTATAAGAGTATATTACCTTGTCACCCTTTTCACAGTATCCTTGTAAAAATGGAATACAAATGGGAGTATTTGCAGATACTTTTACGTGAAGGTATTGGCATGAATCGCGAACACAGCATCCATCCAAAAAATATTTACACGTTGGCATTTTTTCCGGACCAACATCGTGAGAAAGACGACAATTGTCAACGAGACAATTACCTTGAAGGAAGCTAGAAATTTTAAATTGTTGGTGTTTATATATATATATGTAATGTTATTGAATTGGAAATTTAATAATTTGTAATTGAGAAAACACACTTTTTACAAAGGGCTACTTGTTTTTTGTCATGTACTTTGGGACAAGTTCCTTCATTGAATTTAGCGCAAAATCCGAAACGTTGGAAGAGCAAGCAAGGTTGATTATTTTTCGACATTTTGTGTCGCAAAATTTGGATTGATTTTTGCTTCGCTCGATTACTAGTGAGAAAATAAAAATTTTTAATTAGCAATTGTCAATTTATGATACTAAAAGTAGTACTCATCCGAAAAATTTTCAAATTTATTGAAAAAAAAAATTTTAAACAATTTTTACATGTTTTTTAATTTAATTTAAAATAAATATATTTCGGATGATTGCTACTTTCTGTATTGCTATAAATTTATAAAAATGTAATTTTTAATAAAAAATAATATTTACCTCAAAAAATGTTTGTAATTAGAGCGCTGTAAGAGTGTCGTAGTTGTAGCCGAGTCTTTATTGAAAATTACTTTTGTACTGATACTTTTTAAATTTACTATCTTGCTATTAGACTTTATTTGCCTATAGATATTTTTGCTACGAGAATTATTTAAACTATTTCGATTAACATTAACAGTATTGAATTTCTCTGCAATAATGAAATTAAATAATTAAATTGTAACGTTAAAAATAATTAGAAAAAAAATCCTAAAATAGAATAATATAAGTAAAAAAATAAATGCTAAAAATTTTACTCGATATAGTAGATTGACTACTGGGACTGCTTTTAACAAGTTGTGACTTTGATGACTTATACATCACTCCATCAATTTTAATTAAATTCGTATTTGTAGACCTAAAAAACAAAACTCTGTAAATAAATAAAAATTACCACTTACTCAAATATAAACCATTATTTACCTGGGTTTGCATCTCACTACCCTTTTGCGAACTGTCGCTTTTTTCTTCTCTGTTTTCGTCCTATCTATTTTGTATTTATTACCCGAAGACATTCCTATCGCACTTTTTACTCTACTCGTGCTCGTACTTGCAACCGGACGTACATTTATTTTTTTATACTTATTCAAGTTATTCAATTTAAGAGACTTGGTTCCCGGGGATGTTATTTTTTTAGTTGCCGCTAAATTGTTTAATTTAAAAGATTTGGTAATTGGACTACACAAAGTAGTTCTTTTAACTCCCTCTAAATTATGTAATTTCATAGGCGATTTTTTAACTAACACCGGACTCTTTTTAAGTACAGGTGAATTATTTAACGATAATTTTGTTGCTGGTTTAATACGAATTAATTTACGCTTTGATATCGAAACTAATGACGGCGAACTTTTTTTAATAGTTATGCTGTTGGTAGTTAAATTATTGATACTTTTATTAGTATTTTTCCAACTTTTGTTGCTGATATTATTCAAATTTTTATTACTAGAATTAATAAAAATCCTTTTATTGGCGTTATTAACTAAAACATTTCTATTGTTATCATAATTAACAATAGTATTACTATTAATAATTTTATTTTTCGATACCAAAGTTCTTTTGCTAATAAATTTTGGTGAAATTGGAGTAATTGGTGATTTCTGTACATCAGGTACAGATTTTAATTGTTGCATTAATTTTGGATTTATATAAACTGATTTTTGGACGTTTAATTTTGAACCACTACTAGGTAAATTCGAGACACTAGGTGCTTTTGGTATACTTTTAATGTGGCTAGATTGTCCATTAATTTGTTGCGTTTGTTGTTGATTATAAAATTTTTGTTGATTTAATTGACTCAGCTGCGTTGCAGACAGCGCGTTAACCATTTTAGGATTAACGTGGATGGCGACATTCAATTGTACATTTGGATTTATGTGAATATTATTTTTCTGAGGAATATTGAAAAACGGATTTATATAAATACACGGCTTATTGACTTCACTTGGCATCTTGATCTTTTCACTTTTTAATTAAAATACTTCTTATAAAAAATAAAATCTAAAAATAATCAAAATGATTAATTAATAAAAGCACTATTTGATTAAAATACGTATTATGAGATATTAGCTTTGAGTAATGGACACTATTCCTTTGTTATTACTTATTAAATACTGTGAAGTACGGAGAAAAGCGCAGTCAGCTGAGAAACTTCTGAAACTTAAAACTGCTTAAAACTGCACTGAAGATGGCTGATATGTATGATTCATCGACACTTCTCTCGCGATACTTCTGTGAACGGCGGAAATAAGTAGCGACATCTACTGTCGCATTCTGTTACATAGAAAATCTTATTGCGCATGTAGATGTTAATGTCCTTGAAATTCTGAAATTCAAATCCATTTTATTTTTTTTTAACATGCATCTTAAGTATACCTATACATACTTACTTACATAAATATATATAGATGTATATTTTGTTGACACTAAGAAGGCTGGATCTAGATGGTGTGCTATGCGGAAAAACATAAAAAGGAAAAGTCATTTGATGTAAACAAGCATGTTGTAACCTCAAAATAAAAAATATTTGTTGTTTCAATCAATTTATTTATTTATTTATAAATGACAAAATGCCATTACGCAGAAGAAAGAAGAAAATAATTATTGAAAATGAAGAAATAAACAAAGAAAATATTAAAAAAAAGAAAATTAATAAAAAAAAAATTAAGTCTTCAACAGATATTTCTGTATTGTCTTATGATAATTTAAGGTCTATTTTTTCACATTTAAGAGCTCGAGATTTATGGAATTGTTCCACAGTTTCCAGGTAAAGTTATTTTATAATTTATTAATTCAGAATTTTTTTTAAATAATTTAATTTTTCTAGGCTATGGCAAGATGTGGCGAAACGTGAGTTAGATACGAGAGGTGTTGTCGTTAAAGCTGGAGCATTTAATAAATTATTTGAAGAATGTGATAGTAGTACGCATATTAGTAATTACTTGACAAATAAACCTATGCTTGGTATATTTTTCAATTCTCTTGATCGTGGATACTCAGGTATAAATACTTATTACTATAATCAATAAATTTAATGACATTAATGTTGACAGGTATTAAAAATTTTTTTAGAATTTTACAGTAATTAAATTGTCAAGAAAAAAATTTAATAAAAAAAATTCCACATGCGAAAATTTAAAAATTTTTAGAATCATTTTTTTTTTTATAAAAATTAAAAATATTAACAGTTGTCAGCCAACTTTAGTATCATTAAATATTGTCTTTTAATTCATTTTTCAGAATGTGTGGCAAGACACTTTCCACTAGATAGTTACTGTATATCAGTGTCGAATTACGGAGTGATATTTAACAACGAGGAACATGAGAAAATTGAAAACTATTCAGCGTTTTCATTATTACCAGACGATCCAGACGTGGATATTGACCTGATAACTGCCAATCATTTCTCGATGATATTAACTAACAAGAAAAGAGGAAGGTTTAAATCAGTAAGCACGGCCTTCTGGCGATCGTATGGATGCACCATTGGTGCCATTTATCAGTCATTTCGCTCGTCTGTTAGAAGACTCAGACAAGTCAAATGTGTTATTATTTTTGTTAATCAAAATGCTGAGTGTGATGCGGAGCCATCTATACCTGATATTTTCGAGTAATTAAATTTTTATTTATAAAGCTTCATACTTATTGAAAACTTATTTGAAACACTATGTAATAATTATATTTGATATTTTTCAGTAAAAAAGTAAAAGTTGCTTGGGGTGGAGTCTGCAAAGATTTAACAGTAATGCCAGTATGTAAACCTGGTCTTAGAACAGTATCAAAACCAATGTGGCTGGGTGTTTTGATATCAGGGCGTAATGTTAGATGCTGGTCAACAATCTTGACCGAGGATGACGACACTGACGAAGCTATAAGAAAAAAACTCCTGGAATTAAAAGAACAAGTTGAATTTCTTAAACACACTGTCGCATATATGTTCGCTTGTACGAATCGCGGCTCCGAGCTTCATCAAGGACGGAAAAATGTTGAGGCATCTATTTTCAAAAGTATTTTTCCTGATGTACCTTTGACAGGAAGCTTTGGCAGTGGTGAATATGGGACTTACAGTGAGAGAGGTATATTGTTCATTTTAATGACACTGAAATTATCAGACATTTGATAATTGTTTAATTTTTTTTTTAAAACTAATTGGGTCTTAAAATTATTTTTAAAACATTGGTAATTATTTACAAGTGGGGTCCACCTTATTTTAAGCCATATCTAGGTGAAAAATTAACATTTTTTTTATTCTGCTTGTTTTTACAGTGCATTTATGATAAAATATGTCGTGAAAAGAAAAAAAAAAGCTTTCGATAGCTTTTTTGCCTTCAAAAGTTGGAAAAAATTTTAGCTCTCATGTTTTTGGATAAAATTTCTATTTTATCTTTTTTGATATATATATATATATTTTTTAAAAGTATTTAAAAAAAAAAAGTTGAATATCACAATTTTCTAAAAAATTTATAAATTTGTTAAAATTGTGATGATTAATTTTTTTTTTTTTTTTAAATTGTTAATTTTTTTAAGTATTTAAAAAAATATATCAATAAAATCAAATAGAAATTTCGTTCAAAAATTAAAAATTAAAATGGTGGACCCTACTTGTAAATAATTACCAAAAATTTGTATTTGTAATTTTTCTAGAGCTTCTAAAAATGGAATTTTTTAAATTAATTTTCTTGATATTATTTATTTGTTAAAAAATTATCAGATGTCGCTTAATTTCAGTATAATTTATTTAACATTAATTTTTTAACACAAATTTATTTTGTCTCCGCAGAATATAATTCTGAAGACGAGGGAATCTTTCATCAAGTATCAACGACGATTATGATACTTTCCTATGGTCAAACAGAGCGAAGAGAAACTCGCAATGGTGCCAGTTTTTGATTTATTAAATTTTTAAAAAGACTAATTACTTTAGTGTGTAATACACGTGTTACACTGCCAAATAAAATTAGAAATTTATTACTTAAATTTAATAATTTGAAAACAGCAATTTGACAAATTTCATAATTAACTTTAATACATTAATTGTTGTCGTACATTTGCTATCTACACTGTCATTAATTCTTAGGCTTGAAATATTTGATAAAAAAGTTTTTTTTTTACTTTTTGATTTTTATTATAGAAAAATTTAATAAATATTATTTATTTATTATATTATCATCAAAAATCAATTAAATGTAATTCTCTTTTATCGACAGTCTTCCTTTGCATAGATTATTACGACATCTGTTGTGATGAGTATCAAATCTTCAATCATAACTCTACTCCATTAAATAACAACCATAATCGTTATTTATGTAAACAATAATATTTTTATCAAACAACTTTTTTTGATTTTAAACTAACTAAAAAATTTATACTTGTAAATCATAAGTATTTTTAATTGAAAAGACATGGGTTCTCCGAAAAAGAGTAAAAAACCTCAAGGTGATGTTGATAAACAATTGTCTACAGACGTAAACAACTATTTAAGTGTAACGCAATCTTATGATTTAATGCGATATATTTTTTCTCATATTTCTGGTCGCGAACTTTGCAATTCTTCGAAGGTTTGTAAGTAAGTTATCCAAAAGTTTTAATTACTAATTACCACTCAATTATTCATAATTTATTTGTTTTTTCATTGTTGACATTTTTAATTTAAATTTCCAGGCTTTGGCGTGACGCAGCATTCCGTGAACTAAAAACACGAAAGACAGTTATCCAGTTTGGATCGCCAAAAAATTTTTTCAAAACCAATGGTCATGCCAACAAAGATTTTGACAATAAACTCACCAATAAACCGATGCTTGGTCTTTTATTTTCTTCTTCTCGCTGCAAATTACCGGGTATCTAAAAATTTTTTTTTATTGAAAAAAATCACTACAAAAAATAAAAAAAAAATTTTATTTGTAAAAAAACTTAAAAAACTATGAGTGCAATTTTTAAAAAATATTTTTCTGTTATAATTTAATTACTAAAAAAAAAAAATCAAAAAATTAAAAACGTCGGCTAACTTTAGTATTATAAATTAATCTAGTAGACATTTGTTAATTTTATGAATTTTTCAACAAATAAATTATGGCAAAAAAAAATAATTTTCTTTTAACAAATTTGGAGTTAAAAAATTTTTTATAAATGGTGAAGTGACTGCTAACTTAAATGTCATAATTAATAAATAAATTTATTTATTACAGAATGTTTACCTCCGCACGTACCATCTTCATGTATATGTTTGTCAATAAAAAATTACGGCCTGATCGTAAATAGTACAGAGCACGAACATGCACAAAATATATTAGCTTACACATTTTTACCAGAAGACCCTACGGTCAATATGAATTTATTTATAGAAAGTCGCTGTAGAAGAAAAGCAGAAACAAATTTACCACCAAATAGTTACGCGGTGTCTGATTTAAGAAGTTTGTTTGAATTAGTATTCAGTGATACGCCGACAATTACTAATGTCAAGTGTATTATTATTTTTGTTATTGACAATAATCCATTTAGCTTCGCTGATCTCTCCTCTTATATCAAGTAAGATTTTTATTTTACTAAATTTTTAGTAATTTGTTATTTATTAATAATTAAATTTATATTTACAGAGACAATAAAATCGCATTTTGGGGTGGCGCAGTAAGAAATTTTTCTTGTTCACTGTCCGGCACTACAGTGACCAATACCAGTTTTATGGGAATCGTAATTTCTGGTGATAACGTCAGAAGTTGGTCGACTATTTTAACTAGAGATGACGAAACAGAAGAATCTGTGGTTACTAAACTTACGGAATTAAAAAAAAGGGTCCAATTACTCAAACATTCAATAGGATTAATGTTCAGCTGTGTAGCTCGCGGGTCTGGATGGTACGACGGAAATAAAAAAAATGTTGAGGCGACGATATTCAAAAATTTGTTTCCCACTATTCCTCTTATAGGAAGTTTTGGTAATGGAGAACTGGGTTCTTACTCATTCGAAGGTAATTAAATAAATTAATCTTTAAATTTAACAACTTAAGAGTATTGAATTAATTTAATTTTTGATAAATTTTAGATAATTCAGATGTAAAGAATCGTCGTCCTTTTCAGCTTAATCATCAGTATTCAACAACAATTATGATTTTAACTTACGGAAAATAAATATTTATTTAATCTATCAATTAATCATTTATATTTTTTATAGTCTTACCTAAGATTAAAAAAACTGCATAAAAATATAAATACTAAATATTTCAATTGATTTTAATAAAAATAGTTTGATTAATCAGACGTTAAAGATACGTGTGAGCGTGTCTTGGTATACAATTATAAACAATGAGCTTTAAAATGTATGTTTTGTAAATATCGTCGGAAAAGGTGGACGACACGTCTTAAATAACAAGCACAATCTGAGATATGGGAGTATATCGCTTGTTACGACTTAACTAGGTGTAGACCTGGAGAATTTAAATCTATGAATAATTAAAAATTGTTAAACCGAGTGTTGGGTACTACTTGGCAGTGTTTCCGCATTTAATGATAAAATAAATAAAACCCTGGAGATAATGAAGTTAAAAAAAAAAAAAAAAAAAATAAGTGGGCCATTGAAGAGGGTACTTCAATTAGTTTGATATCGCTGGACTATATAAATGCTTAGCCAGTTACCCTGACCCACCAGTCTAATCCAATCGCTTGTTGTCCGTTATGCTTATTAGTTATACTAGTCAATAATTAATTGTTTCTTTCTCAAAAGGCATTTAATCTCGCAATCTTGATTAATTTTTCCTCCGCGGTCCAGAGTTGACAGAAGATAAAACGAACAATAATGAAGTTTTTTATAGCAAGTTCAGTGATTTTCAGTCTACTGACTTGGGATTTCGTCTACTCTCAAAGTACCGAGAGTGTATTGCGCGACAAGTATGATGGCTATGGAGAAGATTGGATTTTTATGCCCGATGGCAATGATCAGCCTCAAGTAGCTGTTTTAAAAGGGCACGAACCAGAAACTGTAAATCGAGGACTATGGGAAGAAGGTGTTACATTTTTACTGTACACTAGGTATTTATTGTTTAATATTTTTATTTTTATATCTTTTAAATTATTGATAAATATTTTTGATCTGATAGCGAATCGTTGACTTGAGATATTGAAATTTTATTTATTAAATAGTTCAATATCTGATAAGATAAATAAATATATTTATTATTCAAAGATCAAGTAATTAATCTTCAGTGAATTATTTTTATATTCATCTACTCGAATTTTTTATTTTAATTATTGAAGGTCAAAGCCTAATAATGGTACAGTATTGTACACTGGCAATCCTAATTCGATAAAGAACTCCGACTTTTCCCCAAGACGTCCCACGAAATTCATTACACATGGCTGGAAATCGAGTGCATCGAGCGCAGGACTTGTCAACTTAAAAAATGGTAAGAGTTATATAATTCAAGAATTAAAATTTATAGCAAATAGCGAATTAATAAAAATTTTAAAGCTTTTCTACAAAAGGTTGACTGCAATGTCATACTCGTCGACTGGGAGCCTTTGGCTGCAAGTACTTTTTACTTGGGCCCTATGAGGAATACTGCCGATGTTGGAGCTGAAGCTGGAAAATTCATAGAATTTTTAGTCCAGGAAACTGGTGTTCCTCGAAAGAATATCCATTTTCTTGGTAAGAAGATTGAGAAATAATTTTTTTTTTAATATCTTTAGTCTTAGTTTTTTAAAAAATAAAAATTTTTTTAATTAATTAGGACATTCTCTTGGAGCACACGTAGCTGGTAATGCAGCGTCTTCAATACCATCTGGAAAAATAGCCAGAGTGACTGGACTCGACCCAGCTTTACCGGGTTTCCATGCTATTACGCCAACAAGTGGACGTCTGGATGCATCAGACGCTGAGTTTGTGGACATAATTCATTCCTGTGGAGGTATTCTAGGATTTTTGCAGCCACTCGGTCACGCTGATTTTTATCCTAACGGAGGAATCGCTATACAACCTGGATGTTGTTGTATGCCAGAAATGACAGGTTTGATTATTAATTATTAATATCAAGTATCTTATTATTAATACTGTTGATATTTTTCCAATTTATGGATTAATAATTTTTTAATTTACAGAGGCATGTAGTCATGGCAGAGCTTACGTTTATTACACAGAAAGTATTCTTTCCGAGACAGGTATGTTAGCGTCCCAATGCAGTACCTGGGACAAATATCTAGGTGGTGAATGCAATGATTCCCCGGTGACGTTTATGGGAGAATATGTAGACCGTTCAGCAAAAGGAACTTATTTTTTGAGAACGCGCTCACAAGCACCGTTTGGAATTTCCGAAGATTCTAACTCTGTTTGATTTTTAAAAATTTAATCTAATCTAATGTAATTATTTATTTACAATTATAAGGAAGAAGTAAATCAATAAATTTATTAGTCAGTTGGTTTTTCAAGAAAAAAATATATATTATTCTTATTTATAGCTAGTAAATAAAGACTGATTACATGAAAAGTATTAAACATCCAATGATAATAATGGTAATGCAAGTAGTTGCCAATGATAATTTAATTTAATTCGGAAATAAAATCTGATTAACTAAAGATTTATTACGATACTCTTAACGATAAAATAGACCTCGTACCTAACAAAATAAAATTAAAGTCTTAATTAAATTTATCTCGTGATTCTACAACAAAGATCGATGTGATCGTATTGTCGTACATCAATCACGCACATGGCAATAAAATATTTAATAACAATTTTTAAATTGGTTTGTACAGCAGTGTAGTGACATATTTTTTACGGTAACGATGAGTTGCAGACAATACCATTACGCTTTCTTTTATACTTAGAGCATAAAGATGGTTTAGCATTACATGGTTTGGTTCTGGTAAAAGTGTTGGTTCACACTAAAAAAAAAAGTCAATTATTTATTGAAAATTTAATCATAAAACTCATAACTCGAAAGTGAGACATAAAATTATTCTACACTTATGAGTTTTATAATATAATGATTTATTGTCATAAAAAAATGAAAAAACATACCGATAGTGGTGTATCTTTATTTAGGATAACTTGTAATAAGTGAGGCGGCAAAACTGGTGGCCCAGGTACTCTGTCCCACGGCTTTTGTGCTGGAACTTCTTGACAAAACTCTGATTGTATGCTACTAGAGCCTCCTTCACTATCTTTAGCAAGTGCTTGGAATACTTCAAAGTCCGACTTTCTTACAGTAACAAGATTATTTTTCTTCCCTTCATTATCAACATTTTGCTAAAAAAAAAAAAAAAATAATTAAAATTTTTAACATCTGATCATTTTTAATCTCATCAAAATAAAAAATTCTTACTATAGTAGGATCACACTTCCATTCACCATCGACATAAAATTTATACTCGTGATCTCCCAACGGAAGGTCAATTATTGTAACAAAGTCTCCGTGACTATTGACCATTGGGATTTTCCTCCATTGTGTAAATGAACCGCCGATGTAGACTTCCTTGCCACCACCTTCCCACTTGAATACAGTTGGCAATGACTTGGGTGGATCTGGTGGTTGGACGACTATTTTACTGCCTTCTGAAATGGTGTTCGACCTCGGCCGACCCGATTCTTCATCATCTTCCTGTAAAATTAATTTATTTAGGCTGCATTCGAAAATGCTCTATCTCTAGATACATAATTAAGAAATGACCTTGTATCTTGTAAGCTATTGACATTTTTAATTTAAAGATATAAGCTCATCCCGATATTACACTCATCAAGAGCTTTCATTTGAGTACCCACATGCATTATTGATATATTTTTCATATATACATATATATAAATATATGAAAAATCGATGTTGGTACTCAAATGAAAGGTCTTGGCGAGTGTAACATCGGGATGAGCTTATATCTTTAAAAACATCAATAATTACGAAATGACATTGTATCTTGTCAACTAATGATTTTTTTAAAGATATAAGCTTACCTCGACATTACACTCATCAAGACCTTTCATTTAAATAGCGACATCTATTTTTCATATATTTATATATATTATATAAATGTATATATGAAAAATATATCAAAAATGCATGTGGGTACTCAAATGAAAGCTCTTGATAAGTGTAACATCAGTATGAGCTTATATCTTTAAAATATATATTATATATATATATATATGAAAAATATATCAAAATTGCATGTGGGTACTCAAATGAAAGCTCTTGATGAGTGTAACATCGAGATGAGCTTATATCTTTAAAAACGTCAATAGTTAAAAAAGTACAGTGCAATTTAACAAAAGTCATTATCTAATAAAGCGAAATTTTATTTTTTTATAGTTCACAAGTCACGGAAGTCACATAATAACTGCAAGGTTACTAGCTTGAATGAATATATGAAAGAATCATCACATAAAAACAAAAATAAAATATAATTTAATAAATAAAATATAAAAAAATAAAACCTTTGATAAGTAAGGCTCTTCTTCTTCATTAGAAGTTTGGAAAACCAATTTTTTATTTGGTTTTTTAGCGAATGTAAATGCTTGACCATCTCTTCCAGGTGAAGACGGCGGATGGTCTTTGCTCTGGCGATGTGTGTCTTTGGTTATAGCACTGCCATGATGATGACCTGGCTGATTACTTCCAGCGTTACCCATAGTTCACTATAATAAATTACCAGGTTTATTATCTGTATATTTTATCTGACCGAGAGTGACAGTGATGGTGTAAGTTGTAAGTCACGGAGATAAAATTTTTTTTAGGTGAATGTTAACGAGACGTCACGTCGTTAACCGTGAGTCACGTACACACTGCCCAGCACAACAGCAACAACTATTGAATCTTAAATCTGAAATAAAACAACGTAGTACATGACATTGTTTACATTCAATTGTTTACATCATACTTGCCTCAACACTTACCTAAGCTGATTATTTATACAAAACTCACATGTGAATATTTATGATTGTTACACTTAATATTGATAATCGTAGACAATTATTGTCGCTTGAAGAAAAATAGTCTCTGTTGTGGGGAATTATTTAGACCACCGGAGTATTAGCTGATTGCGTGATAGTAATAAACGTCACACCGTTTACAATTTATTATAATAATAAAACATTGTCAAGAATGGTGATGATCACTCGAAAAGAAGGCTGACATTTTTTTATAATAAATCTTGGATTTAGAACTTTGATGCTCGATTTTAATTCCACTGATTATTATTATAAATCACGGTGATTAGTTTTAGTTTATTAATTATTTAATCAGCGAATACATTTTGGATTTTATTAACTTTTGACATTACATAAAATAACTTTAAGAATTATAATGAAGGATTGATTTTGTTGGGAAGTAACCAACAGTTGGCTTTAATATGGCGCTGTAATAAAATTTTATTTATTTTAGATTTGAGAAATAATTTTTTTTTTTATCATTGATTCTAAATTTTAGTACCATATTATTATTATTATTATTATTTTTTAAATAAGATTTCAATCATTTCTCAGATGTTTTTTTTTTTTTCACTAGAATAAATTTATGTTTATAATAAAATTATTTAAATAACAATAATTTTTTTTTTATTAGTTAAAATGATTTATTGAATATATTTTATGAAAATTAATTTAGCAGATATTTTATAATTTTAAGAATTTTTTCAACACATAAATTATGTCAAAGAAAATGAGAAAAAAAATTGACATTTAGAAAATTAAAAAACTAAAAAATGCAATTTTTTAGAAATAATTTTTCGGAGCAAATTTATTTATTAAAAAAAATTAAAAAATAGTCAAGTGACTGTTAACATTAATGTCATATATATTTTATGAAAATTTTTACTAATTCAAGAAATAATTAAATTATTATTATTTTTGATTATTTATTGTTTTAGAAATTGTAAATTTGTTAAATTATAGTTTGCAATGTATTTTAAATAAGTACAGCAGTTTGGCGCGGTTGGAACTAAAAACCCGAGAACTAGAGTGCGCGCGCATCACTGATCAAATATGGCCGTTGCGTAGTAGCGGGTAGACGTGCGCAGAATTCGCTCTGCAGTTTTTTAATCATTTTAATAGTAAAGTCGCGTTGATTAATAAAAATAATAATCAAAAACTACTTTATTAATAAAAATTAAGCTCTGGAATTATAAATTTTAAAGATTTAATCATTTAAAAGTCTTTAATTCACTAATAGAATATTCTTGCGTCCGTTGGAGATTGTCGGAAGTTTCGGTTGCTATTTTATCGGTCAAATAAATTTTAATTTTCGTAATTTTGATTTTTGGAATCTCTACTTTTATTAATACGGAAAAAAACTCGATAAATCTATATTGCGTAAATATAAGATACTTAACGTACCTCGCGTGAATATAAGGCGCCATATTTACACTGCGTAATTGCAAAGTCCTTATACTTATTGACGGGTGTAAATTTATCAGGACGTTTCGCGGACGTATAGCCACTCTTTATTCAAATACGCGTTTTCAATACGTCAGATATATTATTTTTTTCATAGTGTCATTAAATTCAGTGTTTTAGTGAGTTATTACATTGATTTTTTTTTTCCGTCAATAATATATTTGAGTGCACATTATTGCTGAGAGCCGGGAGCAGAGGAGCAGCTTGCGCGCCAAATGTAGCTGTCGTTTGAATCTACGAAAGGTAAGAGTTTTTCTGTATGATAAATTGTTTATTTTTTTTTATATTAAAATTTTTTTATATTCATGATTATTTTTCAAAAAATTATATCATGATAAAGTAAAGATTTAATTATTACATACATATTTTGTATTTTTTAAATATTATCTGATGTGTGGTAAATGATCAGTGGAAAATTAAGTTTTCTCATGGCGGTAACTCACTGTACTTAGATAAGGTGGCGGTTTTTTTCAATAAGTGAGATAGTAATGTTATCTATATCTGATTACACCACATTAATTATATAAAACTATATCAAGATAAAAAATTAGAAATAAAATTGCTCATTAATTTTTTAAAGAAAATTACTTAGGAAATTATCTATCTATACATATATAAATTTATACAATCAAAGTAAGCTATTTTTAATTGATTCAAGAAAATTTTTATGAAGACCAGAAATAATTTTTAAGAAATAAAAATGTTTTTTATTAATTGAACAAAATTTTATTAAATCAAAGTAAAATTTCTTTGTTTATAGAAATTTTTTATTTTGTCCAAAATAATTAAAGTCTTCTCAAATATTTTCTTGTTTTATCGATTTTTGTTCAAAAACTAAAATTATTTAAAGAAATTATATTTTTTTCTAAATTTTTTCGTCATCGCTGTTTTTTGGGCACGGGAACAAAATATATGGCTCCAAAACAAATTTTCTTGATTAAAGGAAATTCTCAAAAAGATTATGTAAGTGTCTTCAATGAAGTCAATTTCATGTCTTCCTTAATATTTCCTTGAATCATGAATATTTATACTACACTCAATTTTTTTTTGTGAATGAATATATTCTAAGGGAATCTTTTTGTAAAATTTTCGATTATTTGTTGATTCACTAACACAACTTTACAAAATTATTAACTATTAAACCTTTGAATTTACTTCATAAAATTTTCAACTAAATTCTCGCACAGTACAATTTAAATAGATATTGGCACAAAAGTTGTCCCATAAAACTCCGTATCCAGACAATTGATGTATGATTATCTGTATAGTATGCATGATGAAGGCTTAAAAAAAAGTATAAGCCAGAAGGTCTTTGGACCCGAGGTAGTTTTACGACTTAGCGACACAGAACGTCACTTTACCTCCTCCCACATTTTATATTGCCAGCTATCCATTTTCTACTTTTTACACAAATTTATTATTTATAAATTTATACAGCGTATTTTGCCACAAAATTTTGACCTCTCTTCACCTTGCTTTACTTACTTTTTTCTTTTTTTATCATCATATCATTCAATTCTCTCGAGGTTGAATCCAATAGCAAACAGAAACGAGCACTGGCTTTTAAAGCTCTCGATTTTAAATCACTATTGATAATAAATATTTCCCACATATCCCACCGATCTTATCGAATAAATATGTTAACTTGATTGTCGACGTGTTATCCAGTATCGTACCGTCTATTTACACAATATGTGAGACTTTGGCTCATTAAATGCATTCGTTATTTAATGATATTGATTAGATTGGAGTAAAAGCTTTTCTAGAATTATCTTTTAAGTGGTAACATCTGTTTTACATTTGTCATATTGATTTTTTTTGTTCATCCTAAATTTATATTCAAAAGTACATTTTATAATGCAATATATCAATTTTTATTTCAAAAATTATTAACACACATTAGAAATTTTAATGCTTGTGAAATAAAGTTTAAAAAAAAAAAAAATTAACTTGACTCAAGTAAAATTCACTTAAGCAAGAAATGATTTCTTAGTCGAAGAATTTTTCTACTTAAATCAACACGACTAAACTCTTCTAAATGATTTTCTCGGTCCGAAAATTTTTCTCTTGATTTAAAATAATTTTTTTATTCAGTGCACAGTTGTTACCACAATAAATTTAAAAACTTCATTATCAAATAAAATTTCTCTAACTTTTTAAAAATAATTAAACGCGTTATGAAATATATGTTCATTTAAAAATAAATAGTTTTACTATTCGAAAAGCGTTTCAGGATTATAACTTAAATATATTTAATTTAGATAGAACATGGTGAAATTTTATGACTTAGAACTAACACACAACAGTTAGAATTCTATGGAATTTACATAAATATGTAGTTAAAAAATAACAGTTCCTAAAATAATAACAATTCCAAACTCAAACATTTTAAGATAATCTAGTTAAATTAAGCCATTTCAACCAAAAATGTTAAAATTCCAGCTTCGACCAAGAATTTCAATTGCATATAATTCTTAGCAGTAAATTTAACAGTTTAAATGCGAATTTAATACCTTTCGTTGAAAATAAAGTGTGTAGTAAAATATCGTGAATTTTTTCATTTGAAACTGTAGCTTTTACATCTCTAATTATAGTTAGCGAAACTATAATTTTTTTAGTATAATTTTATTTCGTGAGCAATTGTTAAAAATATTAGAATTTTATTGACAAAAAATTTTTTTTCATACTGATTGACTAATATATTAATTTTACATAATTCTTAAATCTGAAATTATTAAGTTTTTAGTATAAAAATAATTTTTGATAATTCCGTGAAGAGAAATAATTAAAAAACTGTTGGAATTATAATTATGAGTTTAGTATTTGAATGAAAAATGAGAAAATAATTATAAATAAAAGTGAAGCTTAAATGAAAACACAGTTATTTTACAAGACGGGTTGTGCATATGGGTTCGATCGATAATCGTACTGGCAAGTGATTCAAGGCTGAAAAAGGGTACCTTCAACTACTAATACGTGCGTAGACGGTACATCTGTGGAGGTATCATCAGCGTGTTACAAAAGACCGATCCATCATCCCCGGACAATTCGAGTTTGAAATTGGCCGGCGTATCACCCAGACCTCTCTGAGAACTGAGGAGGCTGTGTATCCGTTGCCAGCTCGCACGTGCGATTATAATGGAGATTAAAGTCAGTACAAACAATAAATTTCGCGTTACTGTGGCATACCGATTTTATAATGTCAAGAAAATCCGTCAAAAAAAACCCGTTTACGTTTA